CTCTAATTGCCTCTGTTAATCTAGCCAGTTCAATATACCCTAACAGTTAATCTTGCCATTCCTTTTTTGTTGGCACAGTTCCTTTTTTCCAGTTTTTAGCAGTTAGGATCCTTGCCGCTCCTGTGGCATAGAGGAATGTTTTCTGATCTTCTCTTGCTATACCTGTGTCCGTTATCCCTAGTAGAAAAGCTCCTGTATTTTTCATAAAGTTACACTTAAACATTTTTCTAACCTCATCATACACTGTGTTCCAGAAGCTTTTGATTTTTTTGCAGGTCCACCAAACATATATAAGTGTCCCCTGTGTTTTACCACCTCCAGCACAGATTTGTTTTTGTCTGATGTTGTTGTTTATTCGTTTAGTCGTGTCCGACTCTTTGTGACCCCATGGACCAGAGCACGCCAGGCACTCCTGTCTTCCACTGCCTCCCGCAGTTTGGTCAAACTCATGTTTGTAGCTTCGAGAACACTGTCCCACCATCTCGTCTTCTGCTGTCCCCTTCTCCTTGTGCCCTCCATCTTTCCCAACATCAGGGTCTTTTCCAGGGAGTCTTCTCTTCTCATGAGGTGGCCAAAGTCTTGGAGCCTCAGCTTCAGGATCTGTCCTTCCAGTGAGCACTCAGGGCTGATTTCCTTCAGAATGGAGAGGTTGGATCTTCTTGCAGTCCATGGGACTCTCAAGAGTCTCCTCCAGCACCAGAATTCCAAAGCATCCATTCTTCGGCGATCAGCCTTCTTTATGATCCAGCTCTCACTTCCATACATCACTACTGGGAAAACCAGAGCTTTAACTATACGGACCTTTGTTGGCAAGGTGATGTCTCTGCTTTTTAAGATGCTGTCTAGGTTTGTCATTGCTTTTCTCCCAGGAAGCAGGCGTCTTTTAATTTCGTGGCTGCTGTCACCATCTGCAGTGATCATGGAGCCCAAGAAAGTATACATTTTGTCTTATATATTTTAGCTATTCTGGTAGGTGTTAAGTACCATCTATAAAACATCTTGATTAGATTTTCCCTCAATACTTCACAGGCTGTAAATTTCCAGTTCTTTCTCCATTGCTCTTCCCACACTGCTAATGACAGCATTAACATTTTAAAACAACAGCAGCAACCCACCCATTCATTTTATCTTACAGTACCTAAAGGTTTAAATGGGGAAACAGGTCAGGTAAAAATATTCAACTCCAAAAATATCCTCAAAGCTGATGGCGTTGGTTAGTGCCTTGTTTTTGGTTTGCAAGCATCTCCATCGAAATAAAGGAGCAGTTTCCTTATTTATATATTTATGTATTAAGAATATTTACGTACCACTCATCCTTAAAACTCCTAAAGATGCTGTGAGATTAGTGTTTCCTTTTTCCTGTAGTTTGTTTTAGCTGTTTTTTTTACAGATACTGGATTTTAAATTGTTGCAAGCTGCCCTGGGACCTGCTGGTGGAGGGGAGGCAAATAAGTTTAATAATGATGATAGTAATAATTACCATGTCATTTGCCATTTGCAGCATAGCCAGATTATCCATCAGAGCTTTTAGCGCCTAAAGAAACGGGATTGCCAACGTTTTGGGGGAAAGCAGAGAGTTTCTCTGAGCCCGGCTTTTCGGCTGGGGAGGTTGGGATATAAATAAATTATTATTATTATTATTATTATTATTATTATTATTAGCCACGGGCACCCCCTCGCAAGTGGCTCCCCTTGCCCTCCCCTGGACACTCCCCCAAAATAAGGTTCATTGGCAACGTGTGAGATCACAGAGCACACACAGAATTAATAATCCTTTCCTATGGTTTTGTGGGGAAGTTTGATCCAGTGGAATTAAAAGGGATCCCCTTGCAAATGATCATCGGGCAGCTAAGTCACTTAGAGCGGGCACCCCCAAACTCGGCCCTCCAGCTGTTTTTGGGACTACAATTCCCATCATCCCTGACCACTGGTCCTGTTAGCAAGAGATGATGGGAGTTGTAGTCCCAAAACAGCTGGAGGGCCGAGTTTGGGGGTGCCTGGCTTAGAGTGAGGTGTAGATAACACCAAGGTTGCAGGATCAATCCCTGTATGGGGTAGAGGCAGAGTCCTGCAGGCCAGACTAGATGATCCTCAGGGTCTCTTCCAACGTCACAATTATATAATTTCCATGATCCTTCTTCTCCACCTCCATCACATCAGACGCGGAGACGTTTTTCTTTCAACAGGCTGGTCCAGTGGGGTGAAAAGCTCTCTGTCTTAGGTCCTTATTCTATATAGTTTATACACCTTGCCTTCTCGGCTGGCTTTGAAACCCCCCCCCAATTGTTTGGGCAGTTGGAGGATGGATGGTGGCTAACAGATTGAGGTTAAATCCTGGCAAGACATAAGTACTGTTTTGGGGGGGACAGGGGCGGGTGGGTGTGGAGGAATCCCTGGTCCTGAATGGGGTAACTGTGTCGCTGAAGGACCAGGTGCGCAGCCTGGGAGTCATTCTGTACTCACAGCTCTCCATGGAGGCGCAGGTCAATTCTGTGTCCAGGGCAGCTGTCTCCCAGCTCCATCTGGTACACAGGATGAGACCCTACCTGCCTGCAGAATGTCTCACCAGAGTGGGGCATGCTCTGGTTATCTCTCACTTGGACTACTGCAATGCACTCTATGTGGGGCTACCTTTGAAGGTGACCTGGAAACTACAACTAATCCAGAATGCGGCAGCTGGACTGGTGACTGCGCATGGCCGCTGAGACCACATAACACCAATCCTGAAAGACTGGCATTGGCTCCCAGTACGTTTCCGAGCACAGTTCAAAGTGTTGGTGCTGACCTTGAAAGCCCTAAATGGCCTCGGTCTTGTATACCTGAAGGAGTGTCTCCACCCCCATCGTTCAGACCGGACACTGAGGTCCAGCTCCGACGGCCTTCTGGCATTCCCTCCCTGCGAGAAGCCAAGTTACAGGGAACCAGGCAGAGGGCCTTCTCGGTAGTGGCACCCGCCCTGTGGAATGCCCTCCCATCAGATGTCAAAGAGAAGAACAACTACCTAACATTTAGAAGACATCTGAAGGCAGCCCTGTTTAGGGAAACTTTTAATGTTTTACAGACTACTGTATTTTAATACTTTGTTGGAAGCCGCCCAGAGTGGCTGGGGAAACCCAGCCAGATGGACGGGGTATGTATAAATTATTATTATTATAGTGGTACCTCAGGTTACATACATTTCAGGTTACATATGCTTCAGGTTACACACTCCGTTAACCCAGATATAGTGCTTCAAGTTAAGAACTTTGCTTCAGGATAAGAACAGAAATTGTGCTCCGGCGGCACGGCAGCAGCGGGAGGCCCCATTAGCTAAAGTGGTGCTTCAGGTTAAGAACAGTTGTTTCATGTTAAGAACAGACCTCCAGAACGAATTAAGTACTTAACCTGAGGTACCACTGTATTATTATTATTATTATTATTATTATTATTATTATCATCATCATGTAAATCACCTTGAAACCTATAGTAGCAGCTTAGACGGCGGAACTCCCTGCCACAAGAGGCAGGGATGGCCTACAACCTGGAAGGCTTTCGAAGAGATTAGGCAAATTCATGCAGAAGGAGAGGAAGAAATGCTTCTGAAGAACAGTTTCTGGAAACCGCAGGAGGCGAGAGTGTTGCTCTTGTGTTCGAATCCTGCTTGATGGTCCACCACAGGACTCTGGCCTGGGAAAAGGATGCTGGGCCACATGGGACATTTCCTTGGACCACATTCGCCCGGACAGGGAAGGCCCGCTGGATCAGGGCCAGTGGACCCTCGAGTCCTGCTTCCTGTTTTCAAAGTGGCCAAATATTCTGGGAAAACCCACAAGTGGGATCTGAGCCGTGGGTAGACAAACTAAGGCCCAGGGGCCGGATCCGGATCGCCTAAACGGTCTGCATTTTGAAGAAGTTAAGTCCCCATGGTCTGGACGGACCCTACTGTTGGCAGGCAACTCTCCTCCTGTGGCTTCGGAACTGTAATGTGACCCTGTGGCAGGGAGTTCGGATAACTACACCTGAGTGAAGGAGAGCTTTTCCCTGCCCCTTGTAGTCAGTCGTCTCGTGGAGCCAAGTGTCCAGTTCTGAGGTTTTTCGGTGTGACCACCCCAAGCCAATGAAATAAGTAACTATACAACCTTTAGAAGGCATCTCAAGACAGCCCTGTATAGGGAAGTTTCTTTTCAACGTTTAATGCTTTATTATGTTTTATATCTGTTGGAAGCCTCCCAGAGTGGCCGGGGCAACCCAATCAGATGGGCGGGTATAAATAATATTATTATTGTTATCCGACCCGCAAGCCATCTGAAGGCCATGCTGTTGTTTGTTTAATGTTTTATTAGGTTTTTACTGCATATAGATTGGAAGCTGCCCAAGAGTGGCTGGGGCAACCCAGGCAGATGGGTGGGGTATAAACAGTAAAATTATCATTATGGAAGGGGTCGTTCCTGTTTCCAGGGCTGGATTGAGGTCTGATGAGGCCCTAAACTACTGAAGGTAATGGGGTCCTTTATATATCCAGCTGTCCTTTGTCAACAACAAATTGTCGCCATTTTTTGTGTTGAATATATGCAATATGGTCATTTATGGACCTAATAGGTATCCAAAGCAATATGTATTTTATCAAAGTAACTTGTTTTTTATCTTACATTTTGGAAATGTACATCCAGGTTCCCCCCCTTTAATTTGGTATCTAAAGCCATTTGCACATAACAAAAAATGCATTTTTATCAAAGTATTTTTTTTTGCTTATATTTTGGAAACGTACATCCAGGGGTTCCCCCCCTTTATTTTTTTTGGGGGGGCCCCCAGAGAGTGGGGTCCTGAACTGCAGCTCTTTTATCTTATGCCTAAATCCGGCGTGCAATCCTGCCGCCCCCTCGCCCTTTTTCCGGGCGTGCACGTGCATCGTGCACTTTTCTCGCGGTGCCCCCCCCCCTTGCAAATTCCTCCTCCTTTCTTCCCGCGCCGCTGCCATTGGCTGCCCAACATTCTCCTCTTGGCTCTGTTATTTTTCGAATATGCAAGCGGCGCGGCGAGGGATGCGGGCGGAGCATCCGCGGAGGCAGCCGCGTCGCCGGGCGGAGCTTCCTCGCCTGCATCCCGCCTCCCAGCCGCCTATAAAAACCCCCCTCGGGGCGCCGCGCATCCCTGATCCTCTTGTGCAACGAGCATCTCTCTCCTTTTGCTCAGTCCTCGCAGCGCCAGCTTTTGAAAAGAAGCCTCCGGGATATTTATTTCTGCTTCTCTCCAAAGCACCATCTCTTTCGCCAGGGAGCACTTCGGCGCGGCAGCCTCTCGCCGAGCCTGGATGCATGCTCGTGGGAACGCGCCCCGACACGTGTCTTCGCAGCCGAAGCGTGCAGCCATCATTCCCTCGGATCGGATTCCTCCTTTGATTTTCGCGGCGCTTCGAGAAAGAAACTCGGAGCCTCTCCAGCCTCTCGCCTTTACGCGCAGCAGCCCCAGATGGAGACCGCCCGGGTACCCGCGGGATCCCCCCCGGCCTGCCGCGAAGCCCGGAGATCCAGGAAGACCCTCGGCTTCCTGGCCGTCGGGCCCAAGACCCTTTTCCCGGAGGGCGACGGAGCCGCCGCGATGTCCCCGGTCACCACCTTGGCGCTGAATATGGACAAGCTGACCGGCCTGGGCAGGTAAGACCACGAGGACTAGCGCCTTGGAGGAGGAAAATTGGGGATCTTGCATGTCCGCGGGGTGCGTGTGTTGTTGCAGGAATTTAGCTTTGCATGTCATTTTGTGCACGCAGGATTTGCCCGAGGGGTGGTATAAAAACAGACTGGGCCTAAAAGGAAATCCATTATTTTTTTGGGGGGGGGTGCGTGTCGCTTTTTGCAAGCGACCCACCAGTCCGATCCTCACGTGCAGCCTTTGCAGAGGCGCGCGTGGTTTTATTCCACGCGAAAAGGGGGAAGGGTAGTTTACGGGGCTGGGGGCCACGTGCGCGCCTTTGCAACATTGCAAGGGTTTTTTTCTGTGCGTTTGGAAAAAAGCAAGAGTCTGTAACCCCCCCCCTCTTCCTGCCCCCCCCAACTTCTCTCCTGGGTGGAAAGAGCGAGCAGCTGTTTTGCAGGGCTGGGGGGGGGGCGCCCGGGCCGCGTGGGAGCCGGACAAAGGGAGCCTTTAACGGGATCAAGAATGCCGGCGGGGGCCGGAGGCGGAGGGCTGACTGTGGGTATTGGGGGGGGGGACACGTGTGGGGTCGAGGAGGAATCGGGGCCCCTGCGGAGCTGCAGGAGCCCCCCCCCCAGCTGGCTGGTTGGGAAAGAGGCCGGAGGCGCCTTTCCAGATGTTGCGTGACTCCCAGCTGCACGGTCTGGGATTGTGCTGGGGGAGGGAGCGATAGGCCAGCAACATCTGGAAGAGCCCCCCCTCCATTTCGGCTTTACCCCAACCTAAGCACTGGTTAGTTCCCCTTTATTTCTCCATTTTTAAAAAATAAATTTGTATATTCATCCGCAGAGCTCCGGGCAGGGGCAGCAATATATATACAAGATAGAAACTCAAAATGCAGAATAAAGACAAAACAAACCGCCCCCCCTTGAGGTTGCCTAATAATAATAATAATAATAAATAAATTTTATTCATACCCCGCCCTCCTCAGCCAAGACCGGGCTCAGGGCGGCTTACAACCAATAATAAAAACAAGTTGATTGAAATACAATTTAAAAAACAATATTAAAATACAACATTAAAACAATATAGGATTGTCATATATATATATATATATATATATATATATATATATATATATATATATGTATATGTATATATATGTGTATATATGTATATATATATATGACATATAGGGTCTCCTAGAACAGCCCCACTGCCATGCAGGAAATGCAAAGAAACTAAATCTTTCATTTCCTTTCCTTTCCTTTCATTCTCTCTCTCTCCACTCCCAATGTAAGAGTTTTGCAGCAGGATCAGGCCTGGGATTATTGGGGCGGGGGAGGGGGCGGCCTTTGGAATATAGCAACATCTGGAAGGTTCCCTGCCAATACCCTAAACACCGATCAGTTTTCCTCTGGGTCGTCCTAGGATTGTAGAATTGCAAGGGGATTCCAGAGGTCCTCTAGCCCAGTCCCACTGCAATGCACGGGGTCTTTCCTTTGCCCTACCATCCTTTCATTCTCTCCCCCTCTCCAAATGTAAGAGTAACAAAGCAGGATCCGGGCCAGAGGCCCATCTAAGCCTAGCATCCTGTTTTCCTGGAAGGCCGCAAGAAGCGCTTTGAGTGTGCGCAGACTTATACACACTCCTGTTTTCCCTGAGCGCACCTGATGCATGAGCTGTGTGGTCCATGCACTTGTTGAATTTAAGGGCGCTTTTATTCTGGAAGGATCCTCACCCCCTGCAACACAGTGCATGCTTTCTTGGAAATAGGGCCTGCCCTTTTCAGTGCAAACAGGATATTAAAAAGGTCTAAAAACCCACATTCCTAACAGCTTCACTGCCGGGTAGGCTTTGGATCTAGCGATCCCAAAAGGGTTTCAGAATCGTAGAGTTGGAAGAGGGAAACCCCAGAGCTCATCTATCCCAGCCCACTTCAATGCAGGAACGTCTGCTAAGTCTTATTAATTACCCAACATGGGGGAATCTATATATTTTTCTCCCTGCACAGTGGGGCTCATTCCTTATTCTACCCCTCCAACACTTTCTAAGCCTCTAAGAGTCAGCCTTTATGCCATAATCGAACTATATAATTGAAATATGAACACAACTCTTAACATTTATTTTTGGTCAGATGTGAAACCAGCCATTCCAAACATGGTTGAATAGTGTAAAACTAAACTGATTCTTTTTTCTTCTTTTTTAAAAGCAAGTGCTGATAATGTTTTCATGAAGGCAAATCAACAAACAGATGTGGAAAAAACCAACAACCCACCGTGGCCACACTCTAACCCCTTTGAGTGACATCTGCTAGACCAGGCATGGCCAAACTTTGCCCTCCAGCTGTTTTGGGACTACAGTTCCCATTATCCCTGACCACTGGTCCTGTTAGCTAGGTATGGAGGGAATTGTAGTCCCAGCTGGAGGGCCACGTTTGGCCATTCCTGCTCTAAGCACTGTGCCACACAGCCTTTAGGATCTGCATTCATGCGCCAGAAATGAGATCCATTGCTTTTTCCATTTGCCTCTTGTGGGATTTTTCTGTTTGCTAATGTGTGGTGCCCTGCTGAATAATCTTGTGCAAGATGGGGGTCTGGGTAGGTGAGGGGAGTATGGGGGGGGGAGGAGGCTGTGGTTGTTCAGCGGCCCTGTCAATATACCATTCCCCCCCCCACTCCATGCAACCATCTTGCCTCCATGTTGGAGAAGAGAACTGGTTCCTCTGAGTTTTGGGTGGGTGGGCTGCAAGCAGCAGCCCTGAGGCTTTCCGAAAGGGAGTTTCCCTTTTGGAAAAAAATGCACATGAGGCTGTAATCCGAAGCATGCAAATTTGGGAGGGGGGGGCCGTAGGAATAGGTTGGAGCTGCGCACATGTGCTCAGCAGCGGGACGGGAGAATCAAATGGGGATTTATCGAAACCTGAGATCAGTTTAAACCCAGGGCATAGGGTGAAGTCCATGTAAACCTGCTTTCTTAGGTTGCTTTTTAAATGCTGTCTTTTGTGCTCCTCCAGTGGTTGCATGCATGCATTCTTTATTCTCCCCCCCCTCTCCCCCCCTTTGTTCTAACCTCTTCCTCTTCCCTCCCCTCTTTGAAACTCTCTTTCCTGCCTCTCAGGGCTGGCTTCTCGCAGTAGGACTGTTTGCCTGCACAATGTCACTTCTGTTCAAAAAGAAGAAATAATGCGTGCTTGGGGGGGTGTGTGTGTGTGTGTGTGTGTGTGTGTGTGTGTGTGGTTTCCTCTCCCTCCCCTGCCAGGGTGTGCAGCAGAGCAAATAATGTTTGCATGCCTTTTATGTCCTGCGCACAGGACTTTTTTTATTTTGCTCTTGCCTGGCAGAAGCAAAAGGCTTTGCAGAAAAATTGGCTCTTGTGAAACTGCGACTGCATGACTGTTTTTATAATTATGGTGTCTGTAACCCTGTCTGAACCACAGGATTTTTTTTGGGGGGGGGGCTTTTGACAAGAGCTGCTTGCAGCCCAACTAGTAATATTGAGGCTGTAATCCTGAAGTCCTTTGCTCAGGTGGTACCATGCAGGGTTGGCAAGACCTTCTGTGGTTTTTTTGGGAGTAGAGGAAACTGCCTTAACTATGAATCAGACTTTTGGGGTCCATCTGGTTCGGTCTCCCCAGCTGCTGTTGGACTACAAATCCCATCATCTCTTAGCTATCGGGGCCAGCAGTTGGGGAATGATGGGATTTTTAGTCCAACAACAGCAGCAGCTTTGCAAGGTTAGGAGTATCTCCCAGGGGGAGGGCTCTGGTGGAGTGCAGACTGGGGATAGCTCTGTCGGTAGAGCATGAGACTTGTTAATCTCAGGGTCCTGAGTTCGAGTACTGCGTTGCCAGGGGTTGGACTAGATGACCCCCGTGGTCTCTTGCATTTCTACAAATCTGTTTTTCTACTCGGTGAATTGGGTGCTGGAAAGGCCCAGTTTGCAATCTGAACACATGTGGGGGGAGTGTGTGTGTTGGAGGGGGAACTACCGCTCAGTGGGTAGTGAAGCCCCTACTGTGTATGGGAGAAAAAACTCCTAGATTTAGCAGAGAAGCCACTTTTCTGGCTGCACAGAAATCAGCACTGGACTTAAAGCACAAGGACAGGCTGGTGGGATCTCAGGTCAGACCTTAGACCAGCCCCTTCCCTTCTCCTGGGCTCTCTGTGTTTTCACCCACTCCCTCAGGGGTTTTGGCAAGAACATTTTTTTTGCAGCTGGGTGGAGGGAGAGGAAATGGGTGCGAGATATATTATTTTATCTCTGGGCCTGCAGTTAACCTTGCCCAGCAGCCTCTCCCATCAGTTAGCCGACCTGCCCCGTAAGTTAATCATTGAGCAGCTGGCATCTCGCTGTGGCTTACGATAAGGTGACTGGCGCTCTGTACGTTGCCCAGAGACCTGAAACTTGGTGTGCCCCCCAAGGTCAAGCGGAGCTGTGACAATCTGGAACCAGCAAACATGTCCGTCTCTCCTTAGTTTTTAAATGGGAAGTTGTAAAGGAGTGACCAAGCTTTCTCTGTTTCACAAAACTCTTCCCCAGATCCTTTTTTTTTAAATAAAAAAAAAGTTAAACAGGGAAGTTAGTTGAAAAGGGGCACGAGTTGTAGACTTAAGGCAGGAAGCTCTGGGTTCAAATCTCCGCTTGGCTGTAACTCTGATCTTGGGCTGAGAGAGTGGCTGGCCTAAAGGGAAAAGGTAAAGTCCAGTCAAAGGCGACTATGGGGTTGCGGCGCTCATCTCTCTTTTTTCCCCCCTCCCCATTTTTAAAATTCATTTTATAACACAAATAAACACAAACAGAAAAACAAACAATACAAACAGATTCTTGTCTTATCCTTATTTTTTCTAAACATTGTTAGGTGGGCTTCCCCAAGTCCCCCCTATATGATTTTCATTTTACCTCATCTTTAGCAGTTTACATATCATAATTTCTAACCATTTTTTTTATCACACTTACTTTAACCATAAAAAACCTTCACATTTTATCACTTACAAATAATACTATTTTAAAATACACTATCTTCTAACCCTACAGCCTAAATCCACTTCCAAAGCTTTTCTAAGATTTAAATATTAACATATTTTTTCAAATATTCTTTAAACTTCTTCCACTGTCTCTTCTCTCTGGTCTCGGAGTCTCCCGGTCAGTTCGGCAAGTTCCATATAGTCCATCATCTTCATCTGCCATTCTTCGATAGTTGGCAAATCTTGTTTCTTCCAATTCTTTGCTAGCAATATTCTCGCAGCTGTTGTGGCATATAGAAAAAAAGTAACAGCCTTTTTGGGGATTTCACCCCCCACTATACCAAGTAAAAAGGCTTCTGGTTTTTTAATAAATGTGTTTTTCAGCACTTTTTTCAGTCCATTATAAATCCTTTCCCAGAAGTCTTTTACCTTGGGGGCACGTCCATCACATATGGGCATGGCTGCCTTGGAGGGACAACGTGATTTTAAACAGAACAGAAGCTATGCTTTTAATATTTGATGTTTTATTATGTTTTTATATAGGTTGGGAGCCGCCTAGAGTGGCTGGGTGTGTGTGTCAGATGGTACCACTACTATTATCCTTATTATTATTAATAATATTATATTCCAAGCTTCTTAATCACTGGTCTTTTCTCTTCCCGGTTTGCAGTGATTGTGACACCCCCAAGAGAAGGAAGCGGTTGGGCCTTGACTTCAAGAAAGAGTGGTCCTCGCAGGATTCCGTCTCTTCCGAGTCTTCGCAGGAATCGGGAGATTCAGGTCGGTGTTTGGAGGCTGCCAACCGCCTTCCCCAAATGGGGCTCCTGTGCTTCACTAAACTATGTCATGGGGGGTGTTCAGAAAAAAACTGCCTGCTCACTGTGTGGGGAGAGATGGGATTAGGAGAACAGCCCCTGTTGAATTGTCTTCCAACCTAATAATAATAATAATAATTCATTTATTTATACCCCGCCCTTCCCGGTGCAAAAACCAGGCTCAGGGCGGCTAACAACAAATTTAAAAACAGTATTAAAGCAGTATAAAATACAATATAAAAACATGAATAACAATATGGAACTTTAAATTAGGTTAAATAATAATAACTAATTTTGTATCTCCTTTCATCCGATGATCACAAGGAGGTTTGCAATATAAAAACATAAAAATGCATGTCATAGTAGCAAACAAAAACAAGCGACCCAATTAAAGCAGCTGTGAAAGGAGTGGCTCTTATTCTCTGGGAAGAGCAGTTCTGACTGGGGTCTTTTATGGGATGCTTGTCTCTTTTCTCTGATTAAACATGCCGATTTTGCCATCTCGGTTAAGCCTGTTAATTCTAGTAGGCACCCTTCCATTGCTGGTCATAATGGGTCTTTGGGCGCAGGCGAACTCCCCTGATCTCTTGGAGTGCAAAGGCAGCTAACCGCTGGTCCTCCAGTTAAGCGTGGGACTAAAATTCCCACCATCCCTGACCATTGTCCACAGCATCTGGTGCTGATGGGAGTTGTCGTCCAAAGATTCCTGGAGGGCGCCAATTTGGGGAAGCCTGAACAGAGAAACTTCTTGCTGGTTTTCCCACCTTGTTTATCTCTCTTGATAAGATTCCAGAGGGGTTCCTGGACCATATCAGCAAGCCTTTAATCTGTAAAAGCAGGGCATTCCCCAAAGCATCTGAGACTCTCCTAGGAGGTGGTATCCTGCAGTTGCAGATCAGGGGTTGGCATGGCCTGAAGCAGACGATCTGCGATCCAGGATCACAGATTCTATATGATCTGGGATCAGGAGAATGTGTGGCCTTTTGCAGGGTGGCTGAACTCAGACCAAATCGATTATCTAGACTATCAGATTGTCATCGCTGGACCAAGTCCATCCCTTTTGTTGCATTAATCCAGGGGTCAGCAAGCTTTTCCAGCAGGGGGCCAGTCCACTGTCCTTCAGACCTTGTGGGGGGCCAGACTATATTTCTTTTTTGGGGGGGATGAACGAATTCCTATGCCCCACAAATAACCCAGAGATTGCATTTTAAATAAAAGGACACATTCCACTCATGTAAAAACACACTGATTCCCAGACTGTCCATGGGCCGGATTTAGTAGCTGATTGGGCCAGATCTGGCCCCCGGGCCTTAGGTTGCCTACCCATGCATTAATCAAACTAAACAGTTTGAACCATTTTCTTTAGTGGGTTGTGCAAGCCGCAGTTCTGAAGGATGCTTTTTATGGGGTAGGGGGCACGGGGCTCAGTTTATGGAGCTTAAGGGGGCAGTGGCCAGAGTTTTTTTGGGGTGTGGGGAATTTCAGTTCAGTAATACCTGGAAAAGTCCAGTGTTTCTGCGTACCTGGAACACAAGAAGTGCCCTTCTCCTTTCCCAGCCCTGAATCTTTGTATGGCAGCCCAAATATATGCCCGCTCTCTCGTTGCCTGTTCAAATGTTTGCACCCCACCATTATCCCATAAGCTCCCCAAACCTAATGTGCCTTTTGGAGCCTCTTTGCAGCTCTTCCTGAGAAACGTCTAGTTTTGTCAGGCTCTTTCTTAGCAGAATGTGAAGAGAGGAACCCCACGGAAGACCTCAAAAGCCAGGGGGCTGGGGGGCGCCCTCCCATCCCAGCGGCCTTAGCGATACTCGTATTTCTCTTTCCTCATGTGAACTTCTTTTTGTTGTTGCTGGCACAGGCATGGGCCCGGATTCCCCAATGGAGCCAGAGCTGGAGATCTTGGAAGATGTGTAAGTTGGATTTTTTTTGCTGATCCTTGGAAGGTAGGGAGGTGTTGGTTGTTTGGTTTCAACCCCCAGCAGAAAGGCTTTAAATGAGGATTTGATGGAGCGTGAAAAAGCGTTAATCCTGAGGCTCTGTCTTTTGATGCAGTTTGCTGATACGTAGTTTTAGTTTGCTAGCTTCTTGGAACAGAAAGGGCCAAGGGCTTTTTCCAAGAAACAACAGCAAATGGCTCAAGAATTGTGTTGTGGAAGGGGAGATTATTGGGTTGCCTTTAGTTTTGCTTTTATTATGTATTCTTCTTTTATATATTGTGATTTTATGTCGTGAACCACCCTGAGATCTAAAGGTAGATCATATGATTATGATTATTACAACTAATAATAATAACTAATAATAATAATGAGATCTACCCGTAGATCTCAGGGTGGTTCACGACATAAAATCACAATATATAAAAGAAGAAATAATAATAATAATAATATCAGTTGCTGGAAACCGCAGGAGGAAAGTGTTGCTCTTGCGTTCGAATCCTGCTTGCTGGTTTCCCACAAGGCATCTGGTTGGCTAATGTAAGAACAGGATGCTGGACAAGATGCCCCACTGGCCTGATCCTGCAGTCTTTTCTTACGTTCTTCCCTGCAAATGTGGCAATTCCAAATGGCTCATGGTGGCCAGCTGGGGAGTTGTGGGTCCTGACCTTTTTCTGGTGAAGGGGATAAGAGTTCTTGACTCCCTCGGTGGAACTGTGTTTGCTGGAAAACAAAAACAAGGGTCCTCCCTCCACCGTTATTCAAAATGATCTGGCCTTGTCGAGGAAAGGACCACAACATGGCAGCTTCCCCTAATTTGAAATCTGTGTCATTCTCAATAAGTGAATTCCATTCCTGTTAACCGCAATCTGCTGTGGCATGGACTTGCACCCAGAATGCATCTCCTGAAGTTCTTCAGCAGGAGTTATGTTGGGCACTAAAAAAACAGTTTCAGATCTGTAGTTCAGCCCAAGGGGGCTGAAACCTAAAAGATTTGGTTCTAATCTTTGGGGATTGATCGAACCTTCCTGCATTTGCTGGAGAGGGTGAGGTAGCTGGTTTCAGGTTTGCTGGGTGTGTGTGTGGCAGGTTTATGGCTTGGTTGTTTTCAGGTGAATTTTCAAAGCTGAGGATGTGTTTTCTGGCCCTCTTAATCCCTTTACTGCTTGTGGATTGGGGTGGCCTTTGTTCTCTCCTCGAATGTATTTGAAGTGCCCGGATTTCAGTACTTTGAAATGCTGGTCTTTGCTGGAAGTTTGCATCCACTGTGACTAATCCATTTCCCATATCGCGACGGCATTCCAGGGTGCGCCAGAATGCTGTTCTGTGCCTAGGGCTGCACACAACAGTCCAAAAATCTGCTTGCATGGCCTCCGGTAGCATAAGTAGAGAATCTGTGTTCAGGCGCTTGAAATACCAAAATTTGTAGGGTGTGCAATGAACTTAATGGATGCAACAAAAACAGCATGAAATATAGTATAAAACGTGAATAACAGTAAATTCAGAATTCAAAATCAATTTAGGGGAGAAATCCATCCAATAAACATTAGATGATCACCAGGGCTAGCTGGCTAAATTTGGGCCAGCGAGACCAGGGGAGAATTAGCTGTGGGATCCCAGAGCGGGTAATCTTCATAAAAGGGGGGGGGGGGGGAGGAAGGGGACTAAAAGATCAGGCTAAGTTCAAATTGAAAGCCAGGTGGAATAGCTCTGCAGAAGGAAGTTAAATCCTGGAGGGCCCTGGTCTCATGGGACAGAACATTCCACCAGGTCGGAGCCATCACTGAGAAGGCCCTGGCCCTGGTGGAGGATAGTCTGGCTTCCTTAGGGCCCGGGACCTCTAAACTGTGGTTATTCATGGACCTTAAGGTCCTCTGCAGGGCATACCAGGAGAGTTGGATGGGGTTCCTAAAGTCATCTGGTTCAGCCCCCTGCAGATGCACTTATATAGTCAGGTCAGGCCAGGCCTCCCTTGCCTCCAGCGAGCCGAGAGGGGTTGACAGGTGTGGTCTTGTGGGAAAACAGGCCTCTCCCATCTCTCAGCAGCAGATTTGAGAAAAACCAGTCTCCGTGGGAGAATTAAGAGCGCTCCACCTTTGCCAGCAGAAAGCAAAAAACTTTGGGCCATGCAGCTGCCAAGAGATGGTTCAGTGGTTGGAAAATAAAAACTTCTTCCCCAACCGGTATTTTTGAAACCTGCCCTCCAAAAAAATAGGTGTGGGGCTGCGTGGGTGGACCCCTGTCTAGTTCTTGGGACTTGATGGGTGAAGGTCTTAACCGCACTCCTGACGGTTTCCTGTTGTCGATGTCTTCAGAGTCGAACAGGAAAGACTCTGCAAAGTTGCCGGTCAGGATGACTCTGAGGGTTTCGTTTCAAAAGGTTGCTTTGCTTTCGAAAGGCTGTCTGCTCTTACCCTATCTATTTATTTCGTAAAATTCGCACAGTGCCGGATTGAAGAAAATAACACTCCCACCTCAAAGCGGTTTGCAAGCAGTTAGGGAAAAAGAGAGAGATGAAATTATCAATGGGAAAAACCAACCACAACAACAATTTAAGACAGTTAATAAAAAGTGTGTGTGTTGGGAGACCACAGTGAATTGCATTTTTTACTTTACTTGAACCCCCAATATGCCAGGGACTCATTGGGCCTGGGGGGGGGGTGAAACGTGTGTCCTTTGGGGGTCTTTTTCCTTCAGTTTATCCCCCCCCCTTCTAAACCACAGAAGGCTGGGTCTTGCTGAAAGTTCTGCAGCTTTTAATCTGTTGCTGCAGCTGATCAGTTTGCCAACATTTTAGAAACTTGATTAAAACACCCCCTCCCCATTAGTTGAAGGGGCTGAAGCCGAGTCAAGCTAGCATTTTAAAGGGGTGTGTGTGGTTTTACTGAAACCAGGGCCAGTCCATCTGTGACAATGGACCCTTCCCAAATACTGGAGGTTTTTTTGGAAGTAAGGCAAGTTCATATGTTTCCCTCTCAAAACCCGGCAACTGAATACACTGTTGACACACTTTTTTTGCTGGGCAAAATGTGTCCTGTTTCCCCTTTCCTAATATTATTTAAAAAGGCACCTTTTTGAGATGGTGCAATTAAAAGCTTCTCTCGCTTCCCACAACCAAAGAGATTTTTTAAAAAGGGTTCGGCTAGGTCTTTTTAACAAGTTGAAAGTCCCCTTTTGCACCTGCCCTGGGGGGGGGGCGGTTTCTAGCCTGGCAGCTGCAAGGCGGGTGAATGGGGATCGGAGACAGATGGTTGAAACTCCACCCGCCCCCTTTATTGAAGCAGGGAACATCTGCCTGGATTTCTGAGCCGCAGCCTCTTGGTCTTTTGAGAGAAAAGCTTGCATTCCTTGGGAGTGTCCAGTTGAAGGACCTTAAATACTTCTCTCCTCTTCTGCCTCCTCTTGCATTCATTCATCTTCAAAGGTTTTGGGAGATGCAACAGGCGCCCCTCTTGAAACGGGGCTGCCTCAAGGAGGCCTTTTGTACTTGGGGGACAGACGCAAAGGGGGATCTGCTAGGCTGCGACTAGGCTGTGTGCAGGTTGAAAGGGGGGGGGGGAATGGCAGGAAAGCCTTGGAGAGCCCCCCCTGCGTCTAGGTGGCTTGTGAGAAGTGGCCTTCCATTGGGGGGAGGTTAGCTGTGTTCCCTTCCTATTAGTGTTTCCATTTTCTGTATTTATAGCCCAGCTTTTCCTCCCAGGAGCTCAAGGTGGAATCCATGCTTTGCCCCCTTTGTTTAACTGCCCCGATACAACATCCCTGCGAGGAGGCTAGGCTGAGATAAGATAGCAATGGGGCCCCGAGGTCACACCTAGGAAGCTTCACAGCCGAGTGGTGGGATTTGAACCCATGCCCTTGTCTGGCACTGTAACCAATACATCGCACTGTCTCTTTTGTCTGCGGTGGGTGGAGATTGCCTTTGTGAAGAGCCTGCAGCGAGGGGTTGGGTGGGCTTTGAATCCTTTTTCCTTTTGGTTGGGACCTGCGGGTTGTGAGCCCAGCCCGGACAGGTGTGCCTGGATGCGCAGTGACTTGTGTGCAGTGACTCTAGAGCAGGCTTCCTAAACCTCGGCCCTCCAGATGGGACTACAACTCCCATCATCCCTAGCTAGCAGGACCAGTGGACAGGGATAATGGGAACTGTAGTCTCAAAACATCTGGAGGGCCGAGGTTGAGGAAGCCTGATCTAGGGCAACTCTGTGCGATTACGCAGCAAGCCAGCCCTGGACCACTGCACAGTGGTCTCCTCACTGGCCCAAAGAGGACTAATTTAGCCAGCTAGCCCTGGTGATCATCTAATGTTTATTGGATGGATTTCCCCCCTAAATTGATTTTGAATTCTTGATTTATTGTTATTCGCGTTTTATACTGTATTTTATGCTGATTTTCGTTGCATCAATTAAGTGTTTTAAATTTGTTGATACCCACCCTGAGCCCGGTTTTCTGAACCGGGAATGGCGGGGTATAAATAAAATTTTATTATTTACTATTGTGCTCGGATCCTGCTTGCCAGTTTTCACAGGCAACTGGTCGGCCGCTGTGTGACTGGACCAGATGGGCCACTGGCCCTGATCCAGCCATCTTTGCCATCCTTATAAGTGATCTGCGGTGCGTGGCTTGCTGCATCTTCTGTTGCGCAGCCCTGGCTGAATTAAGCCAAACCTAACAGCAGAGGGGAATAACCTTGCTTGGAAGGCTGGCGATGGGCGTGCGTGTTCAGCAATAGCTGGGGGCAGATGGCACCCGAGAGGGTCCCCACCCTGATTCGCAGCAGCAGCACCCGCTGCCATGGGAATGCCCTTGTTCTCCCCACGCCTCCATGCAGAAAGGGATCTTTCCAGGGGATCCTTGAACCAAGGCCCCCTCCCTCCTTGCCCAAAGCTGGCAGCAGCTGGCAGCCGCTTTCATGTCTCCACAAAGACCACCCTGCAACCGCCGGGCCACGCTTATTAACTCTTGAATGGCCACAGCGCAAGGGGGCCCAGCTCAGGGCAGCTGGGAAACGGTGTGTGTGTGTGAAACCACTGCACAGCGGGAGACAGGAATGGCTGAACATGGTATGGCTATAGAGGAGCGGGATCTGAACTCGGCACAAAAAAGCAAGACGTTGGGCAACTGTGCTTTTAGTTTCTGAAGTTCAGAGTTGAAAAATAATTGAAAAAGAAAAATGCGTAGCTTTGGTCAGCTGATAGCCTTCCTTGGTGAATTGCTTGATTTAGAGAGCAGGCGAGGAAGAGGCGAGGCGGCAGAAGTTTGCAACTGGGGAGAAAGAGGGTGGGGGAAAGTTTTCTTCCCTCTTCGCCTAACGTCTGAGGCAGCTGCATGTTGGGAGATTCGGGATAGATAGAACAAAGTCCATCTTCACGCAGCACATGGTTAGACTGCGGAACTCCCTGCCACTAAACTGGATGGCTTTAGAAGTGGATTAGGAAAAGGAGGAGAGGGTTATGGCCGCAATGGCTCTGCTCTGCTTCCGCAGTCGCTCCTGAATCCCACTTGCTGGAAACCACAACAAGTGGGAGCGCTGCTCTTGTGTTCGAATCCCGCTGTGTGGATTTCCCTTTGGGGCACCTGGGTCCTGGCCATTGTGGACTAGCCGGGCCTGATCCAGGAAGGCTCTTTTGATGGTCTTTAGTTGTGTGCCTTCTTTATGAATGGGAGGATTTCTGCCTCCCTCTCTGCTTTTGGGGCAACGCAGCCCGGATTAGGGTGTAGCTGGCCCTGATTCGCGCCCACACCCTTGGGAGGCTGTTGGCCTCTCCCAGTCAGGGACTCTCGCAGCAACGCATTGGGGGCGCCCCTTGACACTGAGCGAAACATGCATGATTTTCCTGTCTTCATCCAACAGGTTTGAGAGGAACATGTTCGGGTCTCAGAGAGTCTTCAGAAAGTAAGTTCTTTACATCCTACAGTGGCACAATGACCCAGGAAAGCCCCATGACTCTTTCTCTCCCTCCCCCTTTCTCCTTTGAGATGCTCTCAAGCCCCCATCCTTGAGGGCTTCACCCCACCCACTCCTGTCTTGCTTAAGAAACCATCTGCTACCTTCTGCACGTCGCCTGAGCACGCCAAGACTTGCAGACGCTAATAATATTTCAGGGTTTATTATCTCCAGGTTCCTGGGGCTGGTGGGTGGGCTTTTTTCCTGTCTCCGCGCATTATTGTTATTATTATTGGCAAGGCTCCCATTATGGCGCTGGGGAGATTGAACTAACTAGGTCGCCTATGCATGCAGCAGAATCAAGCGGCAAGGTTTTCCTGGTCTGCATGCAGGAAGCTGCCTTGTACTGTCTTAACTCAGTATTGCCTCCACTGATTGATAGCTGTTTATCTGCAGGTTTTCATAGAGGTCAGTCCTGCCTGGATCTGCCCTTTGGGATTGTTGGGGTGTTGTTGAGAGGCTGCAAATGTCCCTTGTGGAAATTGCTATTGCATGTGAAGGAGAATTTACCAAGCGGGACTCACAGCTGTTCATTTGACATTCTGCCTTTGCACACCCAGAAAGTGTGCTTCGGGGTTGGACTAGATGACCCTTGGTGTCTCTTCCACAATCCTACAGTTTTATGATTCTCTGAATCATAAGACGTGGTCTCTTGCCTGCAGCTAGAGGCGGGACAGTCAGGAGAAAGCTTTTCTGTCTGGGAGTCCTCTGAAAGTATCAGCCAGTCCTTCGATTTGGCAGAACCCGAGCAAATATCTATTTATCCCGTTCCAGATAGGAATATCTTTTTATGGAACATTGCAAAGTGATTTGAGAATAGAACATCCATGATAAACACAGCAGTTTCATATGTAAAAAACAACTTTTGAAACCTTCCTAAATAGATTCAGAGTAGGATAAAAATCTCCAGTGGGAGAGAGTTCCAAAGTCTGCAGCTGACGATGATTTCCCTCTTTTTTTCCTTGCAGTGATTATCTTCCCATCAGAAGAATCCAGTCTTTGCCGGTAAGTTTACCAGCTGTTTTTTTAAACCAGGAAGCTTCGCTTGGTGCCTCCTCATCTTGAGAAGTGGGGACTGAAATATTCTGTACATGCTCAGGAGCAAGGGAGTCTTTGTGCAGCTAGGCTGAGCCCTAATCTTTCAAAATAATAATAATAATAATAATAATAATAATAAATTATACCCCGCCCTTCTGGCTGGGTTTCCCCAGCCACTCTGGGCGGCTCCCAACAGAATATTAAAAACATAATACAGCATTAAACGTTAAAAACTTCACTAAACAGGGGTGCCTTCCGATGTCTTCTAAAAGTCAGATAGTTGTTTATTTCCTAGACATCTGATGGGAAGGCATTCCACAGGGCGGGTGCCACCACCGAGAAGGCCCTCTGCCTGGTTTCCTGTAACCTCAGATTGAGAGAACTGCCAGAAGGCCCTCGGAGCTGGATCTCGGTGTCCGGGTAGAACGATGGAGACGCTTGTCCTGTGGGGTTGCCCATGAGAATCTAAACCTGAGTGCAAAACTCATCCTCCTTGACTTGTGGCTTGGCAGGTGCAGTTTCTGGGTTCGAGTCCCACGCTGAGGAACATTTCCAACTGCAAGGAATTCAACAGCTCACTGGCGGCCGAGACGGACTCTGGCCTCCAAGGCAATGGCGGAAATGTAAGTGGTGAGAACTGTGCCTTCCTGGTGCAGCCCCCTAACGCCCCCTCTCCGCCCACTGTGCAGCGCTGCTGAATGGGCGACCTCCTCGCGTCCTTCCGAAAGTTGCAGTGCATCTCTGCTTCCTCCCCCTGCAGGAAGGCGCCATCTTCAAGAAGCCCCTGCGACCCGCGGGCAGGTTGTGCCTCTCCGGTGGTGGGGCTGGCAAGAAGGACCCCTTTGCACAGAGGCCAAACTCTGCTCCAGACCTCATGGTGAGTGCTTCTTTTGCAAGAGCAATACTCTCTGATTTATTTGCTTTTCTGCAGTTTTTGGTCGCCTCTCGTTTCCCAGGTCCCAATTCATGGCGTTAAATCCAAGATGGATTTTTGGTTCTCAGCCGGATGATAACTGTGCCTGTGACTCTTAGCTTAGGTTAGATTCAGACATGCACAGTCCCAGCAGTTGCTGCGTTTTGGGAGAACATTTGCCATGTTGAGCATTGCACTCAATTCTTCTTCAAGAATTGGTGGGGGGAGAAAACAGCTTTTGTTGCAGAAGTGGCAAGCATAGAAACCCCCCAGGTTTTTTTCCCTTTTGCAGCCAATTGATAATTGCCAATTAAAGTCACATAGCTGGGTTTAAGCAGGTCTTAGTCTAGACAGACCCCGGGTGGGATATCTCCTGGAATTCCTGTTACATCCTGCTGCCATTGTTCTACGTTTGATGAAGAACAGGATATGCCCATAATAAAATAGACAAGGTGGAGGGGCAAGGTGCTTTGAAACAAATACACAACGGTGGCTTTTTTTCAGCCCCCTCCCATTTCATGTCTTTCACTGTTGCATGTTTTCCTTCTCCCTCCTGTCCCTTTTTCCTCTTGTGACATGCCTTTTTAAGATTGCAAACCCAAGAGTAATGCTACTGAATTTATGATTGTTGTTCTTATTTTAAAAAGCCACTCTGGGAGCCATCTCGTAGGGCATAAAGGATTTTAATAAATGCAAAATGTCTTGATGGTTCTGTGTTCCTTGCCCCTTTCAGTATTCGAGCCCAGAGAAAGAGAACAGGAGCCCAGGATCTGATAGCCATGTCTACCTCCGCCGCTCGTCCTTGACCTCCTTCATGGTTGACGAAGATAATGATGATGATGGGTTTTTGGAAATCCTGGATGAGGAAGACCTGAAGGTAAGGCTTTTAAGATCCTATCTTGCATCAAAGAAAGCAAAATTCTGTCTGCTTGAACTGCAATCCCAAGCAAGGCCGACTTGGGAGTAGGTTTCAGTGGTGCAAATTCCTAGAGAAACCTGGTTGGCGTTGCAATTTAACCTTCACAGCTCACTCTGCAAACCTCAGCCTGTACCGCCATTTCCGCTGCTGTTTTTTGATGTCTGTGTGCAAACTGCTGTTTTTTGTTGAGTTTTCTCCAAAGTCACAAAATTAATTAGACTTGTAGTTGTCTGCTTGTTAGGCGTATAGAAAGGGAAGAGCTGTGCTAAACACAGCTGGCCGATTTTTGAACTTGTCTTTGTGACCTGGATAGAAAATATACTATCAGTATTGAGGTTTTCTCTGAATTCTGTGTGGAGTTTGTCATTGCTTGCAGCTCGGACTCAACAGAAGGCAGTTTTTTGTAGAATTTCTACAAAATTTTGTAGAATTTTGTAGAAGTCCCAAGGGAACAGCGCTGTGGGTCTGTAAGGACCGCCTTTTTGTATGACATTCCTATTCCAACCTTCCTCCGAGGAAGGCTATGGTGGCATCCCTAGCTCCATTTCATCCTTGCAACAACCATGTCAGGCAGGCTAGGCAGAGAGATGTCAGCTGGCTGAAGAATCGCCCTGGTGAGCTTCATGGCTTAAGAGGAATCGAACCCTGGTCTCCCAGGCTCTGAAACCACAAGTAAAGAATCCTTGGCAGATCTCTTGTAACTTGATCCAGTAGCGTCACTACATATGGCAGATTCGTATATACAGATAAGAGTACTGTCCTGTGTTGTATGCGGGGCAGCCATCAAAAAATGGCCCAGAAATCAGCTAGCACAAGCTTTAAAAATCGGCTGCTTTGATTTATTGGCTTTGTTTTTAAATTCCTTTACTTTGGCTGTCTTTCTTCTGATGTGTTTTGAGCCTGCCTGTTTGTTAGATTTAGCCACTTTCTCCTTTCGTATCGCTGTTGGGTTTTCTTTGGGGTTCCCCTGCCCTCTTCTTTCCCATTGCACAAACCCCCAGCCTGGGGTGGGGGTCTCCTGAGCCAGCCCCGCTTCAATAAATGGGTCCTACCTTCCCTCCTCCAGGGCGATGGAAATTTCCCGTTGGGTATGGAGAACTTGCTAATGGCCCCTCTGGTGAGGAAGGAAGATGAGTCCAGCCTGGTACGTGACAGTGCCGTGTTAACACCCTTTGTTTGTCCCCTGTCCCCCCCCTCCAAAAAAGAATTTGTTCTGTGGGTGACCAAGGTCTTGGTACTGGTGTTGATGTGGCATTTTAAGGAAGAGAAACTTCAGCTTGAGGGCAGGCCTTCCTTCTCCCTCGTTCTTTCCTCTCCTGAGATCCCCATCTCCTTCCCCAGTGGGGAGTGGTGGTGGGACGACAACGGGTGGTAAGAGCGGGAGGACTGGGAAGAAGATGTGTTGGAAGATCAAGAGGCAACAGGGCTCAGTGAGCAGGGAGAGACTGGGGAAGAGAGCAGTCCAGAATTGGAGGCAGAAGCAGGAGAGAGGTAGAGATGAATCTCCAAGAACCAGGAGAGGCGTGAAGAGGGCGGAGGAGAGGTTTAGCTACAGGTAGGCACAGTCTCCGATTGCCTGGGGGAAACCCTGGAGAGGAGGGGACTTAGGCAGCTGTGGGGAATCAGGGACCTTCAGTCTCAGCAACTGCTTCATGGGGGAAGACCTACCGGAGATGAGTTGCTGTCCTCATTAGGCCTGAAACTTGTGCAGATAGTGTGTGTGTTTTTTTGCTAATAAGAAGTTTTTGCAGTGGGGTGTTTGGGAGCGGGCCGCTCACTTCTGGAGCTTCTTGCAAACTGCTCTGGATATGCTAGGGCCGGATGGCCGCCTGGCCTTCCAGCTACTTGCTGAGATTGAAACTGTCTGCATGTTAGACTGTTTCAGTGACTCCTGTGTCCTGGCAGGGGCTGATGGGAGTTGTAGTTCGAAGCCTCTGGAGGTTGCCAGGTCGGCAAAGCCTTGCCCCACATTTGTGAGGGAAAAGTCAAGTTGATTCAAGTCTTCCCCATGTGGAACTTGATTCTTTCCCCCCCAATTTTTTAAAATTAATTTTCAATGTGGAACTTTGATTCTTGCTAAGAAACAGCGGTGGAGAATTTCTAGAATCGTTGTGTTGGAAGGGTCCTGAAGGTCATCCATTCCAGCCCCCTGCAATGCAGGAAAACGCTTTGTCTTGGACCTTTCCTCCTGACCCCGTGGTATTTCCACAAACAGTATATTTTTCGAGGCCATGTGAAATGGCTTTGTCTTTGTTGCGTTTTTAAAAGTCTATATACCGTGTTTTTCGCTTTATAGGGCGCACCCGACCATAGGGCGCACCTTGTTTTAGAGGGGGAGAACAAGAAAAAAAATTCTCCCCCTCTCTGCGCAGCGCCCCTTCAGCGAAGCGGGAGGAGAAATGGAAGGGGCTCCATTTCTCCTGCCGCTTCGCTGAAGGGGCGCTGCGCAGAGAGGGGGAGAATTTTTTTTCTTGTTCTCCCCCTCTAAAACAAGGTGCGTTCAGTCGCCTTCAGTGAAGGCAACACGAAGCCTCCGGAGCGCAGAAGGAGTTCCCGCTGTGCTCCGGAGGCTTCGGGTTCCTTTCGACCTGCTCTTTGGGGCTGGCAGGGGGAAGCCCGGCTTTCCCCCACCGCCAGCCCCAAAGAGCAGGTCGGGGAGCAGCGGAAAGGCTGTGCGCAGCCTTCCCGCTGCTCCCAGAGCTTGTCAGGGCTGGCGGGGAAAGCCCGGGTCCCCCCCCCCCCAGCCCCAGGGACCACACATTCGTCCATAAGATGCATAAACATTTCCCCTTAGATTTTAAGAGGAAAAAAGTGCGTCTTATGGAGTGAAAAATACGGTAAATAAAAAGTACCATGCCAAGGTCTATCTCTCTTTCATGCAGTATTGGAGTCTCATGATATCCCTCTTTCTCCCCCAAACTGGAGCAGAGCCCCCTGGGATCCGGCAAATGCCGCCGTCTGTTCCGCTCCCCGTCCATGCCCAGCGCCGTCATCCGGCCCATCCTGAAGCGGCTGGACCGGCCCCAGGACAAAGAGACGCCGGTGAAAAACAAGAGGCGGAAGAGTCTGGCTGGCGGCGCCATTGAAGAGAAGGAAGAAGAGCCGGTAATTCATGCAACAAAGGCTGCATCACAAGGACGTGGGAAGAGGGAGGGTTGGAGGCGGCAATAAAGGGAATGGGGCCTTTTTAGGGGTGGCTCCCTGCTTGTGGAATGCTCTCCCCATCTGACACCATCGTTGCATATCTTTAGGCGCCAGGCAAAAACGTTCCTCATTCACCAGGCTTTTGTCTTTGAACAATCTGTGGCCTTTTTGCAGGAATATTTTAATGTAGTTAAAACATTCAGATTTTTCTTGTTGACGTGTGTGTTTTGCTTAAGATGTTGGAGGTTGCTTCAAATTACTGCAGCAAAAAAAAGCAACTAATGAATTTAAATAATACATTTCGGGGGAGGCAGGCTGCTGATGTGAAGGCTTGTTGTTGTTTAGCCTTCCAAGTCCTAGGGCGCCTTCTGGCCCGGTCTTTTAAGATGGGTTGCCACGTATTTCTTGTGAGGTATTGCTCAATTTCTGGGGGCTGCATCAGAAGAAAGGGGTAGCAGCGGCTTTTTGTATGCTTATTGTGGGTTTGTTTATTTCATTTTGCAAGATTTGTATAGCGCTTGACTGCAACGAAAGTTTCAAAGCAGAATATAGTGATAACATTATCAGTTGTTATTTAAAAAGCAAACACCTGGGAGGAGATTCTGATGTAGCTTCTGCCCAAATGACTTGCTTGAGCCCATTGCTGGCGCCCAGGAAGGAGTCTTTGCCGGTTTTAGTGGGAGAAAGTTCTCACTTCTGGGTGTCAGTGATCTACAACTCCCACCATGCTTTGCCATGCTTGCTGGGGCTGATGGGAGTCGCAGTCCACCAGCGCCGTACAGGGCCAATGGTTCCCTGCTCCTGATCTCGGATGCTTACTGGGTTTGGCATCATGGACGTGCCCACACAGACCCCCTAACAGTCCTTCTCGTCTGCTTTCCCTAGAAACCTCGGCTGGTTCGCTCTCGCTCCTGCTGCCCCAGCGAGATCGCAAACATCTTGGACAATGACCACCGAGAGCTGATCGGAGACTTCTCGAAGGTACTGGCAAGAATCCCTGCAAACCGTGTTAGGTTATGCAATGCTATGCGCGTACTGCCTTTTGGCCAAAAAAGACTGCTCGCAGTACCAGTGCAAACACAAAACAATGCAAAATTGAATGAAATTGTAGCCTTTCAGAAGGACTAAAATGCATTTGTTTCCCTGCTAGGCTTACGTTTTGCAAACGGTGGAAGGGAAGCACCAGGACCTCAAGTACATCTCTCCAGAAATGGTGAGCAAGTTTGGAATCCAATATCCTGGGATGCTTCTATCTCTATCGCACAAGGGACCTGTAGCTTTGCTTTCCGCAGCTGTTGGGGCCACCACCTTGAAGACCTGGTCATACAGCCTTGCTTTACCCATGGATCTTGTGCCCCAATGCAACTGTTCAAAAATGCTAGACTGGGGGAAGGAGAGCTGGGAGGAAATTTGCATCTAGAAACCGATGCGTCCCGGTTCTGACCAAACTCTGCCTCCTAGAGCAAAATATACAGTAGGAGTTTGGTCAGAACTGAGTCTACACTTCCAGTTAACACTAAAAGCATTACTTCTGGAACATGAGCCACCATAGTCGCTAGAGGGCCATTAAAATTTGGGCTTTTTAGACTCCTACCAAATCCTACCTATCAATTTGATTTTTGATTTCATTGTTACGTTTTATACTGTATTTTATGCTGTTTTTTGTAGCATCAATTAAAGTGTTTTAAATTTGTTGTTAGCAGCCCTGAGCCTGGTTTTCTGAACCGGGAAGGGCAGGGTATAAATAAACATTATTATTATTATTAGAGGATATATTTAAAGTAGATAATTAAATGAGTAAATTAAATGAATTTGGATATGCAGAAGATGATAAATTTAAGGGACCGCAGAAAGAGGGGGAAGGAAGTTGAACTTTGAAATGTTAAAATGATTATATAATAATAATAATAATAATAATAATAATAATAATAATAATAATTTATTATTTATACCCCGCCCATCTGGCTGAGTTTCCCCAGCCACTCTGGGCGGCTCCCAATCGTTAAAAACAGTACAGCATTAAATATTAAAAACATCCCTGAACAGGGCTGCCTAATGAAGAACTAATGAAATGTATAAACATGAAAAGTACAGTGGTACCTCGGGTTAAGTACTTAATTCGTTCCGGAGGTCCGTTCTTAACCTGAAACTGTTCTTAACCTGAAGTGCCACTTTAGCTAATGGGGCCTCCTGCCGCCGCCGCACCGCCAGAGCACGATTTCTGTTCTCATCCTGAAGCAAAGTTCTTAACCTGAAGCACTATTTCTGGGTTAGCGAAGTGTGTAACCTGAAGTGTATGTAACCTGAAGCATATGTAACCTGAAGTACCACTGTATAAATAAAAACATAATAATAATAATAATAATAATAATAATAATAATAATAAAGTCTGGCACCAGTGACCTCTTCCAGGCTGCACTCCCAGGATGGCAGCAAGCAGTGCTTAAAGTCTCTGGTGCAAAATAATACAAGTGATTCTGCGTATGGCTTATTTTTTACTGTTGTCCTTTGCCCCCAGATGGCGGCTGTTCTGACGGGCCAGTTCAGCAACCTCATCGAGAACTGTGTGATCGTGGACTGCAGATACCCCTATGAATACGAAGGAGGCCACATCAAGGTGAGCACTCTGCCTGCTTGAGGTCTCTGGGTTCGAGGAACCTCCCCTGTCCCAAGCGCAGCTCAAGGGGCTGAGGGATCGCCCTGCCAGAGTCCTGCCCGGCTCGGGACCCTCCTGCTGCCAATAAAACAACGTCCGTCTCAGGCTGGAGGATTGTACAGTACACAGGACACCAGCGTCTACATTTTTGTAGTATTTTAGTTGGGTCGTGTTGCCAATGGGAGCTGGTTGCTCCTTCCATACGACGCCCCACCTCTGGAAACCCCAATACGTGGTGCTGTTCCCAGTGGGGGCATTTGTGGGGTGGGGGCAACCCCTCAAAAGCCAAACTAAGCTTGTTTTTAAAAAAGAGAATAAGCCCAGTATGCCTCCTGAGAATTACTTCTGACCCCTGAGGTTCGTGGCCCCATCCCTTTGTGTAATTTTGGAGGTGGAAGGGGACACCAGGGGTCATCTACTCCAACCCCCTTCACTCCCCATGACCAACTTTGGAGGGAAAACAAAACCTTGCATCATTTTTCTCGCTTATCAAATTGTGTTTTCCTCCCTGTATCCTCAGTGTTTTGTAAACTGTATATTGATGGATGCTTTTTTAAAAAAATAAATCAGTGGTGGCCCTTGCATTTGGTGTTCGTGTTTGACGTGCAAAAAGGCTTTCTTTTGCTCTGGCAAACCCCTCCTGTGAGGTAGGCTATTCCTGTTGCCTGCAGAGCCCGTCTTCCAGGCTACCAGAGGAGGTCTGGGAAGTGGTGACCTTTCAACACCCCTTGTCCCCCAGATCAATGTCCAGCTCTTCAGCTGCTGGCTTCCTAAAACTGAACCGCATTTCAACAACAACAACAACAATTTTTTTATTATTTGTACCCTGCTCATCTGGCTGGGTTTCCCCAGCCACTCTGGGGCGGCTTCCAACAAAGATTAAAAATACATTAAAATGTCACACAATAAACACTTCCCTGAACAGGGCTGCCTTCAGATGTCTTCTCAAAGTCAGATACTTGTTTTTCTCTTTGACATCTGGTGGGAGGGCGTTCCACAGGGCGGGCGCCACCACCGAGAAGGCCCTCTGCCTGGTTCCCTGTAATTTGGCTTCTCTTAGGGAGGGAACGCCAGAAGGCCCTCAGAGCTGGACCTCAGCGTCTGGGCAGAATGATGGGGGTGGAGACACTCCTTCAGTTCATTTCATTTCAAGTTCAAGAGTCCTGGCAAAGCACAAAACCCATGCCCCTATAGAACTCTACTCCTAGCCGAGGGCTTGTTGACATCTTCCTATCCTGGGGGGTTGGACTGGATAGCCACTGGGGGGTCCCTTCCAACTCTGATTCTACAAAATCAGAAAGTATCACGCTAGAGACTTAGCATTGAGTGGAAGTGAGAGTCTTCGGCGGGAAGTCTGAGTCTTGCTCACCTACAGAAATCTTTGTTCTCTCAAGATCAATTCCCATATTTCAATAAGCTTCGTATTTTGTCGCATACCTGCACTTAAAAGTGTGTTTGCGCACCGGGTGTGGAAGGGAGGGAATTGGTGATGCTTTTTGCTATGGGTCTGTTTGATGGATCCTGTCCTGACCCTGCCTTTCTCTTCAGGGCGCTGTGAACCTTCCTCTCGAAAAGGATGTGGAAGAGTTCCTTCTCAAGAAGCCCATCGTGCCGTGTGACCCGGCAAAGAGGGTGATCGTTGTTTTCCACTGCGAGTTCTCCTCCGAGAGAGGACCCAGAACGTGAGTAGCTTCTGCTGCCTCCTCTCCTGAACACCAGCCACTCCCAGTTTTTCTGAAATAGGTGTTTTCAGATTTCTGTTTCCTTGAGGACTAGGGGCTTGAAGTGGAAATATCATCATCATCATCATCATCATCATCATCATATTTTTATTTATACCCAGCCCTCAGGGCGGCTAACACCAATAAAATCACAGTAAAAACATAATAGGGGGAAAAGGGGGGGGGTGGAGAAAAGAAAAAAACCCAATTTAAAATACAGGTTAAAATGCAATTTAAAATGCAGCGCAGCCTCATTTTATAATAGCTGATAAATCAAGACCTTAAGGGGAGGGAAGCATAAGGGTCAGACTGAGTCCAAACCAAAGGCCAGGCGGAGCAGCTCTGTCTTGTAGGCCCTGCGGAAAGATGTCAAGTCCCGCAGGGCCCTGGTCTCTTGTGGCAGAGCGTTCCACCAAGTCGGAGCCATTACTGAAAAGGCCCTGGCCCTAGTGGAGACCAATCTGACCACCATGCGACTTGGGACCTCCAAAGTGTTGTTATTTGTGGACCTTAAGGTCCTCCGCGGGGCATACCAGGAGAGGCGGTCCCGTAGGTACGTGGGTCCTAGGCTGCATAGGGCTTTAAAGGTCAAAACCAGCACCTTAAACCTGACCCTGTACTTTTAGTCCTTTGATGCCCAGAACAGCAAGAAAACCGTATGTGTGTGCGTGCGTTTGTGTGTACCTGCATCTCCGTATTTAAGATTATGTGTGTTAACAATTTGCGCTCTCCTCCATAGGTGCCGTTTTGTCAGGGAAAAAGACCGGGCCAGCAACGATTACCCTTCCCTGCACTATCCTGAGCTGTACGTCTTGAAAGGAGGCTATAAAGAATTCTTCCCACAATATCAAGTGAGTTTTTTGCGATGGGCTTAGACAAGCTGGAAGGTGTGCAGAGGAGGGCAACCAAAATGATAAAAGGCTCATATATATATGAGACCTAAAAATTCTTATAACAGTAGCAACCCCCAAAATAAACTAAGCACTGTTTGTTCTCTCCCTCCACAAACCAGATGCACTGTGAACCCCAGAACTACCGCCCGATGCACCACAAAGACTTCAAAGAAGACCTTCGCAATTTTCGCCTGAAGAGCCGCACATGGGCTGGGGAGAAAAGCAAGCGAGAGCTATACAGCCGCCTCAAGAACTTCTAAGGCGGGGAGGGAGTGGTTGGGAAGGGGGGGATATTTAGGGAGAGGGGCTGCTGCTGCGGGAATTAAGGAGCCAGCCGTTTTTTCCTCACACACTTAATTCAGGGTGGATTTGTGCAGCGCGGGAAAAACAATCGACGTTTCTTTTTCCCCCACTGACTGTGCTCATTTGGAGACTTCAGATTCTGGGATTTTTTGGGGGGTGGGGGAAGTCGCAACTGCTTGTCTAAACAGCAACTCCAGCAATAGCGATACCTCTGGATTCAGCGGGCTGGAACCTGCCTCAGATGCTGTGAATCTCCCTCTGCCGGCTTGGGTCTTTTTCTCTCTCTCCGACCCCGGAGATGTGCTTCTATCACCGGCTTCTGAACCTTTTCTCCGGGAGAACTTGAGGGAGAATCTCCTGCACCCTCCGGCTCGTGACACCGCCTCCCTTCAAGAGGGGGGGAAACTAGGCAGCTATTGGGAAACGTCCACTATAGGGGCAACGAGGAATCTTGCCCCACAAACTACATAGGAAGCGACATTGAGGTTGTGCAAGGTGTGTTGTGCATGAGCCCCATCAAAGGGCCTGTCCGCTTCAAGGCGAGGATTTCGGAGGACAAAATGCACCCGGGAAGCAAGTCTTTTCCTCTCTCCTACCCCAGGACTACCATTGAAAAGAAACGCAGTAAGCCAGTCTGTGCTCCTGGCTGGGGAATCTGCCTCCCACCTCTAGTTCATCCACCCCAAAGTGTGGGCGCAAAGGTTTATCAGCTCTGTCCATAACGAAAGCTTCTTTCCAGTTGCACACCGCAAAGGACCGGGGGGCAGATGTGGGGAGAAAGCACTTAGAAGGAACTCTTTAGTTTGCACAGATTCCCACGTTCTGTGTTTTTGCAATGTTGAAATCGGAAAGTAGAACAACTTGCTGGGTTTTTTTTTTTTATGAAGTTGTGGGATATATCACTCCTATCAGGCTCTTCTGAACACCTTTTTATGTTTAATTCAGATGCAGAAGACTGTAGATTTTGCGTGTGTTTTTTTAAAAAATTGGGGAGTGCTTTTAATTTTTTGCTTTTACCGCAAACCCATTCTACCAATCCTCTTTATTTCCACCGCATGTGGCAGATGCATGGAAAACAGAGGTGTACCTTTTAAATTTGGATGCAGTTTATTTATAGTGAGCCCAGGATGGTGGGCAGAGATGTCACAGAAGTTCTGAGCGGAAGGGAAACATTTTGAAGAAAAAAAGACTGCATTTTATTATTTGGGGGACTGTCCTCTACGAAAAGCCCCCAGCTCCCCCCAAAAAACCTGCCAGTATCTGGGTGACAAGGAGTCTAATGGGCTTCAATATTAGGAATTTTAGCAGTACTTGGCACTTGGAACTATCTCCCTGCCCTGGAAACCCCACCCTAGAGCTCTGAAGAAACGTCTTGTAGCTTGACTATTTTTGGGATTGGGGAGAGGAAGAGCCCTCTACCTGAATGCTGTATGTTTCCGTCTAGAGAAAAAGGACTTTCCGTTAACTGATTTGTAGCGTGAGAGGCCAGGCCTTTGCTCATTGGTCAGGCTTAGATCTGTGGTGTTTTGTGCGTGCCACCAAATTGTTGGAGACTCTAGACTTCGAACTGTTTACTGCCCGTTGGTGGCTTCCAACTTGTGTGCGTGTTGCACTTGTCTCTTAATAAACCACCTCCACATCACTGTGATAAGCCCTGCAGCCATTGCTAACCAGATGCCATGGGACTACAACACCCATCATGCACCTTGTCTGGCTGGGGCTGATGGGTACTGTATTCCCAAACACCTGGAATGGTGCGCGTTCCACTGCCAAGGTTGACCAACCTAATTCTGGACGCGGCTCGGACCCGGTTGCTGTGTCTCCCGCGTCTTCACGGTGGCGCTTAATCTCTGCAAGTTGGGAGCCATCGCTTCTACTGTGAATCCTGCATCCCTGACTCCCCTCCTGGGTTGCAGGGAACCGGGGAATTGGGGCCCTCCACCTCGCGCTTGAAGTTCCTGCTGAGACCCTGCTCTGATGCAGAAGAAAGGCCCTATTTGTGTGTTTGTATATATATCTATTTATGCTCATGGTTCATGATCCTGAAGCCCACACTTGGGTTTTCTCTGCATCGGGGTGACCATCTGTAAAACTCTTGAATCCGGTTTGCCAGTGTGTATTAAACTTGTGTTTTCACCTGAGGGGGGAGAGGGGCTCCCGGATATCGCAAGAATGATGATTGTTTGCTTTGTACACCCAGTGTGTGCTCTCTGCACCCCTTGACATTTCTTCCATTGGAAAAAGGAAAAACGCTCTTTTTTTGTCCCTTCGCCCCACCCCTAACGCTGTCGTGTGTAATCAGGGAGTGAATAAACTGCGAAGCTGTTTCAGAAAAAGTCTCAAATGCTGGTCTTTGTGCAGGGCTTTCCTGGCGAGCTGCGAAGCGGGAGATTCACAGAATCGCAGAACGGCAGAGTTGGGAGGGATCCCAAGGCCATCTAGTCCAGCCCCCTGCAATGCAGGAATCACAGCTAATCACATGATTTCCCCCTCTATTGTGTGAATGCGACTTGACTGGGGTTGGTGATTTGTCCACAGGACTAGTGCTTGCTTTCTTTTGGGGGGGGGAAGTAGGGGTACGCATACCCCTAAACATTTATTGGGGGCCAGTATTTCAATATGAATAGGAAAATGAGAGTACCCCTAAACATTTTTCTAGGAAAAGAAGGGCTGTCAATTTATTTTTAATTTTTGCACCATCTGTCCCAAAAGTCTGCTCTACCCAGAAATTGCAGTTCTTTTGGTATTTTGCCATGGCGTCGGGTTTATTTGCTGTCCTGGTTTCTTAACACACTCAAGGGCTGTTTCCACTGCCCACATTGCTTAGAGTAGACCATGTAAGTTTATGTAGGACAGTCTCTTGCCTGGCCTGTCACCCCTCCACATCTCCCAAGGCATTTGGCCATACTGTGCCCTCTTATCTACTTTTGCTACTGCCACATTCAATTCATATGCCACCCCCACAAAAAATACCTGGCAGGGATAGGATGACTGTGTGGGGCTACCCCTCAAAGCTGTAGAAACACACACACACACCAGTGTGTGCAGGTGGGATCCTAGCTTTCCTCCTAGAAATGATAAAAACTTTCATGAGGACTAGGTACCAGAACCGTGGTATCAATGGGATTTGAATCTTCTAAGGCAGCGCTCTGCAAATAACATTTCTTTAGTCCAGTTCTGAGACCTCAGAGACATGAATAAGGGTTGCCAGGTTCAAATCAGCTTGGAGGAGGTGGCTCCTATAGGAATATTACAATATAGTAGTAATATGTTTTGCCTTGGTTGAATCTATAAATGTGGGAATAGAGGTTTAAGAGCAAATCCTGTGCATGTTTTGTTGTTTAGTCGTTTAGTCGTGTCTGACTCTTCGTGACCCCCTGGACCAGAGCACGCCAGGCACTCCTGTCTTCCACTGCCTCCCACAGTTTGGTCAAACTCATGCTGGTAGCTTCCAGAACACTGTCCCACCATCTCGTCCTCTGCCGTCCCCTTCTCCTTGTGCCCTCTATCTTTCCCAACATCAGGGTCTTTTCCAGGGAGTCTTCTCATGAGGTGGCCATTGGAGCCTCAGCTTCTGGATCTGTCCTTCCAGTGAGCACTCAGGGCTGATTTCCTTCAGAATGGAGAGGTTTGATCTTGTGCACGTTTACTTGGAGGTAAATCCAATCAAGCCCAGTGGAGCTTTCTCCCATATTAAATGCACAGGCTAGCAAGCCGTAAACCACCTGAAATGCAAGCTTGGCTTAGCTGGAGACTTTATTCAATCAAAATACAGAAGAATAGCTTGCAGAAGCTATCCTGTCCAAAGGCAGTGTGGTGCAGTGGTTAGAGTGTAGCACTAGGTCCTGGGAGACCAGGGTTCGAATCCCCACTTGCCCATGAAGCTCACTGAGTGGTCTCGGGCCAACCCACTGCCTCTTGGCTGCTCCTTCCACACAGGGTTTTTGTGGGAGACAACAATACCCATAGCTTTGGGGGGGGGGGTGAGCTATGAAGGCAATCAATAAGCCCCACTGAATTCGTGGTGGTTAGAAAAGGGGCTGTTGTTTTCCAAACAGCCTTCAAAATAAACTGCATTCACAGCAGATCCCAACTGGCAGCTCTCGGTTAACTTTTTAAACTTTAAAACCAGGGATTAAACGGCCTCTTTGTGTCACGTTGCCACTGCTGGCCTCCTTGGCACGCGCTTCCCTAACCTACAATTGACGGCTGCCAAAACGGGCAGAAGTTCACGTGGCTCACGTTTTTGGGAAGCGAAATGCCTCTACCCACCCAGAGCAGAACCACGTGCTGCTTTATCCAGATCAGTTCAAAAAGCCAAACCCTTCGCTTGCGCGATTCGCTGGCAGCATTTGGGGGGAAATCTGATGTGAGCTCTTCAAAAGTTGGGAAGCTGTCCCAACACATGCCTTGGAAGGGAGCCTTGGTCACGTCAACATTGAAAGTTTAAAATAAACCCTGGCAAGGCTGTGGAACTCCTCTCACTGCTCTAGCTAGCACAGCCTTCCCCAAAGCCGGTCAGAATGAAATTGCTAGCCCAGGTGTAAACCTCGTAGCTTCCGTCTGTCTGGAATAAGGCCTCGCTGTAGAAAGTTAAGGGCTATATCCATTGCTCCTCTCTCGCGTGAACCGTAGAATAGCGCATTTGGAAGGGACCCCCAAAGGACATCTAGTCTAACCCCCCAGCAATGCAGGAACCGCAACTGGAGAATCACTGACAGATGGCCCCCAAAACTGCTGCATGAGGCCCCTGGAAAGTTCTCCAGAAGGAAACTGGTCCTCAGACTGAGAAAAGTCTCCTGCCCTGGCTCTGACTTGTAGCTGACTTGGGGTATCAGGAGAAAGCAAATTGCTCATTATTTAATGTAAGGTAAAGGGACCCCTGACCATTAGGTCCAGTTGTGGCCGACTCTGGGGTTGTGGCGCTCATCTCACTTTATTGGCCGAGGGAGCCAGCGTACAGCTTCCGGGTCATGTGGCCAGCATGACTAAGCCGCTTCTGGCGAACCAGAGCAGCGCACGGAAACACTGTTTACCTTCCCGCCGGAGCGGTACCTATTTATCTACTTGCACTTTGACGTGCTTTTGAACTGCTAGGTGGGCAGGAGCAGGGACCGAGCAACGGCAGCTCACCCCGTCGTGGGGATTCGAACCGCCGACCTTCTGATCAGCAAGCCCTAGGCTCTATGGTTTAACCCACAGCGCCACCCGCATCCCTTTTTTATTTAATGTACTGCTGCTGTATTCTTCCTTTTTTTGCTTGGCCTCAGGCACCAAAATAACCTGAGTGGCCTTGGGCACCTTGACTGCTGGAGGGTGGAGATGCTGATTGCTTCTCTGCCTCAGGCCACCAAATGTCTTGGGCTCCCGCTCTGGTTTTGAAAGCCGACACTCCTTTTTGACACACCTGGTGCATGGGTCAGGATCCTGCCAGGCTTCTTCTGCTTAAAAATGTTAGATTGGTCCCTGCACCTAAATCGAAGAAGCCTTACGCAAGGGGTTTCACTCACCGCTTTTGTCTGGCTTAAATTTTGTTGGGCCTTTGCGAACCTGCGCCATTTGCAAAGAAAATAAATGCGCAAACAGTGGCATGTGCGATCTGACCGTCTCCCAAGCTGGCGCCCTCCTGGCGGGAGTTGCAGAAGGGCAAAGCGCTTGGAGGGCGCCAGGTGACAATCGGCCAACTTGTGCAACCTCTGAATGAGTAACACAGCTGCTTCTCAGACTGTTTGCATTTTAACACAAGAGATGCTTTTCCATTCATGAAAGGGAGGACTATGCCTGGAATGCAAGGCGTGTCTAGAGCTACCAACAGAGAAGGGTGTGGGGCCTTCTGGGCTTAAATGGAGGCCCCACCACCGACTTTGCCCCCACTGGTTTGGAGTCAGATGCATGTGTGGTCTATGCCCTGCCCAAGCCAAATGGTTAGGTATATGAGCTTGTCTCAGCAGACGTTTCCACATCACGTGCAAAGAAATCATTGTTTCCCGCTCCACACCTGAAATGGTTTGATTTGGAAATGGAAGTCAGGTTTCTTCCTGGGGAGGCGAAGGCATACAATGCCTGTGTGTCTCTGGGTGTGCATTTTTAAAGGTACACTTTGGAACCTAGGTGAATGGCAGCTAAGAGATGGAGGTTGAATCCTGACAAAAGGACTGTTTTGGGGGGACAGGGGGCGGGCAGGTGTGGAGCACTCCCTGGTCTGAATGGGGTAACTGTGCCCCTGTAGGACCTGGGAGTCATTTTGGAGGCGCAGGTCAATTCTGTGTCCAGGGCAACTGTCTACCAGCTCCATCTGGTATGCAGGATGAGACCCTCCCTGCCCGCTGTCTCGCCAGAGTGGTGCATGCTCTGGTTATCTCCCGCTTGGACTACTGCAATGCGCTCTATGTGGGGCTACCTTTGAAGGTGACCCGGAAACTACAACTAGAATGAGGCAGCTAGACTGGTGACTGGGAGTGACCACCGAGACCACATAACACCAGTCCTAAAAGACCTACATTGGCTCCCAGTACATTTCCGAGCACAATTCAAAGTGTTGGTGCTGTCCTTTAAAGCCCTAAAGAGCCTCGGCCCAGTATACCTGAAGGAGCACCTCCACCTCCATCTTTCTGCCCAGACACTGAGGTCCAGCACCGAGGGCCTTCTGGCGGTTCCCTCCCTGCGAGAAGTAAAGTTACAGGGAACCAGGCAGAGGGCCTTCTCGGTGGTGGTGCCCGCCCTGTGGAACGCCGTCCCACCAGATGTCAAGGAAATAAACAACTATCTGACTTTGAGAAGACATCTGAAGGCAGCCTTGTTTAGGGAAGTTTTTAATGTCTGATGCTTTATTGTATTTTTATTATTTTGTTGGAAGCCACCCAAAGTGGCTGGGGAAACCCAGCCAGATGGGCAGGGTATCAATAATAAATTATTATTATTATTATTATTATTATTATGAATATGTGGGTGTGTGATTCAATCGGGCTTTAGAGATCAGACATGGTGCAGAGAAATGTAGCTAGACAACCTGTGCTTTCACCGGAAGGCAACAGGTGAGATATACCTAGGCAGCTGCTTTATATAGAGTGATGCTATTGGTCCACCTTGCTGTCTTGTCTACACGGGCTGGCAGCAGCTCTGGAATCAGGGACGCTTTCTCAGCTCCGCCTGCAGGTGTAGGACCTTCTGCCTGTTCGCATTGGAGAGAATCTGTGATGGGAGGAGCTGGACCTGTTGAACAGATTCTCATGCCATAGTTAAGGCATTTGGTCCCCATCCTAAAGAAGAAGGAGATAATAGCAGTGTGATTCTGGGGGTACTTAGGGTTCATGGTGTAAAATCATAGTTTTAATTCTTTTCATGTGTAATTGTTTTTAGCTGTTATTATTTTATCCGTAAGCCGCCTTGAGTCCCTGTTAGGGCAAAAGACAGGGCATAAACATCACAACAAGCCTGGATAGCTCAGTGGGATAGCACATGGCGTTGATAACACCAAGGTTGCAGGTTCAATCCCCATATGGGACAGCTGCGTATTCCTGCATTGCAGGGGGTTGGACTAGATGGCCCTCAGGGTCCCTTCCAACTCTTATGATTCTACAACTGTTAGTACACAAGCCTTTAGCAACTTGGGACCAGTTTACCTGTGAGATCGCCTTACCCCAGATACGACCTCTTGGCTGCTTTGATCATCAGAACTGGAACTGTTACAGGTGCCACCTAATACCCGTTCCACGTTGGTAAGAACTCAACTGTTGAGTGTGGCAGTGCCTATACTTTGGAACTCCCTGCCACTTGAGATCAGGCAGGCTCCTTCACCACACCCTTGAAAACATTTTTATTTACACAAACCCAGGGTTTTTCCCCCCAGCCAGAGCTCAGCTCCAGCACCTCTCAGGTAGGTGCCTTGGCCATTCTAAGAGGGCAGGAGGTCATGGTGAGATCTGGCACCTCTTTTTCTAGGAAAATAGCACTGGGCAAGCCAACCTAGTTAGCTAGAATGTTGGTGTGTGTCTTAGTTTATGGCTGGTTTTAATCTTTTTGATCGTTTTGGGTTTTTTTTAACAAATAACTGCGTTGTAGTAAACTGTTTTGAGGTTTGTTTGCTTTTGACAATCAAGTGCCGTATACATTTTAGGAAATAATAAATGTGTGTGTTTGCGATCTGTCTGTCTATATACAGTGGTACCTCGGGTTACATATGCTTCAGGTTACATACGCTTCAGGTTACAGACTGCACTAACCCAGAAATAGTACCACAGGTTAAGAACTTTGCTTCAGAATGAGAACAGAAATCGTGCTCCGGCGGCACGGCGACAGCAGGAGGCCCCATTAGCTAAATTGGTGCTTCAGGTTAAGAGCAGTTTCAGGTTAAGAACGGACCTCCAGAACAAATTAAGTACTTAACCCGGGGTACCACTGTATATACATATGCACAAAACACCAACGAGAAGTATACAAAAATCAACAACCCCAGCGACAACCATGGTCGTACATAACAAGGATGTTGCTTTGCAGCGGGGGGGATGTTTGGGTTTAAATAATGGCTCTTTTTGGAGGGCAGAGAGCCACGTGTGAGGCTGAGGGAAACCCTCTCACGTGGCCCTGCAATGTGAATTTGGCTGACTTTTGCAGAAGTACGGCGAGGAGGGCAGGCCCTTCCTGCTCAGCTTTAGATCTCGGGTTTCCGGACTCTGTGCCAAGTCTTCCCGGAATTGTGAATCACTGTTATGCTAAGCCACCGCACTCAGTCTTCAAACCTCGCACATGGGACCTTCCTTCATGTGACTAGAGAGAGGCCCTTTCCTCCGTCCCACGCTGGAGAACAGGACCTCCTCCTCCTTCTAAAATCACAAATCCCATCCTGCAAAGCCTTCGGATCTCTCTGTCCATTGGTTGGTATTTTTTCCCCCTGGCCACTTGGCACGATTTTATTTCATGACAGGTTAAGAGGTGTGTGGCAGAGGAGTCACAATGGTTTGGGTTCTGTAATTTAACTGGTCAAGTTTATTGCAGTGGAGAGAACAGGTCATAATTCATTTGCAAACACACACAGGGACGAACTTGAGAAATACTATTTCTGCACTTCTTGTTGCCTGGCCATGCTTTCTCCTGAGGCCTGCAATGAAAAGAAAATGTTTATTATTCACTTTTTGCCGAAGAGCAAACCACCCCCAGTCCTCAGGATTTTAAGCACAAGGCTTGGGAAAGAACGCTACCCTCAAATAATGGAGAATTCTAAATTGGGAAAGACTGCGGAGGGAATAAAACTTCAGTGAAGGAATGGCAACAGGGAAGGCTGATGGGAACATGGCAGGCGGTGTTTTAGAATAATAATAATAATAATAATAATAATAATAATAATAATAATAATTTATTATTTAAACCCTGCCCATCTGGCTGAGTTTCCCCAGCCACTCTGGGCGGCTCCCAATCAAGTGTTAAAAACAATACAGCATTAAATATTAAAAACTTCCCTAAACAGGGCTGCCTTGAGATGTCTTTTAAAGATAGGATAGCTGCTTGTTTCCTTCACATCTGAAGGGAGGGGGTTCCACAGGGCGGGCGCCACTACCGAGAAGGCCCTCTGTCTTGTTCCCTGTAACTTGGCTTCTTGCAGTGAGGGAATTGCCAGAAGGCCTTTGGCGCTGGACCTCAGTGTCCGGGCTGAACGATTGGGGTGGAGACGCTCCTTCAGGTATACTGAGCCGAGGCCGTTTAGGGCTTTAAAGGTCAGCACCAACACTTTGAATTGTGCTCGGAAACATACTGGGAGCCAATGTAGGTCTTTCAAGACCGGTGTTATGTGGTCTCAGGGGCCACTCCCAGTCACCAGTCTAGCTGCTGCATTCTGGATTAGTTGTTGTTTCTGGGTCACTTTCAAAGGTAGCCCTACACAGAGCGCATTGCAGTAGTCCAAGTGAGAGTTAACCAGAGTATGCACCACCCTGGCGAGACAGTCTGTGGGCAGGGAGTGTCTCATCCTGCGTACCAGATGGAGCTGGTAGACAGCTGCCCTGGATACAGAATTAACCTGCGCCACCATGGACAGCTGTGAGTCCAAAATGACTCCCAGGCTGCACACCTGGTCCTTCAGAGGCACAGTGACCCCATACCCGCCCTCCTCCTGTCTCCCAAAAGCAGTACTTCTGTCTTGTCAGGATTCAACCTCAATCTGTTAGCCGCCATCCATCCTCCAACCACCTCCAGACACTCACACAGGACCTTCACTGTTTCTGATTTAAAAGAGAGGTAGAGAGAAGGCATAAATGAGAGAAAGAAGCAGGTTTGCCAACTTTTTTAAAAAAACTCCACTCTGCTCTTTTTGCATACAAATCTGTCCTCACCACCAGCAGTTGGCAACCCTGCAAAATGGGCTTAAAGAGGCAACAATCTTCTTGATGTGACGTCTGAAGCATGTGTGTGTGTCTGTGTAGGTGGGTAACAGATCAGAAATTTTGAGCGGAATTTGTTCCTTAAGATGGGGACTGGATGGAACCTCTTCTGATAAACCGGCCTAGGATTGGCCCTCATCTCTCGCCGTCTTCACCTTTTCCAGGACACCTTGACTCAGCAGCCGAAACATCGCCTTCCCCTCTCCTTCCCCTCCCATCTTGCCTGCAAAATTTTGGGAAATAAAGAAAGAGCAACCCTCTCCCTCCGCCCTCGATAATTAAGTGAATTTCACCTCCCCCTTTTGCACCATACGGTGGTTGTTCTCCCTCACAACAACCTTGCGAGGTAGACTCTGCCAGGAGATGCTGAACAGCCCAGGGTCAAGCAAAGCAGCGTCATGCGTTAGTGGGGATTGGAACCCAGGCTCCCAGCCCAACACTCTAACCACTATGCCATGCTGCCCCCCCCACGCCTGAGGACTTTCTCATAGTGGCCAAGGATGCGTAACTGCTGACCCCTTGAGAAAACCGAAGTCCTCTTTTGCACGGTCCTTTTAAAAAGCCTCTCTGGAAACTGCCAGGAGTTAGCGGAGAAGCACAAGAAGGGTTAAGAAGCTGCACCCTCCCTGGTTTGGCTCCCTAATCTGAAGGGGAGGAGCTGGACTTGGGAGTCTTGGCCCCCAGGCAAGGAGAAGCGTGGGAAGCGAACTGAGGGAGTGTCTGAAAATTCGTAACCTCCACTAAAGTTCTCCCAAAGGCACAACTTTCAAGCCTGGTCTTGCTTTTCTGTGTTGAGTCTCCTCTTGCAGCAACACACACACAACACACACACACACACACACACACACACACACACACACACAGGCATTTATTTGGGAGGGAAACTTTGACAGCAGGCAAATGGAAAGGAAAGCCACTTTCTAAAACTGCTCCTGTGCTGGATAGGGGAATGAGTTCAAAGAACCCTTGCAATTTCCTAGTTTCTGTTGCTTTGATTTTCGCAGCCTTTCAGGGCATGGTGGTGCAAAACAGGCAGGCTTCCATCACAGCATAGGAGATTCAGGGGATATATTATGATTATTATTGCTGTTACTAAGAAAAAGTTGCTTTTTTGTGTGTGCAAAAGCACTCGCTTATTTTTGCTGCTGCATCATCACACTGTTGACTCATGTTAAGATGGGCCCCTTTGGCCTGATCCAGCTGCAGGGCTCTTTGCAAATCCTTATCTAACCTTTATCAGAGTAGAGTAGGGCCATTGAAATTAATGGGTATGGCAAGCTTTGGGCCCCTAATTTCAGTAGGTCTATTTTGAATAGAACTTAGCTGGAATTCAAACAGCAGTTGAATATGAACTAAAGCTTGAAGCTTTTATAGAAGCATAGTATTCTGGGATGCTTAAGGCCTGAGTTATAATGTTTTCTTATTTTTGACAGTTGCTAAATCTATTATGGCAAACCATAGAGTTGTAGAGTCCCTAAGGGCCATCTAGTCTCACCCCCTGCAATGCAGGAATCACAGCTATGCGGTATATATAATCACAGCAAAAAACCTGTAACAGGGGGAGACTGGATAAGAAAGTTTAGGAAGCAGCCCAATGTACTAAATTACTTGAATACATAAGATTAAGAGATGGAAGGCAACTAAAACCCAAATTTGAAACAAAGTGTGGGTATACTACGAATTTTAATTGTTTAATATGAATTTAGTGGATTGCAATGAATGTATTTTGCTTCTCTCTTCTCTACGTTTTTGGCATCGTTGGCTCTCCATTTGAAATTTCAAATCATGCTGGATTTAAGACTGTGCAAAACGACAACAAACCTCTGGTTACGTGAAACATATTCAATAAACACACAAGATGTAACCAGCTAAGTAGAAGACCCTTCTACTATGTTATAAGATCCACTGTCCTGTGATATCATATATGAGTTTGTACTACTGATGAAGCCCAAGATGGCGAAACAAGGCTAATATTCCAGAAATCCTTGTCTTAGACTCTGTGAAAGGATTCTGTGGAACTGCAACAACCTTTCATGTGGATTGTTGGATTTTATGAACAGACAAGTGGAATAGACACTTTCACATATAAGGACCTTATGCATAAACTGATTAGAGAATGAACTGATCCACTGGGTCTTCTACGTTTTTCGTTGAACTTTATGAGCTATTTCTGTTGAAATCTACAGTTCAATACAATGAATAGTATATATTATTTTTTCAAACGTACAGCCGGTTACGTCTTGTGTGTTTATTGGATTTAAGACTGTGGCAGATTGCAAACCCAATCTTGGAGCGCCCCCTGCTGGCTGACAGTTGACAGTGTTGTTCTGTCCTTTTGCAAATAGGGTCACACCCATACCAAAGCTTTAAAGCACATCATGGTTTCTACCCAAAAGATGCTGGGAACTGTAGTTTGCTACGGGCGCTGGGAATTGTGGCTCTCTGAAGGGCAGACTGCAGTTCCCAGGCCTCTTTGGGAGAAGCTATGTACATCACCTTGCCAACAAAGGTCTGTATAGTTAAAGCCATGGTTTTCCCTGTAGTGATGTATGGAAGTGAGAGCTGGCCCATCAAGAAGGCTGATCGCCAAAGAATTGATGCTTTTGAATTCTGGTGCTGGAGGAGACTCTTGAGAGTCCCATGGACTGCAAGAAGATCAAACGTCTCCATTCTGAAGGAAATCAGCCCTGAGTGCTCACTGGAAGGACAGATCCTGAAGCTGAGGCTCCAAGACTTTGGCCACCGCATGAGAAGAGAAGACTCCCTGGAAAAGACCCTGATGTTGGGAGAGATGGAGGGCGCAAGGAGAAGGGGACGACAGAGGACGAGATGGTTGGACAGTGTTCTCGAAGCTACAAACATGAGTTTGACCAAACTGCGGGAGGCAGTGGAAGACAGGAGGGCCTGGCATACTGTGGTCCAGAGGGTCACGAAGAGGCGGACACGACTAAATGACTCAACAACAACAAAGAGTTGGAAGGGACCCTGAGGGTCATCTAGGCCAACCCCCTGCAATGCAGGAATCAACACATGGTCTCCCATCCACTTTGAAACCATACAGGACCCTGCTTAGCTTTGCAAATGTGCTAGCCGTTTTATTGCTGGGTGCTGTGGGTCACTTAGATATCACAAACAAGTTGTTGGCAGCAGACCTTTTTTAAAAATAATAATAATAATAATAATAATATTTATCAGATCCCCCCCCTTCCCGACGGATAAATTTTGATTAAAGCAGGAGAGAGAGGGAAAGGCTGGGATTTGGATGACTCTAAGCCATCTGGGTGAGTGGAGGGTCTCCTGCTGCACTTGCAGACCTATTCCCTTGCAGGAATTCATTTTGGGGAGGAATTTACTTTAAAATGTATCCAAAACCCACCCAAAGCTTTGAAAAAGAAAATATCAAAGGCAGGCATAGGCAAACTCGGCCTTCCAGATGTTTTGGGACTACAATTCCCATCATCCCTGACCACTGGTCCTGTTAGCTGGGGATGATGGGACTTGTAGTCCCCAAACATCTGGAGGGCCGAGTTTGCCTATGCCTGATCAAAGGGCTCAAACCCATCAAAGGGGCAGAGCGCTCCAAAATCCAGCCTAGTTTTGCATTCTGCAGGATTAGCCAATCGTTGGAGGGCGCAGCCTTGTCTATCAGCACCGCGGCCCAATCAGCGCCTGCTCCCTTTGGGAGACTTTCCCCGCCTCCCGGCTCTTAAGCCTTCCCTTTCCTCCTATTGGCCGAGTGCCTGCCGCTCTATGAACCCGGAAATTGTGAAGCCGCGCCTCCTTTAGCGCTTTAGCCAATCATAGTAAGAATTACAGGCAGACGCATGCGCATGGGGCGAAAGGAAGCGGCAGTCAGGCCGGGCGGCCAGCTTTGCGCCACGAAACTACATCTCCCAGAGTGCATTGCGGAATGTTCCGGCGGGCAGCTGAGCCGACTTTTAACCCGCGCGGCATGCTGGGAAATGTAGTTTTCCCGATCCCTCCCCTTAGAAGCAGCTGTTTTGCAGCTTCGCCTTCGCTTCTCGGAGGGTCCGGGAGCCTCTGGCCGCTGCCGCCGGGAAGACGGGTGAGTGGGGGGTGGGGCTGGCAATGCTCCAGTGGCAGAAGGGTCCGCGGGCGGCTCTTTGCAGGAGAGGCAGTGCCGCTCAGTGGTTAGAGCTGGGAGGGAGCGGGGTCAGTCCCTGCGTCTCCCATTTCACAGTGTTGCTGCTGTGGGGATCAGATCTAGTTCTGCAGTGAAGGGATCTCAGCTAAGGAATTCCCACCCAGCCTCTGCCTCTGAACCTGGAGAGGAAAAGGTGCCTGTCAGTGGATATTTAGGCATGGTTGCTGCAAGAAACGTCCTAGTTCAGAAGCAAATTCATGGAGCATAGGGCTGTGACTGGAATCATAGAGTTGGGAGGAGCCTGAGGGTCATCTAGTCCAACCCCCTGCCATGCAGAAATCTTTTCCCCCAACGTGGGACTCGAACCCACAACCCAGAGATTAAGAGTTCCACCGACTGAGCTATCCTGTTTTCTCTCCCGCCCTGTGCTGCGCCCAGCCTCCCGCCATGGTCCACGCCTTCTTCACCCAAAATTGAATTGATAGAAAGCAGAGGTAGAACACTATCCAGAATGTCTGATTTGCTGTTAGAATGGTTTACGAAAGATGAGGAAGTGAAAGAAGCTGTGATAAAATGGGCTGTAGCTTTTGGGCATAACATTGAATTGGATGCATGGATAAAATTGTGGAATTGTGAAATTTACAGCATGTACGGCTCTGAAGGAAAATTTAATGAAAATGATCTATGGATGGCATTTGACGCCGACAAAGTTGGCAAAATTGTATAGGACGAGGGATAAAAAATGTTGGAAGTGTGAAGAGGAGGATGGGGAATATTATCATATGTGGTGGACGTGTGATAAAGTGAAGAAATTTTGGGAGTCGATTTATAATGAACTTAAGAAAATATTAAAATATACCTTTCCCCAAAAGCCAGAGGCTTTTTTGCTCGGTCTGATGGGAAAGGCGATCAAGATAAAAGATCAAAGGTTATTCATGTATGCCACAGATGCGGCAAAGACTTTGCTGGCCCCAAATTGGAAATCGCAAGAAGTTCCTACTATTGCGGAGTGGCAGTCGAAAATGAGAGACTATGCAGAGCTAGCCAAACTGACCGGAAGGATTCAGGATCAGGACGATCAGAGATTCCAGGACAATTGGAGTAAATTTGTTGAATATTGGAAGGACAGTTGTAAAAATTTAAAAACACTAGCAGGATTGAAGTAACTCCTACAACGTAAAATAGATAAGATGTGAAATTGTAAAATATGCGAATGGACCTGATAAAGGATATCAACTGAAGGGAGGGAGGGAAGTCACGAACTCGGCAGAGCAAAAAAGTCTATATGTTGAAGAATGCATGGTGGTGGTTGTGGAGTCGTTTAGTCGTGTCCGACTCTTCCTGACCCCATGGCCCAGATCACGCCAGGCACTCCTGTCTTCCACTGCCTCCCGCAGTTTGGTCAAACTCATGCTGGTAGCTTCGAGAACACTGTCCCACCATCTCATCCTCCGTCGTCCCCTTCTCCTTGTGCCCTCCATCTTTCCCAGCATCAGGGTCTTTTCCAGGGAGTCTCCTCTTCTCATGAGGTGGCCAAAGTCTTGGAGCCTCAGCTTCAGGATCTGTCCTTCCAGTGAGCACTCAGGGCTGATTTCCTTCAGAATGGAGAGGTTTGATCTTCTTGCAGTCCATGGGACTCTCAAGAGTCTCCTCCAGCACCATAATTCAAAAGCATCAATTCTTTGGCAATCAGCCTTCTTTATGATCCAGAACTCACTTCCATACATCACTACTGGGAAAACCATAGCTTTAACTTTGTTGGCAAGGTGATGTCTCTGCTTTTTAAGATGCTGTCTAGGTTTGTCACTGCTTTTCTCCCAAGAAGCAGGCGTCTTTTAATGTATTAGTAAGAAAGCATATGTAAAGAAAACAATAAAAATTTATTGGAAAAAGAGTCTTCTGCTCTACCGACTGAGCTATCCCATGTTCTCTCCCGCCCTGCGCAGCGCCCAGCCTCCCGCCATGGTCCACGCCTTCTTCATCCAGACGTTACGCAGCCGACCCGGGGAAGAGGCCGGCTGCTGCCGAGTGCTCTATTCCAGGGTCTTCGGCCCTGAAGGGTTGGAAGATGCTGGTTCCCAGGATCGCGAGAAGGAGCGGCTGCGCAAGAAGGAGCAGATCCTGGCCGTCGCCAGGTAACACAACTCGCATGCTGTGCTCTGGAAGTGTGTATGTGATTCTGACCTAACTCAGCCTCCTAGGGGAAAATGTACACCAGGAGCCTTAGTTTGGTCAGAACGGAATATAAACTTCCAGAATTAATGTTAAATACGCCACTTCTGGTGAATGAGCCACCATAGCCGCTACAGGGCCATGAAAATTTGTGTCCCGGGCTTTTAAGACTCGTCTACACATTAAGGAATATATATATATATATATATATATATATATATATATATAAAATATTTATTAAAGTTTCAAAAAATACAAAAAAAGAAAAAGAAAAATATACAGAGTACAACAAAAAAAGAAAAAAAAATACAGAGTACAGAATATAACAAAAAATAGAGAATAAAAAGAAAACATACAAAATAAAACAGTTAAAAGGACATTGATTTTCCAAACCTATCTTCCCTACACTTATTTCCCCGGACCTCCTCATACCTCCCTTCTTTGTATTCCAGTTCAGTTTGTTAGTTCAGCAAATCCTTACCATTAAACTTTTACCCAATTGTTAACCTTTTTTCATATCTCTTAAAGCATTACAGCTAAAAACCTCTTAGTTTCTATCCAACATCCTTGTAAAATTCCTTAATTTTGCAATATTTCTGTAAATAGTCCTTAAATTTTTTCCAGTCTTCTTTCACCGACTCTTCTCCCTGGTCTCGGATTCTGCCAGTCATTTCCGCCAATTCCATGTAGTCAATCACCTTCATCTGCCATTCTTCCAAAGTGGGTAGCTCTTGTGTCTTCCAATACTTTGCGATGAGTATTCTTGCTGCTGTTGTAGCATACATAAAAAAGGTTCTATCCTTCTTTGGCACCAGTTGGCCGACAATGCCCAAAAGAAAGGCCTCTGGTTTCTTCAGAAAGGTATATTTAAATACATTTTTCAGTTCATTATATATCATTTCCCAGAAAGCCTTGATCTTTGGGCACGTCCACCAAAGGTGAAAGAATGTACCTTCAGTTTCTTTACATTTCCAACATTTATTATCGGGCAAATGATAAATTTTTGCAAGCTTGACTGGGGTTATGTACCACCTGTATATCATTTTCATAATATTCTCTCTTAAGGCATTACATGCCGTAAACTTCATACCTGTGGAGGAATATATTTTTGTATATAACCGCAGCCGCAAGAATACATATGGCAAAATATTGGAAAACAAAAAAGGTACTGCTCCAATCAGGGGCTGCTCCAACCAAAAATTCTATACAGAATGGGAATGCGTAGGTGAATACATGAAGAAATATGGTGTTAAAGCAAAACTCTTAATAGGCAATTGTTAAGCGTGTAAGGACAAAAGAAGTAATTCTAATTTATCAGTTTTCATGTTACTTTGTTTTGTTAAAGCAACTAGAAAAAATATTGTGTTGGGAAGATCTCACACAGGTGAAGGGAAGCAGTGGGGAGGAGGGGAGGGTTAGGTTGAATTTGGGAAATAAAATAATATATGGGACAGCAAAGGATATAACAGATTCTTATAGAATAGTAATATATTGTAACCAGAATAGAAGTTCAAAAGGGGAAGTAAATGTATTTCTAGTATTTTCATTATTGTAATAGTTATTATTATTTCTTATTGGTAGAAGGCAACGTTAACTTAGACTTCTTTGTTTTGCTGTCTGTATAATTTTCTTAAGTCAATAATAATAATAAAAAAGACTCATCTACATATGCACTGTCTGGAACCAAAGGGGCGCATCGGTTGAAGAGCTGTGAATCCCTACCGCAGTTCTCCCACCCCACCATCTACGGTGGTGCCTTGGTTCTCAAACGCCTTGCTTCCTAAACTCTGAAAACCCAGAAGTAAGCGTTCCAGTTTTTTAACGATTTTCGGAAGCCGAACGTTTGACGCGGCTGTCGGCTATTGTTTCCGATGCGTCTGCACCAATCAGAAGCTGCACCTTGGTTTTCGGAAATTTTGGAAGTCAAACGGACTTCCGGAACGGATCAAGTCTGGCGTTTTTGTTTTCGTTATTTATTTTGCGCTTTTGTTTTTGAGGCTTTTTCGGTTCATTTGTTTTTGTGACTGTGTGGAACCCAGTTCAGTTACTGATTGATTGAGACTGATTGATTGTGTGACTGTGGAAATGGATAAAAGCCCCCCATCCAAACAATGACTATCATCAGTGCAGGAAATATTTTTTTAAAATTTTTTATCATCTATAATACTGTCTTATTTATTTTATACTACAGTACGTTGATTATTCCTTTCAGTTTATGGATCAATGGTCTCATTAGATAGTAAAATTCATGTTAAGTTGCTGTTTTAGGGGTTCTTTTTAAAAGTCTGGAACACATTAATCTGTTTTGCATTACTTTCTATGGGAAAGCACGCCTTGGCTTTGGAACGCTTTGGTTTTGGAACGGACTTCTGGAACGGATTAAGTTTGAGAACCAAGGTACCACTATAGTGGTTTGTTGGTTTCCCACAGGTCAGCCACTGTGAGAACAGGATGCTGGACAAGTGGGCCATTGGCCTGATCCAGCGCTGCTCTTTTTATGCACACCACTTTTCTGCGTCTCTCTCTCCCTCCCCGCAAGCTCCTTCATGGAAGGAAAGCTCCCTCCGATAAACTTCAAAACTCTGCATCCTCTCTATTCGCAGGCAAGTGGAGTCAGCCTGCAAACTCCACCAGCAAGCCTCCGGGAAGCCTCAGTCCGAGCACCTAGCCCAGCTCCCTGACGAACCCGTTTCTCTCCAGGATGCCCCGTCGGGGGTCTTCCGCCTCCCCATGGGGGACCCCTTTTCTGAGGACAAGACCGTTCTGTGGCTGGGCATCCAGTGCCTGGGCTTTGCTCTGGTCTGCGACCCCCACGAGAACCTGCTGCTGGCCGAGAGCGCCTTGAAGCACCTTGCCAAGACCCTCGTCGACCACCTCAAGCTGCTGAGCTCAGGGAGCGACGTCGTCCTCAAGGCCGACAGGACAGAGGTCCTTCTCCACAAGTTCCTGCCGCACGGGCAGCTGCTCTTCCTGAACGACCAGTTTGTGCTGGGCCTGGAGAGAGAGGCGAGTGCGGCGCTTTGCAAATGAAGGATCTCCAAAGAGATGGAGGCTTGAACGGCCGTGGGCAGCTGTGGACGGGTCAGCTGGTTTGCTGCATGCTGCGTATGCCAGCCTGGACCTGCCTGCAGCCCCTCCGAGCGCTTGGGACTACAATTCCCATCGTCCACAGCCAGCACTGGACGATGGGATTTGTAGTCCCAAGCACCCAGAGGGGCTGCAGGTGGGTGAAATGTGCTCTGTGCGACAGCAACGTCACACATCACACTGCATGATGGAGAAGAAACAGGAGGAGGAGGAGGAGATGGGGCTTCAGAGACTTATTACCACTTCTCTGCCAAAAAACTCGAGTTCTTTCCCCCCCTTTTGTTTTTTTAAAATTGGTTTTCACATATTACATTACAATACAGATGTACCAAAACCAACACCAATTCCTCCCCATTACATTTCTATTTCCTCAATCCATCATATTATTCTTTTCTCCTTCCTCCCTCTTCCCTCCGTCCCCACTCGATTTCCTCCACATTATACAATTTACAATAATCTTTGCATTCTGCAACCTTCTCAAATCATCTACATATTCTTATTATCTTTCCTTACTAATTTTTCTTCCATTCAGTACTTCACATTTTAATCTACGCATATTAGTGTATCTTTTTTTGAGCAATATTTTGCCATATATTAATCAAAACATTTCCACTCCTTTTTAAATTTTTGATTAGATTGATTTCTTATTATAGCAGTTAATTTTGCCAAAATTAAATATTCATTTAGTTTACAAATCCATTCCTCCTTTGTGGGTAGAGTTTGTGACTTCCACCTAGCAGCAATCACTATTCTAGCAGCTGTACTTGCATATAGAAAAATTCTTCCTTCCCCCTGTGGTATCTCTTCATCTATCAATCCAAGGAGATATGTCTCTGGTTTCTTTGTTATTGATATTTTCAACATCTTCTTTAGTTCTTCATGTACTACTACCCAAAATTTCTTAATTTCCTCACACCTCCACCACATATGTATTGTTTTTCCTATTTCTCGACCACTTCTCCAACAGAGGTTGGATTTCAATTTATATATCTTTGCCAACTTAACTGGCGTTAAGTACCACCTATAGAACATCTTGACAAAATTTTCTTTAATTGTATATGAGGCAGTAAATCGTACATCCTCTCGCCAGAGTTTCTCCCATTGCTCTAGATGGATAGCATGTCCAAGATCCTGAGACCATTCAATCATCGTTTCTTTCACTTCTTCCTCCATCAATTCTCAGTCCAATAAAAGATTACATGACAAAACTCAAGTTCTGATTTCCCCTCTGCTCCCTTGAAACAGGCCCCGACTGGGGAAATTGTTAGGAGAGTTGCTGTTGTAATTGCATAGCATAATAAAACATAGCTGTGGTTTTTCAGTGTTCAAAGCATATGGCATAAATCAGGGACGGAGAACCATCAGAAATGCGGCCCTCCGAGCCTTTCTGCCTGGCCCTCGAGACTCTGCCACACCCATCTCCAGCCCTGCTTCGTGCCTCCTTGAGGGATTTTGCCTGGCTGCAATTGGTCCTTGAGCTCTGATCATGCTGCTTGGTTGCCTGCGTGGAGGACAGAGAAGTAGAATCGTAGAATTGGGACCCCAGCAAGGGTCATCTAGTCCAACCCCCTGCAATGCAGGAACCTCAGCTAAAGCATCCTGGAAAGGTGGCCATGCGTGTGAGAAGAAACTAGACTGGTGGTTTGCAAAGTGGTTGGCACTGCCCCCCTGGGCAGGAGGGGTTATCTAATAATAATAATAATAATAGTAATAATAATAATAAAATTTATTATTTATACCCCATTTATCTGGCTGAGTTTCCCCAGCCACTCTGGGCGGCTTCCAATTTCCAATTGAGTGTTAAAAACAATACAGGATTAAATATTAAAAACTTCCCTAAACAGAGCTGCCTTCAGATGTCTTTTAAAGATAAGATAGCTACTTATTTCCTTCACATCTGAAGGGAGGGTGTTCCACAGGGCAGGTGCCACCACCGACAAGGCCCTCTGCCTGGTTCCCTGTAACTTGGCTTCTCGCAGGGAGGGAACTGCCAGAAGGCCCTTGGAGCTGGACCTCAGTGTCCGGGCTGAACAATGGAGGTGGAGACGCTCCTTCAGGTATACAGGACCGAGGCCGTTTAGGGGGGCAATAAGGTAGCAGGTGGGTGCGGGAGCCATAAATCAGACTTTGCAAAGGTGGTCTCCCTGGATCAAGTTTGTTGAATTAATCAAACTAAATAGCTTTATTTGGGTTTCGGATAAATTGTCGCTGTATTGAATTCTGTTGCGTTATTGTCTTCCTTAGTAGCCCGTGCAAAGTGCTCTTCTGAATAATCCTTTTTATGGGGTAGGGGGCTCAGTGGGCACTAAAAGTTTGGGACTTTGGTACAAAGGCAACTCCCAAATTGATTGCTCGGCCTGCTTTTTCCGTCTGGCAAAAGTCCATCAAGGCAGCCTTGCCTCTTCCAGGCCTTTAAAATTCTGACATGTGGATTGGGGAAAAGGAAGAGGGTGGAGGGTTTTCCTGCAGTGTTCCCATCGATTAAGAAAATCCGGCAGTCATGGGGCTAGGCCTCTCCTGGAGTGACAGCTGCTTATGAGCTTCTGGAGACCTTTGGCTGTCCTCTGCTGGATCCAGAACACTGGGTTCGGTGGCCTCTTAGTCCTGTCCTGGAAAGGCAGCGGGGCATCTGCTCAGGAGAAGACCTTCTTACAGAACCATTTATAGTTGTATGTGCAGCTGACGTCGTTCCAGTGCTTTGTGAAGTGAACACAGTCTTCCTCATGTTGTGGTGCTCCATGCCAGTTGTCTGGTTGTCCTTGTCCCCAGAAACTGGAAAAGAAGGCGAGAGGCTGTGATTATATAGCTGGCATGCTTTAAAATATATATATATATCTTAGGGACGCGGGTGGCGCTTTGGGTTAAACCACAGAGCCTAGTGTTAGAGGACATTCGGCACAGAAACATGTGTGTATACCTTAAAGAAGTTTCTGGGGTTAATTGGCTGCAGCTGGCCGTTGCTATAAAGGAAAAAAGCTGAGTTTTGTAGCCTGCCTGCAGGAATAACACCCACCAGAGTTTGTGTTTATTGTTTAGTAATAAAGTCTTCGTTTTAGTTTGGGTTTTTACACCTATGTCTCCTGGAGTCACTCTGTCCTCTGCCACCAGCTGGAAATCCCCCTCCAACACCTAGGAGTTGCCGATCAGAAGGTCGGCGGTTCGAATCCCCGTGATGGGGTGAGCTCCCGTTGCTTGGTCCCTGCTCCTGCCAACCTAGCAGTTCGAAAGCACATCAAAGTGCAAGTAGATAAATAGGTACCGCTCCGGCGGGAAGGTAAACAGTGTTTCCGTGCGCTGCTCTGGTTCACCAGAAGCGGCTTAGTCATGCTGGCCACATGACCCGGAAGCTGTACGCCGGCTCTCTCGGCCAGTAAAGTGAGATGAGCGCCGCAACCCCAGAGTCGTCCGCGACTGGACCTAACGGTCAGGGGTCCCTTTACCTTTATGCATGCAGTGCAACAGATCCCTTGTTGGCCTCCGTCTGTCTTGAGAGACAACGGAGTGCACCTCTGCGGGTGAAGTCAAACTGCTATGTTAGCAGTGCCACAGTGACCCCCCCAGGATGCAAGCCTGGATGTCCTGGGCTGCCCAGACGACAAGACCCCTCTCTCAGCCTCGCTGATGGGGTCCAAAGGAAAGCAGAGCAATATTTTTGGCAAATGCTTGGCTGTAGCATTTGCTGGAAGAAGGCGTGCAAGGTGCCAGCCAACCGTCTTAGGGACTCCACTTCAGATTTGTGTAGAGTTTACTCCTTGGCCTTTTCTTCTCTGGAACATGTCCCGCAAGGCACCAGAAGTTTAGAATCAGAGTTTTCCTTCTCTTAGATGGGCTGCCTTCCCAGGTGGATGAGCCCCACCTGCCCCTCTCTTCCCTCTACAGCAGGGGTCAGCAAACTTTTTCAGCAGGGGGCCGGTCCACTGTTCCTCAGACCTTGTGGGGGGCCGGACTATATTTGGAGGAAAAAATATGAACGAATTCCTATGCCCCACAAATAACCCAGAGATGCATTTTAAATAAAAGGACACATTCTACTCATGTAAAAACACGCTGATTCCCGAACCGTCCGCGGGCTGGATTTAGAAAGCGATTAGGCCGGATCTGCCCCCCGGGCCTTAGTTTGCCTACCCATGCTCTACAGCATGTGCAGAAACTGCTTTCTTGACCATTGGACCCACTATTAGTCTCATCCACTCAATTCCCAGAGCCTGGCTTTGCACTGAGGGCTTGAGACCCATCAGCTCCCCTCTCCTTGTTTAGCCGGCCAGTCAAAGCCATTCCTGGGGTGTGTCCGCTGTCGCATGCTAACACATTCTAGGAGCCACAGGTGAGAGCTGAGTGCGACCAAAGGTGGTCAAACTATCCCAGAAGAAGGAGCATGATGTGTTCCTATTAGTCAGGGTCCCTATTACTCAAAGATCCCTATTGGTCAGGGATTATCTTTCCTGATTTTGGTTTGTTTTAGGAAATCACAGAGTAGCACTTTTCCAGGGGTCTCCTGGGACGGAGGCGAGGACTATATGAAAAAGTCTGTTTTGTAGGGGCACCTGAAGTGAAAGAATACAGAAAGCCACAGACTGTGTTTTCTTCTTTTTTAAAGAGCTGATCAGACCCACCTAAGCTTTTCGTTGTACTTTGTGCCGTCCACCCAGGTCCAAACGCCTTCTGTATTTTGGTCAGAGAGTCCGATCCAAAAGGGCTGATTTCTGGCTTCCCTGACAAGGTATTCCTGCAAAACAGTTTCAAACCACAGTGATCCAGGGTTGCAGAGAGAGAGAGAAAGAGAAAGAGAGAGAGAGAGAGAGAGAGAGAGAGAGAGAGAGAGAGAACTAGGCTCAGGGACAGGATACCATTCTCAAATCCTGGCTCAGCAGCAAATGGCCTTTAGATTTGCAGCTGGGCAGCTTGATCCTGTGCACATTTACTCAGAAGTAAGCCCCACCCAGTTCCCAGAGGTAGGCTGGGACTTTAGGAATCAGCGAGTTGTGCCTAACCCCTTCTGTGCAAAGGACCCTCAACTCTAGAAATGCCAACTGACCAAGAAAACAAACCCTTGTGTCTCTAGCAGCTGCTTGATGCGCAGAGAGCAGCAGCAGCTGCTTTTCCCAGGAAGGGGACTGGCCTGGTAATAGTGGCAGGCTAAGTTGCTGGCAAAAGTGCAGAAGCAGAGGCCAGCAAAGAAGGTGGCAGCGCAGTCTTAAGGCAGCTGCTTGGGCCAGGAAAATGTTTCAGGCCAGCCCAGGTGTTGGTGTTTTTGTTAGCTGAGCAGGTAAATCCAGGTGTTTTGAAGTGTGTGCGCAGGGCTGTCTTAAGCATATGTGGCTCCGGGGTGCAGAGATCTGTTTGGCGCCTCCCCCAGGTTGCCCAGTCCCAGGTGCGCAGGAGGGTGGAGCCAGCCGGCCGCCTCAGCGTCTTGCTGGCTTGGTTGTCCCTGAACTCGCAGCGCAGAGCCGCCCGCAGCAGAAGAGCCCACTGTAGCGCTCTGACCGACAGACGGGCTCTTCCCTGGACTCAACTCTCAGACCCTGGACTCAGCCTGGCGCCCAGGTGCCCCGTGTCGGCATCTCCGCTCGGCCAAGCTGATAAAGCTCATCTTCCTCCAGCCGAGTCCTTCGGAATCACCTCCGACGAATAATTAACGACCTGAGCCTTTGATGAGGCCTCAGGCACATTCCCGTTCAGCAGAGTTTCCAGCACAGGGAAGTGATTTATAGCTACATCGCTATGCTTTATTTCTTACTACACAGACAGCAAAGAAAAATACACCCTCCCTCTATGAAAGCAGAGAGCAACTGGAACAAAGGAACAGGAAACCAGTAAACATCACATCCGTCTCCTGCCTCCGTGAGACTTCCAACAGCCTGGAAGGTCTCTGGAATGTAAACAGAGCCTTTGACTCTAAGCAGCTGCTCAGTGGCAAACAGAAACTAACACCCCGCACCCCTAGCGCCTATGGGTAAGACGGCCCTGTGTGTGTGCTCACCATCTCTTCCTTTGACGTGATGGAGACCAGGTGTGTCCCCTGGGCTCTACAGGTGTCCTCAGCTTCCTGCCAGGGCTTTGCCTTTTGGGAAAGGAAATAGACGCTGCCGTTGTAAAACTTCCAGCCTGCGGAGAGGAACGCCAGGAGTTCCCCTTTGGGAGAAAAAACGGGAGTGGGTCTCAGGAACCCTGAACTGCAGGAAAGGCTGATTGGAGGGGTTGGATCTGAGCATCGTCTGTTCGAGGATGTAGCATGGGTGTCTCAAAAAAGGGAATGGATGTGTGCTAGAGAAGGGATGGGGGCTCAAGCATGGTGTGTGTGCATAAATATTATTTATGTATTGCATTTATAGCCAACTCCCGCCCCCCATTCAGTTCAAGAAGGAGTTTGTCATGCAGAGGCGTGAAATACCACAGTTCTTGAACATTCTTACTTGTTCATTACATGTACAAGGTGTGACCGGAAAGTTCGGTGAATGGTCACGGAAATCGGACAGTGAGAAATATTTGAACATACATACCTTAAAGGTAAAGGGTAAAGGGACCCCTGATCATTAGGTCCAGTCGTGGCCGACTCTGGGGTTGCAGCGCTCATCTCGCTTTACTGGCCGAGGGAGCCGGCGTACAGCTTCCGGGTCATGTGGCCATCCCCTACCCCCCCACTTTTTGGGTATTCCGTTAAAGGAATCCAGTGGTTTGTGGATCCTGTCCAACGCCCTTGTATTTGCATCAACAGGCTCCTTCTACTGGTGGTTAACCCTTGATAGACTCACCCCTTCCTGAGGGTATGGAGTCAAGCTCTGTTGTTTTATCCAATGCCTAAGCCAATATCACTCACATGCTGTAATCAATAAAGTTGTGGCCTTTTTTTAGCCTATTAACCTAATATACTGCGTCCTTGTGTCTTTCTTATCCTCGACTCACAACTGTCATGCTGCCAGAGAGAGGCTTGTGGGCTTTGTGGTTAAAAACACAGTGACTTTGCAACTTTGCCGTATTGTTTTTAATATTCGGTTGGAAGCCGCCCAGAGTGGCTGTGGAAACCCAGCCAGATGGGCAGGGTATAAATTCTTATTCTTATTCTTATTCTTATTCTTATTCTTATTCTGGGATTTCCCTTGCCAGCTCTGCTCACTTGGCACAGGGCTGGAAGTAGCATTCAGGGACACCTGGCTTACTAGCAGAACCAGAGCAGCGCATGGAAACGCCGTTTACCTCCCTCCAGAGCGGTACCTATTTATCTACTTGCACTTTGATGGCTTTTAAAGATAAGATAGCTGCTTATTTCCTTGACATCTGATGGGAGGGCGTTCCACAGGGCGGGCGCCACTACCGAGAAGGCCCTCTGTCTGGTTCCCTCTGTCTGGTTCCCTCTGTCTGGTTCCCAGCGAGGGAACCGCCAGAAGGCCCTCGGAGCTGGACCTCAGTGTCCGGGCAGAACGATGGGGGTGGAGACGCTCCTTCAGGTATACTGAACCGAGGCCATTTAGGGCTTTAAAGGTCACCGCCAACACTTTGAATTGTGCTCGGAAATGTACTGGTTACAAGAAGGAGATTCTGACTAAACATCAGAAAGAACTTTCTGATGTTAAGAGCTGTTCAACAGAGGAACAGACTCCCTCGGGAGGTGGTTGCCCCAGGTCTGGCCAGGAGGATCGCCATAACTCAAGTTGGGGTGGGGACTTGGTTTTGCCCCTGCAACTTTAACTGGATCGTGATATGCAGAAATCAGGTGGCAAAGTCCTTTAATTGAATAAGGACCAACATTGCCACCTCCTAATATGTTTCAATTACAGGAGCAGTAGGCGTTTAAGAAGTTGGCACCGCTTATGTCCAGAACCGGAGATGGTTTGGGATGCTGACTCCCCTTGAAGGAAAGGTGGGATTGGAAGAGGTCTTCGTCACTGATTTTGACCCCTACTTACTGTGACGATTCTGGATAGCGGTTTTTGACGCACTGACGTTCCCCAGGTGGGTTTGGATCTTGTAGAAAGCCTCAGAGATGTTTTGGAGCAGCTGAACACCTGGAAGGGCAGAGTTCAGTGTAGTGTCAGACCAAAGTGAGCTTTGTGAAATAGGAGACTAGGAGAAAAGTGTCAGGAGCTCGTCTTACACTCGAGTAGGACCCTGGCAGAGACTGACTGGCATGTTCTCTCCCTCCTGGTCGATCGTTCAGGAGCTTCAAAGCTTTCTTTAGCCCGAACATCACAGCGACCGATGCGAAGAGATACCAGCACACTTAGGGATCCACAGAGTTTGTGCAGCATGCGTAACAGACCTCAGCAACTCAGCATTTTGGCTAATCTACTTTACTTACATATCAACACACACGGAGCACTGCAACATGGCTCCCTCTCTCTCTAGCATCGGACAGCAAAGAGAAAAAGAACAAAGGACAACAGTCCCAATTTAATGGAACACAGTAACACAAACATCCTTTCTCCGTCGCTTCCCTCTCCAGCATCGGACATCCCACTTCATGGAACACAGTAACACAAACATCCTTTCTCCGTCGCTTCCCACTCAGTGGAGTCAAAACATACACCGTCATGTGAAAGACAACAATCCCATAACTGCAATCACGGAGCAGGAATTCTAACAAAAAGTAACGTTTTCATAAACTTCTCTCTGGCTAAGAAAATCACTGAGATGCAGTGATTGGGGCAGCTGCACCTGTTGGCTTTCTGTTTAAAGGCACAGGGTACTCTAATCAGAGAAACCGGTGTTCCTTATCCCTGAAGGAGGTATTTAAAATCTGCCAGTTGCTGGAAACTACAGGAGAGGAGAGTGTTTCTCTTGTGGTCGGATCCTGCTTGCTGCTTTCCCATAGGGGCATTGGTTGGCCACTGTGAGAAGAGGATGCTGGACTAGGTGGGCCATTGGCCTGATCCTGCAAGATCCACTTCTTATGCCATAGACGCATTGTGTGGCCTATTATCACAGCCTCAGTTTCCCAACTGTAAAATGGGCACAACAATAACCTACCGTACTTTCCTAGCTTGGCTGTGAGGACAAACACTTTTCATTATGCAAATTAAATGACGAAGGGCACAAATCATCTGGAGGAAAGGAAGGGAAACGATTAAAAATAGGAACCCTTCCCATCCTCACATACTCTGAGGGTTGTCCTCATTTCTGGGTTTTGCAACTTACTCTCAGATGCTTCCGCTGGTGAAAGAGAGATATTGCTGAGAAACAGGGAGGTTCTGATCTTCTCCATCACTCCTTCGATTTCCTGGAGTTTCTTCTCCTTCTGGGAATCTACAAACCATATGAACATCATAAGAGCATGCTGGATCGAGCCAATGGCTGACCTGTGGGAAACCCACAACCAGGATTCGAACGCAAGAGCAGCACTCCCCCTTCTTGTGGTTTGTCTAATATTATTAGACAATTATTTGTCTAATAATCCTTTTTAAAACACATCCAAATTGGTGGCCATCACTCTTTCCTGTGGCAGGGAGTTCCACAGGTTATCTGTGCGCTGCATGAAGAAGGACTTTCTTTTATCTGCCCTGACATGGCAGACATGCAGGATTAACTTCCAAATAAAAGTGCCAGCGAAGGCAAGAAGTGTGAAGGGGGCGTGCAAAGTAGGAAATCCAAAAATCTGAAAATGCTGAACAGATTTCAGAGTTTGGAGTTTTGCTCAGAACTCCCTGCTACCCCTTTTCTTTTAAACAGGGTCGGAACTTTTTTTTTGTTCTCCTCCCAACTGCAGCAGAGGCACAAATGGAACTGCGTCGGCCCACAATCCATTTGAGTATCCTTGCCTCTCCTACTTGCCCTGCCAAATTCTAGATTTTGTAAGCTCCACGGGGCAGGGACCTATCATTCATGTTCTCCTGCAAATTCCCATGTACTTCTAGATCAGGCAAAAGCAAACTCTGGCCCTCCAGATGTTTGGGACTATAATTCCCATCATCCCTAGCTAACAGGACCGGTGATCAGGGATGATGGGAATTGTAGTCCCAAAACATCTGGAGGGCCAGAGTTGGCCTTTGCCTGATCTACGGAGCCTTGCAGTATCTTCTGGGATGTTACAGCCCATCCTTGAGCATGCCTCTTGAATACCAATGGCACTTTGGCCCTTCCAAGATTTTGTTCTGCTGGTCTTCCTGGCAATGGGGCCGGTGGCATTTTCTGCAGGCCAGCCAACTCTTCCCTATTCAGATCAAATCCCTTCCTTCCCCACCATCGCTTTTCAAGGCTAATTTCCCTCCCACTTGGAAAAACCTCACCTTTGCTCTGGTTCTCTCATTTTTGCGGGGTATTTTCAGGGGTGGGCAGTGACCAGCATTTAGCTTTTAATTGTCGTAAACAAAATCTGCCCTTATTCCCTTATGGGGGACACAAGAGCCCTTATAGAATCCTTTGTAGGTTCTCCATCGGTAGGAGACAATAACAGAGGCCAACCAGAGAAAGCCTTAAACGGCCTCGGCCCAGTATACCTGAAGGAGCGTCTCCACCTCCATCTTTCTGCCCGGACACTGAAGTCCAGCGCCGAGGGCCTTCTGGCGGTTCCCTCACTGCGAGAAGCCAAGTTACAGGGAGCCAGGCAGAGGGCCTTCTCGATGGTGGCACCCGCCCTGTGGAACGCCCTCCCATCAGATGTCAAAGAGAATAACAACTACCAGACTTTTAGAAGACATCTGAAGGCAGCCCTGTTTAGGGAAGCTTTTAATGTTTGACAGACTATTGTATTTTAATATTTTGTTGGAAGCTGCCCAGAGTGGCTGGGGAAACCCAGCCAGATAGAATCATAGAATCATAGAATCATAGAATCATAGAGTTGGAAGAGACCACAAGGGCCATCGAGTCCAACCCCCTACCAAGCAGGAAACACCATCAGAGCACTCCTGACATATGGTTGTCAAGCCTCTGCTTAAAGACCTCCAAAGAAGGAGACTCCACCACACTCCTTGGCAGGAAATTCCACTGTCGAACAGCTCTTACTGTCAGGAAGTTCTTCCTAATGTTTAGGTGGAATCTTCTTTCTTGTAGTTTGGATCCATTGCTCCGTGTCTGCTTCTCTGGAGCAGCAGAAAACAACCTTTCTCCCTCCTCTATGTGACATCCTTTTATATATTTGAACATGGCTATCAACATCAATATTTGAACATGGGCAGGGTATAAATAAATTATTATTATTATTATTATTATTATTATTATTATTAGTACTATTAGTACTATTTTGAGAAGCAAAGCAGTTCGTAAGCCTGATCTTTATTGAACTGTTGCAACAGGGTGCCTCCCTCACACGCAGGAAAGGAAGAGGAACCCCGAACCAAGGTGTGCCTGCCTTTATATAGACATTTTAAATTGCCCACCCTGGAGTCCAAGACCACCCCCAGAAACATCATCTATACATCACAGAAGGGGTGTAGCTCAAGACCACCCTCCCGATATATCATCCATTTCAGTCCGGTTTCCATCCTGGTTTTGGGACCGAGACGGCTCTGGTTGCCCTCACAGATGATCTCTGTAGACAACTGGATCGAGGCGGGTCAGGACTGCTGATCCTTTTAGATTTGTCAGCGGCCTTTGACATGGTCGATCATGATCTTCTGGACCACCACCTCACAGACGTGGAGATACAGGGTATAGCCCATAACTGGCTGTGCTCTTTTATCTCTGGTCGGGGACAGAGGGTGGCACTAGGGAGGGAAATGTCGTCGCACCACTCCTTGGTGTGTGGAGTGCCGCAGGGCGCAATCCTCTCCCCGATGCTTTTTAACATCTTTATGCGCCCCCTTGCCCAGATTATCCGGAGCTTTGGGCTGGGCTGTCACCAATATGCTGATGACACTCAGCTCTATCTGCTGATGGATGGCCACACCGACTCGGCCCCGAACACACTGACCAGATGCTTGGAAGCTGTAGCTGGATGGTTTCGTGGGAGCTGATTGAAACTAAATCCTTTGAAGACAGAGGTCCTATGGCTAGGTCGGGATGGCATGGGGATGAGGGACCAACTCCCTTCTCTTGCGGGGGCCCAATTAGTGCCATTGCCTTCCGTTAAGAGTTTGGGTGTAATCCTTGACGCCTCCCTTTCCATGGAGGCGCAAGTTACAGCAACAGCCAAGGCGACATTTTCCCACCTTCTCCGCATCAAGCAGTTGGTCCCATACCTTTCCCGCCCCGACCTGTCCACAGTGATCCATGCGACGGTCATCTCCAGGCTTGACTACTGTAATTCGCTCTACGCGGGGCTGCCCTTGAAGCTGACCCAGAAACTCCAGCGGGTACAGAATGCTGCAGCGAGGCTCCTCACGGGGTCTCTGCCATGGGAGCATATTCACCCAGTGCTTTTCCAGCTGCACTGGCTCCCGGTGGAGTACAGGGTCAGATTTAAGGTGCTGCTTTTGACCTTTAAAGCCCTTCACGGCCTAGGACCCTCGTACCTATGAGACCGCCTCTCCCGGTATGCCCCACGGAGAGCCTCAAGGTCCATAAATAGCAACACCCTAGTGTTCCCGGGCCCTAAGGAAGTTAGATTAGCCTCAACCAGAGCCAGGGCCTTTTCAACACTGGCTCCGGCCTGGTGGAACGCTCTGCCTCATGAGACCAGGGCCCTGCAGGATCTGATTTCTTTCCGCAGGGCCTGTAAGACAGAGTTGTTCCGCCTGGCCTTTGGCTTGGAGCCAGTTTGATTCCCTCCCTCTCTTTCTTTTTTCCTTTCCTTCTCCTCCTGCGATGAGGCTACATTTTAATATTTTAATGTTTCCATATTTTAATGTTGTATTTTAATTTTGTTTTTAAGTTGTAATCATTCAATTTGTTTTTATTATTGCTTGTAAGCCGCTCTGAGCCCGGCCTTGGCTGGGGAGGGCGGGGTATAAATAAAAATTATTATTATTATTATATCATACCTACATCACAGAAAGGGTGGTCTACAACAGAAATCTGAGTGCGTTGTTTATCTCCTGTCTGGCAGGTTATCTGATAATGCCTTATCAGATGGTAGTCTGGCCATTCCTTTGAGACGGTGATTACCCAATCCCTGAGACAATGGGAAGGTTCCCTCATCCCCTCCCTCCTTGCAGAGAAAACATTTGGTCAGTTTGGGAGTCAAAATAGTTTCAGGGCAGTCTTCCTGTGCTGCTCCAGACATGTGGTCCACACATCTATGTACGTGCTTGGTTGGTACATTTATGAACATTTAAAAGACCTTAAATTTTTTATTACATAATGGAAGCATGTGTGTGATTGCCCAAAGCAGCAAAATGGTTGCTTCGTTCTGCACGTCCTCAGAGGCACTCTCACCACTCATTGGGGCCTGGACAGATGTAATTGAGATCAAAGTAGGAAACGTGTAGTTGTACTTACAGAGAAGGGCCATTGCAATGAGGGAGGTGGCCAGCAGTAGCAGCAGCAGAGTCAGGAGCGTCACGATGATGGTGGTGGAGATGTCTCTCTTGCGAGATGGAGAAGAAGCTGAAGGAGGCAGAGGATGGTGGGAAAGATTAAAATTTCATCCCCCCACCCTGCTTTCTCTTAAAAGTGAGGCTCCAGGGGACTACAACCCCCTCAGACAGGTAAGGTTTCTTACCTGCCCTCCATCAGCAGGTCTCAGGCAGGGCAGGTTAGAACCATACCATTAAAAACAAGCAAAGCAGTTTACATAAAACTCGATGGAAAAAAACCTGAGGGGCTGAGTAGCACTGAGTGGTGCCCCAGTGAAGAATAGGGATTGGGGCGGGGAGAGAAATCCATGTATGGTCTTGCTGAGATTCCTCCATTGCAGGAGGTTGGACTAGACGACTCTCAGGGTCCAACTCTACAATAATAATAATATAATAATAATTTATTATTTATACCCCGCCCATTTGGCTGGGTTTCCCCAGCCACTATGGGCGGCTTCCAACAAAATATTAAAATACTGTAATGCATCAAACATTAAAAGCTTCCCTGAACAGGGCTGCCTTCAGATGTCTTCTAAAAGTCTGGTAGTTGTTGTTCTCTTTGACATGTGGTGGGAGGGTTTCCACAAGGCAGGTGCCACCACCAAGAAGGCCCTCTGCCTGGTTCTCTGTAACTTGGCTTCTCGCAATGAGGGAACCGCCAGAAGGTCCTCGGCGCTGGACCTCAGTGTCTGGGTAGAATGATGGGGGTGGAGATGCTCCTTCAGGTATACTGGACTGAGGCTGTTTCGGGCTTTAAAGGTCAGCACCAACACTTTGAATTCAGCCCGGAAACGTACTGGGAGCCAATGTAGGTCTTTCAAGACCGGTCTCGGCAGCCACTCCCCATCATCAGTCTAGCTGCTGCATTCTGGATTAATTGCTGTTTCCAGGTCACCTTCAAAGGTAGCCCCACGTAGAGCACATTGCAGTAGTCCAAGCGGGAGATAACTAGAGCATGCACCACTCTGGCGAGACAGTCCGTGGCCAGGGAGGGTCTCATCCTGCGTACCAGATGGAGCTGGGAGACAGCTGCCCTGGACACAGAATGGATCTGCACCTCCATGGACAGCTGTGAGTCCAGAATGACTCCCAGGCTGCGCACCTGGTCCTTCAGGGGCACAGTTACCCCATTCAGGACCAGAGAGTCCTCCATACCTTCCCACCTCCTGTCCCCCAGAAACAGTACTTCTGTCTTGTCAGGGTTCAAACTCAATCTGTTAGCCTCCATCCATCCTCCAACTGCCTCCAGGCACTCATAATTCTATGATACTATGATTCTAGTTCACATTTAAAGCCAATTTACCCCCCCCCCCTTCTAATTCACACTTCCCAAAACAATATGAGAAGTGAAAGGAGGGAAGAGTGTTCTTGGGCTCAGATACTGTTTGCATGTTTCCCATGGGCAGCTGCTTGACTGCTGTGAGGACAGGATGCTAGGCTGAGGGGGGACGGGACCCCCCTTGGGCCTGATCCTGCAGGGCTCTCCTTAAGTGCTCTTATGAGATGTGTTTGAGATGGAGTTGCTCTGGTCCATTGTGGGATTGCACTTCATTCTGCTTTTAGGTTCATACGCTATGCAAATCGGCAGTCTATAAGTATATATTTTGGAATAGAAACAAATAATAAATTCCCCACTAAAAAAGAAAGAAAAAAACCTGCTCTGGTGCCTTTGCAAAACACAATGCAAAGGAATACAGAGAGATAAAGAAACACGGCTCACACAACTATGCAGTCAATTACATAGAACTTCCCAAAGACAAAAAATGTCAAAAATATAACATAATATAAATGTCTTATTTTTTACATTTTGTCTCTAGTCCATTTGCAGGTGTGTTCTGCAGTGTGTCTCGCTTGATGCCTGGTTTGGGTGGGGTACACGAGTTGGTGTGGGAATCAGGCGGGAGGGATGTTTCTTAAGAGCTTATTTATTTTCATCTGTGAAACTCTGCAAGCTCTGCAGTTTCACAAGAGCTTTATTGCAGATGTTGAGTTCCACCCCATCGTTTCCGGCCATCTTTTCAGAGGAGGATGAGAGTCCAGCAACTGCATCCCGCAGGAGGACCGTAGGTGTGTGTTTGTCCCCCACCTCACCCCCAGCCCCATATTATGGATTAAATTCAACCTTCACACAACAGGAAGCCACTGTGGACTCTGGGGCACTGATAAGCAGAGAGGAAGCAGGATGTTGACAAGCCCATTCTTGCAAAAGATGCCTTGCACCAGACTTTGCATCGGGCACCGGCAATTGACCTTATGACTCCTTACGTTCCTATCACCGGACCCAGGACTGGCTCTCAGGATTGCGTTGCCACAGGTAAGAGCAATAGCTCAGGTAAGGCAATTGTCCTCCACAAGGAAAGCCACTCCCCTCAAATTTACCAGATGGATGGTCTGATCCAGCAGGGTCTTCTGATATTCTGGTGCCTGGGGAATTTCAAACACTGCAAGGGGCAAAGAGGAGCAGACAGACCTCCTCCCCAATATCCCCCACTTTGATATTCACTTTGGACAAAGGTGCATTACAATTCCTGCTGGATCAGGCCAGAGGGCTCCCATTCATCCTGGTCTCACGATGCCCCAAAGGGACCTGGGTGCAACAGCAACACTTCCCAGAAACTGGTGCTATTCAGAAGCACTACTGCACCCCAGAGCGCAGTGATAACATAGCCATTGCAGACCCCCCAAGTGTCCCTATTTCCCAGGGACCATGTCAGATTTACAGAAGCCTTCCACATTTCTGATTTGATCCCAGAATGCCCTGCTTTTCCCTAAAAAAAGGTAAAGGGACCCCTGAGCATAAGGTCCAGTTGTGTCCAACTCTGGGGTTGCAGCGCTCATCTCGCTTTACTGGTCAAGGAAGCCAGTGTACAGCTTCTGGGTCATGTGGCCAGCATGACTTCTGGCGAACCAGAGCAGCGCACGGAAACGCCGCTTACCTTCCTGCCGGAGCGGTACCTATTTATCTACTTGCACTTTGACGTGCTTTCGAACTGCTAGGTTGGCAGGAGCAGGGATTGAGCAACGGGAGCTCACCCCGTCGTGGGGATTCGAACCGCCGACCTTCTGACCGGCAAGTCCTAGGCTCTGTGGTTTAACCCACAGCACCACCAGCGTCCCCTAGGACGTCCCTATTTTCGTCGGAGAAATGTTGGAGGGCATGGAATAGGATGTCCCCAAGGATTCCCCCCCAGCTGGAACTCACTGGAACTGAGTTCCGGCACCTCTCAGATGGGCACCATTGCCATTCAAAGAGAATGACAGAGGTGGCCATGAGTTCCAGCCCCGTTTGCCTTAGAAAAATAGCAATGAATGTCCTTATTTTCACTGGAGAAACGCTGGAGGGGATGCAATTGTGGTTAGAAGCCACTGATAGCCTTCTTCTCCATGAAATCTAATCTGCTGCTGTAATGCCTTTGCTCCCCCAGACCAAGCCCCGATTCAAAATGTGAGACATTTCTTAAAAGGGAAGGGAGCCTGTCATTAAAGTGTGCCCTTACCACCGACTTCAAACTTCGTTGTATTCGCATAGATGATCTCTTGCGCCATCCTTCTCTCGATGCCACCAGCCTTGCCTGTTCTTCTCTAGCTGTTCCCTCTAAGACAAACACCTTTCTATTAAGCCTTTCGTTCCGGCCTTCTGCTCAGCTGTCCCAGCTGCCACGCCCCCTGGCAGCCAACCAATCGGGCAGAGGCTTGGGGGCGGGGTTTAGCTGCTCAAACCCACGGCAGCACTGCCCTCTCATTCTGCTGCTGGTTTTCGTTGGATCACACGCGCACCCTCCCTTTAGTTCATTGCTACGTTTTTGACCTTGCCATGGACCTGCGGTTGGTCGCCTTGGTTGTCCAAGAGGCCTGGTAGGAACTGGCAAATTGGCACTGGCCACTTGGTTTTTCGCCTAAAAGGTAAAGGGACCCCTGACCATTAGGTCCAGTTGTGGCCGACTCTGGGGTTGCGGCGCTCATCTCTCTTTACTGGCCGAGGGAGCCGGCGTACAGCTTCCGGGTCATGTGGCCAGCATGACTAAGCTGCTTCTGGCGAACCAGAGCAGCACACGGAAACGCCGTTTACCTTCCCGCTGGAGCAGTACCTATTTATTTACTTGCACTTTGATGTGTTTTCAAACTGCTAGGTTGGCAGGAGCAGGGACAGAGCAACAGGAGCTCACCCCGTCGTGGGGATTTGAACTGCCGACCTTCTGATCGGCAAGACCTAGGCTCTGTGGTTTAACCCACAGCGCCACCCGCGTCCTGGTTTTTCGCCTACCTTGTAGCAAATCGTCACAACATTTTGGGTATTGGCGGTTAGGCATTGGAATATGTTTGTGTATTGGAGGGCAGGATGTGGCCATCCCCTACCCCCCCACTTTTTGGGTATTCCGTTAAAGGAATCCAGTGGTTTGTGGATCCTGTCCAACGCCCTTGTTGTATTTGCATCAACAGGCTCCTTCTACTGGTGGTTAACCCTTGATAGACTCACCCCTTCCTGAGGGTATGGAGTCAAGCTCTGTTGTTTTATCCAATGCCTAAGCCAATGTCACTCACATGCTGTAATCAATAAAGTTGTGGCCTTTTTTTAGCCTATTAACCTAATATACTGCGTCCTTGTGTCTTTCTTATCCTTGACTCACAACTGTCATGCTGCCAGAGAGAGGCTTGTGGGCTTTGTGGTTAAAAACACAGTGACTTTGCAACTTTGCCGTATTGTTTTTAATATTCGGTTGGAATCCGCCCAGAGTGGCTGTGGAAACCCAGCCAGATGGGCAGGGTATAAATTATTATTATTATTATTATTATTATTATTATTATTATTATTATCATTCTGGGATTTCCCTTGCCAGCTCTGCTCACGTGGCACAAGGCTGGAAATAGCATTCAGGGACACCTGGCTTACTAGCAGTGTGTGTGAAAAGGATCTAGGGGTCTTGGTGGACCACAAGCTGGACACAAGTCGGAGGGTCACAGCTGGGGTCAGAAAGTTGATGAAGAGTTTCCTGGTACCTTCACCTACTTAGATGCCAAAGACTGCTGCCTCACAGGCCCAGCGCCATCACAATCTGCCTTACCTTTCAGCCACAGGTGTGCTTGTGATGGTGAATGGTGGCAGGGCAGGGCAGGCAGCCAATCAGCAAGCGGCTTGTGTCACAGGGCTGCTGCTGCTTGCACCATCCTGGGAGGACAAAGGAAGCGAGTGTAAGGCCGTGGGAGGGAGGCGTAAGAATCCATGGGAAATATAGAGCAGAAAAAGCGTAGGGTTCAAGAGAATCAGACTCGAAGAAGAGCAAGGGAAATCCTTGACAGATAATCTGGAAGGGAATCCTAAAGTGAACCACAAGCAGAAGGTACAGTAGTTGCCTCGACACTACAGCAGATTATCCAATGTTGGGAAGATTTTCTTATGCCAGGGTTGCCATCTGTCCAGAATTTTCCGGACATAGCCGGAATACCGCAGTCGGAAGCAATGTCCGGGCAAAGAATCGCAAAAAAATGTCCGGGAAAATCTGATCATATGGCAACCTATGTCGCTAGTGTTGTTTTCGGTTATTTACCTTTAAAAATAGCTCAGAAACCTCTCTCTTTTTTGGGGTGGGGGTGTCAATTTTGCCCCAAAAGCTCAACAACCTTTGTGTACGGATGTTCACTTTTTGAAATATGGCAACCCTCATTTAGGCAATCCCTGATTTTTTTAAACCTCAGCTCTCTGTTACTGGAGGGACGTGGGTGGTGCTGTGGTGTAAACCACTGAGCCTAGGGCTTGTCGATTGGAAGGTTGGCAGTTCAAATCCCCGCGACGGGGTGAGCTCCCGTTGCTCGGTCCCTGCTCCTGCCCACCTAGCAGTTCGAAAGCACATCAAAGTGCAAGTGGATAAATAGGTACCGCTCCGGCGGGAAGGTAACCGGCGTTTCCGTGCGCTGCTCTGGTTGGCCAGAAGCGGCTTAGTCATGCTGGCCACATGACCCGGAAGCTGTCTGCAGACAAACGCCGGCTCCCTTGGCCTATAGAAAGAGATGAGCATGCAACCCCAGAGTCGTCCGCGACTGGACCTGACGGTCAGGGGCACCTTTACCTTTACCCCATTACTGGAGCTTAAACTGTTCCCTTTCCGCAGTGAATGTCATTATTTGAGAACTTAAAAGAACAGTTAAAATCTGTTAGGCAACTGCCCCTCCTTTCCCACCTTCTCCAGATGATTCTCCTGAGTGCAGCACCCAAATCCCTGAATAGGCAAAAGGCAGGGGGCCTGATGATGAACTTGCCCCTCAATTTGTTGTCTTCATGGGTCTTTCTTCCTTCTTGTCATTGCAGCCATGGCCCCCAAGAAACCACCAGCACCAGCACCAGCAAAGGCGGCGGCGGCGGCACCACCAGCACCAGAACAACATGGCATGACACCGCAACGTTTAAAGATGATATGGATGTGCATTGGTGGGACGGTATTGGTTTTCGGTACCATAGCTGCAGTGATGGGCTATCTCTGTAAGTTCAACTCTGTCTGCTGACACACACCTTCCCCAAGCTGCTCCTGAACAAACTGTGCCGCTTGGTTTCTCCTGCTAAAGGACAAGGTGCCCTTGCGCAGTGAACAGGGGAGGAGGGCTGGGCACAGCTAAGACGCGTCTGTTGGCACCCCGCACCTGGCGGCAGGCTTGTTGAAGGGGCCCTTAGCATGTACAGACACTCCAAGCACCCTTGTTTTCCAGGGCTGGATCTATGCTGAACTTTTAAACGTTATTAGAACGATATTAGATACTTTGTTCTAAAACGTCACAGGACATACTGGTACAGTCACACCTCAGGTTGAAGTAGCTCCGCGGTGACCTGGAAGTAATGGAGCGCGTTACTTCCGGGTTTTGCCGCTTGCGCATGCACAGACTCTCAAAATGACGTCATGCACATGCGCGGAAGTGGTGAAACGCGACCCGCGCACGCGCAGATGCGCAATCACGTCTTACGTTTACTTCAGGATGCAAACAGGGCTCTGGAATGAATCCCGTTCTTATACAGAGGCACCACTGTACATTAAATAACATCCCTTACCTGTTTTTTGTTGGTAACAATGCAGTTTGCCTATTCCCTGGTTCCTGGTTGCTCTGCAGAAACCTCTGGCATCAAATTTTAATAACACATTGTTAACATTACAAGCAACACGTAATGTGTCCATCTATGTTATGAAAAGCATTCCTTAATTCTTCCTATTTTTATAAACCATGAGTGTATATCAATCACGGGGACAATCACAGATTTACAGAAGCCGTCCCGATTTCTGATTTGATCCTGGAATGTCCCATTTTCCCTTAGAACGTCTTTATTTTCATTGGAGAAATGTTGGAGGGTGTGCCGTTTTGTGACCCCCCAAGCCAAGCAGATAAGTAACTATACAGCCTTCCATCAGCTTTGGCTGGTGGCCCAGCTACGCCCCTATCTGGACAGGGATAGCCTAACTACTATTGTCTAAGCTCTGGTAACCTCAAGGTTAGATTACAGTGGTACCTCGGGTTAAGAACTTAATTTGTTCTGGAGGTCCGTTCTTAACCTGAACTGTTCTTAACCTGAGGTACTACTTTAGCTAATGGGGCCTCCTGCTGCTGCCACGCCACCACCACACGATTTCTGTTCTCATCCTGAAGCAAAGTTCTTAACTTGAGGTACTATTTCTGGGTTAGCGGAGTCTGTAACCTGAAGCGTCTGTAACCTGAGGTACCACTGTACTGCAATGCGTTATATGTCAGGCTGCCTCTGAAGACGGTTCGGAAACTTCAGCTGGTGCAGAATTCAGCGGTCAGGTTGCTCACCGGAGCAAGATGGTTTGAACATATTACACCGATCCTGGTCCGACTGCACTGACTACCGATTAGTTTCTGGGCCCAATTCAAAGTGCTGGTTTTGCCCTATAAAGCCTTAAATGGCTCAGGACCACAATGCCTCAAGGACCGCCTCTTTCTATATGAACCTACCTGGACCCCTGAGATCATCTTCTGAGGCCCTCATTCGTGTGCCTCCTCCTCGAGAGATACAGAGGGTGGCAACATGAAAACGGGGCCTTCTCTGCAGTGGCTCCCCGTCTATGGAATGCTCTCCCCAGGGAAGTTCTCCTGGACTCTCCTTCCTTGGAGGTTTTAAAGCAGAGGTTGGATAGCCATCTGTCATGGATGCTTTAGCTGAGATTCCTGCAATGCAGGGGGTTTTAAAGCAGAGGTTGGATAGCCATCTGTCATGGATGCTTTAGCTGAGATTCCTGCAATGCAGGGGGTTGGACTAGATGGCCATTGGGGTCCCTTCCAACTCTATGATTCTGTGATCTCAGGCTGGGTAGCTGGTAGAGGGCTTTGCAGGAGTCTCTGAAGAGCTACTACCTGTTGAGAAGACAGTCCAAGGCTTGGTGGAACACGGCTCAACCTCTGAATATGGCAGTTTCATGTGCTTATTATGGGGTTATTGGGGGGGGCAGTTGTTTGGCAGCTGGAAATCTGAGTTCCCATCCTTGTTTTAATACCTTTAGATAGCAATATGCTGGCGGAACCACCCCATCACCTTGAACCGTCGTTGAACAGACTCAGAAGCTCAATGGCCGCTTCGTACAGACGCCCTAAGCTCAATTACGGAAATGGTAAGTGGGATAGGAATAACTGTTTATTTCCAATTCCGGTTTCGAAATGCGGGGCGTGGCACAGTTTCCATAGCTCTGAGGACTGAAAAGGCGGAAATCTCCTGAAGATTGTTGTTATTTAGTCGTTTAGTCGTGTCCGACTCTTTGTGACCCCCTGGACCAGAGCACGCCAGGCACTCCTGTCTTCCACTGCCTCCAGCAGTTTGGTCAAACTCATGTTCGTACCTTCCAGAACACTGTCCCACCATCTCGTCCTCTGTCGTCCCCTTCTCCTTGGGCCCTCCATCTTTCCCAACATTAGGGTCTTTTCCAGGGAGTCTTCTCTTCTCATGAGGTGGCCAAAGTCTTGGAGCCTCAGCTTCAGGATCTGTCCTTCCAGTGAGCACTCAGGGCTGATTTCCTTCAGAATGGAGAGAGTTGATCTTCTTGCAGTCCATGGGACTCTCAAGAGTCTCCTCTAGCACCAGAATTCAAAAGCATCAATTCTTCTGTGATCAGCCTTCTTCATGGTCCAGCTCTCACTTCCATACATCACTACTGGGAAAACCATAGCTTTAACTATACGGACCTTTGTTGGCAACTCCTGAAGATACAGATGTGGAATTTTGGCTAGCCTTTATAGGAAGTTTGTGGGTTCTGTGTATATAGCAATATCCACCATAATATCAAATCATGATAGGATGTTCCCAGGGCTTCCCCCCCCCAGCTGGAACTCACTAGAACTGAGTTCTGGCACCTCTCAGGTGGGCACCATTGCCATTCTAAAAGAACGAGGGGAAAGTTGATGGTGAGTTCCGGTAACCCTTTCCCTAGAAAAATAGAACTTATTCTTATTATTTAGATATAGACCCCGCCCAAATTCCTCCAAAGAAGGTCAGAGCAGCGAACATGCCAGCACTAATATTTATTGACAATGCTAGCACAACTGAAACTTCTTAATAACAGTTTAAAACAACCTTCTAAGGAAGGAATGTTGCATTTGATTACATCCCACAATTGTAACATAGTTATCCTGGAAAAGGTTTAAGTTCTTTGCTGATATCCATTTCCCCAAATATTTAACCCCCCTGTTTTAATTCTCGTAATATTCTCAAGTCTTTCTTTTGCCTGTGAGTCTAGATTTTTAACTATCATTCCCCCCTTCCCCTTATTTATATAGAATCCTGCTAAGTTGCCAAATTTTGTTATTGTTTCTGTTGTCCTTGGGACACTTTCTATCAGATTTTCCAATGTCAACACAACGTTGTCCACAAGGCTTTGACTTCGGACTCTCTCAGCCCAACCTTAACTCCTGTTATTTCATCATTTCCCCATATTTCTCTACTTAACACTTCCAATGTTGGGATTAACAACAGTGGAGACAGGGGGCATCCCTGCCTTGTCCTCATTATTGGGATTTCAGTTGGGGGGGGGGAGGGAATTTCCGAAAGGCAGCACTTTAGATCTTAGGCAAATCAATTAAAAAATTGTGGGGTTTTTTTTGACGTTTTAGAGTGTCCTCCTTTTTATAATGGGTGGCGCTGTGGGTTAAACCACAGAGCCTAGGCTTGCCGATCAGAAGGTTGGCGGTTTGAATCCCCGTGACGGGGTGAGCTCCCGTTGCTCGGTCTCAGCTCCTGCCAACCTAGCAGTTCGAAAGCACGTCAAAGTGCAAGTAGAAAAATAGGTACCGCTCCGGTGGGAAGGTAAACGGCATTTCTGTGCACTTCTCTGGTTCGCCAGAAGCAGCTTAGTCATGCTGGCCACATGACCCGGTAGCTTTACGCTGGCTCCCTTGGTCAATAAAGCGAGATGAGCATCGCAACCCCAGAGTCGGTCACAATTGGACCTAATGGTCAGGGGTCCCCTTTACCTTTTTATAATATGGGAACCCTATAACATGTTCAAATGAAGAAGCAAACGTGTCTGGGTCTGGGTTGGGCTGGTGCTGAAGAAACTCTCATTCTAATTTTGGGAATACTTTCAGCCATAAAGGTATCAGATTTTGCTTTGACGTTGATGGACACATTGAAAAGCAACCAGCATGAATATGCTGAGCAGAAGAAAAACTACCGTAAGTACCTGCATGTCAAAATACAGGGCACACTCAGAGAACGCAAGGGGGCAAATAGATATGGCGGTGAGCCAGAAACTGAAAGGGTGGAATGCTGGAATTGCAAAAGGGGGGGCACACCCTTAGCTTCCACAAAAATTAAAGGCCACCCCGAATGAACATTAAATGCTGGCACAGAGCACCGGCTAAGGGAAGGAGCTGGGACATATCAGTGTTCAAACTCAGCCATTGGGCAGCTTTCTCTTGCGTTTACCCAGGCCCTGATCTGCCAGTTTTGGTTTCTTTATTCAGCTTCTCAGTTTCCCACATTTCCACAGCAGTTTGCATTTATTTAAAACAGGTTGTTATGAAAATGCACGAGCATTTCAGCACACGTTTCTCCTCAATATGCCCAGTTTTGCTTGCGGTTTTGCTTCAGATGCAATTTTTATTTTTTGCAAAGTAATTTCCTCTTAAGAGGATGCGGTCCCCGCCCTCCTCCCCCGTTGTCATCACAAACATAGGCATTTCAACACTCCCTTCACCCTAGTCTATGCCTTTTCCCAAAGTTCCTTGCCTGGCGAACTGCATTTCAAAACCCAGAGGAGTGTAATTTTTGAGGAGTGGTTGTGTTTCAGGTCGTTTCGGAGAGTGCAAATCGGACAGGTTTGCCTTTAAATCAAACCCCCTCCTCCACTGAAGCAACTGCTTGTGGAGCCACAGGTCAGCAGAAAAGCCCAACCGTTGCAGGGAAATAATCTTTGGGCGAAACAGGGAATCCAGGAATCCTTGTCTTGTCTGCCTGGGCCAGCATCCATCAGTGCCATTAATTTAATTTGATTTTGAATTGATTTTAAAATGAATTGATTTTAGAATGCTGTGTTACTTTTACTGTTGTTAGCCGCTCTGAGCCCGGCTTCGCCTGGGGAGGGCGGGATATAAATAAAATTATTTATTATTATTATTATTATTTTGTCTGCCAGCCCAATCATCTTCATTAGACACTTAGAAGATTATTTCACGCCACTCTTCTAAGGAATATGACAGACAGAAAAATACAAGAGAAGATGGAGAAATTAGAATGTAGAATGTAGCAGGGCACTGACAATATAGGACTTGTATTTTGTACATACTGAACTTGGTGGTCAGCTGGAAAGCTACATTTTAATATATTATGTCGCGATGTTGATTTTGACATTGTAAGAAGCTGTATTTAATTTTTGAGAAGTAGTTTCTACTAAATAACTTTGCAATTGTTACTATATGGCCTATTACGTTTACGTGTTTTTTCAATGGGATTTGCGTAATATAGGCATTTTAGTGGTTTTTGGTTTCTGGTGCCTGCTGCAGCATGACACCTAGTGCAAACGCACCGGGCATGCTAACCTCAAACCAACTCTGTGTGCCCGATGCATATGATTTCTCCAGTCAAGAACCGGTCCTAGCCACTTGTCAAAACTTGTGCATGAGGCTGATCCTGATGAAGGATCTGGTTCGTGGAGCCGAAAAAGGTCCCTCACCGCTTAGGCCCATTGACAGAACCGTAGCGAGGTGATCTTGCGCCCCTGGCAGAACCATCCAGATTGCATCCCCTAGCCACGGACAAATTAGCTCTTCTTTCTGCCTCTCCTCCAACCCCCCTCCACCTATTCAATTCACCCTCTATTAAAAACCATTTCTTATGAGGCAATAATCAATATTTATATTTATGGACTTTTTTTTAGCCGATTTTGCGCCCCCCAATCGCCTGCGCCCCTGGCGGGGGCCCACCTCACCATCCCCTAGCTACGGCCCTGCCCGTCGCCCCATCTCATATCATTGAGGTCCAGTTCCAAGGGCCTTCTGGTGATTCCCTCACTGCAAGAAGCGAAGTTACAGGGAACCAGGCAGAGGGCCTTCTCGGTGGCGGCGCCTGTGCTGTGGAACACCCTCCCACCAGATGTAAAGGAAATAAACAACAATTTTATTTTTGTAGCATAGCTAAAAGTGCTAATGGAGAAGTTGGGATAATGCAGCAGTTTAAGGTCTTATCAGTTTCTCTGAATACTGTTGCCCAGAATTCTTGTGCTCTGGCACAACCGCACCATCGTTTCGTGGATGGCCCTACCCCAGTCTCCAGGTCTTGCGTGGCATTCCCAGTCCTGTGATTATGTAACACAAGGAAGCTTAGAGGTCTCTGCCACTTCTTCCTCTAGGTAGGCTAGGCTGCAAGAGCGAATGACACACCCCACATCACATATGGGATGGACAGGGTTTTGAACACAACTGCTCGCAGTCCATGTACCATGCAATAGCAGCATCCCTCTCTTTCACTCATAGAAAGTCTCTACAAGAAAGATACTAAAGCCAGATCTGCTGGTACCTGGGATACTTTTGGGAGGAATCTCTACTATGTTTCAAAAGGAAGAAAGACCTGGTATGATGCAGAGAACTTCTGTGTGTCCAGAGATGCCCACCTGGCCTCCGTCTTAAGTGATGAAGAACAGGTTATATATATTTTTCTTTCTCTCTTCCACGAAGTGGTCAACCTCTCTTGTGCCCAATTCTCCTGTCAACCTTGGTTCTTCTTGCCCTCGCCTGCAAATGTGTTATGATTTCTTGCAGCTATTTCCATGGCTGCTTTGTTTTTTGTTTTTGTTTTAAATAATTTCTATTCATTTTCAATTACAAAAATCCAATACGCGTCAAATTATATTAACACCCAATAGCAATACCAATTCAGATACAAATCAATTACATAGCCAGTTATAAATTTTGTATGGCTTCCCATGTGCTGTTCTCCAGGGTCTGGTTCTCTTTAGTTCTGACTCCAGACTATTGCTCAAACCAAATGCAATCCATTCTCCATAAAATCCCTTATACCACAGCTACAGTGATTAACTTCAATTCGTATTAACACATATAAAGGTACCCCTGCCCGTACGGGCCAGCCTTGCCAGACTCTAGGGTTGTGCGCTCATCTCACTCTAGAGGCCGGGGGCCAGCGCTGTCCGGAGACACTTCCGGGTCACGTGGCCAGCATGACAAGCTGCATCTGGCGAGCCAGCGCAGCACACGGAACGCCGTTTACCTTCCCGCTGGTAAGCGGTCCCTATTTATCTACTTGCACCCGGGGGTGCTTTCGAACTGCTAGGTTGGCAGGCGCTGGGACCGAACGATGGGAGCGCACCCCGCCGCGGGGATTTGAACCGCCGACCATGCGATCGGCAAGCTCTAGGCGCTGAGGTTTTACCCACAGCGCCACCTGCATCCCATTAACACATATAGTAGTTTGTAAATTTGCAAACGAAGTTCTCTTTTCTTCTTCCTGTGTGAGGTTTTAAGTTCCATCAATTGTTCTGTTATCAAATATTATGTCCATATTAATTAGTTCCTGATCTCCTTTGATGACTCGAAGTTACTCTGGAGAGGTCTCTCTCTTTGTTCTCATCTCTTCTGATGCGGCTGTAAAATTCCACTTTCAATTTCTAACAGGGAGTCACCCAATGTTTTGCCAAAGTCCTGGCTGGCTGGCCTCCAGGTTCTCCCCTCCACGTCCAGTCAAAGCAATTATTTATAATTATAATTATGCCCCACCAGAGCCCCGGCAAGTCTTCGAAATCCAGTCCCTCCTCCCCTCAATGAGGGGGCAAGTGAAAAAATTAACTCCGCAGAGGTTCCAAGCCATTTTTATTATCTACCTCGAAGTACATGTTTCCGTCTGCCTCGCAACAAGTCACAGCATTCAATGTGCAGTTCCTTACTGCCACATTGCTCAGGCTTAGGTAGCTGAATTGGGGCATTTTGTCAGCTGAGGTCGTTTCTTCTTTCTGCAGAATTACATCACTTCTCAGCTCAAAGATCCCGCCTGGATTGGTTTTACAGATGAAAAGGAGGAAGGCAAATGGGAATGGACAGATGGCTCCAGGGTAACAAAACAGTAAGTCTTTTTTAAGAGGGGGGGGGTTATTTCAAGAGGTGTTAGGGAACTGTTCTTGAGCATGTAAAGAAGTTAAGTAATCTTTACAACACAATCTGCTGTGGTGCCTTGCACATGCATATGTGATGCACCCCCAAACTCACCAGGCCAGCTGACCCCTGATTTACACAATGGGTCCTGCGTGATTGGCTGATTCAACTCCCCTCCTGGAGCCTGATTGGACTGCTCCTGCAGGCCAATCCGGTTGCTGATTCACTTCCGCCTGGAGCTGGATTGGGCGGCTCCTGCAGACCAATCAGGTTGCTGCCTTCTAGGATCCTACCTGCCTATTGTTCTAGGATCCAAGCTCAGTACATAACAGTGTCACAGCCCATTTTGCCTCAACAGGTCTTGCCACCTCTCACATCCTCCTCATTCTGTTGCCTTGGTAGACCCAGCCTCTCTGTATGTCTTGGATTTAATGGAAGTCTTTCCTCTCTGGTCCCAGGTATTGGCACGAGGAAAACACTTACTTCACAGAAAGCAAGAGAAGACTGGAGAAGGACTGCACATCCATAGTGCCTTCGCTGGCTGGAAACAATTGGCGCGATACCTATTGCCACGAACTACGGAACTGGGTTTGTAAGGAGAGCGTAGAAATTTAAGTTGGCAAAACCTGGGCCAACGCGTGACTGAAGACAGAATGGGTTTCATCCCATGGTTCAACTTCAGGAGACGTCTGCTTAGAAAGAATGAACAGAAATATACTATTCCACGCAAGCCTTGTTCTTTGTGCTCCCTGAAACCAAGAGAGTTGAGAGGTTGTTTCAGGGGCGTCTTACCCATAGACGTTAGTGGCGCAGGGCGCCAGGGCGCCAGATTTTGGAGGGCACCACAGGCTGAGTGTCCGGGAAGGAGAGTCGGGGCTCGCTCCCTTCCCCGCTGTGGGGCAGCCCGCTCTTCTCCTCTCAGCCACCCATCGGAGCACGCTGCATCTGGCTCAGGGAAGCCCCTTCACGTCCCCTCTTGCCGTGGCTGCCTGGGTATCAGACGGGCGTGATCGGGAGCGGTCGTGGGGCGCCCCTTTCTGGCCGAGTCGCTGCCTGCACGCCTCCCTGCGGAGTCTGCGAGCGGAGCAGGGAAGCACCCTGTGTGATCCTGGCGCCAAGCAAGGATGGCACAGCCTGCAAGCCACCTGATCTGCTTGCTGGCACTCCTGTGGCGCAGACTTCCCCGGATGGGGGCAGGTAAAGGGCACCGGGCGCTTAGAGGGAGGCTTCGCAGGAGGCCATCTGGGCTGTGATCTGGGTGCCTCTTACTTATGTGCAGTGCCGAGCACGCGCTGGACCACGCGATGTAAACGAGCCGGGCCAAAGTCCGTCCCCCCACTTAAAAATTACGGTTATTATTTGTTGTTCCCTAATACAATTTCCCCCCAAATTCTTAGCCTCCTCTTTCTTTATCCTTTTTAAAGACCTCACTTAGTTGAAAATATTGAAACCAATCTATAATCCAATTTGGAATCCCTTCCTTATTTTATTTTTTAAAAATCTCTTAAAATTAAGGAGATCCTTATAAGTACCCCAATTCTTATCCAAATTTACTTTTTTCACTGCCACAGCCCCAGTAGGCGATATCCAATCAAGGGTCTTCCTTTCTAGAAGGTCTTTGTGTCTTGCCAAAACACTACGTAAGTTCTTCCTTATTATGTGGTTTAGGAATCCCTTATGTAGCTTGGTTTTTCCATAGTAAAGGTAAGCATGCCATCCAAAAGATAGGTTGAACCCCTCTAGGTCTGGGATGTTGGCATTTTTTAGTTTCACCCATTCATTTATCCAACACAAACATGCCGCCTCATAATACAATTTCAGGTCTGGGAGAGCAAACCCCTCTCTTTGGAGAGGAGAAAGCAATAGAAAAAGAAATAAATAAAGAGTAGAAAAGAGGTTACAAGATAAAGATAAGACAAATAAGATGCCAAAATAAAGGGTTTTCGATTCTTCATACGTCCACATATAAAACCAATATTTGCTTCATCCAATCAAATATAACACCCAACAAAGCCACTTTTTATAAACAAACATGTTCAATCCTCAAATGGCACTGGACACTTTCTGCAGTTTTAAAAGTTGTTCCTGGCTTTGTTGAGGGCTCCTTCTCTTCCTTTTGTTGGGGGCGGGGAGTGACTTTCTTGCAGCAGATCAATAAAGATGAGTCTTAAAGAGCCTGTCTTGCTTTCTTCTACCTGGTTGTCATCTCTGTTTTATTTCTCTGACCGAGAGCAGACCTGTCATTCCTCCTCAATGATTCCTTTACAGTAGTAACTTTTTGTTGGTAAGCTGGATCAATTCATTTCAGACTTTGCTTCCCTGTTTCTTCTTCTCCTGCTTAGCTAGTTCAAGGGTGTCTGAGCATGTGTGTTAACCTCTTCACTCCATATTGGCCATTAGGGCTGGGTGATATTGTTGGGAAACAAGCCTCCTCGAGATAAGCTGGCAACTCTCTCGGGCTCCCGGCTTGGTCTCCGGTGACCTCCCTGGCTGCAATCCCTGTAGGATCCAGGCTAGGTCTCAATAGGCGACACCTCCCAGCATGGGAGATGCACACCCCCTCCCTCCTGCTTCCCTGGCAGGGAAAGGAGAAAGTCAGAAACGTCTATTTACATGCTTTTATTTCTGACTTTGCAGCACTACAGAAAACATGTCCGTTCACTTCAAAATCCAGCAAACAAGAGAGAGAGACTTCCTGTACATTACACACTGAGCAAATTCCGGTGAACTGCCCTGAGAACTGACTGTAACCTTGTTTCCCACAGTCAGCCCCATCATGTGATGTAAACAAGCTGGCTGTCTGCAGCTGCGATGATCTCATATTCTGACATCCTCCCCCATATGAATCTTTGTTAGCTGCTGACAAAGCTTGGTCCAGAGAAGAATACAAACAGTTGTTATACATATAACAATCCCCTGTTGTTTTTGTTCCACCCTTGGAACTATCCGCCACTGGTTTCCCCAATGTACCTCTCTGGTTGTCTGTTTTCCAAGGAATGAGTGCTTCTGTATTACCTTGGCTAGGGAATGTAGTGTTATGTTTAGCAACTCCCATTTGTGTCTTTGTCTCCGACTTAGACACAGCTTTAACTTGTCTAGAGTTGTCAACAATAGTAACACATGCAACAGCTGGGTTAGCAAACTCTTGAGAATACCTCTTGGGTGGTACACCCTTTGTAATTCTCTCAGACCTGTGTATGAGGTGCTGGTCCTCTCTGCTGACTGGTTCATCCTCAGGACTCTTTGGAGAACCAGTTCCAATGGTAAACAGTGGTTCATCCTTAACCTGTGAAGGCCTAGTCATTGTGTGTGAACCTCTCTCAATGACTGTGTCAACAGAGCTTTTTGAGCTATCTGTGTCACTTTCAGTACCACTATAATCAGAAAAATCAGAAAAATCAGAATCATCATCTGAATTGTCCTCAGTGGGAAATGTGTGAAAAATTACTCTCTCCTGTTCAGGAGCACTCTCTAGGAATTTTGTAGAGAACCACCTGACCGGATTTAGACAAAATTACTCTGTAGAGACCTTTTTCATAACCCACAAATATGCCTCTGGCATTCTTTACTCCACCTGGAGCTTCTGTCTTCACATGAGATCCAAAAACCTTAAAATGTGCTACAGAAGGTTTTCTGTGGAATAGCCTCTCAAAAGGAGAACATTCCATACCTTTTGAAACCTTTCTCAACCAAGTGTAACAAAAACAAGATAAAGATTCAGCCCAAAACTCATGTGGCAAATGTGAACTCAGCAATTGTGCCTTCATGCCATTTTGCAATTCTTTGTTCATTTTTACACAAATACTCTTGTTCCATGCACCTGCAGAAACAGCAACCTTGTGCTTTATCCCTTGCTTTTCCAGGAAATCCTGAAAATCCTGTAAAAGAAAAACTGGCTTTTCATCTGTGAAAAGATAATCAATGTTAGCATCATGAACACTTTTAACCTTATCACAAAACTCTTTAAACCTTGTTAAGGCTTCTTTTGGACTCTGCAAAACGTAAATCCATACATAATGAGAGAAATGATCAACACACACAAGATAGTATTTCGCATTGCCTCTAGATGGTGCTAGAGGACCAATCACATCAGCATACACTCGCTGAAAAACACTGGTAACTTTCGTTGTCTTCCTGACGTCCTCTGACATACCTGCAAGAGAAATCATGTTAGATTCACATGCGATACAATTATTGTAATCATTCTGATCAAAAGTCAACAAATACAGTCCGTCTTTCTCTCTGGCAGAAAGATACAGCTCTCCATCTTTGAAGATTTTGCAGCTTTCTTTATCATAGGACAACACCAGTCCTTTCTTTGTTATCTGCGAAACACTCAACAGATTAAACTTTAAATCAGGAACAAAATACACATTGTTTATAGTCAAGCTCAGGCTCTCCAGGTAAACAGTTCCAAATCACGTAGCCTCCAGCTCCTGGCCATTGGCCTGTTTCACAGTGAAGCTTTGCTTCTTGAACGTAGAAAACAATTCTCGGCGCGATGCCATGTGCTGCGTGCAACCTGTGTCCAAAACAAATACGTTTTCTACTGATGATGCGGCTTTTGTCAACAGCAAAGCCTTTGCAGGTTTCACCTGGGACTTGGTATGACTTTTGCTTGAAGCCTCAGGCTTTGCTGAGCTCCCCGTAGCTCCTCTCTGTTGACGTGGCTTCTTACAGTTCCGCTGAAGATGCCCAGTCTGTCCACAATTTATAACAACGGACAACGTTTAGAGCTACAGCCTGTTCTTCACTAGCAATAGCAGCGGGGGTGCCAGATCTCCGAGCTTCACTCCCCCTGTCAGCGACATCTATTGCTGCAAGTCTGTCTCTCTCATTCAGAACCACGGAACAAATCCTCTCCACCGTAAGATCCGCGGCAGGTAGAGAACCAAGTTGACTTGCAATGGTTTTGTAAGTCCGACTAAGGCTGTTAATAATCATAAAGCAAAATATCTCTTTCTGAAGAGGGAAATTGCGTTGCGCCATCTGCTGGCGTAAGAATTTCATCTCTGTCAGATGCGCTTGCACATCCCCATCAGGCACCAGCCTCATATTTGTCAGCTTCTCAAAGTGCAGCAATGCTGTGCCACCAGCATCTCTTTGATGGATTCTCTGTAATATAAGCCAAATTTTGCGTGCGTGTTCCTCATCTGCGATATGAACAAGCTGCTCATCCGAGACACACAGAATAATAGCCATCCTGGCGCTCACATTCTGTGAATTCCAAGCTGGCGGGGGCGCAGCAGGGATGGGATTGTCAATCACTCCAAATATCCTTTGATTCTGAAGCAGGGCCTTCATTTTCACAGACCATGAGGAATAATTGGCATTAGTTAGTGGAGGTGGGTAAGGTAAGCCTCCCCCTTTCTTCCATTTTGAAACCAAGCCTCAGCCTCTAGCAGCGAGCTGTAAAATCCAAAAGTCTATTGGGCTGTTTACTGCTTTGCACCTGGCAGCTTTGCCCGGCTGCTTGGAAAGTCCCTCCAAGAGTCAGTGAGATAACAAACAAACGCTGGAATTCCAACAGCTATTCCCAGCCTCTCAGTCCCAGCCTCGCTCTCGCTTTGGCTTACATTTCTCCCTTTGTTTTTGTGAAGCTAACTTGCTCAAAAAAATAGCTCAAAAGTACTCACGTCTTGTTGCTTAGCAACGGCACTTGGCAGGCGATGGCAGACCTTATCAGGTCCTCTGGAATGCGAAGTATGTGGCTGTCTCTGTGCTGTTTTTTATCCAAAAAGCAGCGTCTTTTTACAGTGAACCAGAGAAAGATCAATCTGCGTTCACTCCTTTAGCCATATTTCAGCATACCTTTAGGGGTTCCAGAAACGTAGCTTATCAGCAAGATGTCTCCACTGGTGCTCAGCCGTCCTTTGTAGCTTCCATCCGCTTGCTACCATATCTCCATGCAGAGGATGAATACAATCCATCGATCTCCAATCTGCTACCACATGTTGGGAAACAAGCCTCCTTGGGATAAGCTGGCAACTCTCCCGGGCTCCCGGCTTGGTCTCCGGTGACCTCCCTGGCTGCAATCCCCGCAGGATCCAGGCTAGGTCTCAATAGGCGACACCTCCCAGCGTGGGAGATGCACACCCCCTCCCTCCTGCTTCCCTGGCAGGGAAAGGAGAAAGTCAGAAACGTCTATTTACATGCTTTTATTTCTGACTTTGCAGCACTACAGAAAACATGTCCGTTCACTTCAAAATCCAGCAAACAAGAGAGAGAGACTTCCTGTACATACGCAAGAGGAAGGTCTCATACTACACACTGAGCAAATTCAGTGAACTGCCCTGTGAACTGACTGTAACCTTGTTTCCCACAGTCAGCCCCATCATGTGATGTAAACAAGCTGGCTACCTGCAGCTGCGATGATCTCATATTCTGACAGCAGAGATCATCCAAAACTGGTTTGAAGTCCATATTGTGGCATTGGTTTTTGGCCTGGCATTATATCGCGAATCATGACGTGTGTGCCATGCGAAAATCACAACGTGGGAAAAACTGTGAAGCCAGCCAATGTTTCTCTCAGTTCCTGCAGCCCCTGTGAACTCTGCTGGCTCAGCTCTCCCTGCCTTCTGCAGCAGGGCAGCAAATCCCTAGAACTGACACCGGCAAATATCACAATGCAGGAAAAACTGTGAAGCCAGGCAATGCCTCTACATTGCTCTATCCTTACTCCAGAAGCTGTGATATATCGGTATACTGCAATGCTTAGCTGGTGATATACCACGATGATGAAAACCAGATATTGCCCAGTCCTACAGACCATATGCCAAGCCTGTTCTCAGAATGGCTTTGTCTGCCAGGAATAATAAAACGCAAGTTTCTTCATTCTTTCATCCAGCACTCGTACCAGACTCCTTATGTCTGCACAGTATATAAATACCAAACTTCAGCAGAATGCACAATAAAAATAAATTCTGGGGCCCACCTCAAGACAATGTGCTGGCAGCGTCCATTGCGAAGTGACCATTTTAAACTTGTACAAAGCCACCTCCTAGGAAGTGACCCCGAGATTCCTAATAATTTGTCCCCAGAGAGGAGCACTTTGGAACGGCAGAGGGTTCTATTTCATTCTATTTCTGCAGCTAGTTCCACAGGATTGCTTCCCTTTCCAATGCTTTGCTGAGCTAATCAGTGTACAGGATCCAGCATGAAATTCAATTGCCTACCAGGAAATGGCACAAATAGATGTGCTCAAAGTATTGATCTGAGGGACACCTGGTCAAGTAGACTTCTGGCTCCCCAAGAATACTTATCCCTTCTGTATCTATCATGGATGCTTTAGCAGAGATTCCCACATTGTACAGGATTGGACCAGAGCACCCTTGGGGTTCCAACTCTACAATTCTATGATTCTATATGGCTTATAGCAAAAGTACATTCTCAACTCCCTTTTATTTCACCAGCTTAATTGCTTTTGCTGCTCACATTACAGTTCTAACATTTTCCGCATGCCACTCTAACCTCAGAGTGGTGGAAGATCCCAGGGGTTCTAGGCTCTCATCCAGGGTCCAGATTCCTTAGAATGAGCAACAGCTGAGACTTCAGTGTCTTTATGTTATGTGGTTTATTTACACACATACACAGTCTGAGCCTAGGAAGGAGGGGCTCACAGCATCAACACCCCAAAAGATCTTGCTGTTGGGATATTCCGTTCCACCTTAAGGATGTATGGAATTGTTGTGTGTCACATGTCTGTTTACACTCCAGCACAGCTTGCTGGGAACTTCCGTTTGTGTATAGCTTTTGCTTTTTGCTGCTTGCTTTGGACACGAAGGAGATCGGACATGTTTCCTTTTGTCCTGACCAGCTACTGATAGTTGGTTAGAATATGGTGTTGACAAAGCCAAGGTTGCAGGTTCGATTCTCATAAGGGGCAGCTGCATATTCCTGTTAGATTTCTGTTATGCCACTGTGCAGTTTTTGGAGTCACAAGACTCTATTGACATTCCAGACATTCCAGACTGCTGGAAGTCGCACGGGAGATGGGAGACGGATGTTGATGTTACTGGTTTCCTGTTCATTTGTTCCATTTGTTCACTGTCTCTTACAGCTCACAGAGAGCAGATGTATATTCTTGTCTATCCTGCGTAGTTAGGAATAAACGTAGCAATGGAGCACATTTCTCGGCTCCTTCTGCTGTTTGGATACTCTGCGTAACGGGGGAGCGTGCCTGAGCCTCATCAAAGGCTTAGGTCATTAATCATCGTTGGAGGAGAACCTGGATGGATTCCGAAGATACAACGAGGAGGAGAGCCATTACAGCTCGGTCGTATGGAACCTCCGACAATTCCTGCATTGGGCTAGATGATTCTCAGGGCCCCGTCCTACTCTACAATTCTATGATTCATTGTCCCTCAAGTGACAGAGATGATAGTTTCTGTTATCACTGTGCAGCTGCGTGGAGTCACAGGACTCTGTTTACATTCCAGAGACCTTGCAGTCTCATGAAAGGGAGACGGGATGTGATGTTAGTGGTTTCCTGTTTCCTTTGTTCCTTTGCTCCTTTGCTCCTTTGCTCTCTGCTTTCATAGAGAGAGGATGTCTTTTTTGTTCTGCATAGTTTAGAAATAAAACTCTTTACAATGTAGCCCAAACCTCTCGTCTCTTCCGCATGCTGCTGGGAACTCTGCTGATTGAAGAATGTGCCTTGGAGCCTTGTCAAAGACTCGGCTCGGAGGAAGGTGAGGCCTTATCAGCTTGTTTGAACGGAGATTCCAACAAGGGATGGATCTAGAAGTATCTGCAGACTACATGCTTCTCTCTTCTGAAGCAGTTCAACCCTGTCCAAAAAAGGTTACTAACCTATCTCTGTGGGATGCAGCCAAGGAATCGGGGGCAATTGGTGGGCCCCCAGCAGGCCCCAGCCCACCGGCCGGTGTGCCGAGCGATCTCCAGTCCTTGGATCAGCATGAAACTGTGGCCTGAGCTTCAGAAGCCTCCAGAAGCTGGGCACGCACACTCAGCAGAGTAAATAACGCTGCGCAACAGAAGTGGCAGGAGATGGCTGTGTGAGCATATTTGCAAGCAGTTTATTCAGCGTACAGCAGGACAAAAGGAAACATGTCTTCTCTCCTTCGTGTCCAAAAGCAAGCAGCATAAGCAAAAGCTCTACACAAATGGAAGTTCCCAGCAAGCTGTGCTGGAGTGTAAACAGGCATGTGACACACAACAGTCATGCCTGTACTTAGGGTGGAACGGAATATCCTAACAATCTCCAGGATACAGGAGCCATTCACCCACAGAGCCAGGATTTAAAACCAGTTTGTTGAATATGAATATGTAAGGAAAGAAAAATAGATTATGGATGCAATTGTAAAGAGAAAAGATGTTGTAAGATCTGTAAAGTTTTTAAATGGCAATAAAAATCATTTAAAAAAATTAAAACCAGTTGATTGACCTCCATCCGGTCCACCACTGCACTCAGGTATCAATGCAGAACCAACCAACTTCACTTCCACATCCAATTCAGATGGTACAAAGAAAGAGCAGTGTGTCATCAGTGTACAGATGAAACTTTGCTTCAGATCCCCCAGTGACTGTTCCCCAACTGTCTCATACAGCCCAAAACCTGATTTCAGCCCAAAATATTTCTGGGGACTAGGAAGATGGGAGACGGCTAGTCTCACCAAGCAGGTGAGGAGCTTGTTGATACCATTGCCCATGATGGGTGGGGATGGTCTTGCTCCACTTTCTTTGACATGGGATGCCAGAGACTGCTGCCTCACCCTGCCTCCCCACCCCCAAATGCCATCACAATTCACCTTACCTTTCAGCTACAGGTGAGATTGTGAATGGTGGGAGGGGAGAGCAGGCAGCCAATCAGCAAGCAGCTGGAATCCCGGGGCTGTTGCATGCACCACATTGAGAAAACAAAGGAAGTTAGTAAGGTAGGAGGAGGGAGTGGTGATGGGCAATGCGGATGAGAAGTATTGCAGGAATCAATTGCATCAAACTCGGAGGAAGAGCAAGTGATAGCCTTTAATGGTAACCTGGCAGGGAATCCTAAGATAAAGGAGAAGGTACAGTATGTGGCCCCCCAGTGCTGTAATCCCAGAGTATTTCACTTCAGCCTCCAGTTACTAGAGTTGAGACTGTTTCTTTCTGGCCCTTTGCAGAGAGAACAATTTCATCGGATAACTTTTTAAATTGCTAAAAGCAGCTGCTCTTTCCCAGCCTTCTGCAGTTTGAAGATGTTTCCCTCCTAAGATCTGCCTCCCGTGAACCACCCTGAGACCCCCAGGTATAGGGCGGTATATAAATTAAATTAATAATAATAATAATCACCTTTGCACGTGCAACCGGCCGCTGCTTTGTGACCACTCAATGTTGACAGTTCCCACTGCTGACTGGGTGTTGTGCACAGTGCCAATTTCCCTGTTGTTACAGAGCAGTGTCTTTTTCCCGATCCTGTGTTAGCCATGCTGCCAGTGGAAAACCATATCAATCCAAATGTTAAGCGTAAAGAGTTGATCTTTCTTATGACAGCAGCAAGACAAATAGCTGCTTCCAACTGGGGGAGAAAAGCACAACAGACACGTGGACCCAATGTAATGTGGAATATAGCACTTACAGAACGCTGAACTGACCGTCGGAGGGTGATAACAAGAATAACAAAGAAAGATGGCTTTGTCTTCCTAGGGTCTTGATTTATATCGTTTCGTAACAATGATACAGTACTCTCTCTTCTGTCTGATGGCTCATTCAAACTTCTGTTTCCCCTGCAACTTCTGTTTCCCCTCGGCAAACTGTGGTTTACCTCTGAATCAGAACCAGCAGCAACCAGGTTCCCCAAAGGGTGCCGTTTGTTCCGATTCAGTGTTAAATCGGAAAGCAGCAGGGCAAAGGGAAAACCACTCGGACCTGTATTTAGAAATCAGGGAACAAGTGGAAGCGTGTGCCATGACTTGTAGAAGCCAACTGGCCTAGAAAATGTTAGCCTTGGGCCCACTGTTGGTTGTTGATACCACACCAGTGCGATCAGCAGAGCATGCACTCCTCCAGAACACCAAAGTCTGTAGTCGTCCTTTTACAGAGTTCCCGGTTAAGAAAACTCCTTTCCAACTCAGTCCAGTTTAGAGTATGAAATGAAGTCTCCGGCCTTCTATCTGTCAGCCTTCCTAACAAGGCTAGAGAGGCTAGCAAATAGAAGGCTGGAAAGCCTCTTTCTGTTCTTCCCTTGAGAGATATGCATTTGGGCTGATTTGCCCATTTTTCCAAACTATTGATTGTATACCGCTTAGACTTCACTGTACAGCCCGATGATTACAGGGTTTAACATCGGTACATGCGTTTGTCGCAGAAGGCAACACTTTACATTTGCTATGGGTTTTTTTTTAATTCAAAAAAAGTTTGTAAATAAGTGAATAAACCCCAGATGGGCAAAAGTGAACCTGATGGTAAATCTTTCCCTCGATGAGTCATCTTCACACTCAGTTTTTTTGGTTTAATTTCTTCTTGTCATTCAAGCTATGGCACCTAAACCGAAAGCAAAACCGAAAGCAAAAGCCCCTCCAAAGAAAAAAGCACCCACACCAGGATCGCCATCGCCACCGCCACCGCCACCACCACGAAAACCTATCGTTCTTCTCATGAATGAAACCCGTGTGAAAGTCGTGTGGACTGTCATCACTATCGCTATAATAACCTTAATCGCCGTGGCAATCGGGATGGGTGTTTCCTGTAAGTTCAGCTCCCCCTGATCTTGCACCCCCCTGAACCATCCCAAATAAATTGTCCTACTTGGGTTCTCCCGCTGAAAGGGGACTATATTCTCATTGCAGCGTTTTGGGCTCGATGACCCTTTCATAGCTGTCAACGTTTCCCTTTTTTTAAGGGAAATTCCCTTATTCCGAATAGGATTCCTCACAAGAAAAGGGATAAGTTGACAGCTATGGACCCTTTGGGTCCCTTCCAACTCTACAGTTACTATGATTATATAGGCCAGACTGTTACCTAGGGCTGGGCGATGTCTGGTTTCCAACATTGTGATACTGTATATCACTAGCTAAGCATTTCGATATACCAATATATCACAATGTCTGAAATAAAGATGGAGCATTGGCTGGCTTCATGGTTTCCCTGACATTGTGATTTTTGCATAGCACACACGTCATGGTTCGCGATATATGTTAGGACCGTCCTACCCTTGTGTAGAACCCTGGCAGAGACTGGCATGCCTGACTGGCATGTTCTCTCCCTCCTGGTCGATCGTTCGGGAGCTTCAAAAGCTTTCTTCAGCCTGAACATCACAGCGACTGATACCAAGAAGCATCAGCACACTTAGGGATCTGCAGAGAATTCGCAGTTTGCGTAACAGACCTCAGTAGCACAGCATTTTGGCTAATCTACATTTATTTACATATAATACACTCGGAGCATTCTGACTTAGTTCCTTCCTCTTTCTCATCAGACAGCAAAGAGAGGAAGGACAAAGGACAATAGTCCCACTTCACGGAACACAGTAACATTAACATCCTGTCTCTGTCACTTCCCACACTGTGGAATGAAAACATACACCATCATGGGATATATTACAATCCCATGACTGCAAAGATGGAGCAAGAATCCTAACAAGGTCAAAAATTATGAAACCGATATCACGATATGGACTTCAAACTGGTTTTGGACAGTATATCAATATATCTCCCAGCCCTAGTGAGCAAGGGAGCGCAGGGTTGGGCCTGAAGGCCACCCCACATCTAGAATGCATCTGTTGGCTGTGCCTTTAGTGAATATGAGAAGGGACGGTTGGCAGGGTCCCTGGTCATGTGGCCAGAAGAGCTGGGTGTTCTTCATGCACCAGAGATGAGGCTTTCCCAAGTGGCCCCCTCAAGCCCTTTGCACTTTGAGGGGTTCAAACCCAAGTCCCCACTGCTGCCCTCTACAGCTGATGTTGCATGGATAGAGTTGCCATCTGTCTGGAAGTGAGAGCTGGACCATAAAGAAGGCTGATCGCCGAAGAATTGATGCTTTTGAATTATGGTGCTGGAGGAGACTCTTGAGAGTCCCATGGACTGCAAGAAGATCAAACCTATCCATTCTGAAGGAAATCAGCCCTGAGTGCTCACTGGAAGGACAGATCCTGAAGCTGAGGCTCCAATACTTTGGCCACCTCATGAGAAGAGAAGACTCCCTGGAAAAGACCCTGATGCTGGGAAAGATGGAGGGTACAAGGAGAAGGGGAAGACAGAGGACGAGATGGTTGGATAGTGTCTTCGAAGCTACCAGCATGAGTTTGACCAATCTGTGGGAGACAGTGGAAGACAGAAGTGCCTGGTGTGCTCTGGTCCATGGGTTCACGAAGAGTCGGACACGACTAAACGACTAAACAACAACATGTCTGGAATTTCCTGGACATAGCCAGCAAAACTAAAGGTGATTTGAGATTTTGCAAACAAAACACACCAACCTTTTGTATCCAGATTTCCACTTTTTGAAATATGGCAACCTTATGCATGGATCAACGGCAGATGAGAGCCATGGAGCCATCGCTTTGCAGACTTCAGTGCTAAACAGGTGGACATGGGGAGGGGACAGGGGCAGTGAGAGTCACAACCGCTGGAGGGGGTGAGTGGCAGACAATGTTTTCCTTCAAGCTGTAGAACTCCTTCACACATGCAACGCACCAAGAGAACTTCATTTAAGACCTCGTGCTGGGTTTAAAACCCAATCAGTAATACAAATATTCTTTGTTGGGTCTAGCGATGGGGGAGAAACTCAGTCCGGGTAACATTTGACACTGAATCTATCTGCACCAACATACAGCCGACCTCAGAAATTAGCACGTCTCTGAATTTTTCGATGCCAGCGTTTATGAAAATGTATAGAACACAGGAAATGTGCATAAAAATGAATGTCGCATTTAAAAGTCAGTACAGTGGTGCCTCGCAAGATGAAATTAATCCGTTCTGCGAGTCTCTTCACCTTGCGGTTTTTTCGTCTTGCGAAGCACGGCTATTAGCGGCTTAGCGGCTTAGCGGCTACTAACGGCTTAGCGGCTTTAAGAAAAAGGAAACAAACTCGCAAGAACTCGCAAGACGTTTCGTCTTGCGAAGCAAGCCCATAGGGAAATTCGTCTTGCGGAACGACTCAAAAAACAGAAAACTCTTTCGTCTAGCGAGTTTTTCATCTTGCGAGGCATTCGTCTTGAGGGGCACCACTGTATAGGAGAAATTTGTAAGATATTAGGAGAAAAAAATGTGTGTGCATTACTCAAAACAGCATACACAAATGTGCTTATTAAGAGCAATTCACAGGAGAAAGCTGAAGAATTTTCATGAGTCTTTAATAATAATAATAATAATAATAATAATAATAATAATTGCAAAATGCTTCAGAGAGATGGAGCGTTGCATTTAAGATTAGAAAAGTGGAGAGTATTGAAATGAAGACGATGTAAATAATAATAATAATAATAATAATAATAATAATAATACTCCCATCTGACTGGGTTGCCCCAGCCACTTTGGGCAGGGCAACAGGTCCTCGGCAGGTTATTCTCCTTTGCCTCCTGGAAGTGAAAAGTCCTTTATAGACTCCTAGGTATCAGATGAAGCAGATTGGGGCAGAAATTGGGCACCTGCAAATCTTAGCACTCATCCTTGTCTTTATAACTTTAGATCGTAAGCTGAAAAGAGCACCTAAAGATCCTCGCACAGATCCATTGATCACGCTAAGGAGCACAATGGCTGCCTCACTAAACCGTCCTAAGATCAATTCCGAAAATGGTAAGTCGAAGAGCAAGGATGGTTTGCTCCTGACTGGGTTTTAAAAGGGGATGGGGGCTGCTTCCATTCCACTGAAGCAAATATGAAGGAGCGCCTTGAAGGCATCGCAGATAAGACACAGATGTAGACTTTTGGTCAGGCTTTAAGGGAAATGTCACTTCTTCTGTTTACCCCAGGTATGCAAGTAACTTGCAACTTACATGCATTTAACTTGCAAGATTTCAAATTTATGTGCTGGGTGGCCAGGCAGTTGAAATTACATGAATTGAATGCATGTAAGGCATAGCGCTTAAAAACTCTTTTTGCACTGAGTTTTCCTGGCACAAGAATAGCTTTTAACCTCTCTACTTTGCTTACTGGGCTCTGGGCATCTTCTCCCATGTGCTCTAGAGTCTCTTTTGAGATCTCTCATGGCCCTGTGAGATCTCATGAGAGCCTCCAGAGACAGCAGGAGAGGCTTCTAGAGCCTGATAAGCAAAGTGAAGAGCCTAAGAGTTATCTACCTTGTGTGTGTTCGCAGGGAGTAAGGTCCACAATGTGGGAATGTTCAGGGATGCAGGAGAGGATATATTGTTTGATTATAGCCTTTCCAACTTGTGTAAACAAGTTCACAATTTAGCAGAGTAACATTCCCCCTTTTTAAACTTGCAGCGGATGCGTTTGCTCAGGCTCACTAAAGCCTCTATAATAACCGTTCTGGTAGTTCCCCCTTATTCCCTCATAAAAGATAAGACATGACACAGTCTTCTATAAAAGTATAAAAAGAGTTTATTCACTCACATTCTGTTCACAATCAGATCCCAGAAGGCAGACTTAGCTTAGAAAAGTAACATACACCTGGAAACATAAGGAGACAGTCCCTTTGTCCTCTTTTGGCTGGAGGCCAAGAGAGCATCTTTGGCTAAGCAGATGTTGCTTCTTCGATGCATGTGGTGAAAGAGAGAGAGATGGCTGCCCTGCCCTGTGCTTTTGTCATTACCTGCACAGGTGAGGCCACACCCACCTCTAGTCACATGCAGAGGAAGGCTGGGCTGGGTGGGTTCTGTTATCTATATCTATATCATCTATATCTATATCTATATCTATATCTATATCTATATCTATATCTATATCTATATCTATATCTATCTATCTATCTATCTATCTATCTATCTATCTATCATCTATCTATCTATCATCTACCTTTTTAAAAATATATTTATTTATTAATTTTTAAACATAAAAGTTCCAAAAATCATTTAACATAACTTCTTATACAATGTTTTAGACTTCCGTCAACAACCTCTGATGATTTTCCGTTCTTTATCACATATTCTCCATTTATTAATTTCTCTTTTACTTTTAATTGTCCTTAACTAATAATTCTTTTCAAAGCCTTCCTTGCAATATTTCACAAAGTCCTCCTTGCAGAACTTCTTGCAGTCCTACTAGCGTAATCTGTTTATCACAATTGCTTTTCAAATAATTCAAATATTTACTCCAGTCCTCTAAGAATCTCTGATCCCACAGGTTTCGAATCCTTCCTGTTAATTTATCTAATTCTGCATAGCCCATTAATTTCATTTGCCATTCTTCTTTCGTCGGTAATTCTTCTTGCTTCCATTTTTCTGACAATAATATTCTATCATCTATCTATCATCTATATCTATCTATCTATCATCTATCTATCTATCTATCTATCTATCTATCTATCTATCTATCTATCTATCTATCTATCTATCATCTATCTGTCTGTCTGTCTGTCTATCTATCATCTATCATCTCTCTCTCTCTCTCTCTCATCTCTCATCTATCTATCTATCTATCTATCTATCTATCTATCTATCTATACTTATCTATCTATCATTTCTCTCTCTCTCTCTCTCTCTCATATCTATCTATCTATCTATCTATCTATCTATCTATCTATCTATCTATATCTATCTATCATCATCTATATCTATCTATCTATATCTATCTATCTATCTATCTATCTATCTAGTTTTGTTCTCACACCAGACTTCCCTGGTTGTAAGGCTAAGATATAAATACTTAACTATAACAAGCAAATGTGTCTGTGGTGGTGAAGGTGAAGAAGAAACCTTCTAACTGTGGGAATGCTTATAGCCATGCAGGTAGCAGAAGAAGTGAAGACATTGCCAGACCATTTAGAAGAGGCTGAAAAGGCCTACAAGAAACGGAAACTGAAGTACCGTAAGTAGCTGCATGCCTGAACTCAGCACTTTTTGAGAATGCAAGGGCGATCAAATGGCAAGAGGCGCATGCTTAAATTGCAGAAAGGACACGCCCCCCCCGGCTGGCAGGCACAAAGATTAGAGGCCACTTTGGTTGAACGCCAGATGTGGCACAGAGAGGAAGCTATGAAACACATCTGTTGGCTCTTGCGCAAACAGATTGCGCAAACAGGCAGAAGCGCCTGCGTTTGAATATTTGATGGCATTTTATTGAAAGACAGAAAACTATATACAAAACAGAATCCTTTTCTTTGTCGCTTTTCTCTCTGTTGCATCCACCAACACTACTGTTCACCTCGAACTGCCTGCCATGCAGGAGCGCCATCTTGGCCCCACAACTGTGGGTGCCCGGGGCCATGGGTGCCATGCAGTGTGCATGGCTCTGGCACCGAAATTTGTGAGTGCCCAGCCCCTTTGTGGGGAATTTTGTGGGTGCCCGGGCCCCCAGGCCCCCAAGGAGTTGGCACCTTTGCTGCCGCTTACTGTACCAAGGCCAAACTGTATTGACAGCTTCTGAGCTCCAGTGTCCTTGAGCTTAGTCAACAGACCAGGTGCATGGCCCTGACCCGGGCATTTCAATTAACTGTTGCAGAGTGCATAAATTACTGACAATATCAGCATTCAGATCTCTGGGCAGATGTATGCAAAACCCTCTCTCTCTCACAATCAGACCTCTCTCAGCTTCTGCCCTCCGGGGATGGAAGCATGTGTCAGTTTTGGTTTGTCTCAGCTTCTCATTTTTCTGGTCTTCTCAAGATTTCCACATCCACTTGCAATTTGTTTTTTGTTTTGTTTTTTAAAGAAAAGGTTCTCACAAAAACAAACCAGCATTTTGGAGCAAGCTTCTTCCTCATATGCACATAGTCATATGAAATTGTGCTATATATATATATATACTTTGGCAAAATGATTTCAGCTCACAAGATGCATTCTTGTGTGCTACCTCCGCAAGACATAAGCATTTAACACAAACTTCACTTTAGTATATGCATTTTTGCGAAATTCCTTGGCTGGAGAACTGAAATTCAAAATTCAGAAAATTCGGGGAATGGTTGTGTTTCAGGTCATGCATTATTTCAGAAAGTGCTGGCTGGGAGGGTCATGGTTCTGCTGCAAGAGGACCTTGGCTCCACCTCACTGTGGAGCAGAGCTCTAGATTTTAAGCATGTGTTGAAGTGATGGGTTGGTGTTCCTGGGCTCACAGAAAATGGGGAAATCTGAATTCAGTTCTAATGGAACACAGAAGTGGGTTCTGCAGCAATTCCCAATACTTCTTATATTTGGGGTCCCTCCCTTCCCATAAGGAGCTCAGAGCAGCGTGGATTGGATTATCCAATTTATCGGCACAAGAACCCTTGTAGGTAGGCTAAGCTGCAAGAATTAGCCCACGTCACCCATTGTTCCTCAGGGATGAGCAGGGGTTGAATTCAACTATGTACAGAAGAGAATACATTATCCTCTTCTTCCTACTTATTTCTTCTTAGAATCCTTCTTCCTTAAAGGTGGGAAGTCTTCTGGTAGGTGGGATGCTTTTGGGAGGAATCTCTACTACATTTCAAAAGGAAAAAAGAGCTGGTATGATGCTGAGAATTTCTGCGAGTCCAGAGATGCCCACTTGGCCTCCATCCTGACTGATGAAGAACAGGTTATTTACATCTGCTTCTCTCCTTTCTGTTCTCGCATGCAAATATTGTACGATTTCTTGCCTGCTTCCTATCCACACATCCCAGCTGGATAGCTCGGTTGGTTAGAGTGTGGTGCTAATAACGCCAAGGTTGCAGGTTTGACCTTCCAACTCGATGATTTTGCTACTATTCTGCCTTTGTAGCAACAATGCAATGGCTTGAAAATTCTGTCCCAAATAGTCCCGGGGCTCCATGAAAGCTTACAAGAGGCTCCTCAATTAAATTAGAAATGACAGGCAGGCTTCACTGAAAGGCATTTGTCCCTCCACGTCTGACCTTTCTGGAACAGGAGAACATGGTTCTTTGGCACAATCCCATTGCACATGCAGAGATGGTGAAGCCCAGTAGGCAATGGTAGAATCTCAATGTAAAGTCATTATAGAACACAGCCCAGAATATTTTGCAACCTGCAGAGGCTCCATTACAGTTGTGTAAGCAGTTTCTTGGCTTAGAACCTGGGGCAGAGAATTTTTTAAAATGAAAATTGTTTATGTGGGTTACACTGAACCTGTTGCAGATATTAATGCTGTGCAGTTTGAAGCGACTGGAAGCATAAGAACTGAGGCCTTTGGCAATGAAGCCTTGTCCAGGCCCATAAAAATATTATTCAAAGTTTTACTGGCAGAACTCTTCAAAAACAGAACACAAGCATCAAAGATACAATCAAAATATCTATACATTGTCTTGTGCTGTCCAGCACAGGCTCAACATCTTAGAAAAGGTGAAATGATCCAAGCAGACCGAGAAGCAGAGGTCTGTTTCTCCCCACAGCCTGCATTCCAGCCTCCATTGGCTTTAGGCTGCTTACTCTCCCTTCAGGAGAACTTCATTTGTAGCCTCATTCCATAGAGTTTAGGAGACAAAGGAAGCTTTCAAGATGGCGAATTTGCAACCCAACACCTCTCACATGATCTAAGGTTACAACACTCACATGTTAGCTACCAGAGAACAACGATCAGTTAATTCTCAACTCAGCAAGAGCTCAGAGTGCTCTTGTTGGCTTTAATACAGCCCCATGTTAAACATTTCAGCAATATACCTTTAGCCATTCTTCATCTCTGCGACAATTAAACCAATTATACTGCACAGAACCTAACTTTTCTTACCACACATTTAGGGCACAGTTGGCAAATCTGTGAAGGCTTACCGACATGTGCAACCCTAGGCAGGCTGTTGTCTCTTTCTTGCCTCAATGACCTGACACAATGTCGAGTGAGGTTGTTCCTTCTTTCTACAGAACTTTGTCACTTCCCTGCTCAGTGACCCCACTTGGATTGGCCTTACAGATGAAACGGAGGAAGGCAAATGGGAATGGACAGATGGCTCCCGATTTAAAAAAGAGTAAGTCTGAAATAGGCGGTGTTGAGGAATTGTTCCCAAACACTAGAGGAAAAGTCAAGTCATCTTGCAGAAATTGCCGCAGCATTTCACACAGGAGTGTTTCCTGTGTCACGGACATTCATGGACCAGGGTGTGTGTATATGTGAAGGCGGGAGGCGCATAATGGAGTAAACCCCTGAACACCTTCTTTCCCTGTTCTAAGATATGCACTGTATTATGGTGTTCAGATGGTTCTTTCCCAGGTATAGACGAGCACACTTACTTGCCTGTCAAATGTCCCACACTGTTCAGAATCTTAAAAGGTAAAGGTAAAGGGACCCCTGACCATTAGGTCCAGTCGTGGCCGACTCAGGGGTTGCGGTGCTCATCTCGCTTTACTGGCCGAGGGAGCCGGCGTACAGCTTCCGGGTCATGTGGCCAGCATGACAAAGCCGCTTCTGGCGAACCAGAGCAGTGCACGGAAATGCCGTTTACCTTCCCGCCGGAGTGGTACCTATTTGTCTACTTGCACTTGGGTGTGCTTTCGAACTGCTAGGTTGGCAGGAGCTGGGACCGAGCAACGGGAGCTCACCCCATCACGGGGATTCAAACCGCTGACCTTCTGATCGGCAAGCCCTAGGCTCTGTGGTTTAACCCACAGCGCCACCCACGTCCCTATTCAGAATCTTGCAAGGGTCCAAATACAGTCTGATATAGCCTCTCCTCTTCCTGGGAAAAGGAGACACCCATCCCATAGTTATTTTGAGGTGTGGTTAAGTTTCTGTGTTACGCTTCCCAACTTGCAGGGATTTCTTTTTTAAAATAATAATAATAATAATAATGATGTTGGGGAGCGTCTAAAAATGTGGCCCTCCTGCCTCCCACAATCCAAGGGGGCTGCATCCCATTCTCACCCCACAGGTCTCAGCATGCCTTGCTTCCTCCTCATTGGTAGACCCAGCCTGTCTCTATCTTTCCTGTTTAATGGGAAGTCTTTCCGCAGGTACTGGTCTCACAATGAGCCTCCCCACAGACAGCAAAACAGAGAAATAGAGGAGGACTGTGTCTCCATTGTGCCTGCAAGTAACAACTATAACTGGAACGATGCCTACTGTCACGAACAGCGCAGATGGGTTTGTAAGGAAAACCTGGATATCGAAGAACTGTAAAGTTGGGGGAACCAACGCTTGTGTGAAGACAGAATGCTTTGCATTTCACCATCCAACCCCATGGAAAGCCTTCAGAGCTACAGAATAAACATAAACGTCCGATTCCATCCAGGCACCGTTCCTTTAGCTGCCTGAAACCAAGAGAGATTAGAGTGTGCTTTGTTATTATCTGTTGGCTGTGGGGATCTGTTTCTCAGGTGATGGGTACCTGGAAACTGGCACCTACTGGACCTTGCAGGGCTGCTAGCAAGTCACAGAGCATGACCAGTTGTTCTGGTGCTCTTCTCAGATACGATGGACACTTAACATACCCTCCAACATTTCTCTGATAAAAATAGAGACAACCCCTCAATATATCTCTGATGAAAATAGGGATGCCCTAAGGAAAAGTAGGACGTTCTGGGGTCAAATCAGAAACTGGGACAGCTTCTGTAAATCCCGGACTGTCTTTGGAAAACAGGGGCACTTGGAGGGTCTCTGTTTAAGCACTGCAGTTGCACTAATACCTAACTAAATTAAGAAATGTCTTAGTTTTGTTGGGAAGGGATCCCTGCTGTCACAGTTGCTTCCTTGCTGCTTCTACGGGACCGCCTCTCCTGGTCTGCCCCACAGAGGACCTTAAGGTCCATGAATAACCATAGTTTAGAGGTCCCAGGCCCTAAGGAAGTCAGACTATCCTCCACCAGGGCCAGGGCCTTTTCAGTGATTTCTGACCTGGTGGAATGCTCTGTCCCATGAGACCAGGGCCCTACAGGATTTAACTTCCTTCCACAGGGCCTGTAAGACAGAGCTATTCCGCCTGGCTTTCAATTTGAACTTAGCCTGATCTTTTATTCTCCTTCTTTCCTTCCCTCTCCCCTTTTATGAAGATTACCGTATTTTTCGCCCTATAGGACGCACCGTCCCATAAGGCGCACCTAGTTTTTTTGGGGGGAAATAAAGGAAAAAAAAAATTTCCCCCCCAGGCGCGGGGCTGGGGCGGGGAAAACCCGAGCTTCCCCCGACCCCAGCCCCTAGAACACACAACACTCCGCAAGCCGTGGGAGCCGGCAACCGGGCTCCCGCGCCTTGCGGAGAGCCGCGTGAAGTCTGGGCGCGCTGAGCTCAGCGCGCCCAGCCTTTGGCATGCAGGCAACTCTCCGCAAGCCGCGGGAACCCAGCGCACTGATCCCTCTCGCTCTCCAGACTTCAGCGAATGCTTGCATTTGCCCCATAGGACGCACACACATTTCCCCTTCATTTTTGGAGGGGAAAAAGTGCGTCCTATGGGGCGAAAAATACGGTACCTGCTCTGAGACCCCACAGCTAATTCTCCCCTGGCCTACTCGCTGCCCCAAGTAGGATCAGTTCAGCTAGCTAGCCCTGGGGATTATCTACAGTGGTGCCTCGCAAGACGAAATTAATCCATTCCGCGAGTCTCTTCGTCTTGCGGTTTTTTCGTCTTGCGAAGCACGGCTATTAGCGGCTTAGCGGCTATTAACGGCTTAACGGCTTAGCGGCTATTAACGGCTTAGCGGCTTAGTGGCTTTAAGAAAAAGGAAACAAACTCGCAAGAAGTTTCGTCTTGTGAAGCAAGCCATAGGGAAATTCGTCTTGCGGAATGACTCAAAAAACGGAAAACTCTTTCGTCTTGCGCGTTTTTCGTCTTGCGAGGCATTCGTCTTGTGAGGTACCACTGTAATTGATTTTTTATTTTGATTGTTATTCATGTTTTTATACTGTATTTTATGCTGCTTTTATAATTAAGTGTTTTAAAGTGTTTTACATTTGTTGTTAGCCGCCCTGAGCCCAGTTTTTGAACCAGAAAGGGTGGGGTATAAATAAAAAATTTATTATTATTAATATTATTATCCTTTCCCAAAGCTTAGTTAGTGCTTTGCCAGCTTTGGGAAGGAGGTAGGAGGACTCTAGGACCCTGCCAGAGACTCGAATCTCCTTCTGAAAGTTGGGAACCTCACTTACGTGGCTTTGGGAAGGCAGCACGAGGGCTGGGTGGGCATTATAGGGTTGCCACTTTCCTCCCAGGTCATGGCTGGCAGGGGCTACTCTGTTGAAGATAGCATGGCATGGCAATATTCAGGCTACCTGCAGTGTCTGCTGCCCGCTCCACCCCTCAACTGCTAGGAAGTGATGGGAGAAGCTACATACATAAATAATTTTCCTTGTATGCTTTCCATAGTTCAACCCATGCTCAGAGTGGCTTACAATGTGAAAAAAAAAGTCCACATAATTACAAACACAACAAAATTAGTCATAAACAATAAAAAATACATTACCAGAACACAACCAAATCAAGCAATTTCCACAGAAAAAATAATAAGGTCTAAAATGAAGATACAAAAATTAAATGCCGGCATCCGCCTGTCTCAGGAGACAATGGAGGAGTGTGCCTTTGGGGGGTGAAGTCAAACCGTTGGAGCGTTACAGCTGTGGCCATAGAGACCGATATAGGAGAGACATGTTTTGTTGCAGCTGGGGCAGATGAAGGCATCCGGTTGTGCTGCTGCAGATGTACCATGGTGTTTCTTCTCTCTGTGCTCCTCCCAGCAGCCATTTGTCCTCTGGTCACTGCACAGCTGACCAGTGAGACACAATGATCTCTCCTACTGGTGGAGGCAAACCATGCTGCTAATATCTTATGCCAATCAGGTTGAGCTTATAACTCGTAACCGCTGCCTCCCGTGTTGTTTTTGCTGTGTTTGCAGCACCCAAGTGACCTCTCTGGGGCCCAAGCCTGGGCAGTTTGTCTGGAGGTCCTGGGCGGCCGAGACGACAAGGCCCCCCTCTCGGCCTCGCTGATGGGGTCCAAAGGAAAGCAGAGCAATTAATCTGGCTCCAGCTTGGCTGCAGGAATTGCTGGAAGGAGGCGTTCAAAGCGCTGTCCAATTGCCGTAGAGACTCCACTCCAGATCTGTGTTGGGTTTACTCCTTAGTCTTTTCTTCTCATGATTATGTCCTGCAAGGCACATATTAATATTGGTATTAATATCAATAATACCAACAGCTCCCTCCACCCAACAGAACCTGCTAAATGGTTCCCTGACCCAAGAGGTGCATTTGACAGAGCTTTTTAAAGAATGTGTGGCTCTCCAGCTGTTGCTGAACTGCAGCTTCCATCAACCCTGGTTTTTGGCCATGATGGCTGGGGGTGGTGGGATTGATAGCCCTCCAATATCTGGAAAGGCACAGCCCCCATCCGTGTCCCTAAGGAAGGAAACTGGCCTGATGAGGTAACTGTTAGGTGGGTTTGTAGCTGGTTGACTGACCGAACCAAAAGAGTACTCATTAATGGTTCCTTGTCATCCTGGGAAAAAGTGACAAATCCACTCCACTTCCCTGTGGGGAGGAGTTGCAGTGGACCGCATGACCACCCACTCCCCTCTGGGGGCGGGGGACTTAGTCCCCTGTTGCCCGGGGGATCCCGGCCACGTCAGAGCCTGGCCAGCCAATCCACTGGCCAGGGGTGTGTGGCAGGGACCATTTAACCAGAGGCGTGAATTGGAGTGCTTCCTCTTTGGCTCGCTTCCTCAATCACCCTCCCTCCCTCCCTATTTTGAAGGTTTTAGGCACTGGCCTTGCTATGGACCTCGGTTGGTCGCCGTTAAGGGGCCTGGTGGGAATTTTTCCACTTGGCAAATTGGCACTGGCCATTTGGTTTTCGCCTACCTTGTAGCAATTGTCACAACTTTGTTAGGGTTGTGGTTAGGCATTGTTTGACCTTGTGATGGGGGAGGGGAGCTGTGGCCATCACCTGCCCCTCCAAGCTTAAGGGTATTCCATTAAAGGAATCCGGGTGTGTAGATCTTGTCCGAAGCCCAGTTGGGGGCTAGGGCCATGACATGACCCCAGCAGGAACACCAGGGGGAGCTCGAGTTGGTCTGCATGAACGGGGCTCCCCCTTTTGGTGGTTTACCCTTACTGGACTTCCTGCACATCGGGCAGGAGTCAGATATAGTCGGGTCCATTCAATGCCTAAGCAATACCGCTCACATTCTGTCATCAATAAAGTTGTGGCCAAATTTGCCCAATAACATTAACCTAACATCCGTGTCCTTGTGTGTGTTATTTCTCAACGAGAGGGTGGCTTTGGGGTCTCGACACGCAAGTGGGGTGCCGCAGGGTTTTGTCCTGGGCCCATTGTTCTTCAACGTCTTTATAAATGACTTGGATGAAGGAATTGAGGGGATGCTCATCAGATTGGCAGATGACACCAAACTGGGAGGGACAGCTAATGCCACAGAAGATAGAATCAGAATTCAAGATGACCTTAACAGATTGGAGAACTGGATGTAAGCTAACAAAATAAATTTCAGTAGGGACAGATGTAAGGTTCTGCACTTAGGCAGGAAGAACCTGCTTCACAAATCTAAGATGGCAGACACCTGGCTTGCCAGTAGTACATGTGAAAAGGATCTAGGTGTCTTAGTAGACTATAAACTTAACTATAAAGTCAACAGTGTGATGCTGCAGCAAAAAAGGAGCCAATGCTGTTCTAGGCAGCATCAACAGAAGTCTAGTATCCCAGTCAAGGGAAGTAATTATTATTGAGGGGAAGTGCGTGGAACAGATCTCAGTGTTTCGATTTCTGGGAATGGAGTTGAGAGATGACCTAACCTGGGGAGAAAACAGCCAAGACCTGATGAAGAGAGCACAGCAGAGGTTATATTTTCTGAGAATCCTCTGGAAAAACAATCTCTCAAAGGACCTGTTGATGGCATTTTAGCATTGTACTGTGCAGAGTGTATTGACTTACGGTCTGTGTGTGTGGTTTGGGAGCTGCACGGCCAGGGAAAAAGCAGGGTTGTAAAGTGGGGTGTAAAGACTGCAGAGAGAATAATTGGGTGCACTCTTCCCACCTTGGATCAAACCTATGCTTCCAGGTGCCATAAGAAAGCTGCAGAGATAGCGCAGGATAGTGCGCACCCCGGAAATGATCTCTTTCAGCTTCTGCCTTCTGGAAGAAGGTACAGGGTTATAAAGACTAGGACTAGCTGCCTGAGAAACAGTTTCTATTCAAATGCGATTTTGGTTTTAAATGCAGTGTAAGGAGTCTCTATGGGAGTATATTGTATTTAAAAATGGGGCATCAGAGTATTTTTTTAGGGGGCTAACCAGGTTGGGATAGCTGGGATAGCAGGCTTGTTGGTTTTGAATGTCTTATTTGGATATTTTCGATTTCATTGTTTTGTATGGGACAATGACAATAAAGATTATCGTATCGTATCGTATCGTATCGTATCGTATCGTATCATATTGTATCGTAATAGTCCCACTCTATTTTGCCTTGGTCAGACCACACTTGGAATACTGTGTCCAGTTCTGGGTGCCACAATTTTAGAAGGACGTTGGCAAGCTGGAACATGTGCAGAGGAGGGCAACCAAAATGACAAAGGGTCTGGAAACCAAGCCTGGTGAGGAACAGTTGAAGGAGCTGGGTATGTTTAGGCTGGAAGAGACTGAGAAGAGAAACTTGCTGGTATCTACACCCACAATGGGTGAGGATCCTCTTGCCCTGCTTTGTTTGACACGGGATGCCAAGGTCTGCAGCCTCACCCCCCTCAGTGACATCACAATGCATTTTACCTTTCAGCTACAGGTGTGCTTGTGATTGTGTATGGTGGAAGAGGAGAGCAGGCAGCCAATCAGCAAGCAGCTGGACTCACACAGCTGCTGCTTGCACTATGTTGGGAAGATAGGAAAGTGAGAAAGGTAGGTGGAGAAAGGAGAAATAGGCCTCGCCAAAGACTCCTGAGTAAGCTTAGAAGTCATGGAATGAGAGGAGAGGTCCTCTTGTGGACCAGGAATTGGTTAAGTAGCATAAAGTAGAGAGGAGGAAAAAATGGCCAGCTCCCCGAAGGGAGAAATGGAGAAGGTGAAGGCCCCAAAGGATCAGTGTTGGGATCTATGCTTTCAAACGATCTAGAGTAAGCAGTGAGGTGTATGAAGTATGTTGATGTCAACCAATTGTTCAGGGCCAGTAAAACAAAGAGAAATTGTGACGTGCTCCAAACGGACCTCTCCGAATCGAGTGAATGGGTGGTAAAATTGCAAATGTAATTCAGTGAAAACAAGTTGATAGACACTGGGGTCAAAACCCCTTAGTTTCACAAACAGTGGTACCTCGGGTTACATACGCTTCAGGTTACATACACTTCAGGTTACAGACTCCACTAACCCAGAAATAGTACCTCGGGTTAAGAACTTTGCTTCAGGATGAGAACAGAAATTGTGCTCCGGTGGTGCAGCAGAAGCAGGAGGCCCCATTAGCTAAAGTGGTGCTTCAGGTTAAGAACGGACCTCCGGAACGAATTAAGCACTTAACCTGAGGTACCACTGTATGTGCTCATGGGATCTGAACGGGCAGTGGCTGACCGAGAATGAAACCTTGGGGTTGTAGTAGATAGACGGATAAAGATGTCAACTCAGTGTGCGGCAGCTGTGTAAAAGACAAATTCCATGCTAGGGATCGTTAGGAAAGGAACTGAAAACAAAACTGCCAGGACTCAGGAGGATCATAATGTCATTATACAAATCTATGGTGTGAAAGGACTTAGAGTACTGGGCACAATTCTGGCCGCCACACCTCAAAAATGGTGCTGTGGGGTTGGAAAAGGCTCAGAAAAGGGCAACCCAAAATGATCAATGAGTGAAGGTTGCAGCATTTGGGACTTTCTAATTTAGAGAAAAGGTGATTGAGTTGTGACATGATAGAAGTTCATAAAATTTTGCACGGCATGGAGAAAGTGGATAGAAAAAAGTTTTCCCCCTCCCTCTCTCATAATGCTAAAAGTCGTGGGCATTTTATTTTTTTTAAATTTTGTGCTGCCCTTCATTGAAGGATCTCAGAGTGGTTCATGGAATAAAATACAAGATAAAACACAATGAAGAATTAAAGCAAAACAACACAACAATCGCCCCTTCTCACAGATACATTTAAAAGGCTGCAGGATATTATTATTATTTTATTTGCATTTCTGATACATTACGATGCAAAAACAAAACAAAACCTGAAAATAATTACATATTACATATTCTATTACATTAAAAAAAATAATACAGTCATTGTCAGACTTCCCTTCCTCTCAATACATGGTTCCTTTTAACTTCCACTTCCTCTCATGTCTTCTTAGTTTCCCCAGTCTTTCTCTGCTCTTCCCATTATCTCTAGTTCTAACTTACACTGCTGAAAATATTACCATCCTGCTAGGCTAATTGTCTGCTTATAATATTTCTTCATATAATCAGTAGATAGTGTCCAGAACTTGTGGGCATTCAGTGAAGCTAAATGTTTAAAGATTAAAAGGAAGTTCTTCTTCACATAGTGCATGGTTAAACTATGGAACTCCCTGCCACAGCAGGCAGTGATGGCCACCAATTTGGATGACTTTAAAAGAGGATCAGAGAAATTCATGGAAGAGAGGGCTATTGATGGCCAGGGGCGTCACAAGGGGGGTGCAGGGCATGCGACCAGCCCCGGGTGTCATGCTGGGATGTGTGTGTTAGTTTCTGTTTCTCACTGTGCAGCTGCTTGCAGTCACAGGACTGTGTTTACATTCCAGGGATTCCAGACTGTTGGAGTCTCACGGGAAAGGGAGATGGGATGTGACGTTACTGGTTTCCTGTTTCCTTTGTTCTTTTGTTTCCTTTGTACAGTTGCTCTCTGCTCTCATAGAGAGAAGATGTATATTCCTTTGCTCTCTGCATAGCGTAGTAATAAAGCATAGCATGTAGCCCATATCTATCTCATCCTTCCGTTGTGTTGTTTTAATGCTCTGCTGGGAGGGCTTGGAGGAAGATGAGCCTTATCAGTTCGGACGAACGGAGCTGAAATCCCAATAGTGTGTGTGACAAAATCCCCTGGGCGGATTGGCGTGGTGGTGCTCACACCCCCAGCAGGTGGATTTTCGCGATTGTCATGAAAATCTGCCCACTGATTGCGCAAATACGCCTGGCGTGCGGTGCTGGCTGCCAGAGATGCACCTCCCGGAGGCCGCGTGCATGCCCTGGGATGTAGAACTTTGCGGGTGCCTGGGCGCCCATGGCCCTGCATAGATGGCGCCTATGTGTTTGAGGCTTGATGGTGAGCTTGTCTCTTGAGCTAGTCTCTTCGTGGGTGTTTCCTTCTGCTTGTCTCTCTAGCCATGGCCCCAAAGAAACCTGCAGCGCCAGAAAAGCCAGAGGAGCCACCAAAACCACCTCCCGGGAAGCTCAAATGGACATTCTATTCCACCTTTGGAACCATCTGCGTTATCAGCTTCTTCACTATGCTTGTTCTCTGTAAGTCCAGCTCGAGCTGCTGTTGTGCAACCTCTGTTGAATAAGCTGCGCTGCCTGCTTTCTCTTGCCACGCACTAGAATCGCCGCAGGAGGATTAAACAAACCAACCTGCGTTTGGCACGCACAAAAACCGTGGACCAGTTTGCCTGTGGCATTGCTTCACTCTGTACGTGCCAACACCAGTTTACTCCCATCTTCGGAATTTGCACGTTTCCAAATGCCACACGGTGCCCCTTCTGCACTTGTAAGAAGCCACTCGTTTAGCGTGGTGGCACCTGAACTTTGGAACTCCTCGCCTATTAATATTAGGCAGGTACCATCTTCTTTGAGGGATGTGGGTGGCGCTGTGGGTTAAACCACAGAGCCTAGGACTTGCCAATCAGAAGGTCGGTGGTTCGAATCCCCGCGACGGGGTGAGCTCCCGTTGCTCGGTCCCAGCTCCTGCCAACCTAGCAGTTTGAAAGCATGTCAAAGTGCAAGTAGATAAATAGGTACCACTCCGGCGAGAAGGTAAATGGCGTTTCCGTGCGCTGCTCTGGTTCACCAGAAGCGGCTTAGTCATGCTGGCCATGACCCGGAAGCTGTACGCCGGCTCCCTTGGTCAATAAAGCGAGATGAGCGCCACAACCCCAGAGTCGTCCGCGACTGGACCTAATGGTCAGGGGTCCCTTTACCTTTACCATCTTCTTTGAGACACCTGGCAAAAACACAGTGGCGTAGTGTGGGGTGGAGAGAGGTGACATGGCCCCGGGCGCAGAATTCTGAGGGGGCGCAACCTGGCTCCCTCACCAAGGCTGTGTGACTGTTGCCTTCTGGAGCCATGGGGAGGTGAGCTGCACCTAGGCCAGGTCTTTGGGGCTGTGAAGGTGCCTCCTTCTCCTCATGGCTGGTGAATGGACACCTGTCCCTGGGTGGAACTTCCACTGGCCGGAGCCCAGACTTTCCCCAGCTTGTGCCAGTCTTTCCGTAGGGCCTCCATCTCAGCATGTGTCCTTGGGCAGGCAAGTACCTTGCAGTGGGAGCATAGTGGTGAGGGAACTGTGTGTATATTGCTTTTGATCGTTGCTTTATTCATCAAACCTTTTATTGGCATCACATACAACATCCAAAACAAATCAGTACAGAATTACCACTTTCCCAGTGGCACAAAACATTTGCTAAAAGAAAGGAGGCAGAGCAGTCTATCGTCACATCTCTTGGTCTCCAGGGAGATCAGATGTCTGCAGCGTATTTCGACCACAAAAAACCAAATAGAGATATTTAGCCACTAACTTGGTGAGCTCCTGATCATTCCCCAGTAATAGAAAATGTATGACCTCCGACTCTGGTTTCCATTTGGGGATACAGAGTTGATCTAGAAATTGCTGGCGGAGATCAGCACATAGTTTACAACTGAGAACCATATTTGTAAGGGTTTCCACCAGGTGGTCTTCACCTGGGCAAGTTCTTTCTCCTTCCACCCTGCCTGAGAACCTTTCCCAAAGGAGGTTTGATGGATTTGAATTAAACCTGGCCAGCGAAAATGCCCTTCTTTCTTGAGGGTTAAGCAGAAATTCAAGGTAATTGTGGTTAGTTTCATGTGCCCAAGAAAGTTGGAAATAAAGAGGGGAACATGTTTTCTCTGCTGCTACTGTTAGTTCTTGGCGTTCAATATCCCACAACCTAGTTTTTATTATAGCCTTGGCAGATGGTAGGGACATCGATCACAAAAGTTCCACTGACAACCCAAGTTGCTGTACCTCCTTGTTAAACTGTTGTAGCCCTGGGGAAAGAAAGGGGTCTGACAAGACTTTGCTGAGGAGAGGATCTTTATCTGATGTAAGGCAGATGTTTAACCAGCATAGAAGAAATCTCAACCAGGCGACAGTCTCTACCTTGTGTTGACCTCCCTCCAGATACAAGGCTGCATAGGGTACACAGCGTGAGACAGTAAAAATCTTGAAAAGGAAAGCTGCCTGCACTTGTTCTACCAACTGGGTAAACCCTGGCAGCCAGACTGGAATACCATAGAGCTTTATTGAGATTGCTTCATTCTTATTTTTTAAAAGCCAGCCTGAACATTTTGTCATGGGAATTTTGTCATAATAATGTACAGACATTATTAATAAGTAAGCAGATATTAGGCAGCTGGAAATCTAAGCACCCTCCCTTGTTTCAACAACTTTAGATATCAAGTTGATCACAGATTCCGAAAACCCGCTTCTATTACCAATGAAAAAACTGAGGATCAATATGGCAGATGGGCTCAGGAATCCGAAGATCGCTCACACGTCTCGTAAGTGGAACAGAAAGACTGGTTAATTTCTCATTGGTTTAAAAATAGCTGCCCACTTTTAAAATCTCAGAAGAAAGTAAAATGGAAGAATCTTCTGAAGGTGGAGAGGATGTAATCTTAAAGGCACAATCCTCCACATGTGCTGAGACTGTCTGCTGCTTAAAGGTTTCAGGATTCAATTTTTTTCATTGTCATCCTTAAGGGGCAACATCTTGTACCCGATCCCATGTTAGCCCTGCTTTCAAAAGAAAACAATATCAATGCAAGTGTCAAACATAAAGAGTTAGTCTTCTTTCTTATGATAGCAGTGAGACAAGTAGTTGCTTCCAGCTGAGGGGAAAAGCACCCTTTCCCACCACAGAAACTTGCAACCAGTATGTGTGAAATAGAACAGTTATGGAATGCCAAACTCACCATAAATGATAAAAGGAATAACATAGAAGGATAGGTTTGGCTCCCTATGGTCTCAGTTTATATCGTTTAGTAACAATAATACAGTACTTTCCCATCTCAGTCACAGAATCCACTAGGGAGAAATTATCCTAGCGCTTAAAATTGAAGTGCATGATGTGGATTTAATAGAATAGAATAGGATAGAATAGAATTTATTATTTATACCCTGCCCATCTGGCTGGGTTTCCCCAGCCACTCTGGGCGGCTTCCAACAAAGTATTAAAATACAGTGGTCTAAAAAATGTATATATATATATATATATATATATATATATATATATATATAAATACAGTGGTCTGTTACACATTAAAAGCTTCCCTAAACAGGGCTGCCTTCAGATGTCTTCTAAAAGTCTGGTAGTTGTTCTTCTCTTTGACATCTGGTGGGTGGGCTTTCCACAGGGCAGGCGCCACCACTGAGACGGCCCTCTGCCTGGTTCCCTGTAACTTGGCTTCTCGCAATGAGGGAGCCGCCAGAAGGCCCTCGGCGCTGGACCTCAGTGTCTGGGCAGAACGATGGGGGTGGAGACGCTCCTTCAGGTATACCGTATTTTTCGCCCTATAGGACGCACCAGCCCATAGGACGCACCTAGGTTTTTTTTCGGGGGGGGGGGAAATAAAGAAAAAAAAATTATTCCCCACCCCGCGCTCTGGCCAGCAGGCTGCTATCCGCAGCCTAGGGAGCCCTGCAGGAACTCCTGCGGGCTCCCCAGGCTTGCTGATAGCTTCCTGAAGCCTGGAGAGCGAGAGGGGTCGGTGTGCACCGACCCCTCTCACTCTCCAAGCTTCAGCGAAAGCCTGCATTCGCCCCATAGGACGCACACAGATTTCCCCTTCATTTTTGGAGGGGGAAAAGTGCGTCCTATAGGGCGAAAAATACGGTAATCGGTAATATAAAAGATTTCCCATGGTGACATGTGGGTCAAGGCTTAACACCTGGAAGGCAGCACTTCATCCTGGAAGGCAGCACTTTATGCTTGGTAATTGTTTAAATATTGTTTATAAAACATTCTATAAAGTTTGTAATTTAAAGAAGAAAAGAACAACTTGCTTGCTCCCCTTATCTAATATTCATTCTGGCTTCTTTGATAATTTTCTTGCTGTTTTCTTGCTGTTGCAGACATTGCTTTCAGCACTTAATGGTTCAGGTAGGTAGCCGTGTTGGTCTGACGCAGTCGAAATAAATATTTTTATTAAAAAAATTGTCCAGTAGCACCTTAGAGACCAACTAAGTTTGTTCTGGATATAAGCTTTCGTGTGCATGCACACTTCTTCAGATACACTTCAGTGCATGCACACGAAAGCTTATACCCAGAACAAACTTAGTTTGTCTCTAAGGTGCTACTGGACAATTTTTTATTTTAGCACTTAATGGTTTTAGTTTTATGAGGAGGGGGAAGGTTGTGCATTGCTGTTGTTTTTCCGGGGGATATGGTGTTTTGTTTTATACCTGACTTGTTGACTCCCTTGGGCACCCTACATTGTGAGATAGGAAGACAGGTTATTTAAATAAACTAGCAAATGCATCTGTGTATATAGGTTGGTGATAGCGAAAAATAAACTCCTAACTCTAAGAATGTTTTTAGCCATAGCTTTAGCAGAAGAAGTGGCAAAGTTGCCAGCAAAAATAGAACAATCGGAAAAAACCTTCCAAGCACGGAAAGGAAAGTACAGTAAGTATCTAAATGTCTAAATACGAATGAATTGAAAAAGATGTTTAAGATAACTTTTATTAAGAACCCAGAGGCCTTGCTTTTGGGAATTATGGGACTAGTGTTACCTAAATAATATAAAAATGTATTTATGTATGCAACCACGGCCGCTTGAATGATATTTGCCCAAAGATAGAAAGAAGAAAATGTTCTGACTAAAGAGGAATGGAAACAGAAACTACTGGACTATGCAGAAATGGAAAAACTCACTGGAAGAATAAGAAACCAAGATGACAAAGTTTTTTAAAATAAAAAATGGAAATAGTTTATTGAATATATTATAAGATTATTGTAAACAGATCAAGACATTAAAGGATTAATGTAAAAATGTTCAGTGATATAAAACGTACATTGGATACATTGGATAAATAATAAATAGGTTTAATTTGGAAATGCAGTAAAAATATCATAAACATAAGGAACTGCAGAAAGAGGGGGAGGGGTGTCGAAATAGGACACATGTAATAAGTTGCTTTTTAAGGGATTTCGCTTTTGTTTGTTGTAAAATGAAAATTATAATTTAACAAATAAATGTCTAAATCTGACCCATCTTGAAAATACAAGGGCGAGCAAATATATGTGAGTTGAAGTTTGTCTGTCACATGCTCTGATTACAGCATGGGAAATTGGCAGCCCATTAACTGTCACCAAAATCAAAGAATACCTTAAATGAAAGTTAAATGCTGATAATCAGAGTTTACGGTGGGCTCAGGAACCAAACTCTATTGGGGATTAATAACTAGAAGATTTGAAACAGCCCTGTATAGTCTTCAGTCCAGTTCGCAGTGATATTTTCTCCCCCATGGGCCTTCTAAGATGCTCAGGAAAGGAACTGTTCCAAGGTCTCATCTGTTTATTTTGTTGTTGCAGGGGTTTGTTTGTTTGCTTTGTGTGTGTGTCAGTCTGAATTATGCCAAGTCTCTTCTGATACTTGGGGTGTTGCAGCCAGTGAGGTTAGAATATGACAAGAGGAGTTTGTTGAACGGGTCAGACATTGGCCTTACCTGGCCACATAGGTGTCCTTATCAGCATCCCAAAAGAATGGGCTATGCTGCCAGAGCTACAACTAAGTGATAGTGCCCCACATTAATGGGTGGGTTTCCCCCTCCCCAATTGTCAGGTGGAGAGAACAACAGGAGCGCAGTGTGTGTGACTGAGGAAAAAGAAGACTAGAAGCTAGAGATGCAGAAGAGGCAAGAGATTTTGCACTAGAATAATAGAACTGTAGAGCTGGAAGGGACCATCAGGGTCATCTAGTCAATGTAGGAATCTTTTGCCCAACGTGGGGCTCAAACCCACAACCCTGAGAGTAAGAGTCTCATGCTCTACAGGCTGAGCCGTCTTAGTACTAATGCTGCGAGCCCCTCAGCCTCGTGCTCAGGGGACTCCTGTCTTCCACTGCCTCCCGCAGTTTGGTCAAACTCATGCTGGTAGCTTCAAGAACACTGTCCAACCATCTCGTCCTCTGTCATCCCCTTCTCCTTGTGCCCTCCATCTTTCCCAACATCAGGGTCTTTTCCAGGGAGTCTTCTCTTCTCATGAGGTGGCCAAAGTCTTGGAGCCTCAGCTTCAGGATCTGTCCTTCCAGTGAGCACTCAGGGCTGATTTCCTTCAGAATGGAGAGGTTGGATCTTCTTGCAGTCCATGGGACTCTCAAGAGTCTCCTCCAGCACCAGAATTCAAAAGCATCAATTCTTCGGCGATCAGCCTTCTTTATGGTCCAGCTTTCACTTCCATACATCAGTACTGGGAAAACCATAGCTTTAACTACGGTACATGGACCTTTGTTTTTTGTTTAAAATAATATTTATTAAGAGTTTAAAAGTTACCAAAAAAAAGAAAAAGAGTTAAACAAAGCAAAGAAGCAAAAAGAAACAACAAACAAAAAACAACACAATACAATGCAAGACAAATAAAACAAAACAAAGACCATTTTAAACAATTTCAATGTAATATCTTTCATTCGCTTATTTCCACGACTTCCTCACACCCCCTTTTTGTATTCCACATCAATTAATTATTTCAGCAATTCCTTTCCATCTTCCTCTGTTTTCTATCCTATAATTATCTTAACACATTCTAACCTTATTTTATTCCCTTTAATGCTCAACTAATCTATTTATACTTAATTCCTTATAACATTTCTGCTAAAGCCATATAACTTCATTCCCACTTTGTTCTAACATTCATTAATTTTGCAGTATTTCTATAAATAGTCTTTAAACTCCCAGTCTTCTTCCACCAGCAATTCTCCCTGGTCTCCGATTCTGCCGATTCTCTCAGCCAGCAAAAAGCAGATGATTCACAACAAAATTTAGAGGTCTGGCAGGGCAAGTCCACCTCCTTCTTTAGCATCCGTTAATATCTTAAATTTTACTCGAGGCTTCCTGCCCTGCCATACAGATCTAGAGACATCCCTCTGCCACCTCCTGAAACAATCCCTTCCATCCAAAACTTGCAATGTTTGAAACAAAAGCAACATCCCCGACCTCACCGCAACCCTTGTCCCCACCACAGCAACTCGGCCCAACAATAGCAACTTCCAATTTAGCCCTATTTCCAAATCCCCCTTGTCTTCAAGCCAACGTCCTTCACAGTTGCCCTTGAATAAATTCACATTTCTGGCGGTCATACTAACCCCCCAATACCTCTCTTTCTCAACCAATGTTAGTCCTATCTCCTCCTGAAACTCTATCAAGGTTTCCTTTTCCTCGGGTAGGGCTCTGATCCTCAATTTCATCTGTTTCTCTTTAAGTTCAGTCATATCAGGTGTCAGCTCGTATTCATCAAATCATCCTTGTATGGATGGGACTCTCTCTCTCTCCAGTTGAATTACTTTAACTTCAGCAGCGAGGGTTTTCTCCTTAACTTCATCCGCAGTTTGCCGTATCAGGATAGATTCCTGTATCAATTTCTGGGTGGTTTCTGTATTGATATTCACCTTTTGTCCCAGGTTATTTAAACTTTCTACCATTAAATCATTTTTAATATTTGCAGCATCCACTTTCATATTTATCACATCCATTTTCTTGTGAAGCTGTTCCAGCGAATAATTTATTTTCACTAGTACAATCACTAAGGCCTCTTCTGGTGACATTCCATCTTTCGCATCTGCCATAACACTCAATAGATTCAAGGTCAACTCACAGTCTCACGGTTTTTATCTTACAACTGGAAATTTCCCAGCCCAGATCTTATGTAGCCACCAGTTTCAAGAACTTCCACTAGAGGGAAACAGTTTCTATTTGTATTGATAAGTAATATCCTCTTAAAGCACAGTTCAAACGACCGCAAACTAATTTCAATTTTCAGTTACTTTCACTGCTGGAAACAGAAGAAACAATGTATCTTCTCTTATGCTAGCTGTCAACACGATCCAAGCACTGTCAATAAACGTCTCACCAAAACGTCGGACCTTCTAGCAGCCCGTTCCCAGGGTCCGAGCGGCGGTGTTTTACCTCTCTTGGTCTCTTCCGCAGGCAAACTCAGTTGACAACTTCCCTCCCCCCTCTTCTCCTGCCTCCAAGGGGGGGATTATATTCTTTACTTATGGAAATTTAGTCTTTTACAAAAGGCTTTCCAAGACTTCAGCTTGCAGCCTCCATTGCTTCAGTCTATTTACAAAAGGGGAAGGCGGACTTCCTGTATTGAACCTTCCCCGTTTCGATGCCAAATTAGACTTTTTTTTTAAAAAAATCCAATTTTCCCAATTAAGCTCTACTCACGGGTAGTTACTTTAGAGTCAAATTGTCCACAGGAAAAAGTCAGCACTCTCCGACAACAGCTATGTGGCTTCGCTCCGTGGAAGAAGCAGATGATTCGAAGCACCGCGCCGCTCACCCCACGTCGCTCTGGATCCCCGAAACCGGGTTTCCCCGCGAGTGGGGGAGGCGCAAAGGGTGCCCGCCGAATCCCACGCTCACAGGCTTCTCCCGCCTGTGATTTTTAACGGGTCTCCGCCTTCGCCGTGGTGGCCAGACCCAGATTTCCACGGAGCTGATTCCTCCCGATCAGAGGAATCCAGCCATTGCCAGAGGCGCCTCCCCGGAAGTCCCGGTACATGGACCTTTGTTGTATATATGTGTAAATAAAACTATATGCCATAAAGATAGAGCAGTCTCCCCTAACCTTCGTTCCAGGAGATCCAAACCCTGGGTAACCTCTCCTACTCTTTCACCCTTAAATGGCACCTTACTCCCATCCACCCCATACTGCCCGTTTGTTTCATTCTTCCTTCCTGGTCCTTTCACTTTCACTTTGTCCTGTAGCAACTTCCCTCTCTTAGCTCATTTCTCTCTATCTCCCGTGGTACCTTGGTTTACAAACAGTCTGGATTGCATACGTTTTGGATTACAAACACGTCAAACCCAGAAGTGCGTGTTAGTTTCTGTGTGTTGCCACTGTGCAGTGCTCTTGGAGTCACAAGACTCTGTTTTGCATTCCAAAGATTCCAGGCTGTTGGAATTCTCACAGAAGACAGGAGACAGATGTGATGTTGCTGGTTTCCTGTTCCTTTGTTGTTCGGTTGCTCTCTGCTCTCACAGAGAGAGGATGTATTTTATTTTCTGTTTGCGTAGTTAGGAATAAAACGCTCTTTAGCCATGTAGCTTATGCTATCTTGGCTCCTTCCCTGTGCTGGATACTCTGCATAAAGGGGAAACATGCTTGAAGCCTCATCAAAGGCTCAAGTCGTTAATCACGTCGGAGGAGCTCGGGTGAACGCAAGTCCGACAGTGCGTGTCCCAGTTTGCAAACTTTTTTTTAATTACAACCCATTTTTTTTTTGGATTATGAACAAATTTTTTTGGGAGGCCCCATTAGCGAAAGCGCGCCTTGGGTTACAACCTGTTTTGGTTTACAAAAGGACCTCCGGAAAGGATTATGGTTGTAAACCAAGGTACCACTGTATTAATACCATCAGCGCCTACTTTCAGCTCACTTTCTAATTTCCTTCAACACTTCCTCTGGCCTTTTCCCCTCCGATGAGGTAGACCTTCTTTCCATCCTTGAACGTCTCTGTCTCCCAGCCACCTTCACAGCGAGATAGGGAGCTGTTGGTGCTGGCTTGGTCCAGACAATGAGTGGAGCAGGTGAGTGATGAGGCAATGGGCAGACTTTGGCAGAGAGGTCCACCTAAGAGTGGTCCAAGTTCTACTGGTGGGCCCCAGCCCACAGTTTGAGAAGCCTTGTCCTAAGAGCACCAGGGAGACATTCTTCACCAATCTCAGAATAGAATGGAAGAATAGAATTTATTATTTATACCCTGCCCATCTGGCGGCTTCCAACAAAGTATTAAAATACAGTGGTCTGTTAAACATTAAAAGCTTCCCTAAAGAGGGCTGCCTTCAGATGTCTTCTAAAAGTCTGGTAGTTGTTCTTTTCTTTGACATCTGGTGGGAGGGTGTTCCACAGGGCGGGTGCCACCATCGAGAAGGCCCTCTGCCTGGTTCCCTGTAATTTGGCTTCTCGCAGTGAGGGAACCGCCAGAAGGCCCTCGGCGCTGGACCTCAGTGTCCGGTCTGAACGATGGGGGTGGAGATGCTCCTTCAGGTATACTGGGCCTTTGAGGCCATTTAGGGCTTTCAAGGTCAGCACCAACACTTTGAATTGTACTTGGAAACGTACTGGGAGCCAGTGTAATAATAATAATAATAATAATAATAATAATAATTTTTTATTTATACCCCGCCCTCCCCAGCCAAGGCCGGGCTCAGAGTGGCCCAGAGTGTAGGTCTTTGAAGACCGGTGTTATGTGGTCTCGGCAGCCGCTCCCAGTCACCAGTCTAACTGCCACATTCTGGATTAGTTGTAGTTTCTGGGTCACCTTCAAAGGTAGCCCCACATAGAGCGCATTGCAGTAGTCCAAGCAGGAGATAACTAGAGCATGCACCACTCTGGTGAGACAGTCTGCGGGCAGGGAGGGTCTCATCCTGCGTGCCAGGTGAAGCTGGGAGACAGCTGCCTTGGACACAGAATTGACTTGCGCCTCCATGGACAGCTGTGAGTCCAGAATGACTCCCAGGCTGCGCACCTGGTCCTTCAGGGGCACAGTTACCCCATTCAGGACCAAGGAGTCCTCTACACCTGCCCGCCTCCTGTCCCCCAAAAACAGTACTTCTGTCTTGTCAGGATTCAACCTCAATCTCAGGATTCAACTTCAACCTCAGCACCCTTCCTGGCCTACAGAACCTCTTCCAATGCAGAGGGTTCCATTAGCCACCCTAACCTCAAATATGGTGATGATAAACAGCCCTGAAGTGCTTATCAAAAACTACTCACTTGATCCTTTGCAATGGAAACACTATTGATATAATGTTTATTCTCACTGGGGTTCTTTCCTTCCTCCAAGAAGCTCAGAACAGCATGCATTAGATCCCCCATTTTGTCCCTGCAACAATCCCATGAAGTACAGAAAGGAATATGAGAATAACCTCAGGTAACCCAGAATGCCTAAGGCCTGAGCAGGGATGTCAACCCCTTGCTCAAATATTTTTTATTTGTTTTTAAACCCAAACAAAAATACAATAACCACGAAACACTTATCTAGTAGCCTATCTCATTGTGTCTGTTTTATCCATGGACTGAGAGGAGATATGATAGACACCTTCAAATATCTGAAGGTCTGTCACATGGAAGAGGGAGCATGCTCTGGAGGGTAGGACTTGAACCCAGGGCTTCAAGTTACAAGAAAGGAGATTCTGACTAAACATGAGGAAGAACATTCTGACAGTAAGAGCTGTTAGAAAGTGGAACAGTCTCCCTCAGGAGGTTATGGACTCTCCTTTCTTGGAGGTTTTAAAGCAGAGGTTGACTGGCCATCGGTCATGGATTATTTAGCTGAGTTTCCTGCATCGCAGGGGGTTGGACTAGATGACCCTCGGGTCCCTTCCAACTCTACAATTCTATGATTCTATGAATGAATAAACCAAGATTTCAAAAGCCCTTCCAGCATATACTCAATTCAATGCCTGCTATTTCAAAAGCCTTTCTTTTCCTCCCAGAAGACCTCTTCAAGAAAGGTAAACCGAAGACTGCTGGTGGCTGGGATTTTTTTGGGAAGAGTTTCTACTACATTTCTAATGAGGAAAAGACCTGGCATGATGCCGAGAGCTTCTGCCTGACTAGAGACTCCCACTTGGCCTCCATCCTAAGTGACGAAGAACAGGTCTTATATGTTTCTTTTCCCCCTCCTCACCCCTTGATATTTGGGAGTCAAAGTGTATTGTTCTGTCCACCCCTGTTCTTCTTACTTTCACATGCAAATATTTCATGACCCACAAAGTGCAACTCCTTGCATTATCTGTGCTTTATTTATGATGCTTGAATGCTAACGCATAACGTAAAGCTTACTTTATATTCCAGTTATTTTTTGCTTGATGGAAGACATGGAACTAGTGCTTTTTCCCCCCTTAAAAAATGTTTAGGGTTATTCTCATTTTCCTACTCGTATTGAATACTGCCCCTCAATGAGGCCAAACTTTGATTCACAAAATGTTTAGGGGTATGCGCACCCCAACAGAAAAAAAGTACTGCACGAAACTATTAAAAAAAGAAATGTATCTACAGTGGTACCTTGGGTTAAGTACTTAATTCGTTCTGGAGGTCCATTCTTAACCTGAAACTGTTCTTAACCTGAAGCACCAATTTAGCTAATGGGGCCTCCTGCTGCTGCCGCACCGCCGGAACACAATTTCTGTTCTCATCCTGAAGCAAAGTTCTTAACCTGAAGCACTATTTTTGGTTTAGCGGAGTCTGTAACCTGAAGCATATGTAACCTGAAGCGTATGTAACCCGAGGTACCACTGTATATAAATACAATACACCACACACACTCCAGAAGTTCAGAAACAAAACAGAACACCCCCAGAGGTTAAAAAATAGAGGCCCAGACTCAGCAGTGTCGTGTGCCTGGTTGGCACCTGGTTGGCACCTTGGGGGAGCAGGCACAGGGGCGTAGGAATTGGGGGCGGTTGGGGCAGGCCGCCCCAGGTGTCATCCCTGAGGGGGGTTGACAAAATCCCCCTGGGCAGATCGCCACAGCACTGATCGCACCCCCCAGCGGATCGCCCAGCTCCTGGGTGCATGGCATGTGTGCTACTCCGGGTGCCCGAGCGGCTAGCTCTGTCGCTGGGCAGGCACACACCCCAGGGCAATACCTTGACCTTCCTGTTCTGGGTGCATGTATGTTACATCTTCCTCACACAGCCCTAGAACATCGCAAAGAGGCAACAAGCATGCTGCCCTACCAGGCCCGTGCCGCTTTGCGATGCTCTAGGGCTGTGTGAGGAAGATGTAGCGCCCAGAACAGGAAGGTCAAGGTATTTCACATCTGGCAAAACCAAGGAGCCCCTTTGGTTATGGATAGTAGAGGAGTAGATGAGTCTTAAAAGGCTAAAATGTGTATACAGTGGTACCTCTGGTTGCAAATGGGATCTGTTCCGGAGGCCCGTTTGCAACATGAGCAGAACGCAACCCATGTCTGCACGTCTGCGCGTGCGCGGGTCGTGATTCGCCACTTCTGCGCATGAGAGTGACGTCATTTTGCACGTCTGTGCATGTGCGAGCGGCAAAACCCGGAAGTAACCCTTTCTGTTACTTCCGGGTCACCGCAGGATGCAACCCTAAAACGCGCAACCTGAAGCAAATGTAACATGAGGTAAGACTGTACTCGATTTTGACCAAACTCAGTCTCCCAGAGCAAAACATACATCAGGAGGCTTACTTTGGTCCAAATTGTTTTTACACTTCCAGAGTTAACGCTAAATACATTGCTTCTGGTAGATGAGTCCCCCAAGCCACCATTTTTCCAATGAAAATAGGGACGTCCCGTTCCATAAAGAAAATTTTCCTATTCATACCCCTCCCATCTGACTGAGTTGCCCCAGCCACTCTGGGCAGCTTCCAACCTATATAAGGTAAAGGTACCCCTGACCATTAGGTCCAGTTGCCGACGACTCTGGGGTTGAGGTTCTTGGAGAACTGCAAATGGATGACAGTGAGGTAGCAGATGGTGGTGGTGACAGAATTAATGCAATACCTGTGCAGCGGCTTTCAAATTGTGTCCTCGAGAACCTAAGTTCCATGGCAGCTTAAGACCGGGACCTTCAGTTGGAAGATGAAAAAGAGGCTTTTGTGAAATTCACTTCTCCACCGCTACTGAAATTTCTTATAGTGAGTCACCACAAGAAAATGTCGGGCAAATTCTCCAGCATGTTCCCACTTAACGTAGGGTGAAATTAAACAGGTTCCTAGCAAGAAAGGTTGAGGTGATTCCTGAAATGTGTTATTTATGCAATTCAGATTGCTTTGCCAGTATGCACAATACTGTATTGGCCCAAATATAAGCCTCAAGCAAAAATAACCCGCACATTTAAAATTCATGGAGGGGAAAAAAAAGACAGTACCCAGATATTAGCAGCTCCTTTAAAATTCACTCACACCTGTTCCGTTTTACTGCATGTCTGTTTCAGCAGCGATATCGTAAAAGCCAATTTTAGTAAGGTCGCAAATTTAAGCCGTACTTTAACTTTTCACGGTCAGAATTTGGGGGGGAGGGGGAGGAAGTGCGACTTATATTTGGGCCCATACGGTACTTATGCTTCAGTAGCTGAGTTTGGGCATTTTGTCATGTGAGGTTGTTCCTTCCTCCTGCAGAACTACCTCACCTCTCAGCTCAGTGATCCTACCTGGATTGGCCTTACAGATGAAAACGAGGAAGGCAACTGGAAATGGACAGATGGCTCCAGAACTAAAGCACAGTGAGTCTTCAAAAGTTTGCTCAACTTCAAAAGTGGTGTAGGACCCTCATTCTTCTGCTTTGGTAGACCTAGCTTCTCTGTCTCTCCAGTTTAATGGCCTAGGACCCTCGTACCTACGGGACCGCCTCTCCTGGTATGCCCCACGGAGGACCTTAAGGTCCATAAATAGCAACACCCTAGAGGTCCCGGGCCCTAAGGAAGTCAGATTAGCCTGAACCAGAGCCAGGGCCTTCTCAACACTGGCCCCAGCCTGGTGGAACACTCTGCCTCATGAGACCAGGGCCCTGCGGGATCTGATTTCTTTCTGCAGGGCCTGCAAGAAAGAGTTGTTCCGCCTGGCCTTTGGCTTGGAATCCACTTGATCCCCTCCCCCTCTTTCATTTTTCCTTTCTCCTTCTGTGATGGAACTCCTATTAGGGGACTTCCCTGGCTTTTTTTCTGACCCACGTAGGACCAGCCTTGGTGAAGACTTGACGTTTTCATCCCCAAAAAGTTTTTGATTTGAGTTTCTATCGAAATGAGGCTGCATTTTAAAGTTGTGTTTTATTTTTTTTTTTTTTTTTTTTAAAGCAATTTATTGGATTTTACAATAGGAATAAATGTAATAAACAATATAACATTCGTCTTAACATAGTTTCACATTTTCTTTGGACTTCCTCACATCTCCCGCTCCCACCTTCATCATTATAACATTTTGTCAGCAATTTATCATCTTATTTAAATTCTTATATCTCTTCGATATTTCATGATCTTATAGTTCTCATAAAGAGTTAAACTTTCACAGTTTTTCTTATTTTCTTAAAAACTTCTAGGTTAAGTGGTGCTCAGTTATTTAGTCAAGCATCTTATTCAGCATTCAGTCAAATCACAATGTTTTTGTAGGTAGTTCTTAAATTTCTTCCAATCCTCCTCGATTCTCTCTTCTCCCAGGTCACGGATTCTGCCAGTCATTTCAGCCAGTTGCATATAGTCTATCAGTTGCATCTGCCATTCTTCCAGTGTGGGTAGATCTTGAGTTTTCCAATGTTTTGCGAGTAGTATCCTTGCTGCTGTTGTTGCATACATAAAAATGTTTGGTCCTTCTTTGCCACCCCTTGGCTGACAATACCCAAAAGGAAAGCCTCTGGTTTCTTAGTGAAAGTATATTTAAATACCTTTTTCAATTCATTATAAATCATTTCCCAGAACGCCTTCACTTTAGGGCAGGTCCACCAGAGGTGAAAGAACGTTCCTTCACACTCTTTACATTTCCAACACTTGTTATCAGACAGGTGGTAAATTTTTGCAAGTTTGACTGGGGTCATATACCATCTATAAATCATTTTCATTACATTTTCTTTCAAAGCATTACATGCAGTAAATTTCAATCCATTACTCCACAGCCTTTCCCAGTCCTCAAACATAATATTATGCCCAATATCCTGTGCCCACCTTATCATAGCCGATTTAACCATTTCATCTTGTGTATTCCATTCCAACAGCAAGTTATACATCCTTGAAAGTATCTTAGTCTTTGGTTCTAACAATTCTGTTTCTAGTTTCGATTTCTCCACCTGGAACCCTAGTTTCTTGTCATTTTTAAAAACTTCTTTAATCTGAGCATAATGTAACCAATCTCGCACTTTGTCTTTCATTTTCTCCAAACTCTGCAATTTCCAATTGTCTCCCTCTTTTTCTAGTATTTCCCAATATTTTGGCCATTTGGCCTCCATATTGGGTCTTTTTCGGGCCTTAGCTTCCAAAGGTGAAAGCCACCTTGGTGTTTTATTTTCCAGCAAGTCTTTATATTTTGTCCAGACATTAAACAGTGATTTTCTAACAATATGGTTCTTAAAGGCCTTATTTGCTTTAACTTTGTCATACCATAAATATGCATGCCATCCAAAAACATTGTTAAACCCTTCCAAATCTAACACATCAGTGTCTTCAAGAAGTAGCCAATCTTTTAGCCAGCAGAACGCTGCGGCTTCGTAATACAACTTTAAGTCCGGCAGGGCAAAGACCCCTCTTTGTTTTGCATCAGTTAGTATCTTAAACTTAATTCTGGGCTTTTTGCCCTGCCAGACAAACTTCGAAATGTCTCTCTGCCACTTCTGAAAGCACTCCATTTTGTCCAAAACCTGAAGTGTTTGAAATAAAAACAACATTCTTGGCAATACATTCATCTTAATCGCAGCAATTCGGCCTAACAAAGAAAGTTTCAATTTTGACCAACTGTCTAAGTCTCTCTTAATTTCTGTCCAACATTTTTCATAGTTATCCTTAAATAGACTTAGATTTTTGCTGTTATGTTTACCCCTAGGTATTTTACTTTTTAACCACATTAAGTTCCGTCTCAGTCGGAAACCGTTCTGACTCTGTCTCAGTCACAGAGTTTCCCCAAACCTTGGTTTGCGGGTTATTTAATTTAAATCCCGCCACCCGACCAAAGTCATTAATCAATTGTAATACTCTTTTCGTACTAGGCTCTGGCTTCTGCAAGGTCAAAACCAGGTCATCTGCAAAAGCTTTTAGTTTATATTGTTTCTGACCAACCTGAATTCCTTCCACTTTAAAGTTGTGTTTTAATCTTGTTTTTAAGTTGTATCTTAATCAATTGTTTTATATCTGGTGTTAGCCGCCCTGAGCCTGGTCTTGGCTGGGGAGGCCGGGGTATAAATAATGATGATGATGATAATAATAATAATAATAATAATAATAATAGAAGTCTTTCCACCTTTTGCCCCCAGATATTGGTCTCTCGGCAACCCCAGCTACTCAGAGCATGATGGAGCGCTGGAGAAAGACTGCACATCCATCGTGCCGTCATCTGGCGGATATAACTGGAATGACGACTACTGCCACAAACTACATAAATGGGTGTGTAAGGAGAACATAGACATTGAAGAACCATAAAGTTGGGGAAAACTGGGCCAATACCTTACTGAAGGCAGAATGGTTTTCATTCCATTTTTCAACTCCAGGAGAAGTCTGCTTAGCCACAGAACGAACAGAAACATCCAATTCCACCCAAGCCTTGTTCTTTGTGCTCCGTGAAACAAAGAGAGTTTGAGAGGTTGTTTGCTATTATCAATTGGTTAGAGAGATTTGTGTCCCAGGTGATGGGTGCCTAGGAAGAGTTGCCATTTTCCTTCAGGGCAGAGTTGATAACGGCTGTTGTCTTATCAAGGCAGATCCTTGGGATGGGAATAGCTACCTTTGGCAGAGCTCTTAAAGGAAGGAAACTCATGTCCTGAATTAAAGATGGCAGCTCTGTTGTGGTTAGCAAACAGGCCTTTTCATTTCTTTCATCGCGCCCGCCAGTCATCTCTTCCAAGAGAGGGGAGGACGTGAAATAGCCAAATTACAGCCTTCTGACAACTGCAGGATAGCCTGCACCCAGAACCCATTCACCGTACCTCCTGCCACTGTTCCTGAAGAGGCATCAACGGGTTTAGAAAGGAAAGTGCAAGGGGGAGAGTCTGTTCTGATTGTGACTTCCCTGATGCATGCATTAAAAGGAAGAAAGAAAAAAAGATTTAAGACACTCAAAAAAGTGCCCCATTAATAAAACAGCAGATAGCAGGCTTGTCTTAAGAATGGTGTTCCTTTATTTTTAACCATTGCATGCAGGTTGTCACGCCTATTTTAAGATAGGCTTGCTGTGACACACATGTGTAATAAATAGTGGAAATCAGACATTTTTTTCTGGGGGTACTCAAGGGTTCGCAGCACCAGCAAACCCCCCCCCCCATTAAAAGTGTGGCCCTTACTGTAACAACTAAATGGTGAGTGCAGGCAGCTTCCCCCCCCTTTTCTTTTTAAACTAAATGTTATTAGAGTTTATAAAGAGAAATACAAAACTTAATCTCAAATATCTTTTTTGTCCAACATTAATCTGAGAAAGATAAAAACAGGGCAAAAAAGGAAAAAAGGAAGAGAGAGGGAAAAAAATGAGATGGAAAAGAGTTTTTAAGAGGCAATAGAAAAAATACAGTTCAGAGATGAAAGAACTTCCAATCCTTCATCTGTCTGCTATAAATAAATAATAATCACTTCATCCACTCCGACATAACACCTAACAAAACCACTTTCTATAAACATCATCTTCAATCCCCAGATCCAAATGTCATTATTTCATATTCTTTTTCACAAAAATAGTCTATGGGAGGTTTCCAGTATTTAGTCAATGTTAACAATGACCTTTTCCTGTCAATATTGTCATCTCAGCTAAGTCCGTTAATTTTAGCAACCATTTTTCCGTTGTTGGTGTCAGGGAACTGCCATCAGCTCAGAGGCGAGAGGTGGAAGGGCAGTTGGGTTACAGGGAGCCTCCGAAGATCGTGAGAAGCAGCTCTTCCTCCGGGGAGGAAGGAAGCCCCGCTGTTAAGTTGTGGGTGAACATATCAGACGACACAGCGATTCTTCAAACAGCTCTTGTTTATTCACAGGCCAGGACAGAACTGAACTGAAGGGTTCAGTCAGCCTGCTTATATAGAGCTGCAGTGCAACGTAACTGTAACAATTTTCTAAAACTGTCCAATCACTGAACGTCACTTTCGATCCCTTATTTGCATAACTATCTACAGTATCCCCCTGCTGGCCCAGGGTGAGAACTTCAGTACATAACACCCGCCTCCAGTGGGGAAAGGATGCTGGGCTTGGAAGATGCTAGAGAGAGCCGCAACACCGAGCCTGAGCATAGCGGGGGGGGAGGGGGAGGCAGGTCCCCCTTTGCCCACGCCCTCTCTGTGCAGTCGGTTTACACGCAGAGAGGGTAGGCGTAGTACTCAAGAGACTGCTCTGTTGGGGAAAGTTTAAGGACCGCCCACTCCCAGATTCTGCTAGTGACTGAGCAGACATGGAATTGAGTCGTTCTGCACTGTGAATGTTTTTGCACCAATAATAAAGCCTTCAAAAGACCAGTGGGGGTCTTGCCTGTTTGCTCTCGAGCAACCACACCGGCATACACCTAACAGTTGGTAATGAGGAAGCTTTCTATCTTTGTTCATATAATCGTCTCGGTCAAAGGAATGCTCTGGTAGAAATATTATTCTTGCTTTAGGAATAGCTCCACTCTCTCAATATGTAAATATGGGAAAATCAAATTAATCTACAAAACCTCTGGATATGTATGTATGCATGTATGTATATATATTCCATATAACCCAAATAACAAAACAGAGCTTCACATAACTAAGACATAAAAACTAAACCAAAAGGAAGGCTGACGAGATGTTACTTTCACAAGAAGAGATGCTAAATGCTGATTGTCTGGATATTTGCCATGAGATACAAGACAGGTAAGTGGAGAGTACCGCTGAAATATACTCGGAGTCAAGTGTGGATTTCATGCTCTTTATTCAGCTCATAGTAGTGAGGAATGGAAGTTCCCCCAGAATATCTGCTTTTATATACATTATTTACACAATGGGCCCCACGTGATTGGCTAATTCCGGGATTCTCCTGTAGGCCAATCAGGTTGCGGATTCACTTCCACCTGGAGCTGGATTGGGTGGCTCCTGCAGACCAATCATACTGCTGCATTGTTCTAGGACCAATCAGACTGCTGCATTCTGAATCCTATTGTTCTAGGACCAATCAAACTGCTGCATTTTGGATCCTATTCATCTCAGTACATAACAACCGCCATAAGAATTGAAGAGAACACAAGGTGTGGCACACATGACTTAAAAGATATACAGAAACTGTTACCAGAAAATAAGGGTCTGCTTTTCGATGGCCCAACTCCCCAAGTTCGCTACCAGTCAGAGATTAATGAGCTGAGGCAGAAATCCAGTGAAAGCAAGGCTGATTTTTATTATCTGTTGCAACAGAGCCCCCCTCGCCCCCACCGCCATTGGCAGGAGGTGAAGAAGGACCTACAGCCAAGGAAAAAAACAACACTCTTTTAAAAGGTTTGCCTTTCCCTCTGGAGAAGGACATCCCCTTTTGCAAACATCAGAAATGTGTCACACATAAGGTGGGGTTATAGTGGCTCAGGCAGGTCAAGGTGTGATATTCCTGAGGATTTGCAGGACAAGGCATCGGACTTCCCATACACCAACCCATATAAATAAGAGGCCAGTCAGACTGGGTTTTGGGTAAAAACAGGATACAACCTTATTGAATACAGATGAAAGACGTTTGAGAAGATATTGAATTATTTGGGTAGGTTTGAACAATTTGGGGCAATTAAAATGTTAAAAGTTAAATAAACCTTGTGGATGGAGGAGTGCTAACGTACATAAAATTGTACATATGGTTGATTTGAATATGTTATTATTGATTATGTATACCCAATGTATCAGCCGCCTGGGGGGTTTCACTGTTTGTGTTTGGGTGTTGGTAAAAAATTAAAATTAAAATAATAATAATAATAAAAACAGATGAAAGAGGTTTGGCTTGGGCATGGGGCAATCGAAATACTTCCGGCCCCGGGAGTGACGTGTGGTCAATCAAACGGGGGTTCCTAAAACTTACATCAAATAGGGTGACCCCCACAGGGACCACTGTCTGGGGGAGTGCCTTCGGCCTTGGCCCCTCTGGGCACCCGGACAGGCCACTCCCCCTGGATCCCTTTAACGGGATACCCCAGAATTTGGAGGGGCAGGCAGGGACTACAACCTCCCCTCCGTCCAAAACAAGAGATTGCCCCAGTGCTCAACCAGTTGTGACAAATTGCTATGAGGTAGGCAAAACCACGGGTCAGTGCCAGTTAGCCTGGTGGGCAAATTCCTACCTGGCCCAGTAAGAATGGCGACCACCATAGCCACAGCAAAGTCATTGCCTATCAGTGTAAACCGTGGGTGGGTGGGATGGGGAGAAAACCCGGCGCAGGGACAGACAGGTCATGCCCCAGGTGCGGGCTGCTTAAATGGGCAGGGGCGGATCCGAGGGAAGCCCACCATTGGCTCCATTGGCTCCGCCCACATCCCAGCCTACATGCCCCTTCACCAATGCAGGGTGGAGGCTAAGATCCAGCTCCCGATAGGCGATGGGGGCATATACCCCTCCGCGTATCAGGAAGGGCACTGCCGTTTGAATTCCAGCGTCGGGGCCCCAGTGAAACCTCTTCCATCCAGCAACGCCACCGCACCAAGAGAGGTGAGCGGACTTAGCAAGTTTCACGTGGCTCCAGGACAGTTTTACACAAAGCATTTGCATTTGATGAAGACAATCGGGATGCCCATCTGAGCAAACAATGGCAGATTCAGGAACTTCTGCTGATGGCTACCTGCCCACATGATCTCAGGCTAGGGGAATCATAGAGGCTTTCCCACAATGCAAAGAGGCAAGAATACAATGTTCCACGGGGAAACTCAGGTCTTCCTTGTTTTCACAGGCTAGAGTGAAAGTATCTGACATAAGTATGCAGTGGTACCAAACTTAATCTGTTCCGGAAGTCTGTTCCAAAATCAAAGCGTTCCAAAACCAAAGCGCGCTTTCCCATAGAAAGTAATGCAAAACAGATTAATCCATTCCAGACTTTTAAAAACAACCCCTAAAACAGCAATTTAACATGAATTTTACTATCTAACAAGGCCATTGATCCATAAAATGAAAGCAATAATCAACGTACTGGACTATAAAATAAATGAGACAGTATTGTAGATGATAAAAATTAAAATTATTATTATTTTCTTACCTGCACTGAAGATAGTCATTGTTTGGATGGGGGGCTTTTATCCATTTCCACAGTCACACAATCAATCAATCAATCAATCAATCAATTAGCTGAACTGGGATCCACACAGTCACAAAAACAAATTAACTGAAAAAGCCTCAAAACAAAAAACGCAAAATAGGTAGCAAAAACAAAAGAACCAAATATAAGCTCCAAATATCACCTCAGAACACTGCAATTGGAAATGGAAGGCTTGAATTACAATGGGGGGATGCAAATGAGCAGCGCAACAGGAAACAAGGGGGGCGCAAATGAGCATATACTTCTGGGAATGAGACCCCTTCCACCCACCCACCCACCCACTCGTCTCCAGCCAGGATGGGACCATGTGATGAGCAAATGGGTATCTGAGTCTCTGTGTCCCCTTGTCTCTTCTGCCCTGCAGCTGTCCCTTTGGCACCTGTGCTTCTGTCCCCCTCCCCAAGTTCTCAGTCCACCTTCTAACTGATCCTCCTCTCCCCCCCCATTTTTGGTCCCTCTCCCTCAGAGCATTTCCTATCTGAAGAAGGGTGAGTTTTACCATCACCACACCAAAGGGACACAGCACAACGCCCTCCACTGTCCTGAGAAACCCTTAATTCTGATTTTATTTTATTCTTTGGTAGATTTACAAAAAGAAAAACACACACCAATAAATACATTGGGGCAAGACTGGACACTGAATTTTATTTTAATTTTATTTTAAAAAATAAAGACTCCTTGCACTCTGTCCTTTTCCCCTGCCCCCCCCTACAATATAGGCTCTTAGTCGCCTTTTCTGCTCAGAAATTCTGTCTCCCTTCTGCTCTTCAGAAATACGCTATCCATGAGTTGCAGACGCAAGGTGTGCGCTTATCTCTGCATATTTTCTGCCTAGCCTTTCCTAACAACACCCTTAGCAAGAAGCAGAGATGTCATGCAGACCTTCATAGCAGCCAACTTAGATAACACTTATTTATTTTGCCAATTAAAAGACTGACTGGAATCAGCTTGAGGGTGATGACATCTGGGTAAGATAGGTGAGTTCCAAGGTAAAAAAACAGTTCCATAGTTGGAACATCCAATTGAAAGTTAACTCGAAGGGCCCATAGGCTGTTCATAAGTTCAGATAACCAATCATATTATTAGGAAGGTCTGTGCACAAGGTCATCATTTATAGAGAATGTTATGAAGGTGCCTTGAATGTTGTCTTCTAAGCCCAGCTTTTGGAGAAATCCTCTGGACTACTGAATAAAGTTTAATTATTTCCATGTGCTGTCTGTCTTCTTTTGGCTCGAAGAACTGGTGAAACCAAGACGCTTCTTTGTAGGGTAACAGTGTTCCACTCCTCCTTTCTCCCCACCGGGGTCGTGTTAGTATATAGTTCCGTTCCACCTTAAAAGGAGCAGGCATGACTGTTGTGTGTCACATGCCTGTTTACTTCCAGCACAGGTCTCCTGGGAACTTCCGTTTTGTATATTGCTTTTGCATTGCTGTTTTGCTAGACACGAAGGGAAGCAGACATGTTTTTTCCTTTGTTCCTGAACTATGCTGAATAAATGCTGTAAATATGCTTACACATGACTCTGTCCGCCACTTCCGTTATGGAGATTTATTCACTCTGCTAATTAGCGTGCTCGGTAGCTTCAGAAGGCTACTGAGGCTTGAGTCACTGATTGATTGATGCTGTTCCGTGACCTGGAGATCACCCGGCTGCCGGCCGGTGGCTGGAGCCAGCTGGGGGCCTGCCTGATGCCCCCGTCTCCCTGGCAGCATCCCAACAGGGTGGCCCGGCCCTCTGCCTGCCCTTCAGAACCAGCATGTTATGCAGTGCTGGGCCTCATTGGTGGCAGCCCCTCTCCTTCCCTGCCTGCTCTTCAGCCGCCACTATGAGCTGCCCAAAGAGGAGGCTGGCAGTGGCAGCCATGGAGAGGTCATGGAGGGACAATGGGCTATTGCCTCGCCTCCACCGCTTGGGACAAGTGCTGGCTCATCGTCTTCTCTGAGCTCAGTGGCGGCAGTACTAGCAGGGAAAATAGGGACATTCCAGGATCAAACCAGATGCCAGGATGGCTTTTGTAATTCCAGGACTGTCCCTGGAAAATTGGGACACTTGGAGGGTATGAAATCTGAATCACTTTGTAGGTTACAAAGCTCTAGTACTGCAGAGCTTAAATACCAGATGAGAAATGATGTAGCCCATGGCTTCTTGGGCCTTGGTTTCTGCCCTTGTATGTCTTAGTCCTCACCCAAAGTGTAGAAGGTGGTTCTTCAGTGGTAAGAGAAACAGGCCATGTCAATATTAATCTTAGTAGTGGCCTTCTTGGTAGTGGCACCCGCCCTGTGGAAAACTCTCCTATCATATGTCAAGGAAATAAGCAACTATCTGACCTTTAGAAGACACCTGAAGGCAGCCCTGTTTAAGGAAGTTTTTAATGTTTGATGCTTTATTGTATTTTTAATATTTTGTTGGGAGCCGCTCAGAGTGGCTGGAGAAACCCAGCCGGATGGGCGGGGTATAAATAATAACTTGGCTCAGAGCTGTCCAGCAAAAGCCAGCTGCAGACAGGACAGATTGGATAGTGCCACTGTAGTCACCAAGAAGCCTTCCCATTATTCCTAAAAGTTTTGAAAGTATTCCTCTTTTAACACACACACACACACACACACACACACACACACACACGTACATAGCTTAATGTATGAAAATAAAACCACACAGTGGCTGATAGTAATAGTGGCATTCTAGGAATAGTGCTTCAAATTTCATCTGAGTCGCAAACTCCCTCTAGGAGATTCTGAAGGTGGGAGACAGCTAGGCTCACAGAGCCAGTGAAGGACCTTTCTTTAGCCACAAGGGTCTTGCCCCACTTGGTTTGACGTGGGATGCCAAAGACTGCTGCCTCACAGGCCCAGCGCCATCACAATCTGCCTTACCTTTCAGCCACAGGTGTGCTTGTGATGGTGAATGGTGGCAGGGCAGGGCAGGCAGCCAATCAGCAAGCGGCTTGTGTCACAGGGCTGCTGCTTGCACCATCCTGGGAGGACAAAGGAAGCGAGTATAAGGCCGTGGGAGGGAGGCGTAAGAATCCATGGGAAATATAGGGCAGAAATAGCGTAGGGTTCAAGAGAATCAGACTTGGAAGAAGAGCAAGGGAAATCCTTGACAGATAATCTGGAAGGGAATCCTAAAGTGAACCACAAGCAGAAGGTACAGTAGTTGCCTCGACACTACAGAAGATTATCCAATGTTGGGAAGATCTACTTAGGTAATCCTTGAATTTTTAACCTCAACCGCCCATTAATGGAGCTTAAACTGTTCCCTTTTCACAGTGAATGTTTTTATTTGAGAATTTAAAAGATAGTTTAAAACTGTTAGGCGACTGCTCCTTCTTTCCCACCTCCTCCAGATATTTCTGAGTTTCCTCCTAGCCTTTGCCTCCTTTGCATAACGACAGACTTGCCTGACTTTGATGCAGCTCCAGCCACGAATCGCAGGTGCAACTGCCTGTTGCTTGGTGGCCGCCAAATGCTGGTGGTTCCCGCTGCTTATTGGGTCTAAGTTGGTGGCCATTGCTGCCTCCTGTGGCGGGGAGTTCCACAGTCCTGCATGAAGAAGGACTTCCTTTCGTTTCTCCCGAATCTTCCAACACTCAGCTTCATTGGATGCCCGTTGGTTCTAGTGTTAGGGGAGAGGAAGAACTTTTCTCTGCCTACTATCTACATGCCGTGTGTAATTTTTACAAACTTCTGAGTTTCCTCCTAAGATTCCACCCCACCTCTTTGAATCTCCCTCTTTGCTGGCCGAATCCCCAGAATTAGACGCTGCCTCAGCCACGAATAACAGTGCAATGGGCTGATGCTTAGCTACCAGTGTTCTAGTGCTTCCTGCTACCTGTTGGGTCTTTGGTACCATGACAAAATTGGCAAATGGGGAGATGTTAGAGGCCTCAGAACGAGTCTGCCCCAGTGGCTTGATGGAGGTAGAAACTGTCTCTCATGCCTTGTTACTGCCGTTTCTACGGAGATATACACTCGGTATTTATTACCCCTGCTATGCAAAGATCTCCAGATGAATCCGAACTTCAATGTCTAAAATCCCGGGTAGAGGACAAGGATCCTGAGATCACGTTAAAAGGTAAAGGGACCCCTGACCATTAGGTCCAGTTGTGACCAACTCTGGGGTTGCGGTGCTCATCTCGCTTTATTGGCTGAGGGAGCCAGCATACAGCTTCCGGGTCATGTGGCCAGCATGACTAAGCCGCTTCTGGCGAACCAGAGCAGCACACGGAAACGCCGTTTACCTTCCCGCCGGTGCGGTACCTATTTATCTACTTGCACTTTGACGTGCTTTCGAACTGCTAGGTTGGCAGGAGCTGGGACCGAACAATGGGAGCTCAGCCTGTCGCGGGGATTCGAACTGCCAACCTTCTGATCGGCAAGTCCTAGACTCTGTGGTTTAACCCGCAGCGCCACCCGCGTCATCACGTTAAGATCTCGTTAAGGGTAGTCAAATTCTGTGCGTTTGCCATAAAACTTAGGGAACAAGCCGTGCTATCATAATGATTAAGGCCTTAAATGATAATTTTAGGTGATATGCTAGTGACTAAGTTTTAATTTATATATATTTTTAACTGTTGCTATATCTGTAGTGTCCCTGTTATACCTAATTGCAAATTCAAATGTATCCCTATCGTGTTTTATGACTTCCTTGATATTGTATGTGGCCTGGAACTGGTCTGTGACCGAAATAATAAATTCAGTTCAATGTTAGAGGCCTGATGGTGAACTTGTCCTTTGAGCCATTGTCTTCATGGGTGCTTCTTCTTGTCATTTGAGCCATGGCCCCCAAGCCGGCGGCGGCGGCGGCACCAACACCACCAGCAGCAGGAGCAGCGCCACCAGCAGGAGCAGCAGCGGCAGCAGCGGCAAAAGGGAAACCGGGTGCTGCTCCTCCGACGAAACCGAAACCACGCTGGCGAATTCCTCTCAAGGTTGGATGGATATTTCTCGGGATTTTCGCCTTCATCTGCTTTTGTGTCTTGGTCACCACGGCTTTCCTCTGTAAGTTCACTCAAATCACCTCTTGACCAATCTGCACTGCCTGCGTTCTTGTTGACTTTACCTTGTGCTGTATATTGGTGTGTGTGCTGGTCCCGGGGGGGTTACTGTGCGGCGTGGTCTAAGTCCAGTCCTAGGTCAAGGGTAAGGAGGCTGTCCGTCAGGGGCGAAGCAAGGTCCAAAGTGAGGAGTTGGGCGTGGTCAGGAACTCAGGAGAGCAGGTCAGGGTCTGGCAGGAACAGGTTACCAACGATGTTGCTCCCGCAACCTGGGACTGGGCTGACTGGCCTTTATCTCCTCTGAGGCCTAGGGCGGCCCTGGTCCACAGGTGACTCGCCTCTCCTGGCCTGGAGGAGAGCACTCCTCCTGCAGGAACTTAGTTCCCTCTGCCTCTCTGCCCTGAGCCTCTGCAGCTCCGGAGAGGCTGGAGGATTACTGGACCCAGAGGCAACCTCACCTTCCCCTGATGGGGCTGAGAGTGGAGCACCTGCACGCAATGGGTCCTCCACCCCCTCAGGAGCCAGAGCAGACTCAGCTGATGCCTGCTCCTGTGGATCCAGCACAGGTAAGGACCCTTCAGGCTCATGCCCCAGCCCTGGCTCAGCTGGTTCTGGAGGCGGGGACTCCTGTGCAGGCTGGGATTCCTCAGGTTCAGCCTCTGAATCCGATTCCCAGGCCATAACAATGTGTTAGCAAATGGGCGCCACACTTTCTTCCTGGCTGACGTTGCGCACGTCAGCGATGCCCTCCGTAAACCGTGTGGCTGATCAAGCACATATTGGTCCCTCCTCGTGTGGGGGAACTCTGCGTGACCATGAGATTCTAACAGTTCAGGCATTGGTGACCAAGACTGGATTGCTACAATGCAATCTATCTGGGGCTTCCCTTGGGCCTGATCCGGAAACTGCAGTGAGTTCGGAACACTGTAGCTGCTCTTGCCAATAGGAGTGAGTCCTGTTGTCATGCAACACCTCTGCTCAGAGATTTGCAGTTTGCTGTGTTGATACCATGCCAGGTGCAGAGACGTAGCTATAGGGGCGAGGGGCTAGGCAGGTTTTTTGCCTGGGGTGAAGCCTTCAGATGGGTGCCATTGAGGTTCCCAGACTCACTCTCTCTGTGTACTAAACTGGGTCTTTGATCCAGGTGAAAGAAGCCTAGTTTCGCCCGCCACATGCAAAGTTTTAGTTATGGTATGAAAAGCCCTTAACACCTTGGGATGGGTTTACTGGTGGGATATGCGGCCTAGGACCCACGTACCTACGGGACGGCCTCTGCTGGTATGCCCCACGGAGGACCTTAAGGTCCACAAATGACAACACCTTGGGGGTCCCAAGTCGCAAGGTGGTTAGATTGGTCTCAACTAGGGCCAGGGACTTTTCAGCACTGGCCCTGACGTGGTGGAACGCTCTGGCACAAGAGACTAGGGCCCTGTGGGACTTGACATCTTTCCGCAGGGCCTGCAAGACAGAGCTGTTCCGCCTGGCCTTTGGTTTGGACATGGTCTGACCCTTATGTTTCCCTCCCCTTATGGTTTTGAACTATGGGCTACTATTAAAATGAGGCTGCATTTTAAATTGTATTTTAACCCATATTTTAAATTGTTTCTTTCCCCCTCCCCTATTATGTTATTATTGTGATTTTACTGGTTTTAGCCGCCCTGAGCCAGGCTCTGGCGGGAGCGGGAGGCGGGATATAAATAAATAAATTATTATTATTATTATTATTATTATTATTATTATTATTATTATCTTACCTGATGTATGCCAACTCTGCTGCTTTGAATGGCAGAACTCACACTTCACAGGTGCTAAACTAGGGTTACCGGACATCCCCGTTTCCCCAGGGACAGTCCTCTGATTTGTGAATAAGTCCCCAGACAAATTCCATCCCCAGAATGTGCCCGGATTTCATCTAATGTCCCCGGGAAACGCAGCAGCGGCAGTCTCAGCAGCCCGGAGCAGTTGGCTCTGGCTGGCTTCAGGAGCTGCTCGGAAGTCCCCATCTGATGGTGGTGCAGGGGCTCTAAGACGCAGCTTCCGGGCTGCCTCCCCCTTCCCTGACCCCAGCAACTAAGCTGGGAAGGGAGGCTTCATGCTGCCTATCAGAGCAGCCTCCCAACTCCTACTTGCATGCAAGCAGGAGGGGGCAGGGATCTCTCAGTTAGGCAATGGGAAGCTTCCCTTCCCATCTGAGAGGTCCCTGCCCCCTCCTGCTAATACGCAAGTAGGAGTTGGGATGGGGTTGCTCTGAAAGTCAGTGTGAAGCCTCCCTTCCCTCTGCCACTGCCATCGCTGCAGCATCAACATCCCGAACGTGTAGCATGTATGTTTGCATTTATTTATTTATTTAAAAAGTCCCCGGATTCATTGAAAAAAAATCTGGTAACCTTATGCTAAACAATACTCTTTCCACACTTGTAAGAAATCATTATTTTAGTGTGGCAGCACCTGCACTTTGGAATTCCCTGCCCATTGGTATCAGGCAAGCTCCTTCGCTGTATTCTTTTTGCTGCCCACTTACAACATTTTTGTTTAGGCAAACATAGACGCTGATGTGTCATGATTTCTTTTTGGCTTACTGCTGATTTTAATTATTTTTTTAAAAAAGGTTTTAATTTACTTGTTTTGAACTGTTTTCATTGATAGTCTTAACATTTCTTGCAAACCACTAAAGTGTTTTGTTACAATCACGTCGTATATAAATTCTGTCTATTTATTTAATTAATTAATTTAAAAAGGTCTGTTTAAAAGGATTTTGGGTAAAGATCCCTGTTTGAGACCTTTCTCCCTATGTAATAATAATAATAATAATAATAATAATAATAATAATAATGTACTATTTATATCCCGCCCATCTGGCTGGGTTTCCCCAGCCACCCTGGGCAGCTCCCAGCAGAATATTAAAAGCACAATAAACATCAAACATTTAAAACTTCCCTAAACAGGGCTGTGTTCAGATGTCTTCTAAAAGTCAGTTGTTTATTTCCTAGACGGGAGGGCGTTCCACAGGGCAGGTGCCACCACCGAGAAGGCCCTCTGCCTGGTTCCCTGTAACCTCACTTAGGCAGTGCTGGGCATAGTGAAGCAAACTCTGAAGAAGGTATCTTCACATGTTTATGGGGACGTGTGCATGCAGGGAGATGGGGAAAGGTTATTTAACAGCTTCACATTAAAATTACCTGTATTTGTTTCAATGACTTTAGTTTATAAGATGAATAAAGAAAAGGAAAGCCCACTTGATCAGCCAATGGATAAACTGAGGACCGCAATGGCAACTGGGCTAAGAAATAATGATCTCATGACTGAAAATCGTAAGTGGAAGCACAATAATCCTTTGTTTCTGGTTGTTTTAGAACACCCCCTGCCCCCCCCAAAGCCCCAACAGAAGATAGAGAACAAGAGAGAACCTATATCTTGACCTGGCTGTGTGGGAAGTATGCCACAAGACATCCAGTACAAACTTAAAAGAAGCTTAGGATCTCACCTTCCATCAATAGGAAATATGGAAGCCATCTTTGGAATGAGTACTGAAGAAATGAACCTATGCTGCCAATTCTCGTAGTAAGACCAGTATGAAGTAAGCAGCACATAGGTGGCACACAAAACACTAACAAACCATTCTACGTTCTAAATCTTATATTAATAATCCAAAAATTGAGAGATTAAGGTACAAGATCTACTACAGAAGCCACAAACAGAAAACTCATTCAAATTGTGTACAAAAGGAAGATTCAATCTTTAAAGTTCCTTAAGCCAGGCTTCTGTAGATATCAACAAAGGTAAGTTTGATCAAACGAAGTGCCGGCGATGTTGCGCTCAAGGGTTAGATATCAACGAGGATAAGTTTGATCAAACAAAGTGTCGGTGATGTTACGCACGAGAGTTAGACAGGGTGCCGGCGTTTGTCACCTGTTTCGCCCATGAAGAGTCTTGGGCTTCTTCAGTAAATTCTCTCTCACGGTTTTGATATATTTATAGACATTCAAGTCCATATGTTACATTCCTTCTTGGCTTAAGCTACAATATTTAATTTCTTTCTTCAGGAAATTCTCCCTCAAGATTTTGGTGTATTTACATACATTGGCTTAGCAAATGAATAAATGCTTAAGTCCAGAAAGAACTTAGCATATGAAGTTGAATGTATGTAAATTCTCTCAATTTTTGGATTATTAATTTAAGATGTAGAACGTAGAATGGTTTGGTAGTGTTTGGTGTGCCACTTATGTGCTGCTTACTTCATACTGATCTTTTGAATGAGGGCTCACCCACACTTCCACTTGCCTCGCCATTTCCCTCCAGGGGAAACTGGCTGTTTGCCACTGAATCAGAGCAAAGATCAATCTGGTTTTCTCCAGATTGATGTTTGCACCCATTTAGCACTAGAGTGGGTTTCCTGGGGGAAAGCGGTGGGCCAAAGGCAAAATTGCTTGGACCCAAGCGGAAAAAACACTCAGAGCAGTCTTTTCTAGGCACGACTCACATGGATGTGTGGATGAGCTCTACATCTGTATACCGGCTCCTTCCTTCTTGTGCTTTGGCTCTGCTTCAGGATTCTATTCCTTAGTGCTCATTATTGGTGGATGCAGTGAACTATCTTCTTTAGGATAACCATCTTTTCCTTCAGCTTTCTGTATGTTGTGGATGGAAACAGGGCAGATGCAGATTTAGTCCAGGTAGAGAAATTGTATCTGTAATATTTAGACAGCAAGGTGAAATCAATGAAAACTCTGTTCATATTTGGGGTTAGGAATCACACTATCATATTTTCTAGTCTTTGTCTAATGATCTTAATAAGGAGTAAGGTGAATATCTAAAGTATCATCCTCTGACCCATGATTCTGATTGGTCTATGACTTCAGAACTTGAAGAACTTATTTGTTCACCTTAAAAACCACCACCACCACCAATTTTATTATTTGTACCTCGCCCATCTGGCTAGGTTGACCCATCCACTCTGGGGATCCTTATTTTGATTTTGGAGGCTATTTTGGGTTTTTGCTAATGTTCTTTAAGCTATCAGCTGTTTTAGCTTTGGGGGTTTTTTACACTTGATTTGGTTGTTTTCTTGGGTGAGATAGGAAGGTGGGAGACAGTTATTTAAATAAATGGAAGTGTTGGGTGGGAGAAAAGAAACCCTCATCTAAGTTTGGGGATGCTTTCAGCCATGAAGGTAGCTGAAGAAGTCACGAACCTGCCACAGCACATAGCAGATGCCGAAAACCTCTACAACGAGCGGAAAGTAAAGTACCGTAAGTGCCTTCAACCCTCAATATGGTGCCGTGGCACATTTTGGGAATATAAAGGCAAGCAAACTTAGATGAGCTGAAATGTGATACTGTGGGTTATATTGGAGATATTAACAGTGTGCAATTTGAAGTGACTGGATGCATAAAAACTGACTCTTTTTTGCCCAGACCCATTAGATATTATTCAAAAACTTTACTTGAAGAACTTTCTTCAAAACAGATCAAAAGCATCAAAGATACACCCACATGTTGTTGTTTAGTCATTTAGTCGTGTCCGACTCTTCGTGACCCCATGGACCAGAGCATGCCAGGCACTCCTGTCTTCTACCGCCTCCTGCAGTTTGATCAGACTCATGTTTGTGGCTTCGAGAACACTGTCCAACCATCTCATCCTCTGTCATCCCCTTCTCCTTGTGCCCTCCATCTTTCCCAGCATCAGGGTCTTTTCCAGGGAGTCTTCTCTTCTCACGAGGTGGCCAAAGTATTGGAGCCTCAGCTTCAGGATCTGTCCTTCCAGTGAGCACTCAGGGCTGATTTCCTTCAGAATGGATACGTTTGATCTTCTTGCAGTCCATGGGACTCTCAAGAGTCTCCTCCAGCACCAGAATTCAAAAGCATCAATTCTTCGGCGATCAGCCTTCTTTATGGTCCAGCTCTCACTTCCATACATCACTACTGGGAAAACCATGGCTTTAACTATGCGGACCTTTGTTGGTAAGGTGATGCCTCTGCTTTTTAAAATGCTGTCTAGGTTTGCCATCGCCTTTCTCCCAAGGAGCAGGTGTCTTTTAATTTCGTGACTGCTGTCACCATCTGCAGTGATCATGGAGCCCAGGAAAGTAAAATCTCTCACTGCCTCCATTACTTCCCCTTCTATTTGCCAGGAGGTGATGGGACCAGTGGCCATGATCTTCGTTTTTTTTGATGTTGAGCTTCAGACCATATTTTGCGCTCTCCTCTTTCACCCTCAATAAAAGGTTCTTTAATTCCTCCTCACTTTCTGCCATCAAGGTTGTGTCATCTGCATATCTGAAGTTGTTTATATTTCTTCCAGCAATCTTAATTCCGGCTAGGGATTCATCCAGCCCAGCCTTTCGCATGATGAATTCTGCATATAAGTTAAATAAGCAGGGGGACAATATACAGGCTTGCCATACTCCTTTCCCAATTTTGAACCAATCAGTTGTTCCATATCCAGTTCTAACTGTAGCTTCTTGTCCCACATAGAGATTTCTTAGGAGACAGATGAGGTGATCAGGCACTCCCATTTCTTTAAGAACTTGCCATAGTTTGCTGTGGTCGACACAGTCAAAGGCTTTTGCATAGACAATGAAGCAGAAGTAGATGTCTTTCTGGAACTCTCTAGCTTTCTCCATAACCCAGCGCATGTTTGCAATTTGGTCTCTGGTTCCTCTGCCTCTTCTAAATCCAGCTTGCACTTCTGGGAGTTCTCGGTCCACATACTGCTTAAGCCTGCCTTGTAGAATTTTAAGCATAACCTTGCTAGCGTGTGAAATGAGTGCAATTGTGCGGTAGTTGGAGCATTCTTTGGCACTGCCCTTCTTTGGGATTGGGATGTAGACTGATCTTCTCCAATCCTCTGGCCACTGCTGAGTTTTCCAAATTTGCTGGCATATTGAGTGTAGCACCTTAACAGCATCATCTTTTAAAATTTTAAATAGTTCAGCTGGAATATCATCACTTCCACTGGCCTTGTTATTAGCAATGCTTTCTAAGGCCCATTTGACTTCACTCTCCAGGATGTCTGGCTCAAGGTCAACAACCACACTACCTGGGGTATATACACCCACATAATTCAATACAATATCTTGTGCTGTGCAGCACAGACCAAGCATCTTAGAAATAAAATATAATTCCAAACAGAACTGTTTTTAAAAAGCTCTCTCTCCTTACGGCCTCCATTTTGCCTGGAGTTGTTTTCCTGCAGAGACATTTAAACCTCCTTACTTCCTCAGAGATTTGGAAATGAAGACTAAAGGCAACTCCCTTTCAAAATGGAGATTTTCAGCCAAATACCTTTGTCACCTGATCTATGGTTAAACACTCACGTGTTAGCTAGCAGAAAACAACAGTGCTTAACATCTTGAAGCTGTTGGGCAAGGTCTTTAGGGGATTAGGGTCATGGTGTTACCAGTGTGCTGATGATACCCAGCTCTATTCATCCTTGTCATCTGAGTCAGCTGGAGCAGTGCATGTGCTTGATTAGTGTTTGGAGACAGTGATGGGCTAGATGGATAGCGACCAGTAAATGGAGGCTGAATTTTGGCAAGATGAAGGTGCTATGGAATGATAGTTCCTCAATCTGGGAATTGAGTAGGCAGCCTGTTCTGAAAGTATGCCCCTCCACCCCTGGGAAGGATTAGGTCTGTAGTCTTGGGATGCTATTAGAATCCAGCTTGTTACCAGAAGCTCGGATGTCTTCAGTTGTGTGGAGCCTGGTTGTTCCAGGATGGCGATGGTTCACCCTCTAGTAACCTCCAGGACAGACTTTTTCAATGTGTTCTATGTGGGGCTGTCCCATAGCTGTCAACCGTTCCTTATTTGGCGGGAAACTCCCTTATCCCAGGGCCGTGTCCCTTATTGATGATGTCCCTTAAATTTCCTGGGTTTCAAAGGAAGCAACTCCTCTTCCGCCCTCCCTGCCAGCCAGGGAGGAGGGAGGTTCCAACTGTGTTGCTTGGCTGTGTTGCTCACCCAATAAGGAGTCTAAGAACGACTGGGGGGTGGAGCTTGCATGCTTTGTGCCGATCAAATCAGCCGCATTGCCTGGGGACTCGCCTTTGCTCAGCGCTTCCCAGCGGAGAAGTGACTGTGGTTATCCTTGCTGCATCCCCTTTGCCGGGTTGCTGCGCTGTGGGAACCACCCATTGAGGCTTCGTTTGGCTGCCGGCTGGGCTTTCTGCCTTTGGCTCGGAGGGGCTCAGAAGTTGAACATACCTGTGCCAGGAAAATCCCTTATTTTGGCTGCTGATCCCTTATTTTCGAGGCTGCTGGTCCCTTATTTTCAAATCTGTAAGTTGACAGCTATGGGCTATCCTTCAAGGTGGTTCAAAGGTTACAGCTAGTCTCACATGCAGCCACCAAAGATCATATAGCTCAAGCAGCCAGGGCAACTCTTTTAGAGTCTATTTAATATTCAAGGTTTTGGTTTATCATAGAATCATAGAGTTGGAAGAGACCACAAGGGCCATCGAGTCCAACCCCCTGCCAAGCAGGAAACACCATCAGAGCACTCCTGACATATGGTTGTCAAGCCTCTGCTTAAAGACCTCCAAAGAAGGAGACTCCACCACACTCCTTGGCAGCAAATTCCACTGTCGAACAGCTCTTACTGTCAGGAAGTTCTTCCTAATGTTTAGGTGGAATCTTCTTTCTTGTAGTTTGGATCCATTGCTCCGTGTCCGCTTCTCCGGAGCAGCAGAAAACAACCTTTCTCCCTCCTCTATGTGACATCCTTTTATATATTTGAACATGGCTATCATATCACCCCTTAACCTCCTCATCTCCAGGCTAAACATGCCCAGCTCCCTTAGCTGTTCCTCATAAGGCATCGTTTCCAGGCCTTTGACCATTTTGGTTGCCCTCCTCTGGACACGTTCCAGTTTGTCAGTGTCCTTCTTGAACTGTGGTGCCCAGAACTGGACACAGTACTCCAGGTGAGGTCTGACCAGAGCAGAATACAGTGGCACTATTACTTCCCTTGATCTAGATGCTATACTCCTATTGATGCAGCCCAAAATTGCATTGGCTTTTTTAGCTGCCGCGTCACACTGTTGGCTCATGTCAAGTTTGTGGTCAACCAAGACTCCTAGATCCTTTTCCCGTGTACTGCTCTCAAGTCAGGTGTCCCCCATCTTGTATTTGTGCCTCTCATTTTTTTGCCCAAGTGCAATACTTTACATTTCTCCCTGTTAAAATTCATCTTGTTTGTTTTGGCCCAGTTCTCTAATCTGTCAAGGTCGTTTTGAAGTGTGATCCTGTCCTCTGGGGTGTTAGCCACCCCTCCCAGTTTGGTGTCATCTGCAAATTTCTCTAAATTCTGCAAATAAATTCTCTAAACCAGTAGCAGGGAACCCACTGGCCTATTTATTTCAACAATGTGTATACTGCTTAGACTCATAGAACTGTAGTGTTGGAAGGGATCCCAAGGAATCTCAACTAAAGCATCCACTGTAGTCTCTAAGCAGGCTACAGAAAGGTTATAATATTGATACGACAGAGGTAAAAATAGTTAAAATTAACCCTAAAATCAGTAAGATGCCTGCTGAAATAAAAAAGGTCTTCATTGATAAGGGCTGATATGGGTCCCAAGGAGGTCATTCTCCACAAACAACTTCCACCTGCCTCACAGCTGATGTCATACACGACACCAGAAACTTAAAGTGAGCTCCCGGTTGTTCCTTTAAAGGAAAGGTTCCTGGTCAGTGCCAAGCAGCTGAAATTGGGAGTGTGCCTTCTCTGAAAACAGCGTGATGATAGACATGGGATTCTAGAAGCTTCTAGTAAGCTGGCCGTGGTTTTCAGTAATCTGAACTGGGTCAGGTTGTTGCAATCAAATATTGCCCTGTCTTGTGGATATACCAAAAATCACATGAGTCAGTGGGTGGAGAAGGAGTTGTATTTGTATTTTATTTCTGTGCAGAAAGGACCAGCAGGGATGTTTCCCCAAATTAACTGGCCCCAGACAAAGCGTTCCAAACAGTTTTATACATTTGGAACAAATTCCATACATTCCATTAAGTTTAAATTTCCTATCCAATAGTTTCCCTCACCCCAGCTGTCTCCCTATGAGCAGTCCAAATTACAAACAGTGTGAGCATGCGTGCTGACTACCATTTTAAACAAAGGAGCTTCCGCATGGTCTGCTAGATTTCGCAGGATTAGATTTCACCTCAGTACAGTGGACGTTCGGGTTGCGAACGTGATCCGTGTGGGAGGCACATTGCCGCGTTGCAATTTGGTGCTCCTGCACATGCGCAAAGAGCAATTTAATGCTTCTGCGCATGCGCAACTGCCAAAACCTGGAAGTAACCTGTTCCGGTACTTCCAGGTTTCGGCGGGTCCGTAACCCAAAAAAACGCAACCTGAAGAGTCTGTAATGAAGAGTCTGTAAAGGAGGGGGTTCTTCAGGAATTCCCCAACACAAGAGCTCTAGGGAATGTGTTTCCACCAGTCTTTAAACTCTTTCTGGGATAGTCTTCTAATGCTGAGGATTCTGAATCAATATCCTGGGTCATGACCATCATCAGCCTCATAGACAATGATTATAAGTGCCTCTCAAGTTTGCTCAAAATCTTCCCACCTGAACCTTTCCAATGAAAACACTTTGAGACAATGTTTATTGTCTTGGGGGTCATTTCCTTCCTCCTAAAAGCTCAAAGCATGTGTTGGGTCAACCGACTGAGTCCATTCCCCAAGCAAAACGTTTTGAGGTAAGCCAGGCTGAGAGGATGACTCTTCCCCAAATCCCAGAACTGCCCTTAGTCTACATGCAACACAGTGCCGGGTATGTTAAAGTCTTTGCATTAATTCCTCCTAGAAAACCTCTTCAAGAAAGGTGCAAAGTCTTCTGGTGGCTGGAAGCTTTTTGGGAAGAATCTCTACTACGTTTCAAAAGGGAAAAAGACCTGGTATGATGCCGAGAACTTCTGCATGTCCAGAGATGCCCATTTGGCCTCCATCCTGACTGATGAAGAACAGGTTATATAATAATAATAATAATAATAATAATAATAATAATAATAATAATGTTTATTCCCCTGCCACTCTGGGCTCCCAACAGAATATTAAAAACAACGAAATATCAAACATTAAAAACTTCCCTTAACAGGGCTGCTTTCAGATGTCTTCTATAAGTGAGATAGTTGTTTATTTCCTTGACATCTGATGGGAGGTCATTCCACAGGGTGGGCACCACTACCAAGAAGGCCCTCTGCCTGGTTCCCTGTAGCTTCACTTCTCACAGGGAGGGAACCGCCAGAAGATTCTCAGAGGCGGACCTCAGTGCCCAGACTGAATGATGGGGGTGGAGATGCTCCTTCAGGGATACTGTTATACCTCATGTATACTGAACAATATATACATTGTTCTTCTTTCTCTCTTGCTATTTGGGGTTTATTAGCATCTTCTCCAATGCCTGTATTTTTCTGACTGTCTTTCAACTGTCACATGCAAATACTTCATGACCTCTTGCAAATACTGCTGTACCTTCTTCCTCTCCACACACCACAAACCCTGGTCTGCCAGAGATCCTGTCCTGAAATGTGTCACCACAAAAGAGTGTGACTTTGAGCACGATCCCATTTGCACAGGAAGTGATGGTGAATCTCAGCAGGTGATGGTGGGGCGTCATTGCTTGGGCACCCTAGAACAGGAGTCAGCAAACTTTCTTCAGGGGGCTGATCCACTGTCCCTCAGACCTTGGGGGGGGGGCGGACTATATTTTGAAAAAAAATAATGAACAAATTCCTATGCCCCACAAATAACCCAGAGATGCATTTTAAATAAAAGGACACATTCTACTCATGTAAAAACACCAGTCAGGCCCCACAAATAACTCAAAGATGCATTTTAAATAAAAGGACACTTTCTACTCATGTAAAAACACGCTGATTCCTGGACCGTCTGTGGGCCGGATTTAGAAGGCGATTGGGCCGGATCCGGCCCCTGGGCCTTAGTTTGCCTACCTATGCCCTAGAACATTCCCCCTAATTTTTTGGCAATTCCGAGATTTGGTGATGGATGTGCAAGTGGTGTGAATTGTTCATGCAGGTCATGGAGCCCATTTAATTGCTTAGCACATAACGTGGGTTTACTTGTCAAGGATTATGAACTTTGAAAAAGACATCATGGAGCAAAGGACATATGGAAGCCCAGGAATGCTTGTATCTCTTTATTGCCATGATGCTGAATTCCAGTCCCCTCTTTCTGCAGACCTACATCACTTCTCAACTCACCACTCCTGCCTGGATTGGCCTTACAGATGAAAGTGAGGAAGGCAACTGGGAGTGGACAGATGGCTCCAGATTAATAACACAGTGAGTCTACAGAAACATACCCCAGGAGGTGATGCTTCTGCATGTCTGAGATGACTGCACCATTTCTTGCCAACCCTGTAGCAGAACTTAGGGTCCCCTTCATTTGGGGTACCGGTCCTAAGTACTCAGGCCCCAGCAAGAGAGAACTTACCTTTAGAATTTGCTGTAGGACCTCATTGACACAAAAGAGAGTGTTCCTTGCTGGGGAGGGTTGAGGATGGGAGATCTGAGCATTACCTCCCTAGGACCACCATTTTACTGTCTCCTTCAAAGTCTACATGGCTCCTCCACAGGGAGTGGACATAACGCAGAGATCAGGTGTAGAGGAAATGTACACTTGCCTGCCATAATATGGGCATAGACAGGATTTATGTTGGGGGTGTCTGTCACGCACCTGTGCCGTTCCAGAACTGAGCTACCTCCAATGTGATTGGTCAGTTTGTGGAAGCCACGCCTATCACTCAGTTGGGTTGCCAGTTGCAATGCTTTGGCTAAACTTCGTGGGGGTGGTGGTGGAATAAAAACCAAAAACATGGACATTTTGCAAATTTTAAAAAACCCACCCGGACAAAACAATTAACCATAAAAAAGAGGATGTGTCCAGGAAAATCTGGACATATAGCAACCCTAGCTTTGTTAGGCTCAGCCTCTTTTTTCCGATTTTCCTATATAATACAAGTCCTCCTGCACCCCCAGGTACTGGTCTGCTGGCAATCCAAACAGCTGGGAGAACTATGGAGACTCAGAGGAAGATTGTGCTTCCATTATTCCTTCATCTAGAGAAAAAAATTGGAGCGAGTGTAACTGCCATGAACTTCACAGTTGGGTTTGTAAGGAGAGCCTAGATACGGGAGAATTGTAAAATTTGACAAACCCGTTGCCTGGAGCCACACTAGAGTGAAGATGGAACGTGTTTCATTTCACTTCATGGGAAGTCTGCTCAGCCACAGAATGAACAAGAGCGAACAAGAAAATTCTATCTCATTCAAGGACCATTCCTTCAGTTGCCTGACGCCAAGAGAGATCGGAGTATGTGTGCTATTATCAGCTGATTGTGGATATCTGTGCCCTGAGAGATGGGTGTCGAGGAAGGGTTGCAATTTTCCTCCCCAGGAAGGCTGGCTGGGTCTACTCTGTTGACAAGGCAGAGCTCTGGAGCAGGGCAACATTCAGCAGATGTGTTGTGTTTCCTCCCTCCAGACGTAGCCTGGGTCAGGGGCATAGTGGTGGCGGCAGGGGGACCACAGCCCTGGGCGCATAATTTTTAGGGGCTATGACCATGTGCCCCCACACAGGAATCCTCCGTCCTGTTCTGCCCCCCACATCCCCAGCCCGCTCGCTGAATGTCTGCCTGGCCATCATTGGAGGGTGTGGGATTTGCCTGCCAAGGGCTGCGTTGGCCTGACAGGTTCCTTTCTGCATGGGTGGCCAGGGCTAAGCTGGTATGCGGGCTCCAGGAATCCTCCAAGCCTTCAATCCTCCAAGGGCACCTGGCAGCATTGGTGGCAAGGTTCAGTGGGTTCTGTTGACCCTCTGTGCCGTTCCCTGCTGGGCTCATGTGCCAGAAATTGATGCACATTCCAGCCAATGAAAAACTGGGGGTACAAAGCAGGAGAATAAAGGATTCCAAGGGCCAGGTAGAGAAGGCTTGAGGGCCACATGTGGTCCCTGGGCCTAAGGTCTCCCACTGCTTTAAGAAATGGAAATCTGCTCCCAAGCTTCCAGATTTGATTGCTTTTGCAACATCATGTGCTTCACCACTGAGCTATGGCTCCTTCCCCTGCTTTTTCAAACAATCCCTGCAAGGCTGTAGGAAAGGAATCGGAAGCAAAAACTTTCACGCACTGGACAAGCGGAAGTGCAGACGAGCCCTCTGCTTTTGGCAGAGCTCTAATGCATGGGTGGGGAACCGTGGCTTTCCAGATGTTGCTGCATTGCAAAGAATTTCAGAATCATGGAAATGTAGAGATGGAAGGGACCCCAAGAGTCATTTAGTCCAAATCCTTGCAACACAGGAATCACAGGTAAAGAATTCGTGACTGATGGCCACCCAACCTCTGCTTCAAAACCTTCATGGAAGCTGCCACCATCTCTGACCATTGCCCATGGTGGCTGCGGCTGATGTGAGTTGTAGCCTGGAGGGTCACAGGTCACTCATACTTGTCCTAGAGGAAGGAAGTCCACATCCTGAGCATATAGGAGCTCTGTTTTAGAGGATTTTATGTGGTCAGAAAAGGGGAATTTTAATTTGCTCAATCACATCTGCCAGTCATTTTCCCAGGGGGGAAATGGACCAAGTTACAGCATCCTAGCAATTGTAGCATGAAGTTCCCAAGCACTGCCGTGGGAACATTTTTTAACAGCTGCTGTTGTTCATGCAGAGATATACCAGGGAAAGAAGTGTTTGCCCTTCAGGTACAGAACGGCAAAATGTGGATACTCTCTTCCGATGGTGGCTTCTCTAACTCAGGCACACGTGGTAAGAAAGGGTCAGGCATGGATATTTGGGCTGCAAGCCACTTTGAACGCAACCGTCAGATTAGACGAGAAGGTTGTCTGAGTTAATTGAGCAGAGGATTTAAAACAATGCTATTCAGAGTAGGTGCATTGAAATTAATGGACATGACTGGCAGTTTCATTCATTTCAATGTGTCTACTCTGAGTAGGACTTAGTGGACTACAACCCAATTTATGATTTGTAAGTGCTTATATACAGGTAGCAAAGCCCCTTCTTAAGAGAGGCCTCCCCTTTCCCACATCTTGTCTTGGATGGAATGTCTTTTCTAAAGCACCTGCATGACATCTAAAAACAGAGGGACCATAAAGCGATGGGACCAGTTTAAAACAGTTTGAACAGCTGGCCACTAGAGCAAATGAAAACATCCTTGGAAAATGCATCTATCTAAACCTGGCTCATTTCTCTACTCAAGCAACACTTGGCAATAAATTGGTTTCGATAATCAGAATCAGAGTTGCAGAGATGGGTGATACCCCTGAGGGTCATCTAGTCTAGCCCCTGCAATGCAGTAATATCCAGCCATCCCATATGGGGATCAAACCTGCAACCTTGGTGTTATTCCACTTTTCAGAGTGTAAGGGCCCGTCCAGGCAGAGTTTTCAGGCAAGTGCATTATGCAACATGTTATTGACACAAAGATAGTGCAATAGTGGTGGTTTTATTCTGCCTCGTTAGCAGTTCAGGGATCCTTCCTCAAAAATATTATATCATTGCTGTCAGGAGAGACTACAGATGCACATTTTTTACCCTGGTCTTTGACTCATGAGATATGTGCTTTCAGGCTCCATCCTGTTCTTGTGACTGCAGTCTGTTTTAACTGATTTTAATTCTCAATTTTAAGTTTTTTGTAACCCGCCCTGGGACCTGCTGTGGCGAAGGGCAGTTGTTGTTGTTTGTTATTTCAACAACAATAAAGAACAGCAAACACAGGGCAACACACACACACACACACACACACACACACACACACACTGGAATGTTTGTAGTATGAAAAGTTGTAGGATATGCACTGATTGGGCATGAAGCAGAGTTTGTAGGCCCTGGCTGGAGATGCCACAGAAAGATGGAAGGAATGGGTGCTGGAATCACTTGGGTCCATATACTTGACCGCTCCAATGAATGGGTCTGGGGATGGGGCACTTGTGTGGGGTGCTAGGAAGGAAGCACAGAATATTTAACAACTGCACACAGACAAACACACTAAAATGGGTCAGCAAACTTTTTCAGCAGGGGGCCGGTCCACTGTCCCTCAGACCTTGTGGGGGGCCGGACTATTTTTTGGGGGGGGAAATTAACGAATTCCTATGCCCCACAATAAGCCCAGAGATGCATTTTAAATAAAGGGACACATTCTACTCATGTAAAAACACCAGGCAGGCCCCACAAATAACCTAGATATGCCTTTTAAATAAAAGGACACATTCTACTCATGTAAAAACACACTGGTTCCCAGTCCATCCGTGGGCCGGATTTAGAAGGCAATTGGGCCGGATCTGGCCCCCTGGGCCTTAGTTTGCCTACCCATGCTCTAAAACTAGCTTCTCATCTTCAGCCATGGCAGCAGGTATGGAGTGTGGCCTCTCCTGCCTGTCATGGACTGGTCGGATGCAGAAAAGTGGTAGGAGGCATCAGTCAGGAAACCCCCTAGGGAACCATCAGGGGAAGAGGGCTCAGAGCCAGGGGATTGGTGTTGGGCTGACGATGAGTGGTCAGAGGGAGAAGACTGGAGGGAAGAGGCATGGAAGCTGGAAGGGCAACAGAGTTTAGTGAGCAGGAAGAGGTGGTGGCAGACTGCAGTCCAGACTCTGAGGCTGAAGCAGAGGCTGGAGAGGAGGACGGCCAAGAGGCTGCTGAAGAATCCAGGGAGTCTCCGCCTCCTGCTGCGACCAGCTACCCTTCTCCCTTGCCTATGAGAATATGCAGAGAAATATGAAAAGAGCAGAACGGAGATTAGTTGTGTGCAGATGCAGTTTGAGACTGCGTGGGGAAAACCCAGGAGAGGAGGAGCCCTAGAGGGGTGGGAAGTTGGGGACCTTCAGTTGCTGAAACCACTGGGCCTGAGCTGTGGTTTGTTTCTTTGAATAAAGATTTAACTTCATTGGGTGATTTATTGCTTTTTGTTGCTGACCTACGCCAGGCTCAAGCCCTGACACTGCCTGTCCTAAACACACCCGAATGAACAAAACCTGAAGTGTATGTAACCTGAAGCGTATGTAACCCAAAGTACCGCTGTATTTTGTTCAGCCCCCGTAGGGCTGCCATAATCGATGCCAACAACAAAGCATTGCTTTTTCACGACTTTTAATGCATGGATTCGCCAGCTCTGAAGGAAGAGTCAAAATCCAGGGAAGGGGAATGTTCATGAATACTCACTCTGCACTGATTTGTTGCCATGGAGAGTGGGATATTCATGCATTATTCATGCATTATTTTTTGGTGTCCATCTTTGTGGGATTCAAAATAAGTTCTATTTTTCCGGCCTTGAGGAAGCAGGATTAACTAGGAGTGGAGTTTTTTCACGCACCGTTTTCATAAGGTGGTAAGCTGACTTTTGCAGTGAAATGGCACCCTGTCCATTTTTTTCCTTTTGCCTGTAGATCAGGGAGACCAGCACTTAAGACTTACGTCATCCACCTTTCATCTGGACTCACCCTGCAAACTGCAGCTTTTCTCTCATCGCAGCTAACACTGTTCCAGCAGTTTCCTGGGGTTGCACAATTCATTGGAATTTCAACACAATCTTCCCTTAAGGGACTCCACGGGTTTGGCTGACCTGACTCCCAAAAGCTGAAAAGAAGAGGCAATACAAATCAATCCAGAATGGAGCTCTACTTCTGCTATGGAAAAAAAAAGCTCTGTGCAGTGTGCAGACTTTTAGCACTAAAGTAGAAGCAGACTTCTCACATTAAGTAGATGGTTTGAGAATTTGAATTTGAACCAATGGATTCAAATTACAAGAGATTGCAGCTCAATGTCAGGAAGAGCTTTCTGGAAGTAAGAGCGGTTCAACAGTGGAACGGTCTCCCTTGGGAGATTGTCAACTTCCTTGGAAGTGTTAAGCAGAGGCTGGGTGGCCATCTGTCAGGGATGTTAGGGGGTTGGACTAGATGACCCTCAGGGTCCCTTCCAACTCTACAATTCTATGATTCTATGTTACCACAAGCAAGCGTTATCAAACACTTTCCTTATCCCAGAAGTCCATTTCGAGGAGAAACAGGTTGAATTGTACAACCTGAATTTGTCAATTGAATGCCACCCGAAAATAGTGACAACCTGGAAGAGCTCTTAGTAACATTATTTTTGAGAAAGTCTATACCATAAAAGGCTGCAGAGAAGCTTTCTCATGGACCCACCTGGTTCTGAATGGCGTCTTACCATCAATCCACTTCCAGCTTTTGCCATCTTTTAAGAGTCCAATCCATACACTTTGTTTGGATGCCTTGGACAGTGATTCCACAAAGGTCTGCAAGACAGAAATAGAGTGTCTTCACCTGGAATAAGGGGTAAGGGGAAAATTCAACTGAGTTCACATTTAAAGGCAAATCACTCTGATTCGCAGTTTCTGATACAACACATCAACCAAAACACAGCCATTCAACGGTGACCAACCTAGGACCATAGCAAGGCCATTGAAGAAAAACCTGTAAAATAGGGAGGGAGGGAGTTTGAAGAAGCGAGCCAAGAGGAAGCCCTCTGGCTCGTGCCTGATTTTAAATGTTCCTGGCCACACCCCCACCAGCTGCCGGATTGGCCAGCTGGTCGATGACGTGACCAGGATCCCCCGGGCAATGTGGGACTTCATCCCCCGCCCCCGGAGGAGAGTGGGTGGCTGTGCGGTCCACCGCAACTCCTCCCCACAGGGAAGTGGAGTGGATTTGCTGGGACAGAAGACCACATTGGTTATTCTACTTCAGCATCTTTCTGAGAAACCAACCATCCATGTTGACGTGTGACAGGGAGCATTTCCCAGATTGTACCACTTCAGGTTGCAGGGAAGGGGCTGTGTGGCTTGAGTGGTGCATCTTCACATGCAAGGTGGTTTTCAAGTAAGGCAGGGCTGGCCAACTCCCAAGAGACTGCAATCTACTCACAGAGTTAAGTACTGGCAGTAATCTACCCCCCTTTTTGGGGTTCAGGTCTAAGTTGTTGGGTTTTTCACGGAGGAGGTTGAGCTTTTTATAGGGGAGCCACAGTCGTTCAACTTCTTTGGGGGGGAGCCAATGATCTACCAGTGATCTACTGCAGACATCCAGTGATCATGATCTACCTGTTGGACATGCCTGAAGTAAGGCAATAAAGGCTTTCTGGGAAATGATATACAATGAATTGGAAAAAAAGTTTAAAATAACTTTTGGAAAAAAACAACAACCCAGAAGCCTTCTTATTAGGAATTGTAGGTACCAACATCCCAAAGGAACAGAAAAGACTCTTCATGTATGCGACAACAGCAGCACGGATGCTACTGGCCCAGAGATGGAAAGAAGAAAGAGTCTCTATCAGAGAAGAATAGCAAACCAAGACTACGCTGAAATGGCAAAACTGACCGGAAAGCTCAGGAACTAAGAAGAGAAAAACTTCAAGAAAGAATGGGAAAAATTTAGAATTTATTTAGGAGAATAAATCTGCAAGCAGATGAAAACATTAGCAGGATTTTAATCTTGCTTGTAGTGTAACAAATACTATGGACAATATGGATAGATATAAAATATAGACTAGGAAATAATATGCAGTTGAAACTGTTGACAATAGGACCCATGGAGGGGATGGGGGAAGTCTCGAGATTCAGAGAAATCTCTATATGGATATGTATTTGGTTTTGTTATAAATTTATATCTGTAAAATCAAATATGAAAGATCAAAACAAAACAAAACATAACAAAACAAGGTGGCTTCCAAGTAAAGCACCACCATGCTAAGGCATCATAAAAGCACTCAGAAGCACAAAACATAAGTGCGAATATAACCCAGCAGAGGAGCTACTAAATGGCCTCGGTCCAGTATACCTGAAGGAGTGTCTCCACCCCCATCGTTCTACCCGGACACTGAGGTCCAGCACCGAGGGCCTTCTGGCGGTTCCCTCACTGCGAAGCCAAGTTACAGGGAACCAGGCAGAGGGCCTTCTCGGTAGTGGCGCCCTCCCTGTGGAACGCCCTCCCACCAGATGTCAAAGAGAACAACAACTACCAGACTTTTAGAAGACATCTGAAGGCAGCCCTGTTTAGGGAAGCTTTTAATGTTTGATGTATCACAGTATTTTAATATTCTTTTGGAAGCCACCCAGAGTGGCTGGGGAAGCCCAGCCAGATGGGCGGGGTATAAATAATAAATTATTATTATTATTATTATTATTATTATTATTATTGGTTTCTGTCAAATAGTACCATCCAGTTGGTCCCCCCTCTATGGTCCTCCTCAGCGACATAGAAGGGTGCTTTGGGGCCCCCACTTCACTCAAGGGTCAGGTTGTAAAATCATTGTGATGTGAATGCATTTGCTTCTAGCATCCCATTGTTAGGCTTACCTCCTCGCTAGCAGTTGTGATGGGAGTCAAAGTAGCATTTCTGTTTTTGCATGCCCTTCGGGCATAAAAAAATGCCGTTTCATAAGCGTCGAGGTAATAGAGGTGGCCATCATGTTGCTTCCACCCAGTGGATATCCTTTCAATGAAGGCGTCTTTGAGCCAACGTGGCCGGATCATACAAGGAACCCACCGAGAACAAGAAGGGTGGACATTAGGAACCAGCTTTTAGATCTCTGCAGATTTTAATATGCATCTCAGAAGTACATGTATTTCATTAAGTGCCAATATGATACAAGACAGAGTTTTGACGTAATCCAACCCTGCAACATTCCAGTACATTCCCAAGAACATTTGCGATGTCTCAAAACAGGGAATCAAACGTGGGCAAAACATTATAGATTTATTGTTTACATCTAATTAGGAAACACTGTAACAGACACAGTTGGGAGGGGCAAAGGGACCTTAGCCCCCGGAAGTTGGCTCCTATCCTGGCAATGCAAATCAGTTGCTAGAGCTGGTGAGGAAGAGGAGCAACATTATCATCTTTGAATCTCACAACCAGCTTGAGGTTCTAGGGCTCTCCCAGTTTGTTTCGGGCCCCATACATCAAGCAGGCCTCACGCTGGATTTGATCTTTGGTGCAGGTGTAGATGTGATCATGTTCCCCTTGATGGAGGTGCCATGGTCTGATCACTGTGCACCGAAGGCCGGGATTGACTTCCTGCCCCCACCCTCCTTAGGTGGCGAGCCTATTTGGGCTTACCCGTGGAGGCTGATGGACCCTGATGGATTCTGTCAGGGCTTGCAGGACCCTGCTCCCCCTGGCGACTCATTGACCGAGCTTGGCAGCCATCGATGAGATCGCACCTAGGCATCCTCTGCGACCCCGCAGAAACTGGGCTCCCCGGTTTACCGAGGAGCTCTGGAAAATGAAGCGGGACCTCAGACGGCTAGAGCGAGTATGGCAGGGTGCCTGCGACGGAGCCACAAGAACATCTTATAGGGCGTTTATGAAAACCTATGAGATGGCAATGAAGGCTGCAAAGAAGTCTTACTTCTCAGCCTCCATTGCATCCACTAGCTCTTGTCCGGCGCAACTTTTTAGTTTGGAAGCTATGGCTGGATGTTTACATGGGAGCCGGTTGAAGTTAAATCCTTCAAAGACAGAGGTCCTTTGGCTGAGTCGAGATGATATGGGGTTGGGGGGCCAAATCCCATCCCTTGTGGGGGCGCAATTAGTGCTGGCGCCTTCCCTCAGGAGTTTGGATGTAGTCTTTGACGCCACCCTTTCTAGGGAGGCGCAGGTTACAGCTATTACAAAGGTGGCATTTTTTCATCTCCGCCAAGCTAAGCAGTTGGTCCCTTACCTCTCTCGCCCCGACCCTGCCACTGTGATCCATGCGACGGTCACCTCCAGGCTTTATTGTTGTAACTCATTCTACGTGGGGCTGCCATTGAAAATGACCCAGAAACTCCAGTGGGTGCAGAATGCCATGGCGAGACTCCTTACGGGGCCCTCGCCACGGGATCACATTCACCCAGTGCTATACCAGCTGCACTGGCTCCCGGTGGAGTACCGGATCAAGTTTAAGGTGCTGGTTTTAACCTTTAAAGCCCTATACAGCCTAGGACCCTCGTACCTACGGGTCCGCCTCTCCTGGTATGCCCCGTGGAGGACCTTACGGTCTGCAAATAACAACATCCTAAAGATTCTGGGCCCCAGAGAGATCAGACTGGCCTTGATCAGAGCCAGGGCCTTTTTGGCCGTGGCCCTGGCCTGGTGGAACGCTCTGTCACAAGAGACTAGGGCCCTGTGAGATTTGACATCTTTTCGCAGGGCCTGCAAGACGGAGCTGTTCCGCCAGGCCTTTGGCCAGGGTTCAGTCTGACTCATTTTCTCCTTGTATAAGAACAAGCACGAAGGAGGTTCCCAGCCCGCTCACAGGTACTCATAATATTAGCGGAAACAGTTGGTAACCACCTTCAATTTTAAACTGAAGATTGCCACTTGTCCAGTTTGTTTGAATTAATCGTGGGATGTATCTCAATTTATTGATTGCTTGTTTTTATGCATTGTCTTACTTGTATGATGTTAGCTGCTCTGAGCCCGGCTTTGGCTAGGGAGGGTGGGATATAAATAAAATTTAATTATTTATTTAATAGGGCACCTTTCCCCAGCCTGGTAAGCTCCTGTGCTGGCTGAGGCTGATGGGAATTTTGCTCCACGTGCTTTGGACTATGTGGGAAGGCACATGGTTGAGGCTCAAGAGTGGCCAGATGCAAAAAGGGACCACCACCATGTTCAGAGGCTGTGGGACTTTCAGGAGGTACAAATTCAGCTGGGCAAGGTTCTCCTTGTGCTCTGATTTGTTTGCATCACAGTCGCATAGAGTAACTTACCAATTGATAGCTGTAATTCAAAAATTTTAGAATCTATCTTGACCACTTCCTGCAGTAACTTCTGAGCTTCATTGAGTATTGCCGAATCTAAAGAGTTGTAGTGGATCAAGTCAGGGAGATCTCAAACACACACACACACACACGTGTAAAGTACTGTATTTTTCCGTGTATAACACGCCCCCATGTATAAGACGACCCATATTTTTGGGGACAAAAAATAAAATTTTGGAGGGGGAAACTGCCCAGAGATGTTAAGTTTTTTGGGGGGCGGGATGCCCACCTGCACACTCAACGAAACCACAGCAAATGGCACGCACGCCACAAATCAAATGCCCAATTGCCGCAGACACAGCCAATCATCAGCAGGCCTTGCCGCAGCAACCAAATACACGCCAAATCGCCCATCACCCCTCAGCTTTCCATGTATAAGAAGACACACAGTTTTAGCCAATTATTTCTACAGAAATAATATCACCTTAGGATCAGAAAATTACGGTAATTGCGTTACATTCTGTTGCGCTCTGGCATAAGACAAGAAGCAGATCCCAGGGTTAATAATAATAATAATAATAATAATAATAATAATTTATTATTTATACCCCGCCCATCTGGCTGGGTTTCCCCAGCCACTCTGGGCGGCTTCCAAAAGAATATTAAAATACTGTGATACATCAAACTGCTGATGGGAGCAGTCCTGATTCTCTGCAGCAGGGATCACCAAGAGGGAGGGATCCTGGTTAGTCTATGCCATTATATGAGTGTCCCTTTGTCTCAACCCCCAAGATAGTGTGGGGGGAATGGCTCTTATGGACATGATCCTGCAAAGGGTGCAATGATTCTGTGCACACACACATTCTGGGCACATACACATTAGTTACATCTATCCCTGGTCCCCCACCCACAACTCTATTTGGTGAAGCTCCCATCCCTCCAACTCTGCCCCCAAACCCTAGAGACCACCTTGCAGTGACTACAGCTATAGCTCAGGAGTAGTCAACCTTTTTATACCTACCACCCACTAATGCATCTTTCTTGATGGTAAAATTTCCTTACCGCCCACCAGTCCTCGATGGAAGGAGGATTCAGCTTGTGCCATAGAACCCCCTACCACCCACCTAGAATCCTGAAACGCCCACTAGTGGGCAGGAGGGACCAGGTTGACAACCCCTGCTATAGATCTTCCAGATGCAATGGGATTTCCTCCCAAGTAAGAGAGAAAAAGTATAAATAAATGCATCACTGAATTGAAGTTTAAACTGTTTATTATTATCAAATCCAAATTTTAATCTTCTTATTAGCAATTCTATTTTTAAAAAATATTTTTTTATCAGAAATTTTATTTACAACATAACACAACCCCCCCAACACAGAAATCCATCCCCATCAGACACGAACATAACAAACAACAAGCATAATATACAACAATACAAACAACCAAATAAAAAACTTCCTTTATCCTGTACCTGGCCTCCTTATTTACTTCTGTTTCCTTTATGAATAATTATTAAGATTTTTCTAATTATAACTTAAATATCCACAAAGTCTCCTGCAGACATTAATCAAAACAAGTCCAGGTATGAATTTTAGGGCACTATTTTGTGAAGTTTTCTCTACATTTCCCCCATGCTTTTTGAAACTCTTGTCTAGTGTAATCTCTAATTGCCTCTGTTAATCTAGCCAGTTCAATATACTCTAACAGTTTGTCTTGCCATTCCATTTTTGTTGGCACAATTTATTTTTTCCAGTTTTTAGCAATTAGGATCCTTGCCGCTCCTGTGGCATAGAGGAATATTTTCTGATCTTCTCTTGCTATACCTGCGTCCATTATCTCCAGTAGAAATTCTAGCCCTTCCTTATACAAACACACACTTCCCTCCATGCCCCCTTTTTAAAAGCCAGCAATAATTAAAAATGGGCTATATAAGATCTAAGAGGATCCCTACCCAGTAACCTGGCCACTACATTTTGGACCTGTTTCTTCCAAGGGCAGCCTCACATAGGGCACATTGCAATACTCTGTGTGAGATGTTTTGATGAGTTCAAACAAAATGGACCAAAGAAAGGGGAATCAGCTAGTGAACTTCTGCTGCAATTCCTCAGGACTAAACTTTATCAGATTCTTTGGCAAAAAGGTATGTTGGACTTACTGCGAACTTCCTTTCTCTTCAATAGATGGAAGTTACCCAGGAATGGCTTGCTCCTCCCACTTGCCTCAGAAGCAGGGCTATGCAAATGACTTTGGGCTTGGTCCAAGCCAGTAGGAGAACTCTCCCCTGGTTTCAGGACACAATGCAGCTGAATGAAAAAAGGCATTATGGAATATTTCTTGCAGTTCAAGAAACCATTACCTTCTGTTCCCATAAACACAAATAAGTGGGCATATAAATAACCCCTGCCTGAAGAAGATTAGACAGAAGGTCACCCCCCGACCTTAATCTATCCTAATAATTGGCTCCTGAAGTCAACCCTAACCCTAACCTCTTGTACTGTGGCAAGGAGACAATTCTTGGGTGATTCATCTACTGAAGAGAATTAACATCCATGGGAAACCCAGTCTTCCCGGCTTGGAGTAATATAGGAACAGCATCTTTAAAAAAATGGCAAAGCAGGACACTGTACAGTGGATGCGCGGGTTGTGAACGTGATCCATGCAGGAGGCACGTTCGCAACCCGCAGCGCCACATCTGTGCATGCACGGGTGTTGCAATTCGGCACTTCTGTGCGTGTACAAAGCACGATTTAGCGCTTCTGTGTATGTGCGAGCGCCAAAACCCGGAAGTAACCCATTCCAGTACTTCCAGGTTTAGCGCAGTGCGCAACCCAAAAACACGCAACCTGAAGTGTCTGTAACCCGAGTTATGACTGTACACCCACCCTGGGGAGCTGTCCAATTCAAACAACAGACAGAGCTTCACAAGTTACATTATGTCTTGGTATGGGTGGAGTTGTAGGACCTTGGAAAGTCTGGTGTTAACCCTTGCCGTCTTTGGCTGGCAATGCAGAGTTTGGCTGCCATTTACATTTCTGTTGTTTGTTTGTTTGTATATATAGGTTAGTGGGAGGGTTTTGCAGAGGAAATGGAACGAATTGGCCTCTAACTATAGACTGGCATTTAAAGGTACTGAGCCCAAAGTCATTTGATAGTCCTGCCTCTGGAGCAAGTGAGGAAAATGGCCTGCTCCTAACTGCCCTCCAAAACTGAAGGGGGAATCTTGCGTTCCATATGGGGTTACACAACTGCTGAATATTGTGAATGGAATAGAAGGGTATTCTCAGAGGAGAGGCATTGGAAGACAGGTGGGCAATAAAAAACCCCTCTTTACATGACTATAAGCCCTGCTTCAGGTGTGGGATGATGACCCAGCGTGGGAGAGAGGGAAAGGACTTGAGCATCAACACTGCAACTCATTACTTACCGTTCATGTGTTCAAAGGACTGATTTCGACTGACCATGAATTCCCGAATCCTCTGCATAGCATTGATCTTTACTGCTACTTCTTGTGATTCCAAATAATCTAATACCAAGGAAGGTAGAAAAGGAGTACTGTTTAGACACAACCTAGTGAGATGGTCATTCTGAGCATAGCACACACCTGCCTCCCTCTGCAATGGTCACAAGGACTCAATTTCTAATGCCATTGCTCAGTCCTGGAACAGGCGTTGACATACGAAAAGAGACAGTGCACTGGAGCGCAAGTGGAATGTGGCAGTCAGCTACCTCTTTGTGCAGAGCTTAGCTGGTGGGGGGTTTCCACATAGATTGAATCAAATCAATGGGGAGTACAAGGACTTAATGGAGGTAGGGTTGTGCCTCCCCTCTTTTTGAAAGGGTTCTTCATATTCTTTGCTATAAGAGTAGGAACTTACACAGAACAAGCAGCACAGTTGAGATAGAAAGCATGAGGACACACAGGAACCCAACAGCCCATTCACCATAGTAAGATTCCTCCTCATTAGGCAGTGTCTCTGGAAGGAAAAAAAGGAACAAAAATTGTCCTTGGACCACCCATAGAAAGCATCCTGGCATCATCCCAGTGGATAAGCTTGTTCATATATTCTGGCTTTAGCCAGCAGCACCTAAACCACAAAAGCTTTGAAAGCTGCTGCTCAATAAACCTACACTGGACTGAAAGCTTGATAACTTGATAACTATGGGCTTGTCACAAATCTTCCCTCTGTCTTCCAAGGAGACCCTGTTGGGATTTTTGCCTATGTGCTATCTGATGCAGCTTCCCACAAAAGCAATTAAGGAGTTGGCCGAAGACCAAGAAGACTGAGCAGAGGGAGTTATTCTGCCTAGAGATATGGGACCTTGGATACAACTCTGCTATTGGACGAGGCCACTCACATAGGCATGATGACACATGACCTTCCTGTTGGTTAGTGGCTGGTTGGTCAATGTTGTTCTGAGGGTTAGTTGGAGTTTGTTCAGAAAGAGTTATGATCCATGTCTGTATCTGTTGGGATATGACTACTACGCAGCTGCGAACAAGCAGCTGGATGTTTACATCACATGATGGAGCTAACCATGGGACAGGAAGCTCCAGGGATTTCTCAGAGATCTGTTCTTTGTGTAACATGAGACCTTCCTGTTGCTTGTGTGAAGGAAGTCTGAGTCAGTTGCTTGGAGAAGTCTGAGTGAACGGACATGTTTTTGTACAGTTGTACAGTCAGAAATAAACTGTAGAGATGTAGCAGACTTTCTGACTATCTTCTTTCTCCTGCTGATATGCAAGAGGGAAGGGGGTGTGCACCTTTCATCAGGGAGGTGTCGCCTATCAAGATCTCCCTGGACTGCCGGGATGCCAGCCAGGGAAGATCATCGGTAAACAGGCCCCAGGAGCCTGGGAGAGGGGCCAGCCTCTCCCGAGGGGGCCAGTTTTCCAACAGTATCCTGTATATAGTAACTTGTGAGTCTGCTGTAAATAATAAACCTATAAGTAACCAAGTTACTAATAGCAGCGTCTTGTTCCTGCTTCATCCTGCCAGCTAGCAACCGACTGCTTCTGGACAGTCTGCGTATGCTCTGCAATATTCAACAGGTTATGGCTGAGCTCCTTCAACAGGTTATGGTCGAGATCCTTCAATACACCTTGCCACCATTGCCGCCACTACAGCACCAGCAGGTGTAGCAAATGGTATAGTTTGCATGGGCCGAAAAGATGGCTGAAGAACATCACAAAATGGATGCAATGCCTTTGAAATGATCACGAACTGTGTTGCATAAGCACTAATGGAATGTGGAAAACATCATAAAGTTTTGGCAAAAACAGTGTGTGCCGGGAACGGTACGTGCAAGGAGGCTTGGAGGTGGGCTGTTCACCCCCCCAAATATAGTCCTGCCCCCCACAAGGTCTGAGGGACAGTGGACCGTGGTGCCCCCTGCTGAAAAAGTCTGCTGACCCCTGTAGTAAGCCATAGTAAGCAGTGTGTGACAGGGGGCAGGGATGAAAAAGAAAAGGGAAGCAGAGGGCTTGCAGAAGACCAGGTAAGATTTTTTGCTCATTGGGGATGGGCAAAAATGTCAATTTCTCATTTTTTCCAATTCTTAATTCAGTTCTCCACATTTCCAGACTAGATTGTGATTATTTTTTTTAAAAAAAACACATTCTAATGAAAATTCGCCAGTGTTTTAGTGCGAATTTCTCTTAATATGCACATATTTTATTGCAATTTGCCTAATCTACAAATTTGCAAAGGAATTTCCTTACGCTAAAGTTTTTTTGTATGTTATTTTTATCAATGCATGCATTTTTATGCACACCTACTGCTAATACATGTGTGTGTGTTTTTAAATAAACATTGCTTGGCTGGACAAACACTTGCAAAATTTGGAGAAGTGTGAGTTTCAGAGTATGGCTCTGTTTCAGTTTGCATGTTGTTCTGGACAGTGAGAATCAGATAAGTACACCTTTAAATGTGAACTGGGCTGAGTTTCTCCCCATCCCTAATTCTTAAATGGAGAAAGAAGCCCAAACTGGGAGTAGCTGTGTCTCTCACATCCTCTCTCCAGTTAAAGAGAAGCAAGCAAGGAAAGCAGACAGAATGGAGGCTCCTGGGCCTTGCTCCAAATATAAAAATATGGTTTGTATTCCTGTGAACTGAAAATAAAATTAGAAACAACTTACCTCCTGATGGGAGACTACTGCCATTCTTCATTTTGTCTATTCATTTTCACTGGCTTCTCCACCTGGATTGTTCTCTACAGAAATATATAATGGACTTTGTTTTTTTAAATATTTTTATTATTATTATCATCACTTTTAGCAAATCAATTTATAAATCAATATATCCAATTACATTTTCCCATTTCCCCCTTCCCTCCCACTCCCACCCTCCAAAGACTTCCCTCGGCTCCTCTCTCTGATTTGTTTATACATATTATTCTCTGCATGCTATAAAATTGTACATATCATTGCCTTATCTGTCATATGTTCTACTAATGAATTTGTGGGTGTTTATTCAAAACCTGCCAAGGAGTCCAAATCCTTTTGTGGTCTTTTTAAATAGTTTGTAAATAGTTCCTATTCTTCCTTGAAATCACGATTGTCCTTCTCACACAGTTTATATTTCAACTTTGCCAACTTTGCATAGCTCATCAGTTTTTCTTGCCATTGTTTTTTCGTCGGGACTTCCTCATTCTTCCATCCTTGTGCTAACAAGACTCTTGCTGCTGTTGTAGCATACATAAATATGTTTGTAGACTGCTTAAACTGTAACTAAAAGACATCCTTCACAAACCTGGCATCCTCCTTGGCTGGGGCTGATGGGAATTGTAATCCAAAACGACCTGCAACAGACCTGGTTGATGAAGGCTACATTAAGACGAATGGAGTACTTAAGGAGCACTCATAGCGTTCATTATTATGCTCCTCCTGCTTTGTATGATAGGCTGGCTGGAGTTTTGTGGAGCATAGTTAACACAGCATTTGCACCCAGAAAGCCTCTGGGATCTCCAGCAGCAGCAAAGCAATGCCTGAGATTTTGAAGTGTGGGTGACCATGTCAGATGATGCAGCACTGGGCAAGGCAGGGAATTCTCTGACTCAGTGAAAAGAGGGACAGAGAATTTTGTTCTGTCTGCCTTCTTAAGCAGACCGACCTAATTTGCACCTTCTGAACAAATAAGCAGCTCGAAATGTAATTATCATTTGGGTTTTTCGCATTTCCAAATTTTGTGATATGGTCCTTGGCTCAAATTAAATACAAATGCATTTTTTAAACAACAACAACAACACACACACTTGTGTACTTTGTGATAAATACATTCAGAAACATGTGTGCCGAAATAAGATATATATCTAAACACTTAGTTTGTGTTTAAAACTCATATTTGAATACAATTTTTCATACCGAATTTTCTTTCTTGTCAAAATTCACACCTCAGCATAGAAATGGGATGGAATGGACTTATGAATAAACACATATGAAACACATGTGAAAGTGACATGGATGAGAAACCGACTAGTCTACCCATTCTTAAGTACAAGGCAGTTTCATACGAATAACATCCCCCACCCAATTCTGCCCCTATTTGGATACCGTGGTGCTCCCATCAGCTGATCTTCTCTTGGTCTCAGCTTCTTCCTGCAGACAGATGTTCCTTCCTTCAACAGCTCCAACCACCTCCTACTTTGATGCAGAACATTCTAGAACTCTTCCCATTCAGCTTCTGCTGCTCCCTAACTGGGACTGGCAGCCAGCCAATCAGCATTCCACATAGAGCAGAAAGTCCGGGAGCCAGCGTGGTGTAGTGGTTAAGAGCAGTGGACTCGTAATCTGGTGAACCAGGTTCGACTCCCTGCTCCTCCACATGCAGCTGCTGGGTGACCTTGGGCCAGTCACACTTCTCTGAAGTCTCTCAGCCCCACTCACCTCACAGAGTGTTTGTTGTGGGGGAGGAAGGGAAAGGAGAATGTCAGCCGCTTTGAGACTCCTTAGGGTAGTGATAAAGCGGGATATCAAATCCAAACTCTTCTTCTTCTTCTTCTGGGAAAATACTTAGTTTACATATTTGCTAGAAGCCTTATAGCTGGGCTGGAAGATTGGGAAAATATTGCCTAACAGAAAAAGATCATTTGGATGTCATTCTGGAGTGAATATTTTGAATATCGAATAGACCCCTTATTTCCTCTGTTAAGGACCAACTGGCTTGATGGTTCTGTTTTCCAATAGATGATGCAGTAAAATATTATAAAAGCAAGGAACTGCAGAAAGAGTGGGGAGGGGAGCCGAAATAAAATATATATGATACATTGTTTGCTTTCCAAGTTTTTCTTTTTTAAATTTTGGTATGTTGTAAAATTAATTATATAAAGAATATATATGTGTGTGTGTGTGTGTGTGTGTATTTGTTGTTGTTTAGTCTTGTCCGACTCTTCGTGACCCCATGGACCAGAGCACGCCAGGCACTCCTGTCTTCCACTGCCTCCCGCAGTTTGGTCAAACTCATGCTGGTAGCTTCGAGAACACTGTCCAACCAGCTCGTCCTCTGTCGTCCCCTTCTCCTTGTGCCCTCCATCTTTCCCAACATCAGGGTCTTGTCCCGGGAGTCTTCTCTTCTCATGAGGTGGCCAAAGTATTGGAGCCTCAGCTTCAGGATCTGTCCTTCCAGTGAGCACTCAGGGCTGATTTCCTTCAGAATGGATAGGTTTGATCTTCTTGCAGTCCATGGGACTCTCAAGAGTATCCTCCAGCACCATAATTCATTCTTCGGTGATCAGCCTTCTTTATTGGTCCAGCTCTCACTTCACACACACACACACTTCCAGGAGATGATTTATAGCAACCAAAAATCCTGGTGCTTCTCCAGAACCTGGGAACAAGGTGTTGGGACAAAAATGCCTCAAGGATGAGATGCAAACTCTAGAGCATATCCCTGTGTTACTGTCTCCATCACCTACCTGTCTGAGCTGACATCCTTCCAACGGTGTGTGAAAGCCAACAGCCTCACCCCCACTGGACGTGAAAGCTGACTTGATTCCGAGTCAGGAGGAGGAAGCCTCCTACCTACCTTCTGAAACTTTTTTGTATAGAAAACAAAGTGTCCCTGCTCTGTGTGAGAGAAGTGGGAAGTCCCTGGCCTGATCACACTTAAGTGAGCCTCTCTGGAACTCCACAGCCCTGCTGGGCTCACACTAATACCCCCATACTCCCTCCTCAGTCATATTCAAGATGATAGGGAGGAATACACATGAGGATTTTTTTTTACATTTTTTAAAGCACAAAATGGTGGAAACCACAGAAGGGAAGAGGAGAAGACACAGGAGATGGACCAAAACAACTCTTAAGGACAGGAGAACACTATGGGACTAATCCAGACATTCAAAGAAGTTAAGCAAAGAAGGTGTAATTGGAAAAAGGAGTGAAATTGCTTGTTTGGATCTCAATATCTTGTTTAGAGATAGGATGCCAGGTGCACAGGGTTGCCTAGCAACAGTACAACACTGAAAGTCAGGCTTGCTGACTTATCCAACCTCACTTTTTCTCAGGAATGTGCATATGAGCAGAAACTGGTATAGAAGTCAAGTCTGCATTGCATTCTGTAATCTGGAGGCAACAAGGCGAGAGTCTGTGAGCAACTGTGTTTGGTGGGTTTGGTGGGTTTTACACAGCGTAGTGTGAGCTACAGCGTGGTAAAGAGCCGGTGGATCTCTCTGTATATTTGTTTCTTTACTTCTAAGACCAGAAGAACTGTATTACAGTAGTTAGTACATTTATCTTTGTCTTGTGAGACAATAAACACTTTATACTTAGAACTGAACTGAGTGGGACAGAGGTTTTTCTTAACCAGGAAAAGGTTTTTCTTAACTCTGGAAAAAGATGACTACTGGAAAGCAGGAAAACTCTGAAGTTCAGCTGGAAGACTGCTGGAGCTGTGGATTCACTGTTGACCCCACTGGTCGAAGTGTGGTGAATTACTAACTGATAGTGGGACCATGCCTGGCAGGTTATAAGCCAACAGACGTCTGGAAGTCGTAATATAGAACAAGACAATGGAAACTGTCACACTCACAGGAAGACCAATTCTCTCAGAAATAAAGAGGAGAGAGACACCACTGCTCTGATTGCAGGCAGAGTTGGTCTGGGGGAAGTGGGGCGACTCCTCCCCTAGAGAGGCCACGAAGACCCTTCCTGTTGCCAATAGGGGGAGTCATCCCTAAGAAGAGTGTTATGTTCCCCTCCCCCCCCATCTGGTAAAATGTTCCCCTCTAGCAGGTATACTAAATCAATCTTCCTCCACTTGGTGCCCTCCAACGCAACCTGTTGGTTAGGGCTGATGGCACCTAGAAGGCACTGGGTTGGGGAAGGCTGTATTGGATTTATTGCAACAGAAAGTGGGCTACGACTGAGTCCTCCTTGCTTTATTTTCCAGGAGTTTCCATTATCTGAGGTTGCAAAATCAGGTCACCTGAGGATGCAGGATTGACAAAAGGCTTTTGAGTGCTGGTGTCAAAGACCTGATCTCTTCCATGCCCATAATTCCATAATTTGGATCATTGGATCATTGACCATGGCTTCTATTAAAGGTGGGTCGATTCATTGCCCATGAAGAGTTTTAATTGAACCATCGTTTATCAGGCTTCTTCTTACATATGCTTCTTTTTTGATCAAGACGGGGAAAGTTCTCCCAACATCGCAGTGGTGTTGCACACTTTGCTTTTATTGCACCGACTGGTCTATGAAGGTGGTTGTCTGGCTTACCGACTACCCAATAACTGAAAAGAAAAGGAAGCACAAATCAATGAGTCAGTGAGAAGCAAATTATTATTATTGTTGTTGTTGTTGTTATTGTTATTATTATTAATTTATTTATACCCCGTACATCTGGCTTGGTGTCCCTATCCATCAACATGGGGTGTGTACTTTATTTCAGCATTAAGAGATCTCCCCCTCTCAGAATCCTCAGATTCCAGGGCATTAAATGAAGCTGGTCTGAAAAAAGAAAAGGCTTCTTCACACAGCATGGAGTTAACCTGTGGAACTCACTTCAACAGGAGGTGGTGATGGCCACCAACGTGGAAGGCTTTAAAGCAGAGGCTCCCAAACCTATGTGGCCTACCACCTCCTTTCAGAAAAAAAATAAAAATACTCAGAACCCCCCCCCCAGGAACCAACCTTTTTTAAGCAAACAAATAAAAGATGCAGTGACAAATTTGCATTCTTTTATGTGTCTGTATTTCTACCCAGTGCTATTTTTCTAGAAAAAAAGATGCCGGAACTCACCATGAATGCCTCCCTCTTTCTCTTTGAATTGCACCCACCTGGGAGGTTCCAGAACTCACCTGAGAGGTTCTGGAACCCACCTGAGAAGTCCCAGAGCTGAGTTCCTGTGAGTTCCCCCTGAAAAAGCCCTGTTTCTACCTATATCCTACAACCTAATAAAGAAAGATTAAAATTCCATGGAGCGGACCAGAGTTAAGACTGCCGGCTCAGTCCGATCTATCCCAGGGGCCGAGCCGGTGCCGCATCCTGCCTGCCATGGGCCAAATAGACAGGCAGTCTGCGATCCACTTTCTGGGTCTGGGTGAAGCCCAAAAGTTCACCCTAGCCTGTGAAAACCTCTCCCCTCCAGTGCAATTGCCAGATCCAGGTGAACTTTTGTTGCCAACCCACAACGGAGCCCAACCTGGCAGTAAGCGTCATTACATAACAGATGAATCTTCTCTTCTCTTCTCTTCTCTTCTCTTCTCTTCTCTTCTCTTCTCTTCCACCCACTTATTTTTATTCAACGACCACTTGGATCATTCTAGTGCCCCTCAGGGGGTGTAATCACACACTTAGGGAAATGTGGCTTTTAAGAAAGATGACTTCTAGTGTTATGAGAGTAGGAGAAAGCCTTTTCTCTATTCTCTTTCTCCACACTCATTAGTTCTAAGTGGACATAGGATCCTGCGGTTCTAGTAGATTCTTCATTCTGTTAGCCAGAGCTAATGATTGACTGGGGTGATGATGGTGGAAAGCAACAATAACCACTGAATGATACTATGGAACAAAGCAAGCCTTGTGTACCTGCATTCCTACACTTTAGCAAACATTTAAGAAGCAGTAGAATTCCTCACACTTATGCTTTCGTCTCTGTTCAAAGAGGCAAACTATCATATTTTAACAAGGTGAGGTCAAAAAGCATTGCTTGGTCTTCCAAAAAATGGAGAGGATCAAAACTGAGGGGGAGGCAAAGGGGACATGCTGTCGCCACCATGCTCTAGTCATGGACTGGTCATGCTGTTCGGATGCCTAATCATCGTCTTCCAAAGTAACTACTCTATTCCGAATTTAAAAATGGAAAGTGTAATGCCAGTGGCCAACAACAGAGGTTTAAAGACTCTCAAGGCAAATATTAAAAAATGTAGTATAAACACCAACAATTGGGAATCACTGGCCTGTGAGCACTCCAGTTGAACAGCCTTTACTAAAGGTGTCATGGACTTTGAAGACACTCAAACTCAGGACAAAAGGGAGAAACGTGCTAAGAGGAAGGCACGTTTGGCAAACCCTCACCGTGATCAACTCCCACCAGGAAACCTATGTCCTCACTGTGGAAGGACGTGTGGATCCACTTACGGACTCACTGTTAAGACTGTGTTCATGGAAGACAATCTTACATGGCTACAAGTGATTGCTGAAGAAGATGAAGAACTGGGGTGATTTGAAGGACTACAGTGTTCACGCACATGGTGAAAGTGGAGAGAGACTGTGAGAAGGCATGGGTGAGGGGGCATTTGGCTATGTGGAGTCCTAGGTGGCTGGTGCCCATAAGTAGTGGCAGAGTGGAAGGCAAGGATACAAACCATATGTGGAAGCAACGACTGGAAGAACCACCTCCACTCCACCCAAGATTGGTTGTAGGTATATGAAGGCTGAGGACAGACTGAGGTTGGTGAGGCACATTCGCCCTACTGGACCAGCCCCTGCCATGTGGGGTGATTTCTTGTCTCAGTGTAGAAGCCCTTCATTGTTGAGCATGAAACTACTATCAAGCCCCGTCAAACTACGCAGCATTACCACTTCTGATGAAGCTGGACAATATAATATTGCTTCCTCCCTACAAAACCGCCTTTCTGACATGGAACATAAAATGCAATGGAAATAAAATACTCTGCTGGATTCTAGATGCAGGCAAAGGACAGGAAGAGCTTTCAATGAAGAGCAAAAAAACAAATTCTTAGCAAAGTTTCTACAATACAATAAACAGAGAAACGTTGCTTCAAGACTCACTATCGTGGTGGGTAAGTGTTATCTATCCATTTCCATCCAATGAAATGACGGAGCCCAATCCAGAAGTCATGCTGTTCGTTTTTAATTGCATTTTCCAGGAACTCCTGCTGAAAGCACAATCAGAAAGTCTTTCATAGGAATGAGAGGCCAGAATCCCCTCTCAGGTCATCCCCAGACTGTGGCCCCATCTGCACTGTGAAGTATCATACCACTTTAACCACTCAATGCTTCCTCCAAAGCATCCTGGGAACTGTAAGGTTTTTTTTTTGGGGGGGGCAAATATTTTTTTATTGATTTTCATTTTTTCTTTACAAATTAGTCACTAATTAAAACAAATTTAACATTTTTCCAAATCTGACTTCCCATAAGTCTTCCTAGACATGTTAATGATTCTCCTTCATGCTGCATCATATTTCCTGATTACATCTAGTTTATCTTCAGACATTACAAATAACCTTACAAAATACAATATTTTTACTTTTCAAACAGCTCTCTAGCAATCAATTCCTGCACATACATTATTTAACATTTCCAGTTTTGACAAGTGAGGCTACTTATCAGATTGTCAATCCCTACTAAATCATTAATTAATGTTAATTAAAATAAAACTTCCTCTCCTTCCATATGCATATATAGTAACATAGCAATCCAGTCCAATAATTAGTCTTCTTGCTGCTCAGCTCCTCTGTCCCACATCACATGTAGTCTGAAGTCTTTTTCTTGGGAGGAGCTTATCAGAGCTTGCAGGGCAGCAGCCGAAGGAGGAGCAAAAGGGTTTTCTTGTGTGTGTGTTTCTTTGTGGCTGATTAGCTGCTCTCCCTGTGCAAAGGTCAGAGGGGGCAGGGTTTCTGTTGAGTCAGGTGATTAGCTGTGGGAGGAGCTTATCAGAGCTTTTAGATTTAGGGGAGCTAGTCTCAAACGTTTGTTGGGGGAGACCTAGGTTTTTTTTGGGGGGGGGGTTATTTGTCCTGTCTTCACGCTTTTTAAGATGGAGGACCACTGTAGCCACCCCCAACGACACGTTTTCAAGATGGAGGGTGAGGGAACAGCTGCAGTCGCCTGCGGTTCCTGCGCAATGTTTGCCATCTTGCCAAAGGTTGCAGGCAGCTTTACCTGCAGCAATTGTATGTTGATTGCCCTCTTAGAAGACAAAGTCCAGCAACTGGAGGAACGTGTAGCTACGCTCCAAAGAATTAGAGAGCTGGAGCTCTTCTTGGAAGCTACAGAGAACACCGTCTCCACCAAGGAGGAGACAGGGGACACCCCTGAGAAGGAGACTAGTTCACCAACAGAGGTGCCAGATATATGGAGAAACGTGACTCAAAAAAGTAGGAGGTCCAGGGTTCGCTCTGATTGTTTAGAAATACACAATCGCTTTGAAGTCCTCTCCCCTAGCATGGAAGACGAAGAACAGACTCCATTTGAGGATCTCTCCCTCATTACAGTCGATCAGGTATATGAAGATGAGCAGCAAAGTCAGTCCTCAGGGAATGTGCAGGCGACCTTGGAACGGACAGCTCACGGAAGAACCCCGACCAAACCTAAGAGGAGGCGTGTAGTGGTGATAGGGGATTCCCTACTGAGGGGAACAGAAGCAGTGATCTGTGGGCCTGACAAGATGTCTCGGGAGGTGTGCTGTCTCCCCGGGGCTAAGATCCAAGATGTAACTGAACGACTGCAAGGAATCATAAAACCCACTGACAAATACCCCTTCCTCTTGGTTCATGTGGGAACCAATGACACTGCAAGCAATAGCCTCCAGAAGATCAAAAGAGACTACGAGGCTCTGGGCAGGAAATTGAAGCAATTAAATGCACAAATTGTCATCTCATCTGTCCTCCCAGTTGAACGACGTGGCCCAGGGAGAGAGGGAAAATAGTGGAAGTGAACAGCTGGCTTCGCAAATGGTGTAAACAGGAACGGTTTGGATTCTTAGATCACGGACTGCAGTTTCTTGAAGATGGACTTCTGGCAAGCGATGGGCTGCACCTCACAACGGTTGGGAGGAATGTTTTTGCCAAAAATCTCAGAAACCTCATCAGGAGGGCTTTAAACTGACTAATGTGGGGGAGGGAGACAGTGCTCCTGAAGGTAGGAATTGATGAAGATGATCATCCAAATGTCATAGACCAAATGGAGCAAACAGCACGCAGACCTAGTGGTGGGAGGAAAAAATCCTTAAATAAGAGACACGGGGGAATGATTAATGGACTTCAATGTCTGTACACTAATGCACAAAGCATGGGAAATAAACAAGATGAGCTTGAGCTCTTAGTACAGCAAACTAAATATGACACAATAGGCATCACTGAAACCTGGTGGGATAAGTCCCACGATTGGAATGTAATAATGGAGGGATACAATCTATTTCAGAGAAACAGACCAGACAAGAAAGGAGGAGGAGTGGCGTTATATGTCAGGGATGTGTATACCTGTGAAGAGATCCAAGATTTAGAACCTCAAGGCCAAAGTGAGAGCATTTGGGTCAAAATTAAGGGAGAGAAGAATAACAGAGACCTCATTGTGGGAGTTTACTATAGATCCCCAAGCCAAACGGAGGACATAGATGATGCCTTCCTGGAACAGATGGCCAAGCATGCAAAAGGAAGGGAGATAGTAGTAATGGGGGACTTCAATTACCCGGATATTTGTTGGATGTCAAACTCAGCCAAGAGCATAAGGTCAAACAGATTCCTCACTGGCCTTGCAGACAACTTCATTGTCCAGAAAGTGGGAGAAGCAACAAGAGGAACAGCCATTTTAGATCTGGTCCTAACCAATGTTGATGACCTGGTTAGTGGGGTAGAAGTGGAAGGATCATTAGGCGCGAGTGATCATGCTCTTCTGAAGTTTACTATACAGCGGAAAAGAGCAGCCAAGCATACTAGGACTCAATTTCTTGACTTTAAGAAAGCCGACTTCATAAAACTTAGGGAAGTGCTGGGTGAGATCCCATGGACAGTAATACTAAAAGGAAAGGGAGTTCATGATGGCTGGGAGTTTGTTAAGAGGGAGATAGTAAAAGCACAACTTCAGGCAATACCAATGAGACGGAAACATGGAAGGTGCCTAAAGAAGCCAGGGTGGCTATCTAAAGAACTTTTAACTGAGTTAAGATTAAAAAGGATGTGTACAAAAATGGAAAAGGGGGAAACCACCAAAGAGGAATTCAAACAAATAGCCAGCACATGTAGACACAAAGTCAGAAAAGCTAAAGCACAGAATGAACTCAGGCTTGCTAGAGAGGTTAAAAGCAACAAAAAGGCTTTTATGGGTATGTCCGTAGCAAAAGGAAGAACAAAGAAACAGTGGGGTCACTCAGAGGAGAAGATGGTGAAATGCAAACAGGGGACACAGAAAGGGCTGAACTCCTCAATGCCTTCTTTGCCTCAGTCTTCTCCGATAAAGAAAACAATGCCCGACCTGAAGAATTTGGAGCAAATGATTCAGCAGAGGAAACACAGCCCAGAATAACTAAGGAGATAGTACAAGAATACTTGGCTAGTTTAGATGTATTCAAGTCTCCAGGGCCAGATGAACTGCATCCAAGAGTATTAAAAGAACTGGCAGATGTGATCTCAGAACCACTGGCAGTCATCTTTGAGAATTCCTGGAGAACAGGCGAAGTCCTGGCAGACTGGAGGAGGGCAAATGTTGTCCCTATTTTCAAAAAGGGGGAAAGAGAGGACCCAAATAATTATCACCCAGTCAGTTGGACATCAATACCAGGGAAGATTCTGGAGCACATCATTAAGCAAACAGTCTGTGAGCACCTAGAAAGGAATGCTGTGATCACCAATAGTCAGCGTGGATTTCTGAAAAATAAGTCATGTCAGACTAACCTGATCTCGTTTTATGACAGAATTACAAGCCTGGTAGATGAAGGGAATGCAGTGGATGTAGCCTACCTTGATTTCAGCAAGGCATTTGACAAGGTGCCCCATGATATTCTTGTAAAGAAGCTGGTAAAATGCGGTCTTGACTATGCTACCACTCAGTGGATTTGTAACTGGCTGACTGACCGAACCCAAAGGGTGCTCATCAATGGTTCCTCTTCATCCTGGAGAAGAGTGACTAGTGGGGTGCCACAAGGTTCTGTCTTGGGCCCGGTCTTATTCAACATCTTTATCAACGACTTGGATGATGGACTCAAGGGCATCCTGATCAAATTTGCAGATGACACCAAACTGGGAGGGGTGGCTAACACCCCAGAGGACAGGATCACACTTCAAAACGACCTTGACAGATTAGAGAACTGGGCCAAAACAAACAAGATGAACTTTAACAGGGAGAAATGTAAAGTATTGCACTTGGGCAAAAAAATGAGAGGCACAAATACAAGATGGGTGACACCTGGCTTGAGAGCAGTACATGTGAAAAGGATCTAGGAGTCTTGGTTGACCACAAACTTGACATGAGCCAACAGTGTGATGCGGCAGCTAAAAAAGCCAATGCAATTCTGGGCTGCATCAATAGGAGTATAGCATCTAGATCAAGGGAAGTAATAGTGCCACTGTATTCTGCTCTGGTCAGACCTCACCTGGAGTACTGTGTCCGGTTCTGGGCACCGCAGTTCAAGAAGGACACTGACAAACTGGAACGTGTCCAGAGGAGGGCAACCAAAATGGTCAAAGGTCTGGAAACGATGCCTTATGAGGAACGGCTGGGGGAGCTGGGCATGTTTAGCCTGGAGAAGAGGAGGTTAAGGGGTGATATGATAGCCATGTTCAAATATATAAAAGGATGTCATATAGAGGAGGGAGAAAGGTTGTTTTCTGCTGCTCCAGAGAAGCGGACACGGAGCAATGGATCCAAACTACAAGAAAGAAGATTCCACCTAAACATTAGGAAGAACTTCCTGACAGTAAGAGCTGTTCGACAGTGGAATTTGCTGCCAAGGAGTGTGGTGGAGTCTCCTTCTTTGGAGGTCTTTAAGCAGAGGCTTGACAATCATATGTCAGGAGTGCTCTGATGGTGTTTCCTGCTTGGCAGGGGGTTGGACTCGATGGCCCTTGTGGTCTATTCCAACTCTATGATTCTATGATTCTTTAAGATAGAAACTCCAAGGTCAACCATCTTGCTTGGTGTAATTTCCCACCAGTAAGATCATAGCAACCAGCCCATAATATTTATTTATTTTTTGGGGGGGAGGAGGACGCCGACACTAACCACATTCTCCTAGATATTTCACAGTTCAAATCCATATTATAGCCTCTCCCCAAATCTGAGATTCTCGAACAGATGTGTCCCACCAATAGAAATCCCAGTTCTCCTTTGTGCAGACAAATCTGCTCCTTTCTAGCCCAGAATCCCAGAATTGTAGAGTTGGAAGGGACCCCAAGGGTCGAACCCCCTGAAATGCAGGAATGTCCTGTCTGAACTCACTGTTGGGGTTTGCTGTTAGCATGTGCAACAAGGCTTCCTTTATCAAGATGGATCACTTGGGGTTCACTCAGTTCTTATTGTCTGCTCTGTGGGATGTAACCCACTGGTGCAGTCAAATGCAACATGCTTATTTCCCTAGAGTGGGCACAAGCAAGGGGACATCCAGTCAGTGTAACTTCCTGTTCCACTCGTCTGGAGCATCCTTCCCCCTGCATGTGATCTAGGAGATAGGCATGGCCCTGGCTGACTCCATAAAAGAGCTGAGTCACGCAGCCATCCTCCCTCTCTTGCTAATCTCTTGCTTCCTGCTCTCCTGTAGCCATTTTGTTCTCTTGATGTAAATTTTGCTGTCAGCACATGATCTCAATCTCCATGCGAGATGAACTCACAGATTGTTATGTAACTACTAAGTAAAGCCTGCCTTTCAGGGATCAAATCATGAACTGAAATGTGAGCAAACCTCTTGTTATTTCGAAAGGAAAGACTCGTTTCTTTATTCTTTTAAGAGGGATAAAAGGGGACACCAGGAATAATCCATCTGGCAAGCCAGATTGGATTACTTAACTAAAGAGATTCAAACAGATCTGCAAACTAGCTTCCTGCTATATTGAAGGGAATCTGCTCTGCTACATCACTCACTACGCAGGATAATACCAATACAACCCAAGAGTCCTAATTTTAATCTGAGTTACATCTTCATCTTCTTTGAATCCCTTCATTTTAGGAGGGGGAAAGGCATTTCTCTCTCAGCTAAACAATCTCTAGTTCTATGCCACCCTTCCCTTCCTCCATTGTTCCAGCAGCATCAAATTACCCTGCACAGCCTCTTGCTTGCAGTTTCCCAATCCCACTCTGTCTTATTTAGAAAGGATTATTCATGCCATTTCTATATATAGTGTTCAGCTAGCTTACCTCCTCTTTTTCATTTTCAATAATAACCAGTTTGGATTTTTGACTCTCACAAAAGCTGTCTGCCTGACTCCAGTCTACTAGTCCTTCATCAAATAAATAGAGAGCCTCTTTATATATCTGCCACTTTTGATGATGATTTGAAGTGAGGTCATCTTTGAATCCAGCCAGAAATGGGGGTGGGGGGGGCGGAGAGAGAGAGAGAGGAAAACAAACAAACCAGTTTTAGCTGGACTGAAGGTCTTACAGATTTTATTATTATTATTATAGTGGTACCTTGGTTTAAGAGCAGTCCGGTTTAAGAACAAATTGGTTTACGAACTCTGCAAAAATGGAAGTAGTGTCCTGGTTTGAGAACTTTAACTCGGTCAAAGAACGGAATCCAAACGGTAGAAGGGCACCGGTTGTGGGAGGCCTCATTAGGGAACGCGTGCCTTGGTTTAAGAATGGTTTTGGTTTAAGAACGGACTTCCGGAATGGATTAAGTTTGTAAACCGAGGTACCACTGTATTTTAAATAAAGTCATTATGAATTACATACTGATATTTCATTACAATCCAGCAAAAGACATGGTAGCTAACACTCTGAAAGGTTTGTTCTAATAAAGGACACATTTAGCCAGGTCATTTGTCCTCCTTTTACTTCCCTGTTCTACTGTTTCCATTCATCAACAGATTGGTAATGCTATGAAGATTGTGTGGCACCCCCAATCTCTGCCGAGCAGTAGCAAGATCTTGGGAGGTTCCGGTTGCTTGCCCAGGATTGTGTTTCCATTGAGAAAATCGAGGAATAGTGGAGGTGAGTGCTTAAGAAGTATGGTTTATTTGACACATATTTAGACAAGATGCTTTAGATGAGATTCTTGCATTGCAGGGGGTTGGACTAGATTACTGGACTAGATTATGCTTGGGGTTTCTTCCAACTCAACAATTCTATGATTCTGCTTGCAAATAAAGTCTTCAATGGAGGAGGTACAGAACATTATACCCTGGAGTGTCTCTCATTGCTCTTCTCATACCGGGGTGTGTTTGTGTGTGTATCTGATCCCTTGCTAAGTTTGCCTGTTTGCCCTCTGACGAAGAAATGACCAGTCCATAATTTTAATGGTAGGTTTATTGTAGCTGTGAGAGACAGAATAACAACAGGAAAACCCCCAGAAACCGGGAAGATTCTAGAGGATGGTGGGACCTTTATACCTTCAACAGCTGTGCAGTTGAGGGGCTTTCAGTACATGGGTTCCCCCTATCCTCTGATTTCTCAACATCACCATCTTAAGAATAACTTACTGATTGCAGACTGGACTTCATTTGCTCTGTCTGCCCATATAAGCAATTCACCTGCTAACTTCTCAGCTTCAGCAAGTATTTCAGAATCTGAAAGGTTTGGATAATTCAGGTCAGTGAGATCTCAAACAGCTATTCAACTCTATAAAAAGGCTGTTTCCCTATAACTTGTGACTGGCCACATTCTAGCATTCAGGGTGGTCTGTAATCTGCTGAGCATTGATCTGATTAACTGTGCTCTGGAGATCTTAGAGAGGCATTGTGATTCTATTGCTTGTGTGCTAAGAATTCACCTCTGCAACACTTCTGTTTGTTACCCAGGTGTGGGACCACCTTTTAAATAAACCACAGAACCAAGGAAATTATTTCGAGCCCAGCATCCAGATTTAGAGACTCAGTATTTTTATTTAGTTGTACCTTGGATCTCAAACGCCTTGGCTCCTGACCAAATCGGTTCCCAAACGATCAAATCAGAAGCCGCGCTTTGGTTTCCGAATGTTTTGGAAGTCGAACAGACTTCCGGAATAGATTCCAATTGACTTCCAAGGTACAATTGTATTTTATTTATCTATTGCAATAGGACAGAGCTCAACCCAAGGTGCTAGTTGAGAAGGTCTGTCCTGATGCGCTTCAGAACAAAAGCTTATATTGTAGTTCAAACACAGCAAACAAAGAGTCACCAAACATCTTCTCATATGTCAGGAAAGGTTACAAGCCATAGGATAGAAAACATGTATGGTGTCTTCCTGCTCTCCACTTCCCCCACTATCACCTTGGGGTTGACCAGAAGCGCCTAGGCCTTTTGCTCTTTTAGGTATTGAATGTCCCACTAGTCTATGATCAGTGTTTAATAACATTCCTCCATCTGTCTTTCAGGAAACTTCCAAGGATTTATGCTTAACACACTGATATTAACTCATAGGAAAACATCCTGCCATTTCTGCTGCTTCCAGGGTCAGACAAAGAGAGACTCACAAATGCAGAACTCACAAAAATCAAGCCTCATACATTTTAAAAGGTTAAATGCAATTAATATGAAACACTGAAACATTATTAAAATAAAACATATATACCCGGAGTCTTTAATTCTTATATCACTTGGTACTGAGGATAAAATTGCTTGCCTCTGCAATTACTTTGATGTGACATTGTTTATATATTATTTATTTTTAAAATTTCTATACCGCTTTATATTTTTAAGAAAAATCTCAAAGCAGTTTACAGCATATTAAATCAATAAAACATAAATAAAAAAATCTGAAGAAAGTCAAACATATACAGTCAAATCAATATGACAGAAAATTAAAATATTATCTTAAAGATTAGAGAATAAAAGATTACAAAGGAGGACAACTATAGAATACATATTGAACATAGCAGGGCTAGTGAGTGTGGGCCTCACCCCCTAGGCCAGGCGGAAAGGGCCTTGCAGGGAGCGGCATTCACGCCCCACAGCCGGGCGATGTTCCTCCGGCCTCATGAGGAGCCTCTTCAGTGGGGCTGGTGAGTGTGGGCCCAGCTCCCTAGGCCAGGTGTAAAGGGCCTTGCAGTGATGATGATGATAATAATAATAATAATTTATTATTTATTATTTATTATTTATACCCCGCCCATCTGGCTGGGTTTCCCCAGCCACTCTGGGCGGCTTCCAACAGAACACTAAAATGCAATAACTTATTAAACATTAAAAGTTTCCCTAAAGAGGGCTGCCTTCAGATGTCTTCTAAAAGTTTGGTAGTTATTTTCTCTTTGACATTTGGTGGGAGGGCGTTCCACAGGGCGGGTGCCACCACCGACAAGGCCCTCTGCCTGGTGGCCTTCACACTCACAGCCGGGCGATGTTCCTCCGGCCTCATGAGGAGCCTCTTCAGTGGGGCTGGTGAGTGTGGGCCTTGCCCCATGGCCAGGTGGAAAGAGCCTTGCAAGGAGTGGCCTTATTGCCCCACAGTCAGGCAATGTTACTCCGGCCTCATGAGGAGCCTCTTCAGTGGGGCTGGTGAGTGTGGGCCTTGCCCCATGGCCAGGTGGAAAGGGCCTTGCAGGGAGTGGCCTTATTGCCCCACAGTCAGGCAATGTTCCTCCGGCCTCATGAGGAGCCTCTTCAGTGGGGCTGGTGAGTGTGGGCCCAGCCCCCTAGGCCAAGTGGAAAGGGCCTTGCAGGGAGTGGCCTTATTGCCCCACAGTCAGGCAATGTTACTCCGGACTCATGAGGAGCCTCTTCAGTGGGGCTGGTGAGTGTGGGCCTTGCCCCATGGCCAGGTGGAAAGGGCCTTGCAAGGAGTGGCCTTATTGCCCCACAGTCAGGCAATGTTCCTCCGGACTCATGAGGAGCCTCTTCATAGATATTTATTAAAGTTTTTAAGGTATAACAAAGAAATGAAAAAATAAAAAGAAACATACAAAATAAAAACAGTTAAAAACACATTAATTTTCCATAGCATATCTTCCTTACACTCATTTCCCCGGACCTCCTCGTACCTCCCTTTTTTGTATTCCAGTTCAGTTTGTTAGTTCAGCAAATCCTTACCATTAAGCTTTTACCCATTTGTAAACCTTTTTTCATATCTCTTAAAGCATTACAGCTGGAAACCACTTAGTTTCTATCCAACATCCTTCTAAGATTCATTAATTTTACAATATTTCTGTAAATAGTCTTTAAATTTCTTCCAATCTTCTTCCACCGACTCTTCTCCCTGGTTTCGGATTCTGCCAGTCATTTCTGCCAATTCCATGTAGTCCATCACCTTCATCTGCCATTCTTCCAGAGAGGGTAGATCTTGTGTCTTCCAATACTTTGCAATGAGTATTCTTGCTGCTGTTGTAGCATACATAAAAAAAGTTCTGTCCTTCTTTGGCACCAATTCATGAGGAGCTTCTTCAGTGGGGCTGGTGAGTGTGGGCCTTGCCCCATGGCCAGGGGGAAAGGGCCTTGCAAGGAGTGGCCTTATTGCCCCACAGTCAGGCAATGTTACTCCGGCCTCATGAGGAGCCTCTTCAGTGGGGCTGGTGAGTGTGGGCCTTGCCCCATGGCCAGGTGGAAAGAGCCTTGCAAGGAGTGGCCTTATTGCCCCACAGTCAGGCAATGTTACTCCGGCCTCATGAGGAGCCTCTTCAGTGGGGCTGGTGAGTGTGGGCCTTGCCCCATGGCCAGGGGGAAAGGGCCTTGCAGGGAGTGGCCTTATTGCCCCACAGTCAGGCAATGTTCCTCCGGCCTCATGAGGAGCCTCTTCAGTGGGGCTGGTGAGTGTGGGCCCAGCCCCCATGGCCAGGGGGAAAGGGCCTTGCAGGGAGCGGCCTTATTGCCCCACAGTCAGGCAATGTTCCTCCGGCCTCATGAGGAGCCTCTTCAGTGGGGCTGGTGAGTGTGGGCCCAGCCCCCATGGCCAGGGGAAAGGGCCTTGCAAGGAGCGGCCTTATTGCCCCGCAGTCAGGCACTGTTACTCCGGCCTCATGAGGAGCCTCTTCAGTGGGGCTGGTGAGTGTGGGCCTTGCCCCATGGCCAGGGGGAAAGGGCCTTGCAGGGAGCGGCCTTATTGCCCCACAGTCAGGCAATGTTACTCCGGCCTCATGAGGAGCCTCTTCAGTGGGGCTGGTGAGTGTGGGCTTTGCCCCATGGCCAGGGGGAAAGGGCCTTGCAGGGAGCGGCCTTATTGCCCCACAGTCAGGCAATGTTCCTCCGGCCTCATGAGGAGCCTCTTCAGTGGGGCTGGTGAGTGTGGGCCCAGCCCCCATGGCCAGGGGGAAAGGGCCTTGCAAGGAGCGGCCTTATTGCCCCACAGTCAGGCAATGTTACTCCGGCCTCATGAGGAGCCTCTTCAGTGGGGCTGGTGAGTGTGGGCCTTGCCCCATGGCCAGGGGGAAAGGGCCTTGCAGGGAGCGGCCTTATTGCCCCACAGTCAGGCAATGTTACTCCGGCCTCATGAGGAGCCTCTTCAGTGGGGCTGGTGAGTGTGGGCCCAGCCCCCTAGGCCAGGGGGAAAGGGCCTTGCAGGGAGCGGCCTTCACGCCCCACAGCCGGACTACAGTGGTACCTCGGGTTACAAACGTTTTTTTGGGTTACAAATAATTGTAACCCTGAAGTAAGTTGTCTGAGCTCTCGGAGGCCTCGCCGCTGCCTGGAGCCAAACCCGGCCATCCGCGGGGCCTACGGAGCTCTCTGAGGCCTCCGCGAATTCCCCAAGCCGATTGTGATTGTGGAAGAGGACCCTGAGCCCCCATCCAAACAAGGACTATCATCAGCGCAGGTAAGGAAAAAATCAAATTTTCATTTTGTACTGTTTTATTGATTTCATTTTATGGATCAGTGGCCTTGTTAGAAAGTTAAATTCATGTAAAACTGCTGTTTTAGGGGTCGCTTTTCATCGCCTGGTTCCTTTTTGTGTGGCTTTGTCGGTTTTTTGACTGTGACTTGTTCTTCATTTTATGGGACTGACTTGTGACTTTGCTTTTGTGACTGTGGCTTGTGTCTTCATGTTTGTGACTTGTTCTTGTGACTGTGTGGAACCCAGTTCAGCTACTGGTGGATTGTGTGACTTCAGAAATGGATAAAAGCCCCCCATCCAAACTGACAATCATCAGTGCACGTAAGAAAAGAAATAAATGTTATTTTTTTTCATCTAAAATACTGTCTTATTTATTTTATAGTGCAGTACATTGATTATTGCCTTCATTTTATGGATCAATGGTTTTGTTAAACAGTAAAATTTGTGTTAAATTGCTGTTTTAGGGAGTGTTTTTCATCGTCTGGAATGGATCAATCCACTTTCCATTACTTTCCGTGGGAAGGTCTGCTTCAGGTTAAGAACGCTTCAGGTTAAGAACGGACTTCCAGAACCAATTAAGTACTTAACCTGAGATACCACTGTGTATTCCTCCGGCCTCATGAGGAGCCTCTTCAGTGGGGCTGGTGAGTGTGGGCCTCACCCCCTAGGCCAGATTGAAAGGGCCTTGGAAGGAGCGGCCTTCATGCCCCACAGTCAGGCAATGTTCCTCCGGACTCCTGAGGAGCCTGAATTCCAGCACAGCTGAGAATTGGCAAGTGGGCCAAAGTTCAACTCGTAAGCAGGACCTAGGTGCAAGAGAACCCTGCCCTTCTGTGGTTTTCAGTAACTGGTATTCGAAGACATACTTCCAATAAGAGTGGAAGAACCTAGTCATTGTGGCTGGTGCCAAAATGATTAGCTGTGCTGCTGGGCTAGTGTGGACGGGAACATTTGGGATAGATTTTGGAGGCATAAAACTGAAAAAAGCTTGTGTGTGTCTGAAGATGCAGAAACAGTGTCTCCACACACACATGAACACTCTAATGTGGACACAGCCTACATGTCTCTTCAGCAAACATGGGCTCCCAGTTTTGTCCCTGTTGAATGCTATGAACGGGGATATGAGCTGGGGCCCCAGCATTTCCAGAGGGCAAGTGGTAAGTGAGAGGATGGAATTTACTTCTTCTTCCACCTACTACTATCTTACTGTAGTCCAGCCACTTCACAGTGACTTTTCTTCCAGCTGAGTCAAGTGGCTGGGAAGAAGCTCTTCTATGGGGCAATACCCCCTGCTGGAGCTGGGGCAAGGAGTGGCCCTAAGTGTATGGACTATAACACCTTACTTACCACTCCTTCCTTGGAGGGATGGTTTCTGTTTGATCATGAAGTCCCTGATAGTTTTCATTGCTATATCCATATCAGGTGATTTGTGATCCCGTTTATGAATATCTATGGAAGAGTTAGAAGGGAAAGAAATGGTGAGTCGGCTGATGCGACAGTACCTCCACCCCAGAATTGCTGCGGCTGATTTGGAATCAAGGCTCCCCGTGTGTTAGCAATTTTTTAAAGCTCTTCCCATCTCAAAGGAAAAGTGTTTAATGAAGCATCAGGCAGCAGACTGGGCAACATTCCAGTAATAAAACTGCATTAAAATGAAACATGTAAATCACCCTGTGAAGGGTGGTTGATAAACTGAAGACCTCTTTTGTTTGAATTCAGCTGTTCTGACCACTCAGTGAAGCAGACCATACACTTGTTTTTCTAGGAGGAAATGGAACAGGGAGTTGCAAGGTAGGACAGGTGACTGCACAGGTTGCTTCATAATGTTGGCCTAAGAAGTCCGAAAGCAGTTATTGAGGGGCAAGAAACAGGCATTCATTTCAATGGGTGAGATTTAGCCACATCCTTACCTTACGCACTGGAATCAATGGGAGGTGAAAGGGCTTAGCTGTGGTTGGATTATGGTGACACTTTTGAAAGTATTCTTCATACTGATATAAAGCCAACCAGGATAATGCTAAAGGCTTACACAGCCTAGACTTACACAGACTAACTGCTCCAAATGCAGCAAAAAACAGGACCAGGCACAGCATCACTACAATAAATGTACCAATGGAAGAGAGAAAGAACTCTTTTATCTCATGCAAAACAGCAGCAAGTTTTCCTTGATGGACAAAAAGAAAGAAAATCTGCTTAAGTACCATGGCTAACTTTTTTGCTTTTTCATTTCAAGTGACAGTAATGGATCCAGAGGGAGTCTAACCCCATCCAGATCCAGAGGGAGTCTAACCCCATCCAGAACAGGCCATATCCCACCCATCTTGTCTAGGGAACCACCCACTGACTGCACCTCAGTCTTGTCTGGATTAAACTTAAATTTAAAGGTTTGTTCCCTCACCTGGGCAAGGAGCAGTGGTAGAGAGGTAAATCCTTACCACATTGTGGATCAGCGGAGAACACAGTCTGAAGCTGGCATAGCACTAGTTTGCTTGGCTAAATGAGCCTGTTGGAGTGACAGAGCACGGCTGGCTTTTCTCCAGCCCTCTCCACTACGACTGGTCACACATGCCTCCTGTTGCTCTCCCACTTTTCCTTTCCAGTGTGTTCCTCGTCTAGGCTATGAACCAGTTCTATGTGTGCTGCATACATACCTTTTCTGGGAGGTGGTTTTCGTCTGCGTTTTAGTATTGACCTGGATGCCACATTAGATCTGGAAGAGACATTGGATCTAGAAGCCACATTGGATCTGGAAGCCACATTGGATTTGGAAGCTGCATTGGATCTGGAAGCCACACTGGTTCTTGAAGCTGCATTGTGGTGTTGGGTCACATAGTATGTAATTTACTTGAACATCAGCGAAAACTTGCAAAAAAGCCTTTGTGTGATAGCAGCTAAATCCCAGTAGGGTAGATCCCTGAAAAACTTGTAGCTCAGGAGCAAAATCGTAGGCAGTGATGATCCTGCAGGAATTCAGTTTTCAGCTCTACTCTGCCAGATAAATCTCATTTCTTTTTTTTTAATGGAGTAACAAGTTTGGTGGAACAGGGGAATGATGTGAACATAGTGTATCTTGATTTCAGTAAGGCTTTTGACAAAGTTCCCCATGTTATTCTTGTGAGAAAACTGGTAAAGTGTGGGTTGAATGAGGTAACTGTTAGGTGGATTTGTAGCCGGTTGACTGACTGAACCGAAATAGTGCTCACTAATGGTTCCCTGATTCAGGTAGGAAGCTGTGTTGGTCTGACACAGTCAAAATAAAAAATTAAAAAATAGTCCAGTAGCACCTTAGAGGCCAACTAAGTTTGCTCTGGGTATAAGATTTCATGTGCATGCACACTTCTTCAGATACACTGAAGGAGAAGTCACCAGACCCTTATATACAGTGGGAGGGTGGGGTGGGGTTTTTCTCAGAAGGGTAGTGGGAGATGGGTGATTGACTTAATGGGTATGGAAAAACTGTTGATGACTGTTAACGACTGCAATTAGTTCTACAGGAAAAAGCAAGGGATAGTATGCAGATATATAAGGGTCTGGTGACTTCTGCTTCAGTGTATCGAAGAAGTGTGTATGCACACAAAAGCTTATATCCAGTACAAACTTAGTTGGTCTCTAAGGTGCTACAGGACTATTTTTTAATGGTTCCTTGTCATCCTGGGGAAAAGTGAAAAGTGCGGTGCCACAGGGTTCTGTCCTGGGCCCGTTGTTCAACAATTTTATAAACGACTTGGATGAAGGAATTGAGGAGATGCTCATCAAATTGGCAGATGACACCAAACTGGGAGGGGTAGCTAATGCCATGGGATTTACAGAAATGGGATTTACATAGGTTTTGCCGTTTCTTGAAATATTGTTGCCAAACTTGGCACAAATGTTCCCAGGGTGGGGGAGGTGGTCCTCATCACCATTTAGATACCAGGTTCCATTTTTCTGCCACTTGAGATATCATACCCAAACTCTGCAGAAAGAAAGGCTCAAGGTCTCCCTCCCAAGATGTAGGTATGGGTACAGGAACTCTGCCTTCCTGTATGGCACTGAAGAGGAAATAGTAAAAACAACTTACGTTCTGTGAATGTCAGGCCTCCCGCCATTTTAACTGCTCATTTGGATTGGTGCCTTATGTCATCCTGCGTTCAGAACCATATAAAGGAGCAGACAGTTAGCACAACTTCTATGAAAGAATTTCGTGGTCAAAAACCAAATCAGAGTAGCAGTCTGCAGAAGCTCACCTCTTTTTGTTGACAGGACCTTATTCTTAGCTGCCATCTTATCTCCTTATTTTCAGTGGTGTCTCATCCTGGAGTTCTTCTAAGTGACCATTTAATGGATTAGGCTGTTAAAATGATATCTTAAAACAAACCTACTGTTTAAAGATTCGATGCGGGTGGCGCTGTGGGTTAAACCACAGAGCCTAGGGCTTGCCGATCAGAGGGTCGGCGGTTCGAATCCCCGCGATGGGATGAGCCCTGTTGTTTGGTCCCTGCTTATGCCAACCTAGCAGTTTGAAAGCACGTCAAAGTGCAAGTAGATAAATGGTGGGAAGGTAAACGGCATTTCCATGTGCTGCTCTGGTTTGCCAGAAGCAGCTTAGTCATGCTGGCCACATGACCCGGAAGCTGTACGCCGGCTCCCTCGGCCAATAAAGCGAGATGAGCACTGCAACCCCAGAGTCATCCGTGACTGGACCTAATGATCAGGGGTCCCTTTACCTTTACCTTTACTGTTTAAAGAGCAGTCATATCAAGCTCTTCATTATACAAGGAAGTAGACATGAAAAGCTCTCTGGCATCCTGTCCCCACTTCATTTATAGACATGGAATCTCCTATTCCCTGAAAATACAGTGGGAGAGAAGCAGACTGCTTTTCTCCCACTGTAATAGGGCAGTTGGGGCCTTCTGAATTCTAGCTTAATGACATACTTCATGCAAACGGATCCTGTTCAATCCACAGCATTTCCCACCAGAAGGATCTCCAGCAGGAAGCCTTAGAAAGACCTCCATTTTCCAGAGATCCTGGGCTAAAGAGCACATGGGGCAAGATAACCAATGGCCTTAGAAAAAGGCAGCTGACTAGAAACGACTTATCCCCTTTCCCCTTTTGGATACCATGGTGCCTCCCGGAGTCCTTTTTCTTCTCTCTGCCTCAGCTTCTTCCTGCAGATGTTCCTTCCTTCAACGGCTCCAACCACCTTCCGCTTTGATGCAGAACATTCCAGAGTTCCCATTCAGCTTCTGCTCCTCCCTGATTGGGACTGGCAGGCAGCCAATCAGCATTCCACATATAGCAGAAGTCCAGGAAAATATCTAGTTTAGTTATTGCTTACTCCACTTCCATAGTACTCTCATGCACAAAAGTGACTTTCATGAGTATCTTTGGAATGCTGCAAAGGACAGGCATGTTCTGTCCTCTTTAACCCAGGGCTTAATGACTTCTGGAGAACTTCTTCAATTAAGTGGGTGAGCGCCCCCACGCCTCAAATTGTTGTATTTTTCTTCTTCTGAGACTAAATTTGGAACATGGACTGTTATCTCACAGTTTCCCGCTTAACCCTAGGCATTAAATATTTATTCAGGTCCAGCAGAGTTCCACCCACCATGTCAACTACAGGCAAGCAATTGAAATTTAAAAGTCTAATTTAATGGACAAAAATAACTCTTAAGGACAGGATAACACTATGAGACTAATCCAGGATTTCAAAGAAATTAAGCAAAGAAGGTGTAATTAGAAAAAGGAGTGAAATTGCTTGGCCTATGTTTGGATCTTGTTTATCTTGTTTAGAGATAGGATGCCAGGTGCACCGGGTTGCCTAGCAACAGTACACCACCAAAAGTCAGGCTTGCTGACTTATGCACCCTCACTTTAGAGCTGAACTGAGTGGGACAGAGGTTTTTCTTAATCAGGAACTCTAGATAAAGATGACTACTGGAAAGCAGGAAAACTCTGATGTTCAGCTGGAAGACCACTGGAGCTGTGGAGCTATGGATTCTCTGTTGACCCCACTGGTCGAAGTGTGTTGAAGTACTAACTGATAGTGGGCCCATGCTTGACAGGTTATGAGCCAACTGACGTTTGCAAGTCGTAATATGGAACAAGACAAAGGAAACTGGTCAAATGGTCAAAGGCCTGGAAACGATGCCTTATGAGGAACGGCTAAGGGAGCTGGGCATGTTTAGCCTGGAGAAGAGGAGGTTAAGGGGTGATATGATAGCCATGTTCAAATATATAAAAGGATGTCATATAGAGGAGGGAGAAAGGTTGTTTTCTGCTGCTCCAGAGAAGCGGACACGGAGCAATGGATCTAAACTACAAGAAAGAAGATTCCACCTAAACATTAGGAAGAACTTCCTGACAGTAAGAGCTGTTTGACAGTGGAATTTGCTGCCAAGGAGTGTGGTGGAGTCTCCTTCTTTGGAGGTCTTTAAGCAGAGGCTTGACAACCATATGTCAGGAGTGCTCTGATGGTGTTTCCTGCTTGGCAGGGGGTTGGACTCGATGGCCCTTGTGGTCTATACCAACTCTATGATTCTATGATTCTATGAAACTGACACACTCACAGGAAGACCAATACTCTCAGAAATAAAGAGGAGAGAGACGCCACTGCTCTGACTGCAGGCAGGATTGGTCTGGGGGAAGTGAAATGGCTCCTCCACCTAGAGAGGCCACGAAGACCCTTCCTGTTCCCAATAGGGGGAGTAATCCCTAAAGACAGGAGTGTTGTGTCCCCCCCCCCCAATCTGGTAAAATGTTCCCCTCTAGGAGGTATACTTAATCAATCTTCCTCCACTTGGTGCCCTCCAACGCAACCTGTTGGTTAGGGCTGATGGCACCTAGAAGGCACCGGGTTGGGGAAGCCTGTATTGGATTAATTATTGCAACAGAACGTAGGCTACGACTGAGTCCTCCTTGCTTTATTTTCCAGGATTTTCCATTATCTGAGGTTGCAAAATCAGGTCACCTGAGGATGCAGGATTGACAAAGGGCTTTTGAGTGCTGGTGTCGATCTCTTCCATGCTCTTAATTCCATAATCTGGATAATTGATCATGGCTTCTATTAAAGGTGGGTCGATTCATTGTCCATGAAGAATTTTAATTGAACCATCGTTTATCAGGCTTCTTTTTACATATGCTTCTTTTTTGATCAAGACGGGGAAAGTTCTCCCAACATCGCAGTGGTGTTGTACATTTTGCTTTTATTCCACAAGCCCGTTTATTATGCAGGTCATCTGGCTTGCCGACTACCCAGTAACTGAAAAGAAAAGGAAGCACAAATCAATGAGTCAGTCAAAACCAAATTATCCACATGGGATGTGTACTTTATTTCAGCATTAAGAGATCTCCCTCTCTCAGAACTTCAGATTACAGGGCATTCAATGAAGCTGGAGTGACAAAAGAAAAGGCTTCTTCACACAGCATGAAGTTAACCTGTGGAACTCACTTCCACAGGAGGTGGTGATGGCCACCAACTTGGAAGGCTTTAAAGCAGAGGCTCCTAAACCTATGTGGCCTACCACCTCCTTTCAGAAAAAAAAATATATACCCAGCACCCGCCCTGGAAACTAACATTTTTTAAGTGAACAAATAAAAGATGCAGTGACAAATTTGCATTCTTTTATGTATCTATATTTCTACCCAGTGCTATTTTTCTAGAAAAAAGATGCCGGAACTCACCATGAACGCCTCCCTCTTTCTCTTCGAATGGCAATTGCACCTACCTGGGAGGTTCCAGAACTCACCTGAGAGGTTCTGGAACCCACCTGAGAGGTCCCAGAACTGAGTTCCTGCGAGTTTCCCCTGAAAAAAGCCCTGTTTCTACCTACGTCCTACAACATAGTAAAGAAAGATTAAAATTCCATGGAGCGGACCAGAGTTAAGACTGCCGGCTCAGTCCGATCTATCCCAGGGGCGGAGTCGGTGCCACATCCTGCCTGCCATGGGCCAAATAGGCAGGCAGTCTGCGATCCACTTCCTGGGTCTGGGTGAAGCCAAAAAGGGTTCACCCTAGCCTGGGTAAACCTCTCACCTCCAGCACAATTACCGGATCCAGGTAACCTTTGTTGCCAACCCACAACGGAGCCCACCCTGGCAGTAAGCGTCATTACATAACAGATGAAACACATATGAATGGTTTTCCAAACTTCTCTTCTCTTCTCTTCTCTTCTCTTCTCTTCTCTTCTCTTCCCTTCCCTTCCCTTCCCTTCCCTTCCCTTCCCTCCCCCCCCTTATTTTTATTCAACGTCCCCTTGGATTGTTCCAAAAAGATGACTTCTAGTGTTGATTGCAAAAGATGACTTCTAATGTTATGAGAGTAGGAGAAAACCTTTTCTCTATCCTCTTTCTCCACACTCATTAGTTCTGAGTGGAAATAGGATTCTGCAGTTAAGAAAGACTCAGGAAATGGTGATAAAATACAGCAGCAACCCATGCGGAGGTATTTTTTTTAGAAAGGTATTTATATATGCTAAATGGCGAAATATTTCAAAGCGGTGTACAACATTGAATTTATTTATTTTTTAAATAGAAGATAAAGAGAACTAGGTTCTTTATTCTGTAGTGCCAGAGCTAGTAATTAACTGGGATGGTGGTGGTGGAAAGCAACAATAACCACTGAATGATACTATGGAACAAAGCAAGCCCTGTGTACCTGCATTCCTACACTTTAGCAAATATTTAAGAAGCAGTAGAATTCCTCAAACTATCATAGTTTAACAAGATGAGGTGAAAAAGCATTGCTTGGTCTTCTAAAGAATGGTGGGGAGCAGAGCTGAGGGGGAGGCAAAGGGGACATTCTGTCGCCACCCTGCACTAGTCATGGACTGGTCATGTTGTTCAGATGCCTGATTATTGTCTTCCAAAGTAACTACTCTATTCTGAACTTAAAAATGGAAAGTGTAAAGCCGGTGGTCAACAAAAGAGGTTTAGAAACTCTCTCAAGGCAAATCTAAAAAAATGTAGTATAAACACCTACAATTGGGAATCACTGGCCCATGAGCACTCCAGTTGGAGAATAGCCTTTACCAAAGGTGTCACGGACTTTGAAGACACTCAAACTCAGGACAAAAGGGAGAAACGTGCTAAGAGGAAGACATGTTTGGCAAACCCTCACCGTGATCAACTCCTGCCTGGAAACCAATGTCCCCACTGTGGAAGGATGTGTGTTTCCAGAATTGGCCTCCATAGTGACTTACAGACTCACTGTTAAGACAATCTTACTTAGCTACAAGTGATTGCTAAAGAGGAAGAAGAGGAGGAAGAGGAAGAGGAAGAGGAAGAGGAAAAAGAAGAAGAAGAAGAAGAAGAAGAAGAAGAAGAAGAAGAAGAAGAAGAAGAAGAAGAAGAACAACAACAACAACAACAACAACGGGGGTGTTCTGAAGGACTACAGTGTCCGTGTACAAGGTGAGGGTGGAGAGAGACTGTGAGAAGGCAAGGGTGAGGGGGCATTGGCTATGTGGAGTCCTAGGTGGCTGGTGCCCATAAGTAGTGGCAGAGTGGAAGGCAAGGAGACAAACCATATGTGGAGCCAACAACTGGAAGAACCACATCCACCCCACCCCAGACTGGTTGTAGGTATAAGAAGGCTGAGGGCAGACTGAGGTTGGTGAGGCACATTCGCCTTACTGGACCAGCCCCTGCCATGTGGGGCGATTTCTTGTCTCAATGTAGAAGCCATTCATTGTTGAGCATGAACTACTTTCAAGCCCTGTCAAACTACGCAGCATTACCATTTCTGATGAAGCTGGACACTATAATATTGCTTCCATCCTACAAAACTGCCTTTCTGACATGGAACATAAAATGCAATGGAAATAAAATACTCTGCTGGATTCTAGATGCAGGCAAAGGACAGGAAGAGCTTTCAATGAAGAACAAAAAATGAATTCCTAACAAAGTTTCTACAATATAATAAACAGAGAAACGTTGCTCCCAGACTCACCCTCGGAGAAGGGCAGTTTCATCTATCCATTTCCATCTGCCTATATAATATAGCCCAATCCAGAAGTCATGTTGTTCGTTTTTAATTGCATTTTCCAGGAACTCCTGCTAAAAGCACAATCAAAAAGTCTTTCCTAGGAATAAGAGGCCAGAATCCCCTCTCAGGTCATCCCCAGACTGTGGCCCCATCTGCACGGTGAAGTATCATACCACTTTAAACAGTCAATGCTTCCTCCAAAGTTTAAGAGACTTCAGAGAGGCCTCCGGGACACTGCTGCTGCTGCAAATGCCAAAAATGGTTTTAAACACTTAAATGTTTTAAAAGCGTTTTTAATTTGTTGCACTTTGATTGGTGGTTTTTTCTGTCATTCATTCATTCATTCATTCATTCATTCATTCCCCTTTCTCTTTGTTGGGGTGGGACAAATGCTTAGCTGGGGTGGGGATTAGTTTAATTTTAGCATAATTGTTTTTGGCTTTGTTTTTACTTTTACTATCTTGTTAGGCTGTTGTATTGTTTGTATTTTCTTTTTAAGGGGAAAGGGTCAATGCTGCCTGGGAGTGAGCCTCAGCCAACAGAATGGCTGGGGCAGCTTCTACAGGGGCAGAAGCACCGAGACATCTGATCTCAGTGATCATGGGCCGGAGGAGGAGTTACGCTAAGACCAGACCTTGTCATTACTGAGGAGGCAGGCTTTGTCGTTGTTTGAGGACTATCCCTGCCTCCAGGTCTGGTCCTGACCAGAAGAATACTGGAATCAGCATTACCCACATTACCTGAAGGTGCTGCTGTGTAATGCCAGGTCAATGATGAATAAGACCACTGCCATCCACGATCTGATTGTGGATGGAGGACTTGACCTGGCATGTGTGACAGAGACTTGGTTGGATGAAGCAGATGGGCCTGTTCCTGCCGCTGCTTGTCCACCAGGTTTCTCTTACGCACAGCAAACCAGGTCATGTCAGCGGGGGGGGGGGGGGTTGCAGTGATTTGCACCAGGCGTCCTATTGGGTAGACCCAATAGGGTCTGAGTGCATGTTCTGGAAGTTGGGCAATAGGGGCAGTAAAGGATTCCTTTTGGTGTACCGACCTCCCTGCTGCACCAAGGATTCCCTTTCTGAGCTGCTTCAGGTTGTGGCCGATGTACTCCTGGAGACACCTAGTTTGGTTGTCCTAGGGGATTTTAACATCCATGCCGACACGACCTTACAAGGGGCCGCTCGGGACTTCGTGGAAAGCATGGCCTCCATGGGGCTGTCCCTGAATAAGTTTGGCCCAACTCATAGCCGTGGACATGCCTCAGACCTGGTGTTCACCTCTATGGATGATGGTGATCTGACACTAAGTAAAAGTGAAACAAAAGAAGTGTCATGGTCAGATCACTTCCTGGTGCAACTGGACTTCTCCGTGACCCTTCCCCTCTGCAGGGAGGTGGGACTGATTCAGATGGTCTGCCCCTGCCACTTAATGGATCTATATGGTTTCCAGAGAGTGGTAGGGGATGTTTTATCCCATGCTGATGGCTTTCATCTGATTCCCTGGTGACCCTTTGGAGTTAACCAGGCCTATTGACTGTCTGGCTCCGAATTGCCCTCCACCTGGTACGCAGGCTAAGACCCTACCTGCCCGCAGACTGTCTCGCCAGAGTGGTGCATGCTCTAGTTATCTCCTGCTTGGACTACTGCAATGCGCTCTACTTGGGGCTACCTTTGAAGGTGACTCGGAGACTGCAATTAATCCAGAATGCGGCAGCTGGACTGGAGACTGGGAGTGGCTGCCAAGACCATATAACACCGCTCCTGAGAGATCTGCATTGGCTCCCAGTACATTTCTGAGCACAATTCAGAGTGTTGGTGCTGACCTTTAAAGCCCTAAATGGCCTTGGTCCTGTATACCTGAAGGAGCGTTTCCACCCCCATCGTTCAGCCCGGACACTGAGGTCCAGCGGCGAGGGCCTTCTGGTGGATTCCTCACTTGGAGAAGCTAAGCTACAGGGAACCAGGTAGAGGGCCTTCTTGGTAGTGGCACCTGCCCTGTGAAACGCCCTCCCATCAGATGTCAAGGCAATAAGCAATTCACTGGGAAACAAATTTTTTGTTGCATTGACATCTGCAGTTGTTCTAACCTAATTTCGACGTGCTGATTTCATATCTGAAGTTGGTTTTGTTCTGTAAGCTCTAGTTTTTTTTTGCAATTCATGTTTTTCACTTTTTACCGTAATCTTTGTTTTTCACAATGCAAGAATTCAATATTTTATTAAACACATAGCCAAAATAGTACAATATGAGTATAAATGTAAGTGACTTATATAGCATTGGAGATGGCATGTATAGCATTGAAAATGACATGTATATCTATGTACAGTTGGAGGTATTCAAAAAAATGTATTCCCTTGGGATAAACAGTATGCTGGGGAACATTTTTTATTTTATTTTACGTTGCATGAGATTTTTCAAGTGTTCTTATATGTTCTTTCAATGCTGATTTCAAATCTGAAATCGATTTTTGTGTACGTGCTATAGTTATATTTCAATTTCCGACTTTTGCCAATAAGTGGGGATAAGTGGACACTAACACGTTGATCTACCCTAACCACATGGTAATTATTGCTTTGCAAACTTATTTTTTCTTTATCTTTATAGTTTTGTAACCTAAATATTTGTATTTTTCTGATTGGACCATGGCTTCTTCTTTAAGTAGAAAAAAATGTGTAAACAAGCCTGTTTGAGTGTTCACATATCTTCGGAACGTCCTGTGTTGCACTCCAGAGGGAAGATGCCCAGAGAGATTTCAAGTGCGGGGGCTTTGCATCATCGCCCCCCTGGTGTTTCCCACAATCCCTCCCCCCCTCAGATTTCAAAGTGGGTTAGCAATCCATCCCACTTCCCACAGAACTCTGGGAATTGTAACACTGTGAGGGGAATAGGAGGTCTGCTAAAAAGCTCTCAGTAGCTTTAACAAACTTCCCAGGTTTGTTAAAGATACTAGGGGATGCCGTGACTGTAAAGTGGTACAATCACGCTTTAAATGTATGGTGCAGCTATGGCCAAAGTTTCTTGCCCAGGAAGGCTTAAAACCATCAAATTGCAAAGGATTATTCATGCCATTTCTATATACAGTGTTCAGCTAGCTTACCTCCTCTTTGTCGTTCTGAATAATAATCAGTTTGGATTTTTTATTCTCACAAAGCCTTTCTGCATCATGCCAGTATACTAGTCCTTCATCAAATAAATAGAGAGCCTCTTTGTATGGCTGCCACTTTTGACGATGATTTGATGTGAGGTCATCTTTGAACCAAGCCAGAAAGTGGGAAGGTGGGGGCAAAAAAGCAGATTTAGCAGGAGCTGGGCTGAAGGTCTAACAGATCCCCCCCCATAAAGTCATTATGAATTACATACTAATATTTCATTACAATACAGCAAAAGGCATGGTAGCTAACACTCTAAAAGGTTTGTTCTAATAAAGGACACATTTAGCCAGGTCATTTGTCCTCCTTTTACTTCCCTGTTCCACTGTTTGCATTCCTCAACAGATTGGTAATGCTATGAAGATTGTGTGGCACCCCCAATCTCTGCCGAGCAGTAGCAAGATCTTGGGAGGTTCCGGTTGCTTGCCCAGGGTTGTGTTTCCATTGAGAAAATTGAGGAATAGTGGAGGTGAGTGTCGTTAAGAAGTATAGTTTATTTGACACATATTTAGACAAGATACTTCAGATGAGATTCTTGAATGTCAGTGCAGCCTCCTCCAGCCACATTGAATTCTACCTCTTTCCCCTTCCTTGTTCCCAGAACACCTTGCTCTAAGCAACTCTCCCCCCCCCCCCGCACTCCAAGCCTCGTTTTTAAAGGTGGCATTTTTCTGGTAACCTATGTAATCATTCAGCATAAGCTTGGCAACCTCCCCTCCCCAGAAATAGCCTGTCAGAAGTGCTTCACTATAGGGCATTCAGGACCAGGTGTATTCCAGGTGAGAAAAACCACATTGAGAGGGAGCTCAAATTCAATGGGATGCAATGATCTTCTCAGTGTTTCCCAAACTTGGGTCTCCAGCTGTTTTTAAACTACAGTTCCCGTCATCCCTGACCACTGGTCCTGCTAGCTAGGGATGATGGGAGTTGTAGTCCAACAACAGCTGGAGACCCAAGTTTGCGAAACACTCTTCTAACTCCTAAACTTATTCTCTGATACCTCTTTGAATTCTCCCAGTCTTGACGAACAGAGGAACAGTAACAGAAAGGTATCCTGTTTCTTTCACAGAGACCTTACTGTGGGTGTCTGCTATAGGAGAGATATAGTAGTCATGGGAGATTTCAGCTACATTGATATCCACTGGAACTCACAAGAGTGTAAGGTCCAGCAAATTCCTCATTTGCCTTGCTGACAATGGTTGGCAGGGGAGAGTCACAGTGGTGGGGTGATAATGAGCAAATCCCAATTTGAGGCACAATGACCCAAGGTCTAAGCATTGGAGGGGTCCCTGTTCACCTCTTATGGAGGGTGAGGCACTTCAGTCTTCATATCCCAAACTACCAGAATTCAGCCAACTTCCGCCACCAATTAGGAATCCATTCAAGGAGGAGTTTCCCAATTAACACAGCCACAAAAATCCAAAGCCACAAAACTCTCATCCAAATTTCTCCCTGGATTTTGGAGGCTCGAGTTGCTTGGTCTTTTTCTCAAAGTGGAATGGATAGATTCTAGAGGATGGTAGGACCTTTATACCTTCAACAGCTGTGCAGCCTATACTCTGATTTCTCAACATCACCCTATTAAGAATAACTTACTGATTGCGGACTGGACTTCATTTGCTCTCTCAGCCCATATAAGCAATTCACCTGCTAACTTCCCAGCTTCATCAAGTATTTCAGAATCTGAAAGGTTTGGATAATTCAGGTCAGTGAGATCTCAAACAGCTATTCAACTCTATAAAAAGGCTGTTTCCCTATAACTTGTGACTGGCCACACTCTAGCATTCAGGGTGGTCTGTAATCTGCTGAGTATTGATCTGATCCCCCCTCCCCGTAACGCTTTGTATTTTTAAGAAAAATCTCAAGCGGTTTACAGCATATTAAATCAATAAAACATAAATAAAGCAATCTGAAGAAAGTCAAATATAGAGTATACAGTCAAAGCAACATAACAGAAAACCGAAATATTATCTTAAAGATTTCAAAATAAAACATTACAAAGGAGGTCAACAACAGAATACATATTTAACATAGTAGGGTTGGTGAATCTGGGCTCTACCCCTAGACCAGTTGGAAAGGGCCTTGCAGGGAGAAGCCTTCATGCCCCACAGCTGGGCGATGTTCCTCCAGGCTCATGAGGAGCTTCTTCAGTGGGGCTGGTGAGTGTGAGCCCTGCCCCCTAGGCCAGGAGGAAAGGGCCTTGCAGGGAGTGGCCTTCACACCCCACAGCCGGGCGATGTTCCTCCAGCCTCATGAGGAGCCTTTTCAGTGGGGCTGGTGAGTGTGGGCCTCACCCCCTAGGCCAGATTGAAAGGGCCTTGCAGGGAGCGGCCTTCATGCCCCACAGCCGGGCGATGTTCCTCCAGCCTCATGAGGAGCCTCTTCAGTGGGGCTGGGTGAGTCTGGCCAGGTAGAAAGCAAAGAAGCTCTTCTATGGGGCAATACCCGCTGCTGGAGCGGGGGCAAAGAGTGACCCTAGGTGTAAGTGACCCTAAGTGACCCTAAATGGTAAGGACTATGACACCTTCCTTACCATTTCTTCCTTGGAGGGATGGTTTCTCTTTGGTCATGAAGTCCCTGATCATTTTCATTGCTAAATCTATTTCAGGTGTTTTGTGATCCCTTTTATGAATATCTATAGAAGAGTTAGGAGGGAAAGAAATGGTGAGTCGGCTGATGCGACAGTACCTCCACCCCAGAATTGCTGCGGCTAATTTGGAATCAAGGCTCCCCGTGTCTTAGCAATTTTTTAAGGTTATTCACATCTCAAAGCAAAAGTGTTTAATGAAGCCTCAGGCAGCAGAGTGGGCAGCATTCCAGTAATAAAACTGCAGTAAAATGAAACCTGTAGATCACCCTGTGAAGGGTGGTCTATAAATTGAATAAAATCAATGTGGAACAATAAAGGCCAGGTTACAACATCTTGTAACAACATTAAATAAATGAGATAAAGTAAAAGTGCAGAGTTAGGGCCATATCCAGTGCCGCAGCGCCACTGGTCTAATGGACTTCTGTATGGACAAGGAAGCTTTCTTTCCTGTCCCCTCCAGCCCAGCCCACCACGTGCCCTCAAAATTCCCACTGGAAACATAAAACCTAATATTCCCCACCAATACCCAGAAAACGCCTAATATTCCCACCAGTATATCTGGAAAACAAACAGATATAAACCAGGTGCCAAAATGGCAAGTGTTGATGCATTATATAATTCCAGAGGCAGGACATTTCACAATCAGAGTGCTACCACACAGAAGGCTCTTTTCTGTCATGCCACCTAATGGATTACCACTGACAGTGGGACAATGAGACAATCTACTTCTACCTCCAAGATCTAGGGACCTGAGCAGGTTGTACAAGACAATGTGTCCTTCAGACCCTTGGGATCCAAGTCAGTGAAGACTTCCTAGGTCAGTACCAGAACCTTAAATTCATCCCACAAATGAATAAGTAACACATGAAGGGCTTAGACTTTTAAAAGGAGACACACACAAACATCTGATTGCGCTCAGAAATCAATATGATTTCCCTGTCCTTTGACAACTTTCTTCTACTCATCTAGGGCTAGGGAGAAGGTCAGAGAGGGAGGATGGCTTCCTAGATGACTTGAAGACCTCTTTTGTTTACCCGTGAGATATCCTGCAGAACCTGTGACAGTCTCTTTAAGAGAAGCAAGCTCTTACCCAGCATGCAAAGATAGAAAGAAAGACAAACAGGGAGTTGCAAGGTAGGACAAGTGACTGCACAGGTTGCTTCATAATGTTGGCCTAAAAAGTCTCTGGAGCAGCTAAGCAGTTATTGAGGGGCAAGAAAAAGGCATTTATTTCAATGGGTGAGATTTAGCCACATCCTTACCTTACACACTGGAATCAATGGGAGATAAAAGGGCTTAGTTGTGGTTGGATTATGGTGACACTTTTGAAAGTGTTCTTCGTACTGATGTAAAGCCAACCAGGATAATGCTAAAGGCCTACACAGCCTAGACTTACACAGACTAACTGCTCCAAATGCAGCAAAAAACAGGACCAGGCACAGCATCACTACAATAAATGTACCAATGGAAGAGAGAAAGAACTCTTTTATCTCATGCAAAACAGCAGCGAGTTTTCCTTGATGGACAAAAAGAAAGAAAGAAAATCTGCTTTAAGTATCATGGGTAACTTTTTTGCCTTTTCATTTCAAGTGACAGTAATGGATCCAGAAGTACTCCTTCAGAGGGAGTCTAACCCCATCCAGAACAGGCCATATCCCACCCATCTTGTCTAGGGAACCACCCACTGACTGCACCTCAGTCTTGTCTGGATTAAGCTTCCGTTTATTGGCTCTCATCCAGTCCATTACTGAGGCCAGGCATTGGTCTAGTATGTCAACTGCCATACCTGCAAATGTAAAGGGGAGATAGAGCTGTGTGTCATCAGCATTTCTCACAACACACTCCAAAATATGGATGACCGTAGTCTGCATGGGGGATGAAACTGAACTTTGAGGAACCCTGCGTTGAAGGCTCCATGGTGCTGACCAGAACTCCCCAAGCACAGTCACCCAAGCAGGACTAGAACCATTGCACAGCAGTGTCGCCCAATCCCAGCTCAGTCAGTCCCTCTGGAAGAATACCATAGTTGATGGTAGTGAAAAGCAGTGCGAGATCAATGAGGATCAACAGAGCACATTTCTCCTGCCTCTGTCCCAGCAGAGCGAAGGCTGTCCTGTTGTGAAATAGATTTAATAAACGAGGTCCCTACAGGATGCTTGCTTTGATATTGTCTTTGTTGCATGTTTATTTAAAGGTTTGTTCCCTCACCTGGGCGAGGAGCAGTGGTAGAGAGGTAAATCCTTACCACATTGTGGATCAGGGGAGAACACAGCCTGAGGCTGGCATAGAACTAGTTTGCTTGGCTAAAGGAGCCTGCTGGAGTGACAGAGCACGGCTGGCTTTTCTCCAGGCCTGCCCACCACGACTGGCCACATATGCCTCCTGTTGCTCTCTCACCTTTCCTTTCCAGTGTGTTCCTCATCTAGGCTATGAACCAGTTCTATGTGTGCTGCATACATACCCTTTCTAGGAGGTGGTTTTCGTCTGCGTTTTAGTATTGACCTGGATGCCACATTAGATCTGGAAGAGACATTGGATCTGGAAGCCACATTAGATCTGGAAGCCACATTGGATCTGGAAGCCACATTGGATCTGGAAGCGGCATTGGATCTGGAAGCCACACTGGTTCTTGAAGCTGCATTGTGGTGTTGGGTCACATAGTATATAATTTACTAGAACATTAGCTAAAACTTGCTACAATGGCACAAAATATCCATTGTGTGCTAGCAGCTAAATCCCAGTAGGGTAAATCCCTGAAAAACTTGTAGCTCAGGAGCAAAATCGTAGGGAGTGATGATCCTGCAGGAATTCAGTTTTCAGCTCTACTCTGCAAGACAAATCTCATTTCTGTTTTTTTAATGGAGTAACAAGCTTGGTGGATCAGGGGAATGATGTGAACATAGTGTATCTTGATTTCAGTAAGGCTTTTGACAAAAAAGTTCCCCATGATATTCTTGTGAGGAAACTGGTAAAGTGTGGGTTGAATGAGGTAACTGTTAGGTGGATTTGTAGCTGGTTGACTGACCGAACCCAAAGAGTACTCACTAATGGTTCCCTGATTCAGGTAGGAAGCCATGTTGGTCTGACACAGTCAAAATTAAAATTAAAAAATAGTCCAGTAGCACCTTAGAGATCAACTAAGTTTGTTCTGGCTATAAGCTTTCGTGTGCATGCACACATCTTCAGATACACTGAAGGAGAAGTCACCAGACCCTTATATATAGTGGGAGGGAGGCCTGGGTATTTCTCAGAAGGGTAGTGGGAGATGGGTGATTGACTCAATGGGTATGGTAAACCTGTTGACGACTGTTAACGACTGCAATTTGTTCTACAGGAAAAAGCAAGGGATAGTTCAACAACTTTATAAACAACTTGGCTGAAGGAATTGAGGAGATGCTCATCAAATTGGCAGATGTCACCAAACTGGGAGGGGTAGCTAATGCCATGGAAGACAGAATTGGGATTTACATAGGTTTTGCCATTTCTTGAAACATTGTTGCCAAACTTGGCACAAATGTTCCCAGGGTGTGGGGGGGGGATTGTCTTCACCACCATTTAGATACCAGGTTCCATTTTTGTGCCACTTGAGATATCATCCCCAAACTCTGCAGAAAGGAAGGCTCAAGGTCTCCCTCCCAAGAGGTACAGGAACTCTGCCTTCCTGCATTCCACTGAAGAGGAAAAAGTAGGAACAACTTACGTTCTGTGAATGTCAGGCCTCGCACCATTTTAACTGCTCATTTGGACTGGCACCTTATGTCATCCTGCGTTCAGAACCACATAAAGGAGTAGACAGTTAGCACAACTTCTATGAGAGAATTTAGTGCTCAAAAACCAAATCAGAGTAGCAGTCTGCAGAAGCTCACCTCTTTTTGTTGACAGGACCTTATTCTTAGCTGCCATCTTATCTCCTCATTTTGAGTGGTGTCTCATCCTGGAGTTCTTCTAAGTGACCATTTAATGGATTAAGCTGTTAAAACAATGTCTTGAGACAAACCTACCATTTACAGAGCAGTCATATCAAGCTCTTCATTATACAAGGAAGTAGACATGAAAAGCTCTCTGGCATCCTGTCCTCACTTCATTTATAGACATGGAATCTCCTATTCCCTGGATATACAGTGGGAGAGAAGCAGACTGCTTTTCTCCCACTGTAAAGGGGCAGCTGGGGCCTTCTGAATTCTAGCTTAGTGACATACTTCATGCAAAAGGCTCCAGTTCAATCCACAGTATTTCCCATCAGAAGGATCTCCAGCAGGAAGCCTTAGAAAGACCTCTCTTTTCCAGAGATCATGGGCAGCTGTTGCCCGTTGGGCTAAATAGCACACAGAGCAAGACAACCAGTGGCCTTAGAAAAAGGCAGCTGACTACGAGTGACTTATCCCCTTTCCCCTTTTGGATACCGTGGTGCCTCCCGGAGTCTTCTCTCCGTCTCAGCTTCTTCCTGCAGATGTTCCTTCCTTCAACGGCTCCAACCACCTTCCGCTTTGATGCAGAACATTCCAGAGTTCCCATTCAGCTTCTGCTCTTCCCTGATTGGGACTGGCAGGCAGCCAATCAGCATTCCACATATAGCAGAAGTCCAGGAAAATATCTAGTTTAGTTATTGCTTACTCCACTTCCGTAGTACTCTCATGCACAAAAGTGACCTTCACGAGTATCTTTGGAATTCTGCAAATGACAATCATGTTTTGTCCCCTTTAACCGCAGGGCTAAATGACTTCTGGGGAACTTCTTCAGTTAAGTGGATGAGCACCCCATCCCTCAAATTGTTGGATTTTTCTTCTTCTGAGACTAAATTTGGAACATGGACTGTTATCTCGCAGCTATTCAAATCCAGCAGTTCCACCCAGAATAATAATAATAATTTATTATTTATACCCTGCCCATCTGGCTGAGTTTCCCCAGCCACTCTGGGCGGCTTCCAATGGAGTGTTAAAAACAATACAGCATTAAATATAAAAAACTTCCCTAAACAGGGTTGCCTTCAGATGTCTTTTAAAGAGAAGATAGCTGCTTATTTCCTTCACATCTGAAGGGAGGGCGTTCCACAGGGCGGGCGCCACTACCGAGACCATATCAACTACAGGCAAGCAATTGAAATTTAAAAGCACAATTTAGTTCTGAATATTTTTTAGCCTTCTACAGTGGTACCTCGGGTTACAGACGCTTCAGGTTACAGACGCTTCAGGTTATAGAGACTGCTAACCCAGAAATAGTACCTCAGGTTAAGAACTTTGCTTCAGGATGAGAACATAAATCGTGCGGTGGCGGCAGCGGCAGCGGCAGCGGGAGGCCCCATTAGCTAAAGTGGTACATCAGGTTAAGAACAGTTTCAGGTTAAGAACAGACCTCCAGAACGAATTAAGTTCTTAACCTGAGGTACCACTGTATTTGGAATGCTGAGGTACAAAATGTAATGGATCCAAAATACAAAAGTTATGTATTATTTGCATAGCGCATTTCTGCTAGCAGCACGTCATCATCCACCCACTGGGCATGTGGTCTTTTTGTACCCAGGATCAAGGAGTGACCCCCAGTTACAAGTTAAGCGTCTTTCATTTTGATTTAGTTTTTGTAAGACAAGTGTGAGGTTGACATTTAATCTTGAACTGGGATTGGCCTTTATCCTATTGATACCTGGATTTTATGTCAGCAGCTTGGAGACCCCATGCATTGTGGTATGTTATACCAAGGATGCTTCCTTCACCACATCTCTATGCCACCCACTGTTTTCCCTAACTAGCATAGGTGTTACATCTTGTGCTTCAGGCCTATGCTATACATTCCCAGTTTTAAAACTATACAGTGGTACCTTGGTTCTCGAACGTAATCCACTCCTGAAGACCGTTTGAGTTCCGAAGCATTTGAAAACTGAGGTGCAAAGGGCTGTCTGTAAATTCAACTGAGAAAATTGAAAAAACACCCAGCAGAATCCGTTCAACCTCCAAGGTGCTTTCAAAAATGGAAGCATTTACTTCTGGGTTTTCAGCGTTCGGGTTCCGAAATGTTCATCAACAGAGACGTTCCAGAATCGAGGTACCACTGTATTTGCTTTTGTTGCCTACACGCATTTGCTTCTGTTTATTATATGTTGTGTGTCTATTAATTGATTATTGGACATATATTGTCCAACACCAGGTACAGTCCCTGGCAGAACATGTGTTGGGGCATCCTTCAGGAACGATGGGCGGGTGAGTTGTTGGACACCACTGCTTGAAATCACTTGAGGGACCTTCCAGTGGTGACACCAACCTGACACACTCCTGTCTTGACTAACCCTCCCTGGAGAGAGGCAAGTGTAGTTACGGCTCTGTGAAAGTTCTAAGGGTTCATCCAAGTAGTGGCAGCTATTGTGGCAACTTTACGATGGCAACTTCCTTCCAAAAAGTCTGTGGTTTTGGACAACACCATCTGAAGTGATGGTTGGACTCCACCAAACCAACAACCCTCTCCACATTCTGTTCTCCAGGAAAAGATCATGGCAGGTCATGAGAGGCTTGGCTGGATAAGGGCTGTGGGACAAAATAGAGACAAATGTAAGGTTCTGCACTCAGGCAGGAAGAACCAGCTACATAAATATAAGGTGGGGGACACCTGGCTAACTAGTGGTATATGGGAAAAAGGATCCAGGGGGTTTGGTGGACCACAAGCTGAACATGTGTCAACAGGGTGATTCAGCAGCAAAAAAAAGTGAATGGTATTTAGGCTGCATCAACGGAAGTATAGTATCCAGATCAAGGGAAGTTATAGTCCTGCTCTGTTCTGCCTTGGTCAGATTCCACCTGGAGGACTGTGCCAATTTAAGAAAGATATTGACAAGCTGGAAGGTGTGCAGAGGAGAGTGACTAAGATGACCAAGGGTCTGGAAACCAAGCCTTATGAGGAGTGGTTGAAGGAGTTGGGCATGTTTAGCCTGGAAAAGATGAGACTGAGAGCAGATATGTTAGCCATCTTCAAATATCTCAAGGTGGAGCAAGCTTGTTTTCTTCTGCTCTGGAGGGTAGGACTCAAACCAATGACTTCAAGTTACAAGAAAGGAGATTCTAACTAAACATGAGGAAGAACTTTCTGACAGTAAGAGCTGTTCAACAGTGGAACGGTCTGGTCTCCCTTGCGAGGTAGTGGATACTCTGTTTTTGATGCTTTAGTTGAGATTCTTGCATAGCAGGGGATTGGACTAGATGACCTTTGGGAGTACCTTTGAACCCTACAATCCTGCAATTCCATGATTCTGTGAAACTCTGGTGACTACAGTGTTTGGCTTTCCTAGTAAGGCCAACCAAATATCATAGACTCCTAAACAGACATAATAATGAACACTACATAATAGATAAACCCAAACAACACAACAAGAGGGAAGGAAAAAGTATGGCATGCAAGAGAGTTACCGTAATTTTAGGAAAGGGCTGGTTTGGAATAAAGAAGGAAGGAACAGAAAGATAGAACATATGAACCTCAGAAAGCAAAAAACACAGCCAATGTTCTACTCCAAGAACTCTGACAGACAGGCAGCTGTTGGTAGAGAAATCACTGAGGCTGCTACACTTTACTCATTTTCCTGGGAATTAGCGCCACTGAACAGAACTGACTATCCCAGCCAACCCACTTCACCACAGATTTGAAGATGGTCTGAATATCTTCAGAGCAGAGATCCTTGACTTGAAGTGGTGCCTTGTGCAAGGAGAATACAAAGCAACGATTATACCAAAGTAATTTATTGGAAGTACAGAAGCTGGTTTTGACCAAACTCTCCCACGCTTCATTTTCTTGGAGGTTCAGATCTTTGAGGTTGCAAATTAAGGTCTCTTTTTTCCAGTCTTGAGGAAACAGGACTGCTAAGGTGCTTTCAGTTGTTGATGGCAGAGAGTTGAGCTCTTCCATGCCCCAATTCCATAACCTGGATTGCTGATTTTTTAAAGGGGGAGATTAATCCATTGCTTTTAGCATAGAGTTCACAGAATCCAGTTTTATCAAGGTTTTACCGTATACCATCTTTTATCAGGCATCTTCTTACATATCCACCGTTTTTCTACATTACAGGGAATGTTTTCCCAACATTTAGTTGTTCTGGAACAATGCGATTTTAATATGACACAGGGTTCTTCTTTTATTTTGTCAGGCTGACCATGCATCCAATAACTGAAAGCAAAAGGCAGCAGTCAGAAATCCATCAACTGTAACTAATGAATGCATGCTGGATGTCTACTTTTTTCCTAGCATTAATGAGATATTCAGCTCACTTCTGTCTCACTCTTGCTTTCTACCTCAAGATTGCCAGCTACTCATAATTGTAGTGTATTGTTTGTATTTTTCAGATTTTGTCCATCAGCAGAAAATGGGGGGTAGTTTCCCTCTCTATAGTTTCCTCCTGCAAGTTATTTCTCCCACAAAATGGCAAAGAATGAGTGCATTGCTTGGAATACACAATGCTATGCTCAGGAAACTGCAATCAAGTCCATCTGCTTATTTAAGAATTTTACAATTCTATATTTCAATCCCAACATTTTCAAAACAGCTTATTACTCCTGGCTCCATCTGAAAAAAGTGGTTTTTTTTGGAAAGAGTCCGAGAAACTGAGGTCCACTGACTCTGAATATAGTGAACTTGCTTCTCCATCATACCTATGATTAATCTGTCACCCGTGAATTTCCGACAAAGTTTCTACAATATGAAAAGTAAAGAATTTTTGTTCACACTTACGTGTCTACTACATTTGGGCCATGATGCCATTTCCATTTCCCATTCTCATGATGGAGTCCAATCCAGGAATCTTCATGTGCAAATTCAGTTTCTTTTTCTAGAAACTCCTGCAGAAAGCACAACCAGAGTCTTTCCTAGAAATGAGGAACCAGAACCCCCTTTCAAATTATTTCCAGACAAAGTATCTTCTCTGGAAGACAAGAGGCTCCTCCAGATGTTCAATAGGAGTGAAATGTGAATTGACAGCAAGAAGTTGCGCCACAGAGATGGGCTTTGCCTCCTACACCTTGCAACTAAATCAAGGGTGGGCAAACCCCAACCCAAGGGCGAAACTCAGCCTGACATGGTTTTCAATTTAGGAACCATTGCTTCACAGCCCAGAAGGCCAGCCCCCGACTTCTAGAATACTAAAGCTCAGTTTAAAAACCCCACACAACTTGCTAAAAACATGGTAACAGTAAAAACTCAGCTAGAGAAGGAACAGAAGGATAATCAGTCAGCCTAGAATCTGAACCCTTAAGCTGAGTGCACACAGGAGAGTACTCTCTCAAGATGCCAAGGATCGTCAGAGTCCTTTACTCTGTGAGGTTGGGTACTCCTTTCATCATTAGATCCTGTCTCTTAACGACAGAGCTTGCAATATAACCCCCTTCCGGCAAGCCCTTTCTCCCTCCTTTCTTGACTCACCACTGGGCCTGCAAATCCCAGATCCTCTTCTGTGCCTTTTGCTGGCCTAAAACCTCCTCATTTGTGGGGACTGATACAATTTAAAGACTGCCTCTCTAGTTCCATGCCTGATGGTTTCCACCTGCTTTACTTGTACATTTCTTAATAGATACTACCTCCCCTGCTAGAAAAAAAAAGTAAAACAAGCCTCCAGTACTCTCCCTTCACTAGATCACAATTCATTCAAGAGTGCCCCATGACATCTTTCTGCTCGTGGAGAAAGAGGGGGAAGTAAGATGTTCATGCACTAGTATGCAGAGGCTGCCAGATAACTTTTATAGGCACCCAAAGGACTTAAAATCAATTAATTTCAAGAGAGTGTCAGGAATGCGGCTCCCCAGAGCGCAGCGGAAGAGTCAGCCTCGTAAACTGAGCTGAGTGATCAAAGGGCTGACTCTGCAGATGGGAGATGTCTGTCTGCCCAGCCCCCCTCCTTTCCTGGGAAGAAGCAGTTAGCTCCCAAGGAGAGGAAGAGTGGGAAGTTGACCAAAGTGTTGCCATGCAACCACCAGATAAGCCAGTGTTGGAGGCTGAGTCTTCTGCGGAAGAGCCAGCCCTGCAGTCCTCAAACGAGGAGATTAGAGAAGCCCAGAGAGCAATGGAAGGGAAGGAGATGAAAGGCGGGATTTTGGCGTTCTTCCTGTTGGGCAAGGGACAATGAGTCAGACTGAGCAACTAAGGTTAATGAGAGCAGGCAGAACACCATGCTCTGGATGTGTGTGTGTTTATATATAAACTTATATAAAACTGACGGAGAGTCCTTGCTGTTTATCAGGCTGCTTGCCTGCTAGAGATCATTATAGCGAGTTTCCTGGTGTTGTACTCACCTCCACACCAGCATCTTCAACAAATGTCAGCCAGGACTTTTCCTCCTCACAAAACTCTTTTGCACCGAACCATGACTTTCTTCGAACTTCAAACAAATAGAGAAGCCCAGCATGTGGCATCCACTTTAGACGAAATTTTCTAATAAGGTCCTCTTTCAACCCAGCAAGGAATTCACAGGGAAAAGAGAGGGGGCAGAATTTGAGAGATGCCTGTGGATCACTTTAAAATACAAACACAAACTTGAAGTGAATGACATAATGATATTTCATTACCATCCAGCACAATTTACTAATCTAACAGGATAGCCAGCCTTCTGCCCTCTGAAATGTTTGTTCCTGTAATGAACATATTTAGAGGCTGGTTTCAATGAGAAGGTGTCATTGATTTCCCTCCCTATAACCATCTTTGCATTCACCAATTGATTTGCAAATAATTTTCTCATACATTTATCTAGACAGCCTATTAGAAAGCTATATACTAGGTCTGCACTAAAATGGGTACCATCCTTACTAATTTTTACTGATAATGTTTGGAATTTCAGTGAAAATATGCAAAAAAAGGAGGCCACCCCATTGGTGTAGAACTTTCCTCGTCCCTCCCCCACTGTCAAATGTGCATCACCGAGGTACTCAGGTGTGTCTCATGACATAAAACCCACAACAATTAGAGTCCACTTATAGTCTCAATTTAGTGGGATTTTCTGACTCCTAAACTAACAATGAAATCCCTCCCCTGATATACCTCTGCCTTCTCCCAAACTTACAAGACAGTGGAACAGCAGCATAAAGGTCTCTCATTCCCACTCACACCTGAAGTACTGCAACAGCAGCATCTCAGGTGCAAGGGGACCTGGTAAAGGTAAAGGGACCGCTGACCATTAGGTCCAGTCGCAGACGACTCTGGGGTTGCAGCGCTCATTTCACTGGCTGAGGGAGCTGACATACAGCTTCCGGGTCATGTGGCCAGCATGACTAAGCTGCTTCTGGCGAACCAGAGCAGCGCACGGAAATGGCATTTACCTATTTATCTACTTGCACTTTGACGTGCTTTTGAACTGCTAGGCAGAAGCAGGGAGCGAGCAACGGGAGCTCATCCTCTCGCGGGGATTTGAACCTCCGACCTTCTGATCGGCAAGCCCTAGGCTGTGTGTTAAAAACATAAACACCTGCTGGATCAGGAAAGAACCCATGTATTCCATCATCCTGTTCTCACAGCGGCCCATTGGAACTCTTGCAAGTAGGATCTGAGCACAACAGCACTCTCAGTTGATTTGCAGTGGTAGTGGTGATGAAGAAATATGATCTCAAGACTAAATCTGGAAGGCTCCTGGCTCACCTCATATTGGGGGTGAGACATTCTTGTATCCCAAACTCCATAATTCCAACCAATTTCCACCATTAATTAGAAAGTCATTCAAGAAGGAGTTCATCAACTTGCAGAGCCACAAAAATCCAAAGGCACAAGGTTCTTCACATCTGAATTTCTTCCTGGATTGTGAATGTCTGAATTGCTCAGTCTGTTTTATCAAAGTAGTGTGTGAGAGGCAGAGGGCAGCTGGGCCCCTGAACCTTCAAGAGCTGTGCAGACAGACGAATTTCAATACTTCAGTATCATTGTCTCAAAGGAACTTACCAATTGCAACTTGTACTTCATACACTTTGAAGTTCCATGCAACCAATTCATCTGCCAACTTCTGTGCTCCACGAAATATTTCAGAATCTAAAAGGTTTGAACAATTCAAGTCAGTGGTAATGCAAACATCCATCTATGTATATAAAAAAGTCATTTTCCAAAATCTGATGTACAATCACATTCTAGCGTGAAAAAAAGAAGCAGAACCCTGCTATGGAGCCTAGATAGGAGGAGTCCTGGTTCTCAGTGTCTGGGATGACCAAGGTTTACTCCACCCTTGCCCCAACTGGGTCAGCTGTTAACATTGATTTCCTTTCTACTGAGGGATATTGGTATACTGATGGTAAAACTTGTCCTATCTCCCGGAGAAGGCCATTTTGAAAGGGAGTGGGTTGTGTGTCTTCTTTGTGAAGAGCACACAAGGACACACTGGACGGAGATTGCCCTATTCAAGTGGAATTTTCAGTGTACGAGCTCCATATACATATCCCTTTACCGTTTTGCTAGTACTGAGTAAAGGTTCAAGCTTCCCCATGGGTAATTTAGGTCCCCAAAGTAGTATTCATGGTGCCAGCAATAGATATGCGCTTTCTGCAACTGAAAATGTTCTTGGGCAAGTTCTCCACGTTCAAACTTACAGTTTGCTGCAAAATGTTCAGTACACAAAATTCTCAAATTGAATGTCATAGGATTAAATAAAAGTTTTAGAAAAGCCATGAGAATATTGAGATGGAACCTCAACTGAGGAGATGCCAGAGGTTAGCGGTGGGGCCCATGTTGTACATTTACACAAGTCCAGCCTCCAGTGTTCCAAAGTACATGGCTGAAACTGGCATCACTTGGCAATGTTCACTTGCCTGCTTCTCAAAATAGCCAAACAGAATGATTTGCGTGGGGCCAATGCTAGAATTAAGCCATTTAATGCGGTCTGAGTCACAACAATTTCCATTTTATTAAATCAGTTCTATGCATGTCGATTACGTAGCTATTAACCATCTTATCAATAAATTCAAAATAAAAGTGGGGAATAGCTTGACACGAAGGGTGAGCACTTTTCAGAAGAATAGTGATACAGTGGTACCTCTGGTTACATACTTAATTCGTTCCGGAGGTCCGTTCTTAACCTGAAACTGTTCTTAATCTGAAGCACCACTTTAGCTAATGGGGCCTCCCGCTGCCGGCGCACGATTTCTGTTCTCATCCTGAAGCAAAGTTCTTAACCCAAGGTACTATTTCTGGGTTAGCGGAGCTTGTAACCTGAAGCGTATGTAACCTGAAGCGTATGTAACCCGAGGTACCACTGTACTGGAGACTTGCACAGAGACTTGCAGGACCTGGGGGCAAAATATAATTTTGGAGGGTAAGCTGTGCTATTCCCGTGGAGTTATGGGGCATCCAGGAGACATGAATCAGGAAAGCCTTCCTCCTCAACTGAAGGGGAATGTCATGGGCAGAGGAGAGGGACGATGGAATTAAAGCCGCTTTTCCTCCTTACAGGGCAAAGGTAAACGTGCCCATGACCATTTGGTCCAGTTGTGGACGACTCTGGGGTTGCGGTGCTCATCTTGCTTTACTGGCCGAGGGAGCTGGTGTACAGCTTCCGGGTCATGTGGCCAGCATGACTAAGTCGCTTCTGGCAAACCAGTGCAGCGCACGGAAATGCCGTTTATCTTCTCGCCGGAGCGGTACCTATTTATCTACTTGCACTTCGACGTGCTTTTGAACTGCTAGGTTGGCAGGAGCAGGGACCTAGCAACGGGAGCTCACCCCATCGCAGGGATTCAAACCGCCAACCTTCTGATTAGCAAGCCCTAGGCTCTGTGGTTTAGACCACAGTGCCACCCAATTATAACTGGTTTAGGAGATCAACAGTTGTTTGGGAATACTTACTGCACATTGGCCTTCCCTTTGAACCAAGAACTTAAAGTCTTAAGCTGGAATTGATAAAATGGGTCTAATATAAACCCACACTTCATGTCTTACATTCTTATTTCTAATCACCTTACACCATGTGTGATACTGTAGCACATGGGAACTGCACACACATGGTGCAGAAATTAAGATGGGCAACTTAACATAGAATTTTAGGACTTTCTGGTGCATGAGTCAGTTTGTAAGCATGTTGAGTCTTCTCTTACAATGATAGGTTTTTCAATATTAAAATTGTCCATGCAGTACCTCAATTCCTACCCCCCCATGGGTTTTTTTTCTTCTGGGATTTGCAAATTCACTATTATTATAGTTATATTTATTTGTATCTCACTTTCCCCCCAGACTGGGACTCAAGGAAGTTTACAGATAAAAAAATGCAAAATGCAGATAAAATAGAAAAAGCTAAAATCATAGCAAAGTCAATCATTAAAAAGTTATTAAACATTAATAAAAACAAAATAACATAAAAAACAAATTTTTTAAAAAACATCACAGTGCCAGCCCTTTCCTTAAAAAACAGCCAGTTCCTAGAGGCCTGTTGGAATAAAAACTGTTGCCACTTATTGAAGGAAGGGCAACAAGAAGGCAATCCAGCTTTCCTAGCCAGTCCCGTAGCAAAGTCAACCAATTTTGGGAAATTATAACAAAATGGACAGATATACAAAGGAACTGGGTGATGATTGGTTCTGATTTAACAGGTCCAGGCTCCCGCAGACACAGGCTCCCAACTCTGCATATTTTGAAAGTGGTTGTTTGTGGGAAGAGGGGCATTTTCAGAGGACCAGTGTTGGAGAAAAGGTGGGCTCTTCATTCTTCCTCCACTCCCCAGCTACTTTCACCTCTCTACATAAGAGACTTGAAACAAGTTCTACTGTGGAGCAATACCCCTCAATGGGGTGTAGGGCTGGGGAGCAGTGTTCATCCTTATCATAAATTTTTATTTATGCCCCGCCCTCCCCAACCAGAGCAGGGCTCAGGGCGGCTAACACCAATAAAATTACAATAAAACATAATAGGGGGAAACAAACAAACCAAAAACCAAAAAAACCAATTTATTAAAATACGGGTTAAAATACAATTTAAAATGCAGCCTCATTTTAATAGTAGCTGATAAATCAAGACCATAAGGAGAGGGAAACATAAGGGTCAGACTGAGTCCAAACCAAAGGCCAGGTGGAACAGCTCTGTCTTGCAGGCCCTGCAGAAAGATGTCAAGTCCCACAGGGCCCTAGTCTCTTGTGACAGAGCGTTCCACCAGATCGGGGCCAGGGCTGAAAGGGCCCTGGCCCTAGCTGAAACCAATCTAACCTCCTTGAGGCTCGGGACCAAGGATCTCATGGCAGGGACCCCGTAAGGAGCCTCGCCGTGGCATTCTGCAGCCGCTGGAGTTTCTGGGTCAGCTTCAAGGGCAGCCCCGCATAGAGCGAGTTATAATAATCAAGTCTGGAGGTGACCTTCGCATGATCACTGTGGCCAGATTAGGGCGCAAAAGGTAAGGGTTCATGAATATACTGATGGAAACTTATTGCTTACCATTCTTGTTCTGAAGGGACGGTTCCCTTTTTATCATAAAGTCTCTGATAGTTTTCATTGCTCTCTTTTCTAGATGCATTTTGTTCTGCTCGTAGATATCTAGAAGGGATTAAAGAGAAAAAGAAATGGTATTCCAACACACTAGTCTGGGCATGAGTGTGCTACACCCCTCACCCCAAAATAATAATAATTGTTTAGAATGATTTTTGAATCAAGACTCCCTGTGCCTTCGCTGTGAAACCTGCTTTTTGTATGACAGTCATAGTTTCTAGCAGGTGATCTGCAGTCTTGTATACCTGGTGAATTGGTTCTCCCAGCCCTGCTGAATCCATTGTGATTTGATGTCTTCCTTGGAATATAGTCATGCAAAGATCATGGGCACATTGGGTGATGACATCATAACTGACTAGGGATGCAACACCTTCCTCCCATTTTATCTTGCCAGTGGAAAAGGCTTTCTGCCACCACATGAGCAGGAAGGAACAAGGCGGACAGACTGCAGACCCGTATTCCTAGGAGGGGGCACAGCCAGCAAATGTGATAAACAGAGATCCACTGTACAACTTAGGAGAGTCGCTTTAAGAGAAGGAATCTCTCATTCAGCAGACAAAGATTAGAAGGAATAGGAGCGGAGAATTGCACGCATGGAGAGAGATCTCTGCATGATGCTCCAAAACGTTGTCCTTCCAATGGCAGGTGAAGACTTTCTTATCTCAACAGACTTTTAGGAACTGACTGTTTTGAACGAAAGGGCTGGTGCTGTGATGTTTTTCTTGTAGTTGTTATTTTTAATAGTTCTTTATATATATTATTTTAATTCCATTAGTGTTTAATTGCTGTTTGGTGATGATTGTATCTATGTTTTTAGCTTTCTCTGTTTTATCAATAATAATAATAATAATAATAAATAATATTTTTATTATTATGGTTTTCCCCAGCAACTCTGGGCAGCTTCCAGCACATACAAAACACCAAACATTAAAAACTTCCTGATACAGGGCTGCCTTCAGATGTCTTCTAAAAGTCAGGTAGTTGTTTATTTCCTTGACATCTGGTGGGAGGGCGTTCCACAGGGCAGGTGCCACTACCGAGAAGGCCCTCTGCCTAGTTCCCTGTAACCTCACTTCTCACAGGGTGGGAACTGCCAGGAGGCCCTTGGAGCTGGACCTCAGTGTCTGGACTGAACGATGGGAGTGGAGATGCTCTTTCAGGTATACTGAGCCAAGGTCGTTTAGGTTTTTAAAGATCAGTACCAACACTTTGAATTGTGCTCGGAAATGTACTGGGAGCCAGTGAAGATCCTTTAGGACCCATGTTATATGGTCCTGGTGGTTACTGTTGGCTGTGTTGAGTCCCAGTCTGGGGGAAAGGCGGGATATAAATAAATAAATAAATAAATAAATAAATAAATAAATAAAGTTGGCCTATGAAGTCTCTGGAGTATTCAGGGACAAGAAACAGAAGCATTTGTGACCAGGGAGAAGAGTCGGTGGAAGAAGATTGGAAGAAATTTAAAGACTATTTACAGAAATACTGCAAAATTAATGAATGTTAGAATGATGTCAGAATGAAGTTAAGTGGTTTTAGCAGCAATGTTATAAAGGTGTATGTAAAAATGGATTGTTAATGGGTGAGAATCTAAAGTTATAATATATTAAGTTAAAGGATTAAGACAAAAACAAAGAGGGAAAGGAATTGCTGAATTAACTAGTTGAACTGGAATACAAAAAAGGGAGGTGTGAGGAGGTCAGGGAAGCAAGGAAATGAAATGTAAGGCATGGAAGATGGATTTGTTTTTAAGTGTTTTTTACCTTTTTTCTGTATTTCGTATTTTTTCTTTTTTTATCTCTTTCTTTTTTTCTTTTCTTATTATCTATGTAATCTTTCTTTTTGAAACCTTAATATCATATATTTTTAAAAAAAGAAACAGAAGCATTTGTTTCAATGGGTGAGATTCAACCACTTCCTTACCTCACACACTGGGAGGTAAAAGGGATTAGCTGAGGCTGGATGATGCCCCCACTTTTGAAAGTGTTCTTCAAAATGATGTAAAGCCAACCAGGATAACTCTACAGCCCCCCCCCCCAGTTGAACTTACACAGATTAATTACTCCAACTGCAGCACAAAACAGGACCAGGCACAGCACCACCGCAGTAGTTGCAGCAAGGGAAGGTACAGAGCACTCTGTTATGTACTGCAAAAGTGCAGCGTATTTTCCTTGAAGTGCAAAAAGAAAGAAAATTATGCTTTAACAATCACGTATGAACATCCCGCCACTATCCCATTAAGGTATGGTTTATTTTGCTGTGTTTTTGGAATTCTTGCTGACGTATAAAGCTATTAAGATATATACAAGAAAATAAGGTGAGACGGAGCGCATAGTTGAACTATGGAATTTACTCCCACAAGGAGTAGTGATGCCCATCAACCTGGGTGGCTTTTAAAGAAGACTCATGGAGGTGAGGTTGACCAATGGCTACCAGCTACAGCGGCTATGTTCTGCATTCGCTGTTAGAGGCAATATGCCTCTCAAAACCCATTGCTGGGTATTGCAAATAAGGACTATGCTGTTGTATTCAGGTCCAGCCTGCAGGCTTCCTGTAGGCATCCGTTTGGCTGCTGTGAGAACAGGGTGTTGGACTACATGAGCCTTTTGCCTGACCCAGTGGAGCTTTAAAACACAATCTATATCAAACAAATCTATAAATTGTTAGGGGTGTTTTCTAGATATGTAAGTTGTCTCTTAAGGAGTCTGCACTAAATAAACAACTAAGACATTCCAAACATCAAAACACACACACTATCCTTTCTTATAACAATCTGAAACAAAGATGCAGACTTGGGAACAAAAGATTATATGAACAGCACCTCAATAAGTAGTCCCCAGTGGAAGCCACCAGAGCATGGCCTTGGCACCAGTTGGGCTCACCATAAAGAGGTCCAAGAAGTCCCTCCTCATACATAGCTTTAGCTTCTCCCCAGGAGTGGTCCATTCTGCTTTGCCACCTGAGGCAAAATGGGAAGGTGGCACCATGTTTGCATGCCATTGACCCCACCTTACTGCTCCTGCTGAAGTCTGGCTTAGCAGGGTCATGCAGCTGCAGCTTCTGGGGTCTGGCAAGATCTCACAAGAGCCCCATGAGATCGGACAGAGGCCTTGCGTGATCTTCACAAGATCCTGGTGAGGCCACACGAGACATGAGGTCTTCAGGCCATTTCATGGAGCTCTCACCCCGAAACCACCTCTACCACTTCTCCAGTGATGGAGGAGCATGTGCCCATTAGATTCTACAGCCTGAGGCAGTTTCCTCAGTCTGCCTCATGGATGGGTCGCCCCTGCTTCTCCCGCTCCACTTTGTGATGGAGCATTCAGGCCACACTTAAATGACCACACCTGCCAAGTTTTCTTTTCCCTGCCATAGGGATCTCAGGATAAGCAAGCCAAAGCTGGCTTTCTAAGCCTGTCTCCCATGTCAACTGTCAGGCTAAGTGAATGGAAAAGTCTTTCTTGCCTGCCATTTCTTTCTGTCTGAGGTTCCCTGTTTAAATAAGTAGTGAGGAGAGAACATAGGCTGAAGCTTGGTGCTTCACACCACCGCTGCCATAGCCAGCAGAGGACGTTGGACTCAAACCTTGGTTAGTTGGTTTGACTAAGTGAGCCTGTTGGGTTGACAGAGCACTGCTAGCTTTTCTCCAGCCCTCCCTACCATGACTGGTCACAGATGCTTCCTGTTGCTCTCCCACTTTTCCTTTCCAGTTTGCTCCTTGTCTAGGCTATGAACCACTTCTCTGTGTGCTGCATACATACCCTTTTTAGGTGGTGGTTTTCGTCTGCGCTTTAGTCTTGTTCTGGATGCCACACTGGATCTAGAAGAGACATTTGATCTAGAAGCCACATTGGATCTGGAAGCCACATTGGATCTGGAAGCCACATTGGATCTGGAAGCCACACTGGTTTTTGAAGCTGCATTGTGGTGTTGGATCACATAATATGTAATTTATTAGAACATCAGCTCGTAAAAAAGGGAATAGAAAAGGCGCTGTGTACTAGGAGCTAAACCCCAGTAGGGTAAGCCCCTCCAAGACTTGAGATGTCTTCACCAAACTCTGCATGAGGTTTCCTGGGGTGAGGTTGGGTGTCTGTCAGGGATTGGCTGGTTGAGGAAGAGTGGGGGCAGCCAGTAGTCCAGGAGGCACCTGAGTGGGGAGGGGACTTTGACGCAGGTTCAGGCTGGTGGGACAGGGAGGAATCAGCAACAGAAAGTGAGGGTGAAGGGGAGATGCTTGAGGTAGCCACAGAAAGAAGGGTCGAGAAAAGGCTAGAACAATTAAGAGAAGCTGAGTCACAGCAAAAAAACGCATGGAGGGAGGTATAAATAAGGGAGAGAGAGGATGTAACTGTAGCTTCTGCAACTGCCTTGCTTAGCTGATTTATGTGCAGTGCGCTGTCTCCTTGGTTACTCAGCAAGAAAGTTAATTACGGCCAAGCTGTTCCGGTTTCTGCTTACAGCGTTGGACCCCAGATGGAAGGGCTTTTCTGGCAGCCTGACAGGGTCTCACCACAAGTGCCATTTTGAATCAAATGTGGCTTTGGCATGACTTCATCCAATTGATGGCACAATGGGTCCAAACTCATATATTACAGTATCCATTTAAAAAACCACAACATTCTGAGATCCCAGGCAGCATCAAGCACTACCTGCTAGTAAGGTATAAAAGGCTATTTAAATGCATCATTAATCAAGCTGAATAAACATACGACTATATGAATCTAGGACTAAATGTCAGTTCATATGTGCTGACGATGGAGTAACAAAGTAAAAGATAAATCATCAAATGATTGTTTCAATTAATGAACAGTATGGTTCATTTCTTTTATTACATTTAATAAAATGTCGGAAGGTGGAAAAAAGGCAGGTGCTCAACCTGAGAGTAGTGTTGCCCAGAGATAAATCTCTGCCCTGTCCCTCAATTTCACACTCTCATGGTAGAAGGAAGGAAAGGAAACAGGAATCAGAAGGACAGAAGGAAGGCTCAGAGGTGAGTAGAGTAACTTTGCCATCCTGTATTGCTCTGAAGAGGAAATAACAACGGGAAAAACCTACCTTCCGTGAATGTCAAGCCTCCCACCATTTTAACTGCTCATGCGGATTGCCACCTTATGTCATCCTGTGTTCGGAACCATATGACAGAGTAGACAGTTAGCACAACTTCTATCAAATAATTTAGTAGTCAAAGACAAATCAGAATAACAACATACAAAAACTTGCCTCTTTGTTGACAAGATCTTTTTCTTGGCTTCCATCTTATCTTCTCATGTTGAGTGTTGTCTCATCCTGGAGTTCTTCTGTGTGACCATTTAATGGAGTAAACTATTAAAATAATATCTTGAGACAAAGGTACCATTTACAGAGCAGTCACACCATGCTATTCATACAAGGGAGCTGGCATGAAAAACTTGCGTGCATCCAACCCTCACTTTGTTTTCAAACATGGAGTCGCCTATTCCCTGGAGAACTACAGGAATCTGCTCATCTCCCACTAGAATAGGGCAACTGGGGCCTTCCGAGTTCTAGCTCAGTGACAGAGCACATACTTCATTCAGAAGGCCCTGATACAATCTGCAGCATCTCCCATCATAAGGAGCTCCAGCAGTAGGTCTGGGAAAGACCTATTTTTGCCAGAGATCCTGGGCAGCTGTTGCCAGTTGGCTAGATAGCACATGGGGCAAGACAACCAATGGCCTTAGAAAAAGGCAGCTGATTATGAATGATTTGTTCCCCCCCACTTTGGATACCGTGGTGCCTCACTGAATCCTTTATCTTCTCTCTGCCTCAGCTTCTTCCTGCAGATGTTCCTTCCTTCAACGGATTCAACCACCTTCCACTTTGATGCAGAACATTCCAGAACTCTTCCCATTCTGCTCCTGCCTGATTGGGAATGGCAGCAGCCAATCAGCATTCCACAAATAGCAGAAGTCACTTACTCTACTTTCAAGGCACTCTCACACATGAAAGGGCTGCTCATGAATATCTTTGGAACACTATGAAATGCAAAATGTTCACTTGCCGCAACCTGCTGGGGAATCTCTTCATTGTGTTCCATCATGCTGCTCTTGGAAATCTGCAGTCTTTTGAATGCTACTGGACTACAATTCCCATCACCCATTTCCATTGTCCATGCTAATTTTGTTTGATGGGTGTTCATAGAATTGTAGAGTTGGAAGGGAAACCAAAGTCCATCTAGTTCAACCCTGTGCAATGAAGGAATCTCAACTAAAGCATCCATGAAGAAGAAGAAGAAGAAGAAGAAGAAGAAGAAGAAGAAGAAGAAGAAGAAGAAGAAGAAGAAGAAGAAGAAGAAGAGTTTGGGTTTGATATCCTGCCTTTCACTCCCCTTCAGGAGTCTCAAAGTGGCTAACATTCTCCTTTCCCTTCCTCCCCCACAACAAACACTCTGTGAGGTGAGTGGGGCTGAGAGACTTCAAAGAAGTGTGACTGGCCCAAGGTCACCCAGCAGCTGCATGTGGAGGAGCGGAGACGTGAACCTGGTTCCCCAGATTACAGACTACCGCTCTTAACCACTACACCACACTGGCTCTCACAGATGGCCATCCAACCTCTGCTTAAAAACCTCCAATGAAGGTGAGTCCACAACCTTCTGAGGCACCACTCCAAGTGGAGATTCCCCGTTCTGGATTTATTTAGATCAATCTGGAATCTGTGGTGACATGGGCTGCCTCTGATACTTTGAAACCACCTCAGAGCCTTGGGAGGGTTTATGACATCTTTTGATACATTTTTGTAAATTGCTCCATCCTCAGGTTTTGCCCCACATTAAAGCCTCCCATTACCTGCCATGATCTTTCCTTAGGGAACAGGATGTGGAGAGAATTGCTGGTTTGGTATTATCCAAAACAACAGACCTAGACCAGGAGGAGGATCATTGTTCTGACCAAACAATGGTGACTCTTCCTGGTAATGGTGCGAGCATTGTCCTCTCCTCTGAGGACAAACATGGTGGTGTAGAGGTGAATTCTTACCACACTGGTTTTTTGTTTTTTTTAAATCATATAAGGCTCCAACCATTGTGTGAAATAATCCATGGCAACCCAAATATAATGGTTGCCAGTCCCTGTTTCAGGCAAGATCCCTAGTACACCCACCATCACCCGCTCCACTGAAGCGCCCACCAGGAATTGCTGCATCAGGGTCCTTCTTTGCTGTGCACGCATCACATCTTCAGCATCTGCCTAAGCCACCAAGAGGTTGCATGCCACCCTGAATTGCTGAATCAGGTGGTAGCAAGATTCCAGAGGGTTTTAGGCAGTTACTCAGGGATGTGTTTCCATTGGGAGACAAGACTCAGGGAAGACTGTCATGTCTTTAAGAAATATGGTTTATTTTACACATATTTACACCAGGGTGTTGAAAGAAAACTGTATAAAAATGATTTATACAAAAACGAGCAAAAATGTAAAAATATATACCAGGTATTTGCTGGAAAGGCTAAGAGGAGGAAGGGTCATTTTATCACATATGGTGGTACTGTAAAAAGTTGAAGGACTTTTGGAAAATTATAACGAATTGAAAAGGAAGTTTAAATTAATAATCCCTAAAAAACAACAACAACCCCAAAGCCTTTTTAGTAGGAATAATGGGGACATAGGTCCCAAGAAAGCTGAGTAGTTTATTTATGTATGTGGCAACAGCAGCTAGAAGTTTATATGCACAGAAGTGGAAAGAGAAAAAATTATTAACTAAGGAAGAATGGCTTATGAAATGGATGGAATATGCTGAAATTGTGAAATTAACTGCCAAATTAAGAGGACATAATGACGAAGTGTTTAAGGAAGAATGGAGACCCTGGATGGGTTACCTTTCAAAATATCACCAATAGTTGAAGTTGCTATCAGGATTTAAAAATATAAACAGTGGATTAATGAAAGATTTAACGGTAGCAGGGTTTAGAAAATAAAAATACATGTGTTGTAAAGCAGCTAATGAAAAGGAGTAAAAAAACGAACATCAGGAAAGGACAGGAGGGAAGTCAGGAAGCAAATTTGCACGTTAAAAAATTGTATATGATGACCAATGCTTTAGAATATTGTTGGAGACTTAATAAAAATGATATAAAAAAGACGCAACAGAGACTGTCATGCATTTGAGAAATATGATTTATTTGACCATATTTACACCAGGGTGTAGATGGAGGGAGTGCAGAGGTTATAGCATTCACATCTCAAGAGTAGCTTGTTCCCCACAGCAGTGCAGCATCAGATTGCAAGACAGCTCCTTGCCGCTGTCAGAGCCTGCCTTCAGCCGGCCTGCCAAGATACTTCTGCCCTCCAGTCCCCATATGAAGTTCTGGCCCCTCCTTTCTTCTCCTCAAGAACCTTTGCTAAGCTGCCCCTCCCCTTCTCCAAATCTCTCAGTTTTAAAAGGGATACGTTTTTCCTATGTAGCATCATGCTCTCATCATGCTCTTGGCAACCCCTGTTGTGCACAGACCCAAGGGTGTTTCTTTGACATTTTGATGACTGCCACTGTTTCATAATGGCTTGCACTCAACTAGCCTGGCCAGAACTTCAGCCCAGGCTAGTTTGCATAGGCTAAACCCAGCAATTTCCGTGTTTGGCACAGTTCAGGAGACCTGCTGCAGCCTGTATTTCCCCCTCAATGTCCCCAATATTACCTGAATTCCACCATTTTATTAATTTCTAACATTCACTAACTCTAGACCTGTAACATTATACAAAATTAATTTATTGGAAGTACAGAAGCCAGTTAGGACTGAATTCTTCCATGCGGTCCAAGTCTTTGAGGTTGCAAAATAAGATCTCTTCTTCCAGTCCTGAGGAAGGAATACTGACAAGGTGCTTTTGATTGTTGACAGCAGAGGGTTGAGCTCTCCCATGCCCTGATTCCATAACCCAGACAGCTGACTTTTAAAAGCGGGGATGGATCCACTGTGGTCTGTTTTTAGCATAGAGCTCATGCAATCCAGTTTCATCAAGGGTTTAACGTGTACCACCTTTTATCAGGCATCTTCTTACATATCCATCTTTTTTGTCTATCACAGGGAATGTTTTCCCAGCATTTTTGGGGGGTAGAGCAATGTGCTTTTAGGATGGCGCAGCGTTTGTTATCTAAGTCATGCGGCATACCTGCCTTCCAGTAACTGAAAACAAAAGGCAGCACCAGAAATAAGTGAATCAAAAGGAATGAATCCACATTGGATATTTACTTTATTTAGGAATGTTAAGGAAATGTTCAGCTCAGTTCTCTCACACTCCTGTTTTCTGCCTCAGGGTTGCCACCTACTCATAACTGCAATGCATAGATTTATTTATTCATTTATAAAAAAAGATTCTGTCCATCAGCAGAAAATACATTATGGGGGGAGTTTCTTTTTGCCACTGTGAGCTGTCTCTCACAGTATAGATCCCACGGTACATTATCTGATGCCTTTTTCACACTACATAATTTTATTGTATTTTGTTTCTCACAGTTATATTGCAATTAGTGCAGAAGGTATCCCCCTACTAAAGAGCAGGTAATAAATTGTAGAATAAAACAAAGCACCCCCTATTTGATACATGAGAATTGGGTGGCGGATTGGGGGAGGGGCACTCATTTTGTTAAGCCTCATGGAAATTTAACTCTAGAGATGAGTAGGGTGTCTCATTAAAGAAAAGCCACAGAACCACAACAAAACCCAATCGATTTTTTTCTTTTTTGTTAAAAAAACCTCATGATAACAAACATTTTAATATATATTGGTTTTTTGGGGGGGGATAGTTGGAGCAGAAAAATTAAACAAGACCTGAAAAGGAGATGAGAAGGCAGGTTGGAAAAACTGTTGCTTAAAATACTACTCTAGCAACGAAGCTCAGCAGTGGAGAGTCCCCCTCCTGTACCCAGGGTGCTTAGGCATGTGATCTGGCCCTGTAAGCCCAGTGCTGCTTTTGCGAGCGGTGCTGGGCTTGCAGGAAGGGTGCTGTGAACTGTTACATCCTTCTCACGGTGCCCTCCAATTGGAGGGTGGCTGAGAAGGATGCAACAGGCCTGAGCCCTGGTCCCTGTGAGCCCAGCGCTACGGACTTACTCGCAGGGTCCAGGGTGCATGTCTGTTGCCTCCTTCTCAGTTGCCAACAGAAGGACGCAACAGGCCACAATGCTCTCCTTGCACAATGCCCTTCAGAAAAACATCACTGAGCTTGCAGGGCCAGGGCACATCCTGTTGTGTCCTTCTCAACTGCCCTCCAGCTGGAGGGCACTGAGAAGGATGCAACTGCTCATGCTGAGGCAGGGTGCCATGATGTGCCCCCCCAAAAACTGTGTCTTGGGTGACAGTCCCCTCATCCTCCCCACACACTACACCACTGATGAACCTCATTTGGTGGAGCCAGAAAAAATGGATAGCAGAGCAACAACCAATGATAGACAGAGCCAACTAATCCTGCTTTTGTTCCCATTCTCCTTTCTTTTGAGCTCTATGATGGCAACGTTGAGTCCAAGTAGGCAGAGACTGACAGCCATTGCAACCCTCTGGACTGTTTGTAAATAAGGTGGTACTGACAGGTCCCCCATGGCTGGCTTGCTAAAGATGAGGCAACAAAACTATCAAGACTTTTTAAACACTCAAGATCACTGCATGTCAACTTTTGATTAAAATGGAAAGGAGATGGTTGCTTGCCTTCTACTAAACTATAGAGCTCAAAAAGAAATATAAAACCACAGCCTGTGTGAATTCTAGATGCAGGTAAAGAAAAACAAGTGTGCTCAGAGATGAATGCCTAACAAGGTTTCTACAATACAATAAGCAGAGAAATTTTGTTTACACTCACGTGGTTCCAACATTAATACCGTTATACCATTGCCATTTCCCATCCTTATAAGGGAGACCAATCCACGAGTCTTGATGTGCAGTATTGGTTTCTCTTTCTAGAAACTCCTGCAAAGAGCACAATCAGAAGGTCTTTCCTAGGAATGAGGAACCAGAATCCTCTTTCAAATCAATTCCAGATTACATATCTTTCTTAGGAGAAAAACAGTCTCTTCCAGTAGTGAAACAAATGTGAAATGTACATGGGCAGGAGAATGTTTCATCACAGAAACAAGCTTGGTTTCTTTTCCCACCTACATGTACTCATTTGAATGTCTGATGAAAGGAATAATGTGGGGGGGACTAAAAAAAAAATGGTATCAATTATATAATATAATTATATTATTATAATTATCAGAGGTGAATTAATTCAGGTTGGGCACCTATGCACTTATTGACATTCATCTTTCTCTTTCTCTTTCTCTTTCTCTTTCTCTTTCTCTTTCTCTTTCTCTTTCTCTTTCTCTTTCTTATACCAGGAGGTGTAAGGAAATTGACATTGTACTATGTCCAGTCTGCAACTCAAAACACATTCTAGCAAAGTGCCCAGCAATCTGATACTTTTAGCTTGGTTCATAAACTCTGCAGTAGGATTTTGATTATTTGGAGTATTGAAGGGAAGATTGCAGTGGAAAAACACATGCTAAACTTCCCTTCCAAGTCAAGTCCTCACCTGGGAAAGAGGTATTAATATGACAAAAGGTGTTGATGGCCCATCTAAGAGGAATCTTGAGCCTGGGCAGACAGAAGGTGGCCAAGGTAACTGGGTGTGAAGTGACGGAAAAAGAAAGTCTTTAGCAAGGTTTGCTGGGAAGAAGAAAGAGAAGAAAGATTGGAATCCATTTTGAGTAGGCTGCCTGCAGTCTGGATGGGAGATGCCTTTGACTCCAGGGCTGCACGGCTGTGGGATACAAACCCCTTTTGAAATGACTATGCTGTATCTGAACTCCATGCAGACTGAAGGTGTAAATAGGCAAATAAACCATATTTCTTAAAGCTACGGCAGTCTCTGCAGAGCCAGTGTGGTGTAGTGGTTAAGAGTGGTAGTCTCATAATCTGGGGAACCGGGTTTGCGTCTCCGCTCCTCCACATGCAGCTGCTGGGTGACCTTGGGCCAGTCACACTTCTCTGAAGTCTCTCAGCCTCACTCACCTCACAGAGTGTTTGTTGTGGGGGAGGAAGGGAAAGGAGAATGTTAGCCGCTTTGAGACTCCTGAAGGGGAGTGAAAGGCGGGATATCAAATCCAAACTCTTCTTCTGTCTCAGTTCTCTAAAGGAACACAGACCCTGGCTAAGTGCTAGGAACCTCCTGGGATCTTGCTGTTGAGGTTTATGAGAAACTGCAGCTTTGAAGTGGACAATTAGTGAGTTGGCAAGAAGCCAAGTTAAGCAAAAGTACGTGAGAAAGTGTGCTTGGAGACAGGGAAGCCTAGCAACAGGCAATGATTGGGTAAAAGTTTTCCCTTATAAGCAGCATGACACAGTAGTTTGGTGTTGGAGTTCAGAGGTTGGTGTGTAGAGTTTAAATTGCGTCTGTGCATATAGTAACTTGTACAAAGCTGTGCTATACTTTGTATATAATAAAAGCAAATACACATCAAGTTACTGTTCAGCACGTTATGTTCCTGAGTAGTCACCCTGGACTACATGGACTAAGCAGCCGGTAGAAGAGAGTTTTAGTTGAGATCCATCAACACTTGCCACTGCTCGGCAGAGAGTGGGGGTGGCACCCAACTTTTGTAACATTATTTTAAAAAATAAACACACACCCCCCAAATCACCAGTACTTTTTGATCATTGGAGCACAGTTTATATAATTTTGCCACGTGATTTTTTTCTGCTTGTGGAGGAAAGGAGCAGGAAGTTGTTGAGATGCTACAGAAGTTTCATAAGCACCCAAAGGGCATAAAATAATCAAATTGTGAAGGAATAGTTTTGGTGTTCATGTATTCCAGTGTTCTGCTCACCTCCTCTTCAAGACTTCCAATAGTAATCAGCATGGATTTTTCATCCTCACAAGCTGTTATTGCTTTGTGCCACGGCTTCGTTCTGTCTTCAAATAAATATAAGACTTCCTTGTACGGCACCCATTGCTGACGAAGCTTTTTACTAATATCCTCTTTGAAACAAGCCGGGAATTTGCAGTGAAAAGAGAAGGGAGGAAAATAGGGAAATAAGAGAAGCCAAACTAAAGGTATCTCTCTCTTTCTCTCTTTACACACACACACACACACACACACACACACACACACACACAGCATTACGTACTCCTATTACAAGGTAAAGGTAAAGGGACCCCTGACCATTAGGTCCAGTCGTGACCGACTCTGGGGTTGAGGCGCTCATCTCGCTTTATTGGCCGAGGGAGCCGACGTACAGCTTCCAGGTCATGTGGCCAGCATGACCAAGCTGCTTCTGGCGAACCAGAGCAGCGCATGGGAAACGCCGTTTACCTTCCCACCAGAGTGGTACCTATTCATCTACTTGCACTTTGACGTGCTTTCAAACTGCTAGGTTGGCAGGAGCAGGGACTGAGCAACGGAGCTCACCCCGTTGTGGTGATTCGAACCGCCGACCTTCTGATCGGCAAGTCCTAGGCTCTGTGGTTTAACCCACAGCGCCACCCGCGTCCCACTCCTATTATAATCCATCATAATTTATTGAAACGGCTGGATACCCAACCCTCTAAAACGTTTGTCCGTATAATGAAAACATTTAGGCTCGTTTCATGGAGAAGTGTCTGTGAAGGGATTCCAACAGACTAGTACTGCCCTCTTGATCCAGCAGTTGAGCCCCCGTGGTGCTGAGAAATGGAAGGTGGAAGCAGATAACCATGATTCTCCAGCATAACTGTCTCAAAGAAACTTACCAATTTCATCTTCTATTTCAGTCACATTGATGATCAAGTCAACCAGTTTGTCTGCTAACTTCTGAGTTTCACGAAATATTTCAGCATCTAAAAGGTTTGAATAATTCAAGCCAGTGGGATCTCAAACATCCATCAATGTATATTAAAAGCCACTTTCCAAAAATCCAGTGAACGGTCACATTCTAGCATGAAAAGAAGAAGAAGAAGAAGCAGAACCCAAATATAGGACCCAGAAAGAACAGTCCTGATTTTCAGAGTCTGGCATCATCAAGGGGAAAGGGCAGGCTTAACCCAAATCACATCCTCATCTGAATAAAATAAAAGCCTAAGCTTGTAGGTTTCATTTCTTATGGGACCTGCAGGTTCACTCCCTAGTTTTTCTTGAGTTTCACAGCAAAACCAATCACAAATGATTTCATAGCAAAACAGACAAGCATATAAAGAGTATGTGTTATGTTTGAATCTGATTTATCAGATCTAAACTACATCTTTTCAGCAAACGAAAGGTTCTCTGTTCTGGCTGAATACTGTGAATGAAGGGATAGCATTTCCAGAAAACAAGTAGCAGATGATAAAAGGGTGTTTAATTTTTCTTCCACCTGCTGCAGTGCAGCCACTTCCCTGCATTTTTTTCTCCCTGCCTGAGCTGAAAGACTGTTAATAAGTTCTTATGGGAGAACCAGCCTCATATAACCAACACGCTGAAGTATAATTAATGCATGAAGGGGTTAACACCATAGAATAAGCTTTCCTGCCAGGCTTAGCTAGGTCACTTTCCCTCACCTTGGGATGAAGCTAATCAAGGCCTTTGTTTACTTTCAGTCTACCCAAGAAGCTTAGCATGTGAAGAGTTTTTGAGCTGGTTGTTGCAGCCCAGACCGCAGGGCTCTTACAAGTCATTCTTGTGTTCTTATACCAATAATTTAGGAACTTCCACTACTGTAACTTAAGCCAAGTTTACTGCCTGTGTTTTCTGGCTGATGTATGGAAAAGCACATGAACCCAGAGGTGAAGCAACCTGCTCCGGTACTGGGAGAAGCGCTCGTCCTGGGGTGTGTGGCGTGTATCCCTAGCATCATGGCGCACGTCCCAGGGGGCATGGCACGCCACCCGCGGAGGCGTGGCGTGCATCCTTGGGGGTGACCGGTGCGTCATGGGGATTGCCACCAATCGGGGGTCAGCATTTTGTCACCCCCTTTTGGAATGGAACCCAGGGCGATCCGCCTCCCCCCCAACCTCGGAATGCCTCTGCATGAACCTGACCTTTGAGGAGTTTGTAAGTAAATCAATTTTTAACTTACCAAATGTTGGGTCTTTTTCTATGCTAGGAGAAGACATGAAGTTTGGAAGGGTATATTTTAAAAGCCTCAGAGCCTATCTTTCCATGCTTTACTCTGCTGCATATTTTGTGGTTTTAAATCTCCGCTGGGGCTCTCTCACCAAAGTGTCGTTGCCCCAAACCTGGATCTTTGTATCCAGGGAATTCTCCTTTTTAAACCCTTTTTTTCCTTGTCACAAACAGTTTTGCTGTGGGGTGATATCCCTGGGTTGGGCAGGGGGGAGGCGTGGTCTTGAATGCACAGACTGAAACCCATTGCTTACCATTCTTGCCTTTGAGAGAGGGTTCCCTTTTTGTCATAAAATCCTTAATGTTCTTAAATGCTTTTACTACAGCAGATGACTTTCCTGATCCCTGAATATCTAGAAATGAGTTAAGAATAAAATAAATTGTATTCTAACACACTTGTCTGGGCATGGCTGAACCCCCACTCTGGAATTTCTGAGACTGGTTTTGAATCAAGGCTCCCCAGGCCTTAGCTATGGAACCTGCTTTCCTTGGAGGGAAGTCATATTTTCTGGCATGAAATCTATGCTTTTGTATACTGCATGAACTGCTTTCCCCAACCCTACTACTAAATCCATTGTGTCCTACCTAGAATGTGGTTCTGCAAGCATCATGGGCACATTGGGTAATGACATAATAACTGATGAGGGATGTGATGTACCTGCATTTTTAGGAGACACTGCCAGCACAGGCAAAGCCACTTTATCCCCTCCATACATAGCGGTGTGTGTGTGTGTGTGTGTGTGTGTGTGTGTGTAAAATGGGATCTGACCAGTGGACTAGATTCTTATTTCCCACCCACCCACTGTGGGCCAACTTTGACAGGTGGATGGTATCACTCACCTGTCACTCACCTTACATCAATATGACATCAGGTGGCAACTTCAACAGGGCTTGTTCTTAGCACCAATCAACTGATTGGTGTTTAGAGCAAATACATTTGATTGTGTTTTGTTAACACCAATCAGCTGATAAGATATGGATTCCCATGGGGCATGCAAATAGACATTTTTCCTCTGTAGACTGGTAGAGGAAAGAGGTCTGATGGTGAGTTTATTAGTACTCACAACCCACCTTCTAAAGCATAGGTTGGCAAACTAAGGCCCGTGGCCCGGATTAGGCCCAATTGCCCTCTGGATCCGGCCCATGGACAGTCCTGGAATTGCTGCTTGGATCGACGTGATTGTTCACGCTGTGCCATTTTTTTGCAAAAAAAAATTGGGCACCATTTGCCCCCCCCACACTGCGGCGGGGCCTCCTCCATCCTCCCCCCTCCTCCTGGCTTCTCCGCGCCCTGCGGAGGAAGGGAGCTGAGCTTTGTCTGGTGCCAGCTAATCCGAAGGTTCACCACCCGTGCGCTGAGGCATGACCCAGACTCGCCACCCACCCCCTCATGCCTCTGTCCATGGCCACGCTATGGGCATCGTGATGGGCGCATCGCGGGGCTTCGGCTGGAGCATGCCGCACCTGCTGGCCCCGCGCTTAGCGCCCAGGAAAGCTGGCCTGGAATGGAGAGGCGACGCCATTGCCGCTGGCTCCCAACCTCAGGCAGAACAGTGGAGGAGGTAGGAAAGCAGGGGGAGAGAGGGGGAAAGAGCCAAGCTCCCCTCCACCGCTTGGGTGTGCATGCGTGCGCACACAGTCTGGCCCGCCACAAGGTCTGAGGGGTGGTGAATCAGCCCCCTCCTAAAAAGGTTTGCTGACCCCTGTTCTAAAGGCTGTGTCTTCAAAGAGGCTCAGCTGATTTGTTCTGTCAGTGAGCCTTGCTCACCAAGGAAAAATTCACAGCACACTTTAAGCTCCCAGCGTTGCTAGGTAGCCATGTCTTTACCTGCCCAATTGATTGACTGGATGAATATACTTGTAGGCTGCTTTCCCACAATGAGCTGTGCCCGCAGCAGGTGCCGGGTAGGTCAGCGTTGTTTCAGGGAAATGGCTTAACTGAGGCGCACTCTGTTTGAAAGTCTACATCACACTGAAGTGAAACCAGCCCAGAGGATTTAATGGGTTTTCTTTGCTACTTACACAAAATAGTTGTCCCGAGTGCGGCAAAAAATAGGATCAGGCACAGCGTTACTGCAGTAAATATACCAATGGAAGATGGAAACAAGTCTCGTATATTATGCAAAAAAGCAGCTAGCTTTCCTTGAAGGACAAAAAGAAAGAAAACTCTGCATTAACCACCATGAGCCAACATCCTACTATTATCCCAGTAAGGGGGGTTGGGATAGAGTTGTTTTTACAATACTTGCTTATACACAGAGAGATATTTGCATATATACAAGAAATGTGTTTTAAAGCATAACCCGCATTGAATAAATCTATAAATCATTAGCGGTGTTTTGAAAACATATAATAGGGCTGCCATAAGTCCAGAATTTCCTGAACATATTTGGGATTTGTCCGTCGAAAACCTGTTATTTTTTTGGTGAATTTCCTAAAACTTTGGCAAAAATAAAAATAAAAATAATTGCAGCCCTGACATATAAGATATTTATCCTAAAGAACCTATACTTGTCAAGACCCATTGTTTTCTGGTTTCACCCCTCACATGGTCCTTAGGATGAGCAAGCCATGGACAATTTTCTGATTTTTTTCTCCCCTGTCAACTGCCAGGGCCAGTGAATGATGGAATCTCTCTTACCTGCCATTGAGATTCCCTGTTTAAATGGTTAGATATGCTGTTGAAATGCTTCTGGGAGATGATATATAATGAGATGAAAAAAATGTTGAAATATACATTCATAAAGAAACCAGAAGCATTTTTACTGGGCATTGTGGGGAGTGATATAAATAGAAAGGAATGTAAGCTCTTTTTATATGCAATAACAGCAGCAAGAATATTACTGGCCCAAAAATGGAAGCAAGAAGAATTACCGACGATTGAAGAATGGAGAATGAAGTTAATGGACTATGCAGAACTAGATAAACTAAGAGGAAGGATTCGAAACCGGCAGGACCATAAATTCACGGAAGACTGGAGTAAATTTACGGACTACTTGAAAAGTATTTGTGAAGGTCAGACAACGTTTGTAGGTTTGCAAGAAGTTTTGTGAGGAGTATTATTGGAAGTATTGCAAAAATGGAGAAGGGGAAGGATGATTTGTTAAGAGATGTAAAGGCAATATAAAGTTAAGAAATGCATAAGAAGTGGTTAAAATAGTGGATCATCAGAGGTGCTGATGGAAGTCTAAAAAGATTGCATAAGTGATAAGTTTTGTGGTACATTTCATAATTTATATGTTAATATATATATATATATATATATATATATATATATATGGTTAGATATGCTGAATCTTGTGAAGCCTTTTCCACGTATGTTAGCACAGTGTGGATCAGGAGAGAACACAGGCAGAAACTTGAGACTTCTCACCATCACTGTCATAGCAAGAAGCTGACGATTGACTCAAACCCTCAACCTCTGCTGTTTGTTGAGCTAAGTGAACCTTTTTGGCTGGCAAAGCATTGCAGGCTTTTCTCCAGCCCTCCCCACCACGACTGGTCACAGATGCCTCCTGTTACTGTTCCTCCTCTATGCTATGAACAACTTCTCTGTTCTGCATACATACCCTTTGCAGGGGCCTGTTTTCTTCTTCTTTTTAGTCTTGTTCGGGATGCCACACTGGATCTGGATGACACATTAGATCTGGAAGCCGCATTCGATCTGGATGACACATTAGATCTGGAAGCCGCATTCGATCTGGAAGCCACACTGGTTCTTGAAGCTGCATTGTGGTGTTGGGTCACATAATATGTAATTTATTTGAACATCAGCTAAAACTTGCAACAATGGCACTGAAAAGCCATTGTGTGCTAGCAGCTAAATCCCAGTAGGGTAAATTATTGAAAAACTTGTAGCTCAGGAGCGATGATCCTGCAGAAATTCAATTTTCAACTCAGGTCTAGCAGGGGGGCCTTTCGGGACACAGTAAAATGCAGCCAGAAACCTAGAATAAATCCTATACTTGGAGAGAGGTTAAAAAAACCAAAACAACCTAGCCTAGCCCCACAGATTACAGACCTAATTAGTGGAAAAAGCAGCTCATGACGGAAAAAATGTAGGCTTCATTCTCTGCTCAGCCTCAATGCAGGCTTCAATTTCAGGTTCAAAAGTACTACATATAAGCTAGGAGTTACTAATGTCAGCATTCATTTCAGTTTAAAGCAAGCTCAACTCAAACTAGTTCAGGCAATGAAAATCCCCTCAGGTCCAAATTATAACCCCACCATGTTTACAGCAATAAATGAGACTGGTCATTTATTGTAGGAACACAAGGGGTGGAATTGTGGTTCCCATATTTAGAAAGGTGACAAAACTGACCCAGCAAATTATAGACCAATTTTCCCATTGTTACGTGCAAACTGTATTCACGGTACCTATTGTCAAGAAAGAAGCATTGAATTAAAGGAAGCAAATATATTGCCCCAGGAGTAAATAGAATTGCAAGAAGGAAATTCAGTAGTTGATCATTCTTTTTTAATTACTCAGTTGATTCCCCAGTATGGCAGAGTAAAGAAATGCTCCTTGTATTCTGCATTTGTTTATTCGAAGACTGCTTTTGGTCTGGTTAGTAGGGTAAATTTGTGGGATGAATTGTCTCAAGCAAGTATTGATGTCAGATTATGGTATCGTACATAAAAGGATTTGAGTAGAACATTCTGGAGAATAGGGCAGCATAGCATATACAGTTAAATTATTAAATTATAGCAGCATTAGAGAAGGATGACAATTGGAAACCAAATTTGTGGAAAGATGGAGTTTATTCGTTATGCATGGAAATAAACTACTGTATACAGTAATACCTTGGTTCTTGGACTTAATCCTTTCCGGAGGTCCGTTCGACCCCCGAAACCATTTGAAAATCAAGGCGCGGCTTCCGTTTGGCTGCAGGAGCTTCCTGCACTCAAGCACAAGTCATATCAGATGTTCGGTTTCTGAAAAATGTTCGCAAACCGGAACATCCAGGTTTGCGGCGCTCGGGAGTCGATTTGTTTGGCAACTAAGCCATTCGAGAACCAGGGTATTACTGTATTCTGGAAAGTGGTTTGTCTGTTTGTTCATTTTTTTAACGTCCTCTTGAGACATCAGCCATCCAGAGCGGCTGGCTGGGGCAACTCAGTCAGATGGGCAGGGTACAAATAATTAAACTAACATCATCACAACCACCAAACTCAGCATGAGGGTTGCCGAGGTGGTGGCACATTTTGTTGACGTTTGGATGCCAGGCACCATCTTGAAATATTGTTGACACACTTGGCACAAGAGTTCCTAAGGTGGGGGCAGTGGTCTTCATCACCATTTAGATACCAGGAACTATTTTGAATCAAGAGTGCAGATTGAAACATAACTTTGGCCTGACCTCCTCACCCAATTTTCCGCATGATGGAAATCTGTCTTTCTGAATTGCACTGAAGAGGAAATATCAGAAACAACTTACGTTCTGCGAATGTCAAGCCTCCCGCCATGTTAACTGCTGATTTGAATTGGCACCTTATGTCATCCTGTGTTCAGAACCATATAAAGTAGTAGACAGTTAGCACAATTTTCAGCAAATAATTTAGTAGTCAAAAACCAATCAAAATAGGCGGCAGAAACTTACCTTCTTTTGTTGACAGGACCATCTTATCTCATTTTGAGTGGTGTTTCATCCTGGAGTCCTTCTATATAATCATGAAATGAAGTGGACAATTAAAATAATATCTCAAGATCTACCTATTTCAGTTATTAATTTATAAGATTTCTTATCTGTCCTTTACCCACATGGTTCCGGGGCAGGTTACAACAACAGAATATATAAAATTATAAATTGCAGATAAAACTATTCAAATATAAAACAAATAAAACCATTCAGACCAAAACAGAACAAAAGAGGTGGGTCTCACAAGACACATCAATTGTCAAAGGGCAGGTAATGAATTGCACCAGGAGAGGCTGGTGCAGCAACTGTCAATTCGATGGTCAACTGCAGATGTGAGTCAGATGGACCCAAAGAGGCTGAGCAAAATGGCTGCACTGGAGCAGAGATGCCTGAGCAGCCAAAGGATAAAAACACAATGGGCAGCTGCAAGCAGGGAGGGATCAAGGGTGAAGAAGAAGTAAGAACTAAAGAGCTAGGCTATTGGCAAGTCTTGCCACAGTGGATTAGGATACAGTTATGGGAGGAAAGGAAAAGGCAGAAATTCTGGGGCTGGCTGCTCAAATGAAGAGTCAGGGAAGGAAAGCGTTTGCAGAAGGACGAGAAAGGATGTTTCACACCAGATGATGCAGGGATTGATGGGGAAGCAAAATGGTTTAAATACACAGAAGGGCTCCAGACTCAGCCAAGTGGAGAGCTCACCAGGAATCAATTTGCAGTTGGGGTGGGTGGGTCAAAGCTATAGAATGAAGATGTTAGGTGTGTGGAGAGGGAATTGAGCAGAAGGGGTGGTGTCCGTGGCACCACCAGAAATCCACGTGTGTCTTCAGGGCTTAAGAAGCTTGGTGACCTCTAACCTCAAAGGAAGCCAGAGAGCGGATAATAAAGGGAGGTTCACAGAGAGTGCTGGAATAAGTTGCTTCCTCTCACTGTAGACCTTATCAAGCATAAATCAATCTACCTCTGCCTTTCTGAAGAAAGATAAGGAGTGGTGGCAGCCAAAAGAGGACACTGAGAGGCCTCGCCACCTCCTCCACTTCTCCCTCTGTCTGCAGGTTGAACAATGGCGGCTGTGCTTCCCAATGCCTGAGGGCAATTCTTCTGTCTCCTTGCCCTGTAAAGCCAGGAACCTGGGCTTAAAAGCATCAGGCCAGATATAATTAAGCAGACTCTTTCCTTGCTTCTCCTGTGTGACTTATTTGGCTTGTGCTACTTACTGTAAGGGACGTGAGTGGCGCTGTGGGTTAAACCACAGAGCCTAGGACCTGCCGATCAAAAGTTCGCCAGTTCAAATCCCCGCAACGGGGTGAGCTCCCATTGCTCGGTCCCAGCTCCTGCCAACCTAGCAGTTCAAAAGCACATCAAAGTGCAAGTAGATAAATAGGTACCGCTCTGGCAGGAAGGTAAACAGCGTTTCCGTGTGCTGCTCTGGTTCGCCAGGAGCGGCTTAGTCATGCTGGCCACATGACCCGGAAGCTGTACGCCGGCTCCCTCGGCCAGTAAAGCGAGATGAGCGCCGCAACCCCAGAGTCGGCCACAACTGGACCTAATGGTCAGGGGCCCCTTTACCTTTACCTCTACTTACTGTAAATAAGGGCTTGTATCCAGCCAACTTCTACTCAGAGCAGATCCAGTGGAACTAATGATCACAACAAACTTAAGCCCATTAACTTTAGTGGGACTACTCTCAGCAAATGTTAGTGGACTACAAGTTTTTTATACTGGGCATATCTTTCAAAGTGGCATTGACAGAAAGCGGAGAAGCTCTTGAATCTCATCTGATAATTTCAATTCAAGAACAGTCATAAAGGATCCGGGCAAACATTAAGCGCCAATACATTTGAGTAATGTTCCCCACCCAGCAGTGCCCTGTCTGGTGGTGCCTTAGTCAGTTTTTCTTCTCTCTGCCTCTGTTTGTTCCTGCAGTTGTTCCTTCCTTCAGTAGCTCAACCACCTACCCCTTTGATGCAGAACATTCCAGAACTCTTCCCATTCAGGTTCTACTGTTGCCTGATTGGCTGACTGCCATGCCAAATCAGCATTCAACATAGTGCATAAGCCCAGGAAAACATTTCACAGAATTTTTTAATGGATTCATTCATTATGTAGCTATAGATATATCGGATTTAGAGAGCAGTAGCTGTGTGAGGCAGACACAACAGTAAGGAGGACTGAATAGCACCTGCAGTCCCAGATATCTTGCTTCCTGCACCAGGCAGAGCAGGGGCAATTGCCAAGCAATGGCATTTACAGTTAGTGAGAGGAGACTGTCAAGGAACTGTCAGGTGAGCACAGGTCATCCACAGGGCAGGAAAGAACACGAGGCAAGAAATGCAATCAGCTTTTATTCACAGAAAATAACATCATAGCAGAGTTCTTCTGGCTCGACTTAATTCAGCTGGAGATGTTGCTGAAACTGACCACTGACCCTGCTGTGATGGCTTGGGACTCGGACTCAGACTTGGAACCAGAGGAGACCCAGTCTGCACCGGATCCTTTGCCTCAGGCATCATCTGAACCAAGTCTAGGGCCTGATTCTGAAGAGTCCCAGTCTGCACAGGTTCCCCTGCAACAAGCACCAGCTGGCCCGAGTCAGGGGCCTGAGCCTGCCCTGGCTCCAGATGCGGGGATGACCTCGTTGCCTCCAGCTGGGCCATCACTTACAGCTGCTCCACTACTGGTTGGGTCAGGGGAGGCTGAGGTGGCCCCTGGGTCTAGAAACCCACCGACGTCTCCCGAGCTGCAGAGACTAAGGTCTGAGGGAAGGAGAGACCTGAGTTCTCGCAGGAGGAGTGCTCGCCTTCGGGCGAAACAGGGAGGCGAGTCCTTGGGGGATCAAGACCAGCCTCTACCCCGACAAAGATAAAAAGCTGTCGGACCCTGCCCCAGATTGCGGGAGCAACATTACTGCATGCTAGATCCTGCCTGAGATCCTGTACCTGTCCTTGCCTGGTTTCCTGCCTTGTGTCCTGCCTTGGCCCTGTCGGACTGACTCCCAGCAGAACCTTTGGATTCTGGACTGGTCCTGGATCGCATTTCACGAGTTACCCCGAGGCACAGCACACCCGCCTTTTCACTCTAGCCTCTCACTCTGGATCCCCCCCAAGCAGACAAAGACTGTGTTGAGGGGGTGGGCTCCTCCTCTGGGCCTATCTGGCCCATTGCTCAGCAGTGTGCGGACTCTCCTTGAGTGGGGTGTCTGAAAGGGAGGAGAACCAGTAGGACTGGGACTATCCTGCTGTTGGGTAGCAAAGGCAACCTCTGATTCCTTTCTATCTGAATCAGTGCTCACACTGCAACTCTCAGCCTCTAGCCCTGTCCTGGAAAGGCCTCCTTTTCCTGACACCCCTGTACCCCCCAAAAATCACTCAGCCCCCCTGCTTCTAGCACCTCCCAGCTCCTTCCTTCCCCAGACTGCTCCTCAGTGTTCCACCACCATGATCTGGGGTCAAAGTCTTCTTCTTCCTTGGGCACTCACTGCCCACCAGTCTTCTTCATTCATGCAGTCCCTGAGAGGCTGCCTTGAGGAAAGGATAATCTCCAGCATTATTCTACTTCCAGCAGTGGTGGGTAAGAAATGTTATCATTTGCCCGACAATAAATGTTGGAAATGTAATGAGACTGAAGGTACATTCTTTCACCTTTGGTGGACATGCCCAAAGATTAAGACATTCTGGGAGATGATCTATAACAAAATGAAAAAGGTATTTAAATATACCATATTTTTTGCACCATAACACTCACTTTTTTCCTCCTAGAAAGTAAGGGGAAATGTCTGTGCGTGTTATGGAGGGAATGCCTACGGGTGGCATGCCTACGGATTTTCCTCCTCTAAAAACTACGTGCGTGTTATGGTCGGGTGCGTGTTATAGAGCGAAAAATACGGTACCTTTCTGAAGAAACCAGAGGCCTTTCTCCTGGGCATGGTTGGCCAATTGGTGTCAAAGAAGGATAGAATTTTCTTTATGTATGCAACAACAGCAGCAAGAATACTCATCGTGAAGTATTGGAAGACACAAGATTTACCCACCCGGGAAGAATGGCAGATGAAGTTGATGGACTATATGGAATGGGCGGAAATGACTGGCAGACTGGCAGACCAGGGAGAAGAGTCGGTGGAAGAAGACTGGAAAAAGTTTAAAGACTATTTACAGAAATACTGTAAAATCAATGAATGTTAGGAAAATGTTGGAATGAAGTTATATGGCTTTAGTAGAAATGTTATAAGGAATTAAGTATAAATAGATTAATAGAGTATTAAAGGGAAAAATAAGGTTAGAATGTGTTAAGATAATTAAAGGATAGAAAGCAGAGGAAGATGGAAAGGAATTGCTGAAACAATTAACAGAAGTGGAATACAAAAAGGGAGGTGTGAGGAGGTCATTGAAATAAGTGAATGAAAGATAAGATATTGAAACTGTTTGATGTGTTTTAAACTGTTTTTGTTTTGTTTTGTTAGTTTAATGTGTTAGTGTTATGTATTGTTTTTGTATTGTATTGTATTGTTTATTTTTTGTAGTGTTTAAATTGTTGGAAAAGTAATAAATATTATTTAAAAAAAAAAGAAATGTCAACAGGCAAGTGGACCCCAAAGTGGTCCCCAGCATCAAGGGTCAAGCAACTGTTGAGAGGCAAGCACTGGATGCTCCTTATCTTCACTGTTGAAACCTGCATGCTTGTTCACCTGCCTCTCACTCTGGCTCAGACAACAGAGCTGTTGAGAAGGAAGAGCAATATTTGCACTGCCAGCTCGCCCTTTGGATCTCTGCATGGCAAGCAAGCAGGTGGTAGCAATGAGGAAGAATAAGAGCAGTGGTTGGTGCTAATGGGAGTCGGGAGGTAGACTCAATGTGGGAGGGGGGCAGAGAGTCCATGGAAAGTGCCTGGCTCAGGACTCCTCCAAAACATGGCATTGATAGCGGTTACCCCTTTGGGGCTTAAAAGCATAGGAAGAGCCCTGCTGGATGAGACCAAAGGCCTATCTGGTCCAGCATCCTGTGCCCAAAATGGCTAACCAGATGCTTAGTACAGCCCAGAAGCAGACTCGGAATGTGACACCGCTCTCTCCACTTGTGATTCCCAGCAATGACTGTTCAGAGGTATACTGCCTTCAGAATACCAAAGACATGGCTACTATTCTGCCTGGCTGCTCTGTCATAAGGGAAAATAGAAATCAAATGCAAGACATTTTCTGAACTCTTCCTGGCAGCATGGAAGGGAGGCAAAAAATGCCTGTAATGATCACCCAACCCAGAAAACGACCAATGTAAACAGCCAATTGTCTTATGTCAGAGGTGGGAAAACCTTTTGGCCCCAAAGAACAGATCCTTATCAGGCTCAGCCTTGTGGGCCAAGTTTGTGGGCAGGACCACCCACCTGTCAATCACATGCCATTATGAGACAACCATTCTCTTTGGTAAGACAATGGCACTGGCCATGTTAATGGGTTGGCCATGTTGTCATGGGAACAACTAGCTAATGGTGCTCCTCAAAGGAGGTGGTAGTTTCCCCATCTCATTACTTGTCTGGAGACCACATCCTCTTGTAGGGAGGAGAACGGGAGAAAAATTAGCTTTTGTTTAGTCAGGGAGAAAGCTGGAAAAAGAGACAGAGAAGCTTTACTTTGGTCTATGCTGAGACTAAAGCTATGGCTTTGGAGATCCCCTTGGAAACCTAATGGGGAAGCAAGATGTCTTGGGGTGCTGATGCTAAATATTCCTCGGTTTAGACCATCTGATCTGGAAACTCTAGTATAAATTTGGACCATATCTTGGTCCAGGGTTATCAAATTTCAATTTTCCAGTGCTGAAGTCTGTACTGAAAACAAAAGGGCATAATTTTATTACTGGCTTTCATCATAAACTACCAGGATATTTCATATCAGTATGTGGTAAATGGATACAGAGCTCCATAATTTAAATACTTTCAGTTAAGGCACATTATAAATCATATATCTATATCTATATCTATATCTATATCTATATCTATATCTATATCTATATCTATATCTATATAATGTGCATCTCTGCAAAAAGTCTCAATCGGAATGATTAATCCCTTCACCAAAGAATCTCATAAGCAATGTTTATATGTGTAACATTCAATTAGAACACAATAATATCTTATTTTTAAAGGGTGTGGGACAACCAGTATTCGCTACCTTGTTTTGTTTTGATTTATAAATGACCTTAGAATCCTTCCCAAGGTTCTGGAGCCATAGAGCCAGTCAACTTCACCTCAGATACCAAAGTAGTTTGAGTACCTCCAAGATAGGGATCTTTGACCCGTGCCTTGTCTAAGGATGATGCAAAGCCATGGTAGATTTACCAAATTAGTTTATTGCAACTTGAAGCAGGCTATGACTGAACTCTTCCACACTTTATTTTATTGGAGGTCCAAGTTTTTGTAGTTGCAAAATAAAGTGTCTTTTTTCCAGCATGGAGGAACCAGGTTTGATAAAGTGCTTTTGACTGTTGATGTCAAAGACCTGAGCTCATAAATGTCCTAATTCCACAACCTGGATAGTTGACTCTTTAAAGGAGGGATCGATGCATTGTCTTTGTTTTAGTGGAGAGATTGTGGAGTCCAGTTTCAAGGGCTTCATGTGTACCATCTTTTATCAGGCTTCTTCTTACATATGCTCCGTTTTCGGACCCTGCAGTTGGTGTCTTCCCAACAGCCTCTTGAATCCCGGCAGAAACCTATTATATAGACACAGGGATTTGGCACGGTCAGGCTTGGCATACCAGTCCTCCAGAATCTAAAAACAAATGGCAGCACTAATCAGTAGTCAATTCAGACTGGATGTCTGCTCTCTCCTAGCCTAAAATCACCTTCCGTACCTGCAGACTGTAAAGGAGCCAACGCAGCAACAATTTCTTAAATGGGATCAACGGGGAACTTTGAAAAATGGAATTTTTACATACTGCAAATCCCTATCTGATGAAACGAACAGAGGACTTTCCTGGTGCCGATGACAATTCCTCCTGGCCGTGACAGACAGGGTCTTGAGTTCTTCAGCTCGTCTCTGGTAGGCAAGGAGAATCATGCTGCCATCCCTCTCAACTGGCAAAGCAAAGGCCTCGACCCCAAAAAATCACAACTTGAAAAATGGAATCTGTCCATTCAGAGGTGTAACTTCAAAGAAAGAGCGCTGAGAGACACAGATGAAAGAGGAAACAGCCCTGAAAACATTTGAGGAGGAAAGGCAAACAAGGCAAGACAAGACACTAAAATTCTAAACAACGTTTGAAAGCTATAAGGCACTGACAGAAGCCCTAAGCCATGAAAACCTGCTGGGGGGGCACAGAGGAAGGAGAGGTAGGCAGATGTCCTCATCCTTATCATCAAATAGAAATTAATGATAAGTAAAATTTCCATTTTTGCCTCTTAAGGATGGAAGACACTCCTGGTAGGCAAACACCAGGGTAGTGTTCCTCAGTCCAAGGAGGCCTTCCTTGGCATCCACCTATTGTGGCAAGGCTCTCTGGAGGGCCTTATCCTCAAATACTGCATCAGCAGATGAAAGTGAGCCTATTTTATAAAAGGTAATGATAAAGGACCCCTGACAGTTAAGTCCAGTCGCAGACGACTCTGGCATTGTGGCGCTCATCTCGCTTTACAGACTGAGGGAGCCGGTGCTTGTCCGCAGACAGTTTTTCTGGGTCATGTGGCCAGCATGACTAAGCCACTTCTGGCGAAACCAGAGCAGTGCACAGAAATGCCATTTACCTTCCCGCCGGAGTGGTACCTATTTATCTACTTGCACTGGTGTCTTTCGAACTACTAGGTTGGCAGGAGCTGGGACCGAGCAACGGGAGCTCAACCTGTCGCGGGGATTCGAACAACTGACCTTCTGATCAGCAAGCCTAAGAGGCTCAGCAGTTTAGACCACAGCGCCACCTGCGTCCCTGAGCCAATTTAAAGTGCTTTACAAAGCTTCACAGGGAAGCCCATGTTGTCACCCCACAAAGATCCACAATGGGAAAATTACCATTACAGGTAGCTGAGGTGGCTACCTTGATGAAAAATGCAGACTTGGAGGTCTGAAGACTAGGCCTCCTACTCTGAAACTCTTTGTGCTAAAGTGATTGCCACCAGCAACACAGCCCTAAACATCAAAATGTTCAAAGGGCAGGTAAACTGGGGCTCAAAGCGGAGACATGTCAAAGGGGAGACCAGTCATAAAAACGCTCAAACTAGCGGCTGCATGCTAAGAGACATGAGGTATACCAAAGTCCAATTTCAGAAAAAGCCACTAACAAACCTCCCATGCCCAGCCAGGTGAAAGCAAAGCCAAAACATTCCTGTCTCTGTGGTGGAGATGGGATGGAGGAGGGAGAAGATGAAGACCCCAGGGAGCAGAGAGAACAGTAAAGGGAAATCAAAGTGGGAGACAGCGCTGAAATTAAGGCAGGGGAAGAAAACCTGCGCCATGAAAGATAACAGCAATAGAACAGAAATAGGCAGTGAACAAAGCAAAATTCAGAAGAAGGAAGGTGAAAAAACTTCACAAATTCAAGGAAGATGAATTTTTCAAAAAAGGCCCTAACTGTTGTAGACCACAGGCAGGGTTGTTCTGGAGAATGATGACTCTTCCTCCAGTAGAGCAGCTGAAGAGTTCAAGACACAGTCTGTCACGGCCAGCAGGGGGAAATCATTCCTACTGTTCTCCATCCCTATCAAACAAATTACAGGTGAGTTAGTTTAACACCTATTCTAGGAAAATGGGGGGAGCAGGATAGATATAGATAGACAGATAGATAGATGATAAATGATAGATAGATAGATAGATAGATGATAGATAGATGATAGATAGATAGATAGATAGATAGATAGATAGATAGATAGATGATAAAGGCTTCTTAACATGTCTATACTGTACATTGCAGTTACAACTGAGGAAAAAGGATCAGTAGAATCTCCCCCCTATTCCCTCCTCCTCAAGTGAGATGAAAACAGTCCCATCAGCAAAATGCATTGCACTATAGTTGTTTGTGTGAATGTGGTAGGGACCTAATTGTCTTATCAGTTGAAAAAGTCATAAATGGACACTAGAAGACCATGAAATCATGAGTAACATGAGTTTTGAGTGACATTCATTGCTTTTACAGTGGTACCTCGGGTTAAGAACTTAATTTGTTCTGGAGGTCCGTTCTTAACCTGAAACTGTTCTTAACCTGAGGTACCACTTTAGCTAATAGGGCCTCCTCCTCTTCTTCTTCTTTTTCTTTTTCTTCTTCTTCTTCTTCTTCTTCTTCTTCTTCTTCTTCTTTTAATATATAGCAAATGGTATGGTTTGCATGGGCCAAAAAGATTGCTGAAGAACACCACAAAATGGATGCAATGTCTTTGAACTGTCAGTGAACTGATCACGAACTGTTTTGTATAAGAGCTCATGGAATGTGGAAAACATCATAATGTTTTGGCAAAAACAGCATGTGCCAGGAACGGTACGCCCAAGGAGGCTTGGAGGTGGGCTATACAACTTTACACAATATTCAGATCAGATAAGAATTGTGAAATGATGCCAAGGACAAGGATGTGAGATGCCAAAAACATGCCAACAACAAGGAGTAAGGAGTTGTGTAAGCATCAGCAGTTGCCAAGCATCAGATAGACAACATTGTGTATAAATTGCAAAGCCCTCCAGCCTCAGTTGTGTGCCAGACATTGACAGCTGTCGTCCAGTCACTCGCGACTCTTACTGGGTCTGATCAATCCAGTGTAGAGTGGTGAGTATGGGAAATGTATGGATGTGTGTGTGATTGAGTGCATGTTCCCTGTCTTGTCATGTTTGTTAATCAATAAAGCAATGCTATAGAGAAAATCCAGCGTTGGTTGTCTGAGGTCTACTTGTGCCTTCCAAGAGTGTACTGGATCTCATATATGCTAAACACCTAAACAGGTTAAAAGGACCTTTATATATATCATTTTTTTTGACAATACAATAGAATGCAATACAATAAAATTAGGTCCAGTCGTGGACGACTCTAGGGTTGCGGTGCTCATCTCACTTTATTGGCCGAGGGAGCCAGCGTACAGCTTCTGGGTCATGTGGCCAGCATGACTAAGCCGCTTCTGGCGAACCAGAGCAGCGCACGGAAATGCCATTTACCTTCCTGCCAGAGTGGTACCTATTTATCTACTTGCACTTTGACGTGCTTTGGAACTACTAGGTGGGCAGGAGCAGGGACCGAGCAACGGGAGCTCACCCCATCGAGGGGATTCGAACCGCCGACCTTCTGATCAGTAATTCCTAGGCTCAGTGGTTTAACCCACAGCGCCACCCGCGTCCAAGCACTGAATAATACTACAGTAAAAAGCCAACCACATGTATTTCATAAAGTGAAGCCAAAGACATTGCTTGGCATCCCCCCAAAAACCCTGCGAAGCAGAGGTCAGGAGATGAAGGGGATCAAGGCGACACCACCCACACTGGGCTCATGTGGAAGACTGCAGAATGTGAGTGCAGAGAAGGAAAGGGTGCTACAATATAATTTTGTTCAGAGACTCACGTGCTTTTAGGTGCCTGGTCATCAATACATTTCCATCCCCCAGTATTATAGACTCCAACCCAATGGTCTTTGTATGTAGGAAAGACTTGTTTCTCTATGAATTCCTACAAAGAGATCAGAAAGTATTTCCTAGGAATGAGGGGTCAGAATCTTTTTGCAAATCCTTTCATACTGCATATTTTACCTAGGAACACAATAGCACCTTCCAGACATTCTGCAGGAGTGAAAATTGCATGGAAAGGGAGAAAGTTGCATCAGAGATAGGCTCTCCCTTCGTATATTCATGTAAATGTCTGAACAGGCTATGCATACAGCTTGTGCAACGATCTAAAAAAATAAAAATACGCAAGGCCAATTTGTTTCATTTATTAGTTAACAGAACCATCAGAAACAAATTTATTCAGAATAGGTATCTCTGCAATCACTGCCATTCATTTCTTTCTGCCTCCAATAACCTGTTTGGCCAACACAACCCTCTGACTCAGAATGGCGCTGCACCAAGTACCCAGATGGACACAGCTGGGGCAGCATAGGGCCACCGAGCTCATCCAGCCAGGTCTCAGGTATACATGCTAAGTTCTTGACCCCTCTGCTTTGCCTGTATTTCAGAATTTGGAGATGCGAGTCAACCAACCCAATGGCCTGGTGGTGGTGTTATGAATTCAAGGTCAGATTTGAAATTGTATTACGAGGCTTCGTGCCTTTGTTGGTTGAGGGATTGGATGTTATTAGAAAATACAGATCTCTTAGATCTGAAAGGATTCGATTACAGATTCGGATGGCACTGTACCACTGTACTTCATACCATTTCCAATCCACTATGAAATCCACTAGCATTAGCAACATACAGTGGTACCTCGGGTTAAGTACTTAATTCGTTCCGGAGGTCCGTTCTTAACCTGAAACTGTTCTTAACCTGAAGCACCACTTTAGCTAATGGGGCCTCCCACTGCCGCCGTGCCACCGGAGCACGATTTCTGTTCTCATCCTGAAGCAAAGTTCTTAACCCAAGGTACTATTTCTGGGTTAGCGGAGTCTGTAACTTGAAGCGTATGTAACCCGAGGTACCACTGTAATAGAAAATGCCATCACCCTCAAGGCTTTGCCCATCACCTTGCTGCAGATGATGTAGTTTGGATCAGAGAGTCAGTCTTCAGACACCCATGGGCTTCACCTCATCTCTTATCTGGGGTAGTGTAGACTCCTATGCAAGGAGACCTTATGTCCCCTGTTGTGAGCTCTCACCTCACACAGCAGCTCATAATCTCCTCCCACACTCTTCAACCAATCGACATACATTTATCCCGGCTTGAGACTGTACCATCTCAGAAGATGGTGCCCTTGGTTTTAATGCATTTCAGTGTTCTACTCACCTCCTCAGCTTGAGTTTCAATACAAATCAACATGGCTTTTTCATCTTCACAAAAGTCTCTTGCACCTTCCCACGTCCTTTCATTGTTTTCAAGGAAATAGAGGGCCCCTTTATGGTGGATCCACTTTAACTGCATTTTTGCATGAATCTCATCTTTAAATCAAGGCAGGAATAGGGAAGGAAAATAGGGTTGGGGGAGGTTATACTTCATTATACTCCAGCATAATTTATAGAAATTACAGGATATCTGACTTTCTGAAATGTTCGTTCTGATAACGAATACAGTTATTTAAATGAAGTGTCATTTATTTATTTCCATTTCCATCTTTGCCTTCATCAATAGATTTGCAACCATTTTCTCATTTATTTAACAAGATTAATATATTGCTCAATCAAAAAATGTCTCTAAGTGTTTTACATACAAATAGTACCTGGTATTCATTAAAATAGCACATAAAACAGAGTTTATAAATAGCAGGCCTATTCAGATGTCTGAGTGGGGGTACAACATGTCAGTATATGGAAACATCACCGCTGCAGACAGCCAGATTGTTGACATCACATGATGCGCCTATCTGTGGGAAAGAAGAGTTTCCCAGGACGTTCACAGGCTGGATAAGTCTTTGTGAAGAGTGTAACTTGAAACCTTCTGTGTGCGCATGTTCAGGAAGTTTGTCAGACTTGCTAGAAGAACTGAACTGAAAGGACGTGTTTTTCTGTAGTGCTGGAATGTCAGAAATAAACATCATGTAAATAGATTTCTGACTTATTTTCTTTCCCCTGCGGAAGCAGGAGGGAGGGGTTGTGCATTTTACCCACGCTTGGGAAAATGTCGCCTATCAAAATCTCCCTGGTCTGTCTGGATATCAGCCAGAGGAGGTTACCGGTAAGCAAGCTCTGAGGACAGTGAGAGGGGCCAGCCTCTGTGGAGGGGGCTTGCAAAACGACAAGTGGTAGCAGAGCCCGATGGTTGCAACAAGACGGCTGAGCACCAGATGGGAGACTTTTTTTGCTGATAAGCAGCGATCCACGGACCTCTGCGATGCTGATTTATGGCTGGATGGTGAACGCGAATTGAAAAGTCTTCGGTTCACTGAGAAAAAAGCTCCTGTTTTGGATAAAACAGAGCGGAGAGAGGCCAAATACTTCGCATTCCAGAGCTGATAAGAAGTTCCGTTGCTAAGCGACAGGTCGTGAGTACTTTTTGAGCTAAATTTATGGGCTGGTTAGCTTAAAGAGCATAGAGAGAAAAGAAGCTTCAAAAGCGAAAGCAAGGCTGAGTTTTTTTTTTCAGTGACGCTTGTTGTAAACAAACTGTTGGAAAGGGGACTTTCCAAGCAGAGCGCAGCTTGCTGATAGCTGTTGGATTGCAGCGAAGGCTTGTTGTTTACAGATTCTCGGAAAGGGAAAATTCCAGGCAGCTGGGCTGACTGCCAAGTGCAAGCAGCTTGTAAACAGCCCAATAGACTTTTGGATTTTCCAGTTTGTAGCTGAAGCTGCAGCTTGGGATTAAAGATGGCTCTGTTCTCTCAGAAACTGAATAGCCAAAACTGGCTAGAATGGTCTTTTGCAATGGAATTCTTGCTGGTGGGAGAGCAATTGTGGGACTTAGTCCAGACCCCACAGCCTGTTGCTATACAAGCAAAGGGGGAGAAGGCTGCAATTCAAAGTAAATTGAAGCAGCGTGTCCTGAGAATTTTGGCGGAAAATGTGGACGCTTATCTTGAGCCAGTCCTAAAGGGTGCACAAGAACCAAGGGTCGCTTGGGAGTCACTCCGCAAAGCTTGTGAAGCTGGGGTGGGAAGCAAGGACCGAGAATTGGTTGCGCCAAAGGGGGAGAGCCAAGATGAAGCTAGCCAAATTCTTGAGAGCTCATCGAAAGCTGGGAGGAGCTTTGAGCCACAACAGGGAAGTGAAGGGACTGTTGCTGATGATGCTGTTGCTGATGATGATCCTGTTTTTGCTGCAATGGCTGTTGCTGATGGGGGGAGTGAAGCTCAGAAATCAAGCATCCCCACTACAATTGCTACAGAGGAGAAAGCTGTAGCTCTGAACGCTGTTCGTCAGGAGACACCACATCAGGAGAAAGGAGCTAGAGGGATCTCTGTAAAGCCTGAGGCCTCAAACAAAGGTCGTACCCAGTCCCAGGCAAAACCAGATATGGCTTTGATGTCCCTAAAAGCCACATCATCCATGGAGAACTCATTTATTGTAGACACAGGAGCGACGCAACACATGACGTCACGCCGAGAACTGTTTTCTACGTTTAAGAAGCAACGCTTCACTGTGAAACTGGCCAATGGTCAGGAAATGGAAGCAACCAGGATCGGAACTGTGTATCTAGAAAGCCTGAACTTGACTATAAACAATGTTTATTTTGTTCCAGATTTAAAGTACAATTTGCTGAGTGTTTCTCAAATAACTAAGAAGAAACTGGTGTTATCCTATGATGAGGAAAGCTGCAAAATCTACAAAGATGGAGAGCTGTATCTTTCTGCCAGAGAGAAAGACGGACTGTATCTGTTGACATTTGATGAAAATGATTATAAAATGTGCACAGCATGTGAATCTAAAATGCTTTCTCTTGCAGGTATCTCGAAAGAAGACTCGAGTGGAAAGGCAACAAAGATAAACAGTGTTTTTCAGCAAGTGTATGCTGATGTAATTGGTCCTTTAGCACCATTTAGAGGCAATGCAAAATACTATCTTGTATTTGTTGATCATTTTTCTCAATATGTATGAATTTACATGTTGCAGAGTCCCAGAGAAACCTTAGAAAGGTTTAAGGAGTTTTGTGATAAGGTTAAGAGTATTCATGATGCTAATATTGATTTTCTTTTCACAGATGAAAAGCCAATTTTTCTTTCACATGATTTTCAGGATTTCCTGGAGAAGCAAGGGATAGAGCACAAGGTTGCTGTTTCTGAAGCTGCATGGAACAAAACTGTCTGTGTAAAAGTGAACAAGGAGTTGCAAAATGGCATGAAGGCACAATTGCTGAGTTCACACTTGCCACATGAGTTTTGGGCTGAATCTTTATCATGTTTTTGTTACTCTTGGGTGAGAAAGGTTTCGAAAGGTATGGAAAGTTCTCCTTTTGAGAAGCTGTTCCACAGGAAACCTTCTGTCTCACATTTTAAGGTTTTTGGATCTCAAATCAGGACAGAAACTCCAGATGGGGTAAAGAATGCCAGAGGCACTTTTGTGGGTTATGAAAAGGGTCTCTACAGAGTAATTTTGTCTGAATCTGGTCAGGTGATTCTCACAAAATTTCTAGAAAGTGCTCCTGGACAGGAGAGAGTAATTTTTCACACATTTCCCACTGCTGATGATTCAGATGATGAATTTGATTATTCTGATTATAGTGATACTGAAAGTGACACAGAAAGCTCAGAGAGTTCTGTTGACACAGTTATTGAGAAAGGTTCACACACAATGGCTAGATCTTCACAGGTTAAGGATGAACCACTGTTTACTATTGGAACTGGTTCTCCAAAAAGTCCTGAGACTGAACCAGTCAGCAAAGAGGATCAGCACCTCATACGCAGGTCTGAGAGAATCACAAAGGGCATACCACCAAAGAGGTATTCTCAAGAGTTTGCTAGTTCAGCTGTTGCATGTATTACTATTGTTGACAACTCAAGCCAGGTTAAGGGTATGTCTAAGTCAGAGACAAAGACACAACAGGGAGTTGCTAAACGTAACACTACATTCCCTAACCAAGGTAATGCAGATGCACTCATTCCTGGAAAACAGACAACCAGAGAGTTACATTGGTGAAACCAGTGGCGGGTAGTTCCAAGGGTGGAACTGAAACAACAGGGGATTGTTATATGTATAACAACTGTTTGTTTTCTTCTCTGGATCAAGCTTTGTCCGCAGCTAACGATGATTCATATGGGGGAGGATGTCAGTATATGGAAACATCACCGCTGCAGACAGCCAGATTGTTGACATCACATGATGCGCCTATCTGTGGGAAAGAAGAGTTTCCCAGGACGTTCACAGGCTGGATAAGTCTTTGTGAAGAGTGTAACTTGAAACCTTCTGTGTGCGCATGTTCAGGAAGTTTGTCAGACTTGCTAGAAGAACTGAACTGAAAGGACGTGTTTTTCTGTAGTGCTGGAATGTCAGAAATAAACATCATGTAAATAGATTTCTGACTTATTTTCTTCCCCTGCGGAAGCAGGAGGAGGGGTTGTGCATTTTACCCACGCTTGGGAAAATGTCGCCTATCAAAATCTCCCTGGTCTGTCTGGATATCAGCCAGAGGAGGTTACTGGTAAGCAAGCTCCTAGGACAGTGAGAGGGGCCAGCCTCTGTGGAGGGGGCTTGCAAACCAACACAACGGACTCCCCCTCCATACACCTTTTCTAGGAGGGGGGTATTTGAGACTGATTGACAGTTTAGTTGAAACTGTACCTTCAAGAAATATGCAGATGAGGGAATCTCAGTAAGTGTAGTCTCAAGGTGGGTTCTTTCCATACTATGAAATTTAAGCATCGCTGTTTCAGAATAACTTACCAATTCCAGCTTGTACTTCACGTGCTTTGGCATCCCATACAAGCAATTCTTCTGCCAACTTCTGAGCTGCTTTAAGTATTACAGAATCTAAAGGATGCAAACAATTCAAGGCAGTTGTATCTCAACAGCTATACAGATATATTAGAAAGCCATTTCCCAGATTCTGGTGGCTTGTCATATTCTACCTGATGTAAGAAGAGCAGAATTCTAATACAGTACCCATATAGGAGCAATCCTGTCTCACATCACCAAGGACAGAAAGCAGCTCAAACTTCCACCCAAATGGAATCCCCGAGTGTATACTTTTGCTTTTTACTGAGCCCATGCCAAAATACTTATGTCATAAGGTGGGAAAGATTTGGCTATCTAAACTACTGACCAAAGTTGTGGTATCTGCAAAAGTTCTAGTCCTATGAGCAACTGCTGGGGGAACAGCTGCCCCTCTTTCTTGGGAAGGGGGTTATGGGTGCCATTGTGGGCATCATGTTGCACATGGATACTGTGCCTAACCCAGTCCCACCACAACCCATCCACTATGCTCCTTGCTGAGACAAGACTGGAAATAAGTTCTGTTGCAGAAGAATAACCCTGGGTGTGGTGGGTTCTGAATTTACTAACTCTAATCCATTGCCTTCTTGGATACCCAAAGGTGTACTCTACATGGAGCTGGCTTCAGGCACCAGGCCTATTGGCATACCAAATCTGCGCTACAAAGATGTGACATGAAGCCCCACCATGTGGGAATCCCTTGCAGACGACTGCAGTGGCTGGGGATGGGTTGTGCATCCATAGCAATGGCCAGAGGAGGAATGAGTGCTGGGAGGAGTGCAGAGAGAACAAGCGCCATGGTGCCTCTACAATAGTACAACCGGACACCTTCATCTGCCCCAGCTACAGCAAAACACGTCTCTCCTGTATCGGTCTCTACAGCCACAGCACGTGCTGTAACCTTCAAACAATTTGACTTCACTCTTCCATTGTGTCCCAAGACAGACGGACACCAAACAACTCATTGCTTACCATTCTTGCGTTTGAGGGATGGTTGCTTTTTGATCATAAACTCCCTAATCTTCGCAACTGCTGTTCGTAGGGAGACTATTTTTTTCGATCGCTCATGATCTAGAAAAGAGGAAAAGAAATGGTGTTCCAGCACACTAGTACGTGTATGGCTGCACTCCTACCTTGGGATTATCAGGGCTGATACTGAATCAACATTCCCTGTGCCTTATCCCTGAGCCTCTTTTCAACACCAGAGAAAGCAGTCACTTCACAACCAGATCTTCAGACTAGAAGACCGGGCAGCATTGCAGCAAAAATTGCATTAAATTTACACGGTCTGGACAAGTAAAAAGGTCTTCACTACACAATTTGTATTAATCAAAACTGCCTCTCTTTTGCTTGGAGCCTAAAAAACAAGGCGAGCTCTCTCTGGTTCCAACAATGCTGAGCTCAATGGACCCACATTTTCACTCTGTACAGGTGAGTTTCCGAAGCCCAAAAGCTAGGTTGGCTTATGAAGTATCTAAAGCAGTGGTTTTCAACCAGTGTGCCGTGGCACTCTGGAGTGCCTTGAATGATGGTCAGGGCTGCCATGGGCAGCACTGGCCTCTGTCCCTCTTTCCTTCCCTCCCCTCTCTGCTCTGATGCCATCTTTTGTCTTCCAAAGTAACTACTCTATTCCAAACTTAAAAATGGAAAGCATAATGCTGGTGGACAGTGAAAGAGGTTTAAAGACTTTCTCAAAGACAAATCTAAAAAAAGATTATATAAACACTGACAATTGGGCAATACTGGCCTGTGAGAGCTTCAATTGGAGAACAGTCTTTACCAAAGGTGTCATGGACTTGGTAGATGCTTGAACTCAGGAAGAAAGGGAGAAACGGGCTAAGAGGAAGGCACATTTGCCAAACCCTCACCACGATCAACTCCTGCCCGGAAACCTATGTCCCCACTGTGGAAGGATGTGTGGATCCAGAATTAGCCTCCACAGTCACTTATGGACTCACTGTTAAGACTGTGTTCATGGAAGACAATCTTACTCGACTATGAGTGAGCGCCAAAGAAGAAGAAGAAGCAGCTTCCCAGGCCCCTGTGGGGCATTTAGAGGAGGCACCTCTCTTTGGGGCAAGGGGGGGGCAGCTCAGAGACCAAGGGCAGCAGCAGCGGCTGCCCAGAGGACTCCCAAGGAGAAAAGAAGACGAAGAGTTTGCACTTGATATAGAAGAAGAAGAGTTTGCACTTGATATCTTGCCTTTCACTCCCCTTAAGGAGTCTCAAAGCGGCTCACAATCTCCTTTCCCTTCCACCCCCACAACAAACATGCTGTGAGCTGAGTGGGGCTGAGAGACTTCAGAGAAGTGTGACTAGCCCAAGGTCGCCCAGTAGCTGCAGGTGGAGGAGCGGGGAAGCGAACCTGGTTCACCAGATTATGAGTCCACTGCTCTTAACCACTACACCATGCTGGCTGGGGCGAAGGGGAGGAGGGAATACTCCTTAAGGGAGGGTGTTTGAAAAGGGGTGAGGGGCTGCCAGCTGTCCAGGCAAGGGGTGACCTAACTGGGCTCCTGAGCCCTACAGAGGAGCTGCAGAAAGAGTGTAGTTGGTCAAGGGAGCTGTGGTTGAAAACCTCTGCTCTAAAGTGTCTAGGGACAAGATTTCAGCGGTGTTTATTTCAACAGGCAAGATTTAACCACACCCTTAGCTCACTCTTTGAAATTAAGAGGATGTAAAAGGTCTTAGAAGAGGCTAGATTGATAGTCTTATCAATCAATATTCACAACGAAATAAACCAAGTCAGGATAATACTAAAGGCTTTTCTCTGCAAAAGGAATTGAACTTACAAAAAGCAACAGCTCCAATGGTGGCGAAAAAAAGGATCAGGCACATCATTATTGTAATAAATGTACCAACAGGAGATTGAAAAGCAGCTAGCTTCCCTTGAAAGACAAAAAAAAGAAAGAAAATTTGGCTTTAACTACAGTGAGCCAACGTAAGACTTGTGCTTCAGTTAGTAATATAGCTTGGTCCTTTGTGTGTGTGTGTGTGTGTGTGTGTGTGTGTGTGTTGTAGTACTTGCTTATATATACTATCACTTGCATATATACAACTATATAATGCTTATAACTATATAATGGTTGGACAGTGTTCTTGAAGCTACCAGCATGAGTTTGACCAAACTGTGGGAGGCAGTGGAAGACAGGAGGGCCTGGCGTGCTCTGGTCCAGGGGGTCACGAAGTGTCAGACACGACTAAACGACTAAACAACAACAAAAACAAATGCTTTAAGAAACAAAACATTTGAATGAATCCATACATCATCAGGGGCGTTTTCAAAATGTATCTGTCTTAAATAATCTATATTTTCCCCAAAGCATGCCTGAATTCTCCACACCTGACATCATATGTGGTTGCTTCCCTGCAGCAGAAGTCTGGGAACAACCAGTTAATTTGTATTAGCAGTAGTATCAACTGAGTCAAGAAAATGCAAATAAACAGATGAAGTTAATTAAAGTTCTTGAAGCCAGGTAACAAAACTAATTTAAAATGAGAAACATTTGGGTCGACAGTAGTTCCTAAGTAGAAGAGTATATTTCTATAAAAGAATTTATCACCCCTACTATTTATTTATTTAATTTTATCTGTAGATCTCAGGATGGTTCATAACATAAAAATAAAAATAAAAGTCCAAAATACATAATTAAAACAAGAACAAGAGCAAATCAAAGCCGTAGCCTCCCCCCTCCCCCAAGCACATTTAAAAGTACAAAGAAAATTAATCAGACAAAGGTCTGGTTGAAGAGGAACATTTTCACCTGGCTCCTAAATATATATAATGAAGGTGCCAGACGAGACTCCCTGGGGAAAGCGTTCTACTACAGCGACCTTTGCCAACCTGATGTTCTCTATATGTTTCGGACTAACGCTTAAAAAAAATTTTTTTTTGTATACTGTCCTTTATCTCCGGATAGTTCACAACATAGAAAATGTAATATAAAAAAGACAAAATACATCATCAAAACAAGAACCTAACCAATAACCACAGCTCCCACAACACATTTCAGCGGCGCTGACCTGGGCCCGCCCACATTGTGATGTCATGACACACACTGTCAGGGCCTAGAGGTGCCTTTAATTTTAGTCCAATGTTCCAAATTTCGAAGGAGCTCTGCCGCTTGCCATTGTGTTCTATGGAGGCAGCCTCTGTGACGGGGAGTTGAAGACCCAGCTTCTTTGGTGGCAGGAGAGGGTACGCAGATGGCCACGGGTACCCTGTTTCCTGGAATCACCTCAGGGATTTTCAGGAGGTTTTACAGCCTCACATAACCCATCTTCCCTCTGTCTGAGTCTCTCCCAAGAATGGGAGAGCTGCCATCATGGCCCCAGACAGGAACAGAAAACCTCCCCTTTCTGTGCTTCTCATTACAGGATGAATAATAATAATATTTTTTTATTTATACCCCCCCCTCCCAATCTGAGTGAGTCTCCCCAGCCACTCTGGGTGGCTCCCAATTGAGTGTTAAAAACAATACAGCATTAAATATTAAAAACTTCCCTAAACAGGGCTGCCTTCAGATGTCTTCTGAATGTCAGGTACTTGTTTATCTCTTTGACATCTGGTGGGTGGGCTTTCCACAGGGCAGGTGCCACCACCGAGAAGGCCCTCTGTCTGGTTCCCTGTAACGTCACTTCTCACAATGAGGGAACCGCCAGAAGGCCCTCAGCGCTGGACCTCAGTGTCCGGGCTGAACGATGGGGGTGGAGATGAACCACTGCTAGGTGTGCAATGTACATACCTGCCATATATTGCTGTCGCTTTCTCATTCCTATTTTTGATCTGGAACTCACATTGGATCTAGACCCCACGTTGGATCGGGACCCTATGTTACTTTTTGATTCCATATTAGTTCTGGAACTAAACTGGGACTTGGAAGCTCTTTCTTTAGCTGCATCCTGTGGCACTGTAAAACAACAACTTCTCTTTAAAATCTGCATTAAAATAAATATAAAGCAATTACACAACACTAAGTAATGTACATACACAACAGACTACTTCCTAAATATTGCAAGGGGTCGGGGAGAGACTTCTGATAGTGAGTGATCTGATCAATATGACCAGAAATACAATGGGTTGGATACAAGTGTATAGACTGCATGGTGACCTCTTTTTGTTGCATGGATTTCCTGTTTCCTAAAGTGGTTTATTTTATTTTATTTTATTTTAACCCCACTTTTTCCTCCAATGAGCTCAAGGTGGCATACATGGTTCTCCCCCCTCCTTATTTGATCCCCAAAACAACCCTGTGAGGTAGGTTAGGCTGAGAAGCAGTGACTAGCCCCATGTCACCCAATGAGTTTAATGGTCAAGTGAGTATCTGAACCCTGATCTCCCAGGTCCTAGTTCCTTAGCCTTTTCTTGGTTCAGATCTTGAGGGTTCTTACCGCTGAACTCACAATGCTTCTGATCTAGAGATGTATAATAGTCTTATGCATTTTCCCTACTGGAAATCCTACTGGTTTGGTGGAAGAGCAACCAAATCCAAATTTCTGCTGGGGTCATGATGGCAGGGCAGAAAATGGGACCTGGCTGCTCTCCTCCTCCTCTCCTCCCATAGGCATTTTTTTAAAACAACAACAACAAACCTCCCATTGATATGGTTGGAAAGAGGAGGCATTGGAAGAAGGGGAATTTTTTTGGATCAAGAAGATCCAAAGTCTCAGTGATATATATATATATATATATATATATATATATATATATATATATAAACTTGTTCTATTCCACCATCCCCTGAGCTAACCCTTTTTATCCCTTTTACTGCAAAAGAAGGACAGCGGCTAAAGTTCCTGCAGATGCAACAAGGAGTTCATGGAAAGGAATGTCCACAAAATCCTATGGCTGTGGGATAACCTCACAAGGACCATAAAATTAGACACTTGGCTGGTCACTGTGAGAACAGAATGCTGAACTAGATAGGCCTTTGGTTTGATCCAGCAGGGTTCTAATGACCTTCAAAATACTCTGCCAGGTGGTTTGCATCCTGAAAGCAGAAAGGTGGGGCAGGAGTGGTTTCCCCAGCCACTCTGGGCAGTTTCCAACAGAACACTAAAATACAATAGTCTATTAAACATTAAAAGCTTCCCTAAACAGGGCTGCCTTCAGATGTCTTCTAAAAGTCTGGTAGTTGTTTTTCTCTTTGACATCTGGTGGGAGGGCATTCCACAGGATGGGTGCCACTATTGAGAAGGCCCTTTGCCTGGATCCCTGTAACTTGGCAGTAACTTCTCGCAGTGAGGGAACCGCCAGAAGGCCCTCGGCACTGCACCTCGTGTCTGGGCAGAATGATGGGGGTGGAGATGCTCCTTCAGGTATACTGGACCGAGGCCATTTAGGGCTTTAAAGATCAGCACCAAGACTTTGAATTGTGCTCGGAAACGTACAGTAACCAAGACATAACCTTCTGCCCCCCCCCCTTGATATCACACTCCCAAGACAAAAGGAAGGAAGGAGGATAGAAGGAAGGAGGAGTCAGAGGGGCAGAAGGGACATATTTGGGCCTCACTCCTAAGAGGAGAGTGTGGGTCCTGTTGTCCTGGGTTCCTCTGAAGAGAAAATACAAACAGAAACAGCTTGCCTTCTGCGAATGTCAGACCTCCTGCCATTTTAACTGCTCATTCGGATTGGCTCCTCACGTCATCCTATGTTCAGAACCATATAATGGAGTAGACCGTTAACACAGCTTTTAATTAAGAATGTAGTAGTTAATGAGCAGTTGGAAAAGGAGTGAGCATAAATAAAAGTGGAAAGTGCTTACATTGCTTCATTGATGGGGACTTTTCCTTGGCTGCCATTTTACCTCCTCATTTTAAGTGGTATTTCATCTTGGGTTCCTTCACGTGACAATGTAGTGGAGCGAACTCTTAAAATAGTAAGGAAAAAATAGAATTTAAAGATAATATCACCTTGCCAACAAAGGTCCGTATAGTTAAAGCTATGGTTTTCCCAGTAGTGATGTATGGAAGTGAGAGCTGGACCATAAAGAAGGCTGATTGCTGAAGAACTGATTCTTTTGAATTATGGTGCTGGAGGAGACTCTTGAGAGTCCCGTGGACTGCAAGAAGATCAAACCTCTCCATTCTGAAGGAAATCAGCCCTGAGTGCTCACTGGAAGGACAGATCCTAAAGCTGAGACTCCAAGACTTTGGCCACCTCGTGAGAAGAGAAGACTCCCTGGAAAAGACCCTGGTGTTGGGAAAGATGGAGGGCACAAGGAGAAGGGGACGACAGAGGACGAGATGGTTGGACAATGTTCTCGAAGCTACCAGCATGAGTTTGACCAAACTGCAGGAGGAAGTGGAAGACAGGAGTGCCTGGCGTGCTCTGGTCCATGGGGTCACAAAGAGTCGGACACGACTAAACGGCTAAACAACAACAACATCCTGCCCCCCACCCTCAGTATTCAAGCAAAATTTTTACTGCCACCAGGGTACCTCTATGAGATTACATCTCTCCCAGCAGAACAGGAGATCTGGAACTTTGTGAGTGACACCTAAATGACAGACCAGATGCTCTGCAGGATAAGACCCAATAGAGCTGGTAAAGGACTTCTTCTTGCTTGAGATCTAAGGAAGATGCTGAAATCGTACTAGCTGGCCAAGATACCCAACGAACTGATGCAGTGGGCATAAAGTAGTTTCATATGAATAACATTTATAACATTCACTGTGATACCGTGGGATACCGCTGGGATATTGTCGTGCCTCAGTCAGTTCTTCTTCTCTTTGCCTCTCTGTTTGTTCCCGCAGCTGTTCGTTCCTTCAGCGGCTCAACCACCTAGCCCTTTGATGCAGAACATTCCAGAACTCTTCTTGCTCAGGTTCTGTTTCTTCCTGATTGGGCACAACAAACAGCCAATCAAGATTCCACACAGAGCATATACCTAGGAAAGCTATCTTATGGAATTATTATTATTATTAAAATTCCTTATGAATTCAGGCAGCAGTAGCTGCGTGAGCCGGACACAACAGCAAGGAGGACTGAATAGCAGTTGCAGTCACAGGTTCCTCACTGGCTGCACCAGGGAGAGCAGAGGGGAAATGCCAAGCAATGGCATCTACAGTTGCAGAGAGGAGAGAGGCTGCCTCTGGGAAAGGACTATATCTAGGCTTATTCTAGTTCCAACTGTGGTGAGCAAGAACTGCCACAGGCAAGTGGATCCCAAAGTGATCACTCACTGGACCAGCATCAAGGACCAGCATTGCTGGGCAACTGCTGAGGGCTCCGTCACCCAGTGGAGGGGGGCACTGACAAAAGTCTTCTTGCTCGGGTGACAGAGGCGGCCTGGGGCTGCACAACATCACTGTGACGTTTGCATGTGATGTTGGCTTACTGACATGTCATGCAGACTCCCTGCAGCGTGGGTGCACGGCGTTGTAGAACTTTTTTTGGGGTGGCCCCTTCTTTGAAAATTTATGGGTGCCTGGGCCCCCATGGCCCCATATAGAGGACTCCTATGCCTCCTTATCTTCACTGTTGAAACTTGCATGCTTGTTCACCTGCTTCTCACTTTGTCTCAGACAACAGTGGTAGTGAGAAGGAATCGCAGCAACGAAAAGGGAAAGCCTACAAAAAGGAGTTGAGGGAAGCAAAAAAGTTGTGGAAATAATGTAATCCCCCATGAGTATCCAGAGAAGGAGGGCATATTCTAGCTAAAAGATTGAGAGTCTATATTGTCAACTGCCCTGTGTGTTGTGGTCTTGCTCCAAATGATCCAGAGGAAGCCTCAGTGAAGTGATAGCTGAGTAAAAATGCTTAAACACTGAAGGCAATATAAGCATCTAGTTTGAAATCCATACGTCTGGATTTTTTCAGGACATTACAGGGATGTCAATGGTGGAAGTGATGTCCAGGGGGGAAAGCAGCGGTTCCACATACAAATCATCACTCAAATGAGAGAAAAAACACACAGAAACAAAGTACAGTGGTACCTCTGGTTGCAAACGGGATCCGTTCTGGAGGCCCATTTGCAACCTGAAAAGAATGCAACCAGCCTCTGCGGGTCGTGATTCACCGCTTCTGCACACTCGTGTGACGTCATTTTGCATGTCTGCGCATGTGCAAGTGGTGAAACCCGGGAATAACCCTTTCCGGTACTTCCGGGTTGCCGCGGGACGCAACCTAAAAACGCTCAACCTGAAGCAAACGTAACATGAGGTATGACTGTAGAGAGAAAGCCAAGAAAGAAAGAATGAAACCAGGCTCCTTCTGTCCTGTTATTAAAAGACACTATGACCTTGGGAAAAAGATTATAGGATCAGTTCATTCTTCTTCTTTTTTAATATATTTTTTATTGGTTTTTACACATATTTTCCAAACATAACATCCCATCTTATACAACATAACAAACCTTTGGCTATCACAGCACAGCCTGAGAATGCCTTCAACCTCGACTAATGGTTTTCTAACTTTCTTTTGGCTTCCATCCCCAACAACATCCTGAAAGTTTACAGGAAGTCCCAGGAGTCATACTCCTTCGCATTCTTTGTTCTTGAATGTGTAGGGACCTACGAGCCCTTGGAGAAGGAGGATCTCCCAAACTTTCCAGGGAGGTCTCTGCAGTCTGCTCTCTCTCTCTCCCTTCCTCCAATATCTCATAACTAGGCATTTCTTCCTTCAGCTATAATTCAGCTCTGTTTTCTTCTCCTCTTGAAACTGTTGGAGACAAGGGGGAAAACCTTCCCACTCTCCCTCCTCTTCTGAGAGGAGCCAAACAGACTGAGTGGACACTTCCGAGTCTTCCTGTTCAGTTCATTCCCTGACAATGAAGAATTAAAACATCAGTTCTCCTTGGCTGGGTATACAGGACAGATTGAAGCAACCACAACCACTTCCAGCCTTCAGTCATGCAAGATGTGGCAGGAGAGGTCCCCGGCTAGATTCCTGGGGTGCTAGTTCTCAACACAGACCAAGCTATTCACACCTTTTAAAGGTCTGATTCAGGACAGCAGAGTCTAATTGGTTACTTAACTCAGTTGATGGCCACTGTACATTTGAGCCAACTTCAAGAGGTAAAGGCCCCCATAAAATATTTTAGGGGGCCGCCTCCCCAAAGTTCATGGGCATTGCCATTCAAATGATGTGTGTGCACTGTCTTGTGATCAGTTATGCAGGGGGGAGCTTAACTGCTCCACCCCCAATATTTTATTCAAGTTGGCACCCCTGCAGCCATGAATGCCATGAAAGCACCAGCACATGCTGCCAGTGCTGTGCCAGCACTGGTGTGGACCCCAGTCTTGCCCCCTGCCAAGTTCTGAAGAAATCGAGAGCAGTTCACTGTGTTTGTTTCCCAATGTTAGCTCTACATGAGAGTAAGGGCGCCAGAGTTTCCAGTGATGAAGCCAAAGTTGTATTTCTGATTAGTCTGTTACAAGGGGACACCAGGCGCTGGGTGGCCCCCATGCTCATTGCCTGGCATGCCTGGTTGTCCTTATGTGCCTTGTAAGGTAGTGGTGATGGAGATCAGAAGGGGCAATGGGGCATCAAACACATAGAGTAAGGAAACAAATATTGGTATGCATTGCAAATAAATACATGAAACAGAAAACAGGCTATGACTGGACCCTTCCATTCTTTATTTTCGTAGCCATCTACGTTTGGGCTTGCAGAATAAGGTCTTTTCAAGGTGTTTTTGAGGGCTGATGCCAAAGAGTACCATAATCTAGATGGCAGAGTGTGGATTGTGCATTAAAACAGCAGGGTGGGGTGATCTCTTGGTTTTGGTTTTGTGTAGTGATCATGAGATCCAGTTTTGTTCATCTTGAAAGTGTCTTCTTAGAGCCAAGCATCATTCGGCACCTTCTTGCAAATATACTGTGTCATTTGCTCACAGTTTAATGCTGCCCAGCAACTTCCGCGGCAATTAAAGGCCATTGCACCACAGTTGTGCTTCGCAGCTCTATTTGGCTCACCCCATTTCCAGAAGCTGAAAAGAAAAGAAATAGCAGCCTTGATCAATCAAGATTGGATGTCTACTTCTTCACCCGCTCCCCTTGCCTTCTATCATTAAAAAGATGTTCAGCTCTTTCTCTCTTAACATCCACGCACAAGTGTGATGGATTTTTCTCCCCATATTTTAGAATTCTAACCATGTAAGGAAAACAACAACAACAACTATTGGTGTTTCGCAACTTTCTAACTTGTTGCAGGACCTTAGCAGAGTATACGCAGAGTTCATGAAAGCAATCGGTTGCAGGCAGGATGGACGAAGCAGGAATCAGTTACTTGTTACTTATAGGTGTTTATTATGTACAGTGGACTTCAAGTTACTATTTACAGGAACAGAGCACAACATGGATCTTTAGCTCTCTCACCACACGACTCTTACACTAACACTCAACTCTCAACGCTCTACTAACACATTCCAGTCAATAGGCCATAAATCATTATTCCCATGAGTGAGCTTGACCAATGAGGGAGCTGTCTCCAGGCCTCTATATCTCCAGGCAGATTTTACTCCTTTACATTGCCTTGGCTGTTGGTCAACTCCTAATTGACTCTGTGTGAAGCTGCACGTATTCAAAATCCCAACAACAACTGTGGGTCAAGACTGTCTCTTTCCTTTTCACATGAAGTGATTTCTCATAAAGGTAAAGGTACCCCTGCCCGTAGGGGCCAGTCTTGCCAGACTCTAGGGTTGTGCGCTCATCTCACTCTATAGGCCGGGAGCCAGCGCTGTCCGCAGACACTTCCGGGTCACGTGGCCAGCGTGACAAGCTGCATCTGGCGAGCTAGCGCAGCACACAGAATGCCGTTTACCTTCCCGCTGGTAAGCGGTCCCTATTTATCTACTTGCACCCGGGGGTGCTTTCAAACTGAGATGAGCGCACAACCCTAGAGTCTGGCAAGACTGGCCCGTACGGGCAGGGGTACCTTTACCTTTACCTTTACCTTTACTTTTACTAAAGGGCCCACCCCATGCATGAGGAGAGCAGTGACACTATACAGGAACAAACATAGCTATGTCCTCAAATGAATTGCAAAATATAATCTATAACCACAAAGCCATTATAGGGTTGGTTGGTTGGTTGATTGAAATGATATGATATCTCTATCTTATCTGAATCTAACATGCTGGTTCTAAGTTTACTTTAATCAATTATCCATAGTTGACAAAGGTATCACCCTAGCCTCACTTTTATTGTCACTTGCATTCTCCAGTGTCCATTGTATACTGAATCAAGTCCCACTACACAGCACTAAAATTCTGTGATAAATGTATTCTATAACTCCCTCATTTTTAGCTCTCTGTGAATCTATTAAATTGATATTACTAGTAACAGTGTAGTAGGTGTTTTGTTTTTTTTACTCCCATGAGATGTTTGGGTGAGGCCTGCCCTTTAATCAAGTCTAAGATCACAAACAGCAGTGGTTCCCAATTGGTGGTCCACAGACCACCCACCCAGGGGCTCCATGGTGTCATTCACATAACAAAAACTGCCACAGAGATATTAAAATGTTCAAAGGTAGGGTGGCCCATGGCGTGGCTTTTGAAAAAAAATAGGTCTGCAGTACTTAGCTAACTGGGAACCACTGGCATACAGGATTTAAGTTCCCAGCTAGTATTATACAACCCCACTGTCCGTTTGTAAAGTTTACTCAATACCTTTGACAAAAAGGATTAGTGGTTGGTACTGGGTGCATCAATGAAGATGAATGTCATTGGATTTTGTTCCAGGAGACCTTGCAAAATTGAAAGCAGCCCTCTGTTAATGCAGCCTTGGTAATAAATGCCAGTCCAGTTCTCTGTTCTACTACCAAGCTGTGGATGAGTGAGATCTTACTCTGACCTTGTACATCCATCAACACAAGCTGAAAAGAGTTGTTAGATACTTAAAGGGAACCATGAAGTGTCTTAAACTGCCAGCTGGCAGTGTTGCTCAGCTTTAGGTTCCTGCAAGTCCTTTTGAAGCTGAACTAAGGAGCACAAACCTTCAGCCTCTTCCGAATCACCACATTCATTAGGTTAGAGAAGCAGGAAGAGTAGCCTTCCTGCCTCTCCAACGTAGTGAAAAGCACCAGTCATTCACCGGGACAATGATGTGGAGGAGTACATATGTAGGTCTTTGGTAGTAGAGAAAATTGCATGGCAAAATGTATTTGGGGAGGGAAAGGATCAATTACGTAAACAGAATCTGCAACTTTTTGGAATGCATGCCATTAGCAAATATTTCTTCAAAAACTTACTGGGTTCTAGGTATTGTGCCTGACAGCCATTTCCATCTTGCTTGGTTGTCTTTAAAGAGTCCAATCCAAAAAACGTTTCTTCGGATTTTTACTTGATTCACCACAAATTGCTGGGGTAGGGGTGGGGAGAAAGTAAAACAAGAAAATTTTCAGTAGGAATGAGGAGCAAGGCAGTTCTCTCAAAGCCTTTCTAGACAATGTCCCTTTCTCTGAGCTACTATAGCCCTTTACAAACATCCAACAGGCATGAAACAAACACATTTCAAAAGACACAGGTGTCACCTTTGAAAGCCAAATCCATATTTTTGGAAGAAGCCGTGATCAAAACTATGGTATTCCAAGTATGGTTGCATCAAGCACCAAGAATAATTTTGTACTGAGGATGTGCTATTGTCCCCCTGATCCAAGTTATGATGCTGCTGCTGATGGAATCAAGGAAGCATCCCAAAGAGAAAATATTGTAGTGAAGGGTAACTTCACCTGCCCTCACCAAGACTGACTACATGTGTGTTCCAGTCATGACACAGAGTTAAAATTTCCAGATACTGTAAATGACTGTGCCATAAAACAGTTCATCTTGGAACCATCTAGCGGGACAGTGACCCCGTGTGGCAAATACTCCAATATCTGTATCCATGTTTGTTTGTTGGTTCCAGAGCTATTGGAATCAGTCTGGTTGTGGTATGCTTGATGGGATGACAATGGGGTCTCACCTATGTCTGTGCCCTGCAGCATCCCAGTAGCCCCTCTGCCAGGGTTAAGGGGCTGGGAGAGGGATATACCTTGCAAGCTCCTCTAGAGTCATCTTCATGATCCCCTCATGCCAGAGGGTTAGGGTGGTGAGGGAAGCCTTTTTTTCTGAGCACTCAGTACATCTCAAAGAGCAGAGGAAGAATCTACAAGATTTCCCTCAAGTATTTACTCCTCCTCCTTCAAGACCTCCTTCCTGACTGCCAGCTTCATTCTATTAGAGCTCAGCAGCACCAAGAAACCTTAGTTAGCCCCAGATGGTAGCAGCTGTTCCCTGCCCCACCCACCCCTTGGCTTGACTGATGGAGTTGCTGTATTGCCTGCATACAGGTGGATTGTACCTTCTTAAATGGATAGTGATGATAGGAGCCCTTTGACTCAAGAAGATCCCCTACCTTTTCAATACTCGGCTTTGATGCTCACCTGTTCTACTGATGTTTCCAGAGAAATTAGCTTGGCACCTTCCTTCTCACACTCTTTTTGGGAATTCATCCATGATTGTGGCCGATGAGAAAACCAATAGTATGCCGTTGCATATAAAACCCAACCATCATCCACATTTTTAGAGATGATGTCTTTGAGTCAGCCAGGTATGGAGGAAGAAGAGAAAAAGAAAACAAGATAAGGAATTTAAGGGGAACCACCTTGTATGCCTGTGCAGATTTCAATTACTTTTGTGAAGTTCATTTCTCTGGCCACATGATAACATATATTAATTTAGGAAGCTCAGAAATCTTAAAAAAAAGAACAACATTAACTCATCAACTCATGCTGATGCTGCAGTAAATAGCTGAGTGGGCATAGCTGGAACAGGGAGCGCAGTCAAGAACCTCACCTACTTGTTTCCACCTGGATACTTCGGGCAGCATTAGGGCAGACTTGAAGGATGGAGAGGGGGAGTAGCTGTGGTTTATCAAATTCTGTTTCTCTCTCTAGGCTAACTGTCCAGTTGCAGAGGTGGGGAGGGCAATCTAGAGTGGGCAACTGGGACAGATGAGGGATTCTGCTGGTTTACCACCTGGTTTGCTGCCCAGCAGTCTCCCTGCCTGAGCTGACAGGATGGTTCCAGTGGGCCTCCAAATGCCTCTGGCGGATTTTCCAGCTCATCTGAAAGTGGGTGGTGCTCCTGCCAAGTTTTGGCCAAGCTGTGGAACAACTGAATAAAGATGATGATGATGATGACGACGACAATGATACTTTATAATACGCTGCCCATCTAACTGGGTTTTCCTCAGCTACTCTGGGTGAATTCCAACAAAATAAAACACAACTGGAGTCCAACCATTAAAAACTTCCCTGAACAGATGTCTTCTGAAAGTCAGATAGTTGTTTTTTCCCTTGACTTCTTGGCTTGGGCCATTGACACGATTGGTCCTGAGCGCCCTCTCCCGCTTCATTCAGACTGTTTGGCCCCCTGGTATACTGCAGAGGTTAGGGCAAAGAAAGAAGCTGGGAAATGGCTTGAACGTGTGTGGAGGAAAAATCAGGTTGAATGCAATTGAACACTGGTGAGGGCTCATCCTCGAGCCTACCAAGTGGCAGTGAAGGCTACAAAGAAGTGTTGCTTAGCTTCCTCCATTGTGCCATGCAGCAGAGCTTTCTTGGGTAGAGTAGGGCCTGCTACAGTCTGGCCTGAAGGAGATGGTAGAACTGAAAGCAGCTTTCTGTGATTTGTTTGCAAAGTATTTTGAGGATAAAATTGACCCTTCATGACCCTTCTGTTACAGCAGATAAATCTTAAAGGGTGTCCAGAGCAGAGGCAGTGGTAAAATCACTCCTTAAGAAACCCAGCCTGATGGGCAGAATATAAATAAATTGTTGTTGTTGTTGTTGTTGTTGTTGTTGTTGTTGTTGTTGTTGTTGTTATTATTATTATTATTCCCTGGGCTCAGAAAAATCTAAGTAACAGTCTATCAGTTGCTAATCTCACCTTCCTGGGCAAGGTTCTTGAGTGGGTGGTCGTGGACCAGATCCAGGTGCTCTTGGAGGAAACTGATTTTCTAGATCCATTTCAATCAGGGTTTAGGTCTGGTTTTGGCATAATGTCTTTAAAGGCAATCATATTTCCCAAGGTCAAAGAAAAAGAGGGGAAATGGCATTATATGTCAGCATTGCCCTTGAGCCAGTGCCACCAACTGGACTCATCCACTTCAGCCCCGAGTGGGCCAGGCGAGCTGGGTAGCACTTCCAGAGACCACCTTCTACATAGGAGCAGGTCAAAGTGCTGTGGACTCACAGCTTAGTGTTGTGAGCACCGGATTCACTCCAACAAGAAGACAGTCGTCGCACAGCAGAGTACAGCAGACTCTAGCAGAGTATATAAACAACTCGGAGAGCAGCTCTGTAGAATATCTTCTTTATTCTATTTACAACTATACACACTATATACAGAGCTAAATAGGTCCAAGCATAAATGAATGCTGCACTGCACTGAGTGTCTGCAGCTGCTCTTAGCAGCAACCTTATCTCTACACACGATCTCTAACACTCAGTGTCTCTCTCTCTCTCTCCGACACTGACTGACTGACTGACTTGGTGCTGGAGCAGAATAAGTAGAGAGCAGAACACGCCTCCTCCTCTCTGGAGAATCAGCAGACTCCTCAGGAGATTCTTGGATATGGGAGGAGTGAAATCTCCTCATTGTACAACATCCACAAAATGTGTGTTTTCGTGCTGACCATCCTTCGCTTGTTTTTATGCACAAGTGATGCAATTTGCATTCGTTCCCCATCTCTGCTTTCACATCTAAAGCATTATAAGCTATTTTATAATCACTTTACCTATTATGTATTCAATGCTCTGTGCTTGCCTGAATTTGAATATGGACTAAGGATTCTGAGACCCTGTGTTCTGACTCAATACATGCTATCCAGTCACGCCATTCCTTTCTTCCACACAAGGCTGCAATCATGGAGGACCTGCACTGGCTTTTGGACAAGAAATCTCCTTGGATCTGGGGCCATGCTCAAAAGGCTGCTTTCAATGCTGTCAAACAGCTGCTCTCCTCTGAAAGAGTCCTTACCAATTTTGATGAGCCCAAGTTTGTTGTGCTTGCCTGTCACACCTCCCCATATGGAACTGGCACAGTCCTCAGCCACCAGTAGCCAGATGGGTGAGAGGCCCCCAATGCATTCTACTCCAGAACTTTGTCATCTACGGAATGCAATTATGTCCAGATTGACAAGGAGGCCCTTGCTATCGTAGCAGAAGTACAGAAGTTCCATGGCTACATCTATGGCCACCACTTCATTATCATAACTGACCACATGCCTCTGGTGGGCCTTTTTGCTGCTGATTAGAAGACGCCCCAGATCCATCTTTCTCAGGGCATATGACTACGTGCTGCACAATGTTCCTGGCAAGAGCCTGGGCCACACAGATGCCCTAAGCTACCTGCCATTACCAGACATAGACATTGACCCGTCCCCAGCCCACAGTGTGATGCTGCTGGAGACTCTGCCCCAGCTGCCGCTCCATGCCATGGATGTCACCACACACTCATGTGTCCATCTCCTGTGTCCTCAACTGGATGTGGAGGGGGTGCCCAGCGGATTACCTTGATGCAGAATTCTCCCCATTTGTCTCCCAGCAACACGAGCTGTCAGTTCACAAGGGATGCCTTCTGTGGGGAAACTGGGTCATGATCCCTGCTAAGCTGTGGATCAGAGTGCTGGAGGCTCTCCATGTCAGTCACCCAGGCATTGTCCATATGGAAGCTCTGGCCAGTAGCTACATCTGGTGGCCAGGCAGTAATGCAGCAGTAGAAGAGTGGGTCCAGCATTGCCAGGCCTGACAAGAGTCCTGACCATCCATGCCTTAGGCCCCAATCCAAAGGTAGGAGATGACACTCACACCATGGTCAAGTCTCCACATCAAGTTTTGCTGGTCCATGCCAAGGTCAGACATTCTTGATCATTGTGGACTCCTTGTCAAAGTGGCTCGAGTGGTGCCCATCTCAGCAATGACCTCCAGGATCGTCATCTGGGCCCTGCTGTGGGTCTTTCTTCACCCTACACGGCCTGCCAGACACCATCATGTCAGATCATGGAGTACAGTTCATGTCAGCCAAGTTCCAGAAGTTCATGGCCAACAAGCTAATCCGCCATGTCACAGCAGCACCGTTCCACCCATCAACGAATAGAAAGGCTTAGAGAATGGTGAGGACCACCAAGGAATCCCTCACCCGGATTGCCCAGGGGGACTGGAACAAGAGCCTAGTTGATTTCCTGCTGCAGCAGCACATCAAACCTGCATTGCCACAGGTTGAAGCCCAGCAGAACTCCTTATAAACCAGAAGCTGGCATCACTCCTGGATTGGCTGCACCCAAATCTTGCATCTGATCGGCCTCCTGGCCAAGGAGCTCCAGCGACCCCCAGGTCCCTCACACCTGTTGACCCTGTCTACATCCCAAACTATGGAGATCACCCTGCGTTTATCTCCACTGCTGTTACCAGGGCGACAAGCTTGCCACACCAGATGTTCAGGTCCACTGCCGGCATGTGGGCTAAATATGTTGACGCCTGTCTGATGCCCCAGCGCCAGCCACTGCTACCATGCCAGAACACAAGGTGAACGATCAACCTGACTCACAAGCTGATGTACCTGATGAGAACCTGTGGCCCAGGGTAGAGCTGAGGAATGGGGCCCCAACGCTTCAACACCAAACAGTGTGGAGGCAATGACACCAGTGTCACCCATGACACCAGCTCCAGCTCCATCAGGATCCCCAACAACCCAAGGAGATGAGCTTCACCCATCTCAGTGGGTGAGGCACTGCCCACACCACTTTGATGAATATTTGTGGTGACAGGGATGAGTGTTCATGTCTAAGGGAGAAGGGTGTTATGTATTCACTGGTGTGTGTTTTCCTGAGCTTGAGTCCGGGCTAAGGATTCTGAGCAGCTGTGTTCTGATTTGATACATGATATCCAATCATAGAATATTTCAGAAATCATTCCCCTTCTCTGCTTTTTCATAAAAAGCTTTATAAACATCATTATAATCACTTTACCTATAAAGCAAGTGTTCCCAGTGAAGGAAAGCCCACCTTAGAGACCTGTGCAGATAAATTGAGGATCCTATCCTGACCTAGGTTTGGCTGTCTGGGTACTTGCCGTGGCACCAAAACAGGCCTGTGGGTAGAGTGAGAGTTGCTATGGTCTGCAGGTATTTTATCCCACATGCCAATGAGCCAATTCACTATGTGAGTAGGCTTGAGGGCTTCTTTCTGATGATGGGCTTGTGAAACAAGAGAGATTTTGTTGTTGCACCAATCACCCCACTGCCCAGCAGTCTCTCTGACCAAGTTGTCAGAGGTTGCCTCAGATGTGCTGTTCAAGAATCTCTCTTCCATGGATGAATATAGTAAAGGACAGGTCTTTTAGCTGACCTGAAAAGGAGGACAGCTCTCTGCTCTGGCTCTAAGAGTTTTCAGCTAGAGGAGGGGCTTTCAGCTGGGGCAGAATCAGGGCAGGATCCCACTGCACTACATCATAGGGTAGCTTACCAATTTCCTTTTGCAGTTGATCATTTTTGATGGCAAAATTCCGCACTTCGTCTGATAAGTTTTGAACTACAGCGAGTATTTGGAAGTCTAAAAGATTTGAAACAGTTTAAGGCAGGAGTATCTGAAATAACAATCTGCAAATATTAAGAAACCATTTCCAAACATTTTAAAACACTTTAGCCTGAAACAAGAAGCAGAGCTCCAGGATGGGGTTCTTATGAATATGAGGACAGACTTGATTCTCTGTGGCTGAGATCACCAATGAAAGGCCTCTGAAGAATCCTGCAGCTGGATCAGACCAAAGACCCATGCAATCCACTATCCTATTCTCATATTGAAAGTGGCTCATGAAGTATCTCTAATGTTCCCTTCCTTTGTCCTCCTTTTCTGCTGGGAATCACAGGGTCACAAAACAATTCCCCACTGAGTCACACAGTAAAGCGAAATATGCAAAGATTACTTTACAGTTTTCTATTATGCTTTCTGAAATCTAAGAAAATACAGGCACCCAAACTCTTTTCCTGATGAATATTGGGTTGCATTCCACATAGTTCTAAAGAGGGCGTTCTGTAAGCTCAGGAATTTCTCCTTGTGCAATGCAATCTCCAGCCCCTTTCCCTCCATTCTGTTCTGAAGTTTCTCCCCACCCTGGAGTGCAGTTTTGGTGATGGCATGCAGGGAGAAGTGGGGGCAAAGTTCCTTTGCACTAGTGCTAAAATCTAGCAGTAGCACAAACATTGTGAATTACAGTGTGGTGGGGAAGGACAGCATTTCTAGTGGGGAAATGTGAGAATCACAACCATCTGCTTTTCTTTATGCTGAGCAGTGAAAAAGTGATAAACTCTGTTGGGTGATGAGTTTCACTGAATGTTTTGCTCACACAATATGAATCCCAAAGGGAACTGCAGGAATTGAAGTCCGTTTAAATTAAACATGTTCTAGCAAAAGTGAGGATTTGTATATAAAATGCTTACCATCCTTGTCCTTATGGGTTGAATCAATCCCAACAACAATGCTTCGAATCATTCCCAATCCCACTTGAAAATCAGCTCTTTTTTTCATTTCCTTCTGATCTAAGGAGGAGGTAGGTAGAAAAGAAATGAAGAAATTCTGTTCTAGCTTACTAGTCTGGTGACCTGGGGGAGGGGGATACTTGGTTTCAAACTGCTTTTAACATTGAATTTTAAATGCTGACTTGTAACGTGCCCTGGGAGCTTAGGGAGAAGAGTGAATAAAAAAATCAAATCAACAAAAACATGAATATGACTTCTATTAATATTTTCTGCTCCCAGCCCTTATATTGATGTTTCCTGTCCCTTGATTGTGGCTGCCCTGGTGCTCAGAAGTCCTGTTTCCATTTGGCCTGTTGCTTCTGTCATCAGATGGTTGGCCTTCCTTTGAAAGCTTTAGATTTTTTGGTGTCTAGATACACCTGTCCTCTTTGTCCTAGAGACTTGCATTTGCCAAGCTGCCTCATGCCCTGCCGTATGCTTAAAATATGTAAAGTCCTGGATCATTTGGTTCCCTCCCCCTGAGCTTTGCTTACTTTGGAGTGCCATTTAAAAATGAACTAGGTTTACAAATAGTTTATGTGTTCATTTATCCAGTGCTATTTTTCTGGAGAAAGAGGTGCCAAACTCACCTTGAATATCTCCCTTGTGTGAGGAGAACCTGAGCTTACAGGGTTAAACATCTCAGAGTGTACGCCCTGCCTACTGTGGGGTGGGGGGAGATTCTGCGTCACATCTGAGAGTCTCAACCCTTTGTTCTGTCTCTACTTTCGCTTTTGAGGAGAGCGGACGTGTTTCACGATGCTGTTAGACAATGGATAGTTCTGCTGTAAATAAAGCTGCTTTTAGTTGCTAGAATCCTGTCTGGACTTTGTTTAAGCACACTGAAGAAAGCACTGAAGCTTACAGCTTTCTCTGACTGCTGCTGGACTCTGCTTTTGCTCAGAGCATTGGAGTGCGGACTTTGGAGAATGCTGAGGCCTGGCAGCAGAGCTGCGCAGAGGGAGCGCACCGGGCGCCAGGCTTATCTGAGCAATAAATCACACTCAGAGGTTATGTGTGGCAGTGATACGCAATTAGAGAAAGCCTGCTTTGAAGTGCTGTGTGCTTAAAAGGCTGAGAAAGCTGAAAAGCTGCTGTTTTGGCTGCCGGAAGAAAAGACCAGCTTTGAGGCTCTGTCTCAGCTGGCTGGCTGCAAGCTGTGTGCTGCAAAGAGACGCTGGAGGCCTCTCCTCGGAGCCGGTTGGTACGCATGAGTACTCAAAAGCCCCAAGGGGGGCCGGGGGAGGAGATGGCTGAACTCCAGGAGAGTTTTGATGTCCTGTTTGAGAAGCTCACCGGGAAGTTCATAGGCCAGACCTGGGAAATCTGGGCCAGAAGAGCAAGGGGGTGGTTTGTGGCCACAGGGCTCTGGAGTCCAGTCCATAAGGAGCCGGCCCCACCTATGCAAGCTGCTGCTGGAGATGGTGCAGCAGACCTGGAGGCTGCTCTGCTGAGTGAGAGAAAGCAGAGAGAGCAAATAGAGCTCTGCATGTTGAAAGCAAGTGTGGACGCTTTGCTGTTGCCCCACCTGGAGGGCGTTGAGTTGGCTCAGGCCACCTGGCAGGTGCTGAGGAGTCTGTGTGAAAGCTCAGCAGGAGCCAAGGGCCGGGAGGAAGCCAAGGGCTGTGAGGAAGCTGAGAGCCCGGTGGGGGCTGCTGGCCATGTTCCTGATGTTACAGCTGGGAGTTGCTGCTTTGTCTCCAAGAGGCCACGTGATGTAGAGGTCCACAACCAGAGTGCTGGGGAGCGTACAGGCCCAGGCTGGGCACCCAAAGGTGGGGGTGCAGGGAGCGCAGGAAGAGCTGGAAGGGAGACTGTGAGAGCTTTTGCTTCCCGTCGCTGTTATTGATGTGGCTCCCCCTCCCATCTGGTAAGAGAATGTCCAGTGGAGGCACAGGAACAGCCGAAGGCCGTCTCCCGTAGCAACCAGATAAAGGGCTCTTCTTCGAAGCATGGGAAAGGAAAGCCAAAGGCAGCTGGCAGAGACACTGAACATAAAGATTTAGCAGCCTCTATGGCAGAAGTCAAGAGTTGTCAACAGGACGCTGTGCTGACTTTTGTGATAGACTCAGGTGCTTTCCATCATCTCGTGCCATCTGCAGGATTCCTGGAGAACTGCACCTCTCTAACTTCTGGAAAGACTGTCTGTTTAGCAGATGGGACTAAACATGCTCTTACGCAGGCTGGCTCACTGTTTTGTTCTTTCTTATAGGATTCGATCCAGGCGTTTGTTGTTCCAGGACTGTCCTGCGCGTTGCTATCTTTCAGTGCCCTTCTTGCTGAGTACTACAGAGTGTGTTTTGAGGACAATATGTGTTATATTTCTAAGAATGGACAGCAACTAGTCAGTGTTGAATGCAAAGACAGGTTGTTTGTACTAGATGCTTCTTTTGCAGGTCCAGATGACATGGCGGTGGCTCAAGCACAGTGTGCCAACGTTCCAGTCCATGATGCGTGTGCCCACCTCTGGCACCGACGCCTGGCCTATGTGTCCTGGGGGTCAGTGAAGAAGATCCCAGAGTGCACTGAATGGTGCAAAATGAAATCATATGCTAAGTTTCTAGATTGCAGGTCGTGCAAACACGCAAAGGTGAAAACGTGCACATACCCAAGGTCTGAGAGGGTAACCACTAGGCCTTTTCAGTTAGTACATGCAGATTTGTGTGGGCCGATGTCTGTGACCAGTATGGGCGGAGCCAAACATGCGCTGGTTCTGATTGATGACCACACGTGCAACGGCTGGCTCTTCACACTCAAACACAAAAGTGAGGCCGCGCCGCTAATCAAAGACTGGATTGCGGCTGTGGAACTGCAGTTTTCCACACGGGTGCAAAACTTTCAGAGTGATCGCGGTGGGGAGTTCACCGGGTCTGTGCTGCAAAGTTTCTTCCGCAAGAAGGGGATTCAACACAGGTTAACTTCTCCACACTGTGTTTCTGTTCGAAGTGCTGGAACTCGCTTATTCAGGGAGAACAAAACAGTGTCATTGCTCTCAATGAATGACAGCTGTAACTCAACCCCTGATATCAAAGAGGGATGAAAGGGATAAATGGAAGGTGGATCCTGCCATCTCTTTTTGGAAATGCTATTGGCATTTAAGCAAAGCCCATGACAATAGTTGCAAAGTATGCTAATTATGTACTTACATAGAAGGAAAAGCAGCAGTGTCATGGCAGTAAGGATGAAAATCTCAAGTATGATAAATCTTTCACCCGTTGGAGATTTTAAGAAGGTAACCATGTCCTGAAAAGTAGATGCTTGAAGAAAGAAAATTCTGATTCAGCCATCAGTAGCTAACAGTGTTCTCGAAGCTACCAGCATGAGTTTGACCAAACTGCGGGAGGCAGTGGGAGACAGGAGTGCCTGGCGTGCTCTGGTCCATGGGGTCACGAAGAGTCATACACAACTCAACGACTAAATAGCAACAAGTCAACATACCACTGCCACTCCAGGAAAAAGGGTTTCCATATGCTGTGGTAGCCATCAGCCAGAGACAGTCAACTGTTCAAGGGGTGGTAATCTGGGTGGGTAAGCAGGTGGAGGAAGCAAGGGGGGATACCTTGCTGCTTGAGGAAGCTTTTCTGACCAATGTCTGGATCAGAAGACAGTAGCCTTTGATACTAAAGCACTTTCTGCTCCCCAAACAAATGACAAGATGCTCCCTCTGTACACATAATGCCACATACAGAAGCTGGGCTGGACTGGCCATTGGCTGATATTTCGATGCTGCTGATGGGGCAGCAGACTAACTGAGGAGGTGCAGTGCAGCTTGTGTGGTCTACCCATCTCTGCCCACCCCAGCACCTGCTACCTGAGGCAACTGCCTCATTCTGCCTAATGGTGGCACCATTCCTGGCTGCACACAGTAAAGGAACACCACAGCCAGCAGCAAAGAGTGGGCTGAATCCTGGGGTTTCTATGGGGCTTCATGGATCTCTGGCACCCAAAGAGCTGTGTGTGCTTTTCTCTGCACTCCTCCCTAGCACAACCTGACTGGTTCCACTCTCTGCCTGCCTCTCCATCAACTTCCCTTTCCCATGCATTCCTCTACTTTATGAGAAACCTCATCCAATATGACTGTGCTGTATACAGACCACAAGTTTCTTTTGCTGTTGCTGAATCCTTTCTGGATGCTCCATCAGTTCCGCACTTTTTCATCCTCTCAGTTGCATCTGTGAAACAACAAGCTATTATAACAACTATGAACACATTGGTTGTATGGTGGGTGTTTTCCCTTCCAAGCTCAGAGTATTAGTCTCTTGTCAAGCATTAAAGCTCACAAAATTTGCTTTTGTTGTCCTGCACTTAATCTCCCTATTACAGGAGCATAATTTTTAAAATAGATGCACATCTACAAATGTCAAGGATTTCATCGGTACAAAGTTGAAATGGACAACAACATCAGGCCAAAAATATGTCTCAATGAGGCATTTCCAACATTAAACTTTGGCGTCTATCAGCATTAGACAATCATTTCCTGTAAAGACATTGTTGAGTCCAATATAACTGAAATGTCTTTCTTTTTCTTTTGCTGGATCAGTCTCCATCGTATACCAAAAAGATGTTCCATATGGATTCAAAGGTATTGAAAAATGTTTTAGATAATATAGCATTCTCTCTCTCTCCACATTTTTATTAGTTTTTTTTAACATATCGTATTTAACATAACGTATTAGTTTTTTTAAACATATCATTTCCAACAATCATTTAACATAAATTCTTATCTTATACAAAGTTTTAGACTTCCATCAACAACCTCTGATGATTTTCCGTTCTTTATCACTTGTTCTGCATTTCTTAATTTCTCTATTACTCTTAATTATCATTAACTAATAATTCTTTTCATAGTTTTTCTTGCAATATTTCAAATAATCCTCCTTACAGAACTTCTTGCAGTCCTACAAGCATAATCTGTTCATTACAATTGCTTTTCAAATAATATTTAATATTTAATTAAATAATATTTAATATATTTACTGATAATATAGCATTCTCATTTGCATTCTATTCTTCTCTAAGCTCCTGGATATCTAGTTTATAGGACTTCAGTAAGCATTTGCAAACAACAGTTATGAACTGACGTTAAGAGGAGCAGCCAATTAAATTACGGTAATTTTTCCTTTCTTCAGCTGTGGACATCAATAATATTGTATTGTCCTTTACTTATTGCCTAATTTTTAATAAGTTACCGTGTATATATTCCTGAACTGTTCCCTCATCCCCTAGTTGTCTACGGAGATCATCTGTTAGGGCAACCAGAGCTGTCTCGGTCCTGAAACCAGGACGGAACCCAGACTGAAATGGATCTAAAGCTGATGTTTCCTCCAGAAACCTACCAAGCTGTTCAGCAACCGCTCTCTCAATTACCTTACCCAGACATGGAAGATTTGAAACTGGGCGGTAATTGGATAGATCTAAAGGATCTAGTGAAGTTTTCTTTGAGAGCGGACATACCACTGCTTCCTTCAGCTCCCCTGGGAATGTCCCCATGCCAAGGGACAAATTGATAATTTCAACCAGGGGGATCCGGGCGACACCTGGGCATGCCCTAATCAGCCAATGATACACTGGGTGAAAGATTTTGGGAATAATATACAACTTGCAGCATGGGAGAACTTAGGGAATTGGAATTTAAAATTCACAGCATGTTGCACGCTGAAAGGAAATTATATGAAAATGATATATCATTGGTATTTAACTCCCAGTCAATTAGCAAAAATGTATAAAACAGGGTCAAATATATGTTGGAAATATAAGGAAAAAGAAGGCACCTTTTATCAAATGTGGTGGACATGTAAGGTAGTAAAAGAATTTTGGGAAATGTTATTTAATAAATTGGGGGGAAAGTTTAATTTCCCCCCCTTAAAATCCTCAAATACTTTTTGTTAGGAATTCTAGGCGCTGAAATCCCAAAGGAGCAGAAAAGACAATGTACATGACCATGGCTGCGAGGATGTTATTGGCCCAGAGATGGAAATAAGATGAATTCCCTACCAGAGAAGAATGACAGATAAAGTTGGTGGATTATGCCGAAATGGCAAAAATGAATCAGAAATCAGGAAAATTTTAAGGAATGGGGAAAGTTTATAATCTATTTTTAAAACCAGTGTAAACAGCTAAAATTCTTAGTGTGATTGGAATACCACTTGTAGTTTAATGGAGAATTTTGGACATAATAGAAATGTAAAAGATTTGGATTATTATAAAAGATGCAGGAGGAAACGACTAACAATCGGACCCACAAAGGGGAGGAGGGAAGTCCAGGGGATTCTTTGGAATCTTGTTTTTATATTGTACGTTGATATTTAATTGTAAAATTTTAATTTGAAAAATGAAATAAATAAATAATAATAAAAAGACTTTCGAGACCACAAGTTGGACATGGAAAAGAAGCAGACAGAACCTGTGCATTTCCCATGCATTCCTCTACTTTATGAGAAACCTCATCCCTTATGACTGTGCAGTATACAGACCATCAGTTATAGTTGCCGATAGTGTTGGAGGCTCTGTGGGCGCTTGCTGCTCCATCCTCTCAGTTGTGTTTAGGAAACAACAATCTAGAATAAGACAACAACAAATGGAGAATAGGATTATGAGCACATTAGGTAGAAAGTGGCATCAGTATTAGACCATCCTTTCCCGTAAAGACGTTGTTGAGTCCAATATACAGTATTTTTCACTCTATAAATCCAATTGAATCTAGCAAGACTTTGGACACCACGAGTTGGACCTGGAGAAGAAGTAGAGTGGAAGCTGTTACCCAGGCTCCCCAAGTGTGCCATTTTGTGTGTTTTTTTGCAAAGACCCAGCTTGACATCTGATGCTGTGGCTTAAAAAAAGGACTGTTGTCTAATCCCGTTTCAAAGCCATCTGATCTAGCAGCCCTTGATATGCAAGTAAATGGGTTTCCCAAAGACTTATATTTTCTGGATCATGATCCTAGATCTGGATTTACAAACTGGGCCCATGAATCAGAGCAGGGCACCTGTATTGCCAGGGAATAAAACAGAATGTGATGCTCCTGGTTTGCAATGTAGCTGGAGCTTTAATATAAGGGACATGGCTGTTTGAGAAGAAGTGAAAGCAACTTCATGGCTTGGCCAGCTATCAAACACCTGCCTGCATGGGGGAAGGAAGGAGGAAGCAGTTGACTGGGAACAAGGAAAGTAACCTTACAGTGACTGAACTGCACAGATAAAGAATGCAAATGAAGGCTCACGCCCACATGTGTCGACTCCCAGGCCAGATCAAAGGATGGGAACGGAATTACATCATGAATTACATCTGTTGCAAGCTTGACATGAGACCTACGCTACAGACTACCATATTTTTCCATCTATAAGATGCCCCCATGTATAAGACACCCCCTATTTTGGGGGACTCCAAATTAACAAAACACCCCTCAGCACAACCCATGTATAAAACGAGCCCCAATTTTAAACTTAAATTTTTAGCTAAAAAACCCTAGTCTTATACAAGGAAAAATATGACATATAAGGGCCAGAAGCTGAAGGAGACAGGGAGATCTTGATACATTGTTCTATGCTCCATTCCAGAATGTGAAGAGAACGACCATCTACCAGTCTGAAGTATCCCAGATAAGCCTTCCAGATCTCCATCGGCTGGAGAGACATGAAGAACTAAACCTATTCTATCTGTTTTGTTGTTGTTGTTGCCTGAGATATTTTGCTTATTGGTTATATTGCTAGCTTTGTAGTTTATCACAGTTGCTCTTGGCTTTATATTAGACTGCATTCCAGGTTGCTGATCAATTTCTTTCCTGATGTTTACCAATTAATAAGAGTTTGTCTCTACCTAAGAGTCTGTCAGTTCTCTGTCCAGTGGAATCTAAAGAACCTCTTGCTTGCCTGGTGGTTGCTATTGGCCAAACAGCCAGTAATACAGTAATACAACTGGTAATACAGCACCTGTACACAGCCCTAGATTGCACCACCACTCAGTTCCATTGGATGACCCTGAGGTCTAGTATTTGAAAAAGAAAAACCATCTGTAGTTTATAAAATCTCCCTATCATTTTCCCTCTTGGTGACCTTTGGCCCTGGAATGAGACCCTGCAAATATCATAGCTTGTAAGGAAACTGTTACACCCATCAGACCTCTTTCTGTTTGGATACCTTGGTGTTGCCATGGAACAATCTTTTCCCTAATTTCCTCCTAAGGGTTTTTCATCCTTCCACTGGCTACGAACCACCTCCCTTGTGATGTCAGGCATTCCAGAACTCCTCCCATTTAGGCTATACCATTTCCTGATTGGCTGCTCATCACATCCAATCAGCATTCCACATCAAGCATAAACCTAGGGAAATGTTGGTTTCAGATTTGATATACTATTTATTTTTTTCCAAAAGTTATTAGTTTTATTTTTTATTTAGGCTGGGTACATACTTTACCTTCAAAGCATATTCCCCATAAGAATCCTTACTCCTCATAAACTCTGCTAGCAATATTGGAAAGCTTCCTATCTCAACACTTGTACCAGGAAATATGGCAAAGTGCATTAGTGTAAATCTTCATTTGCAAAGTTAAAGCACAAAGACAAGGAACAGAAACATTCAAATTTCAACATTTTTGGTTCTACATTTATTGAATGCATCATCATCAAAACATACACGCCACCAGTGCTATTTTTCCAGAAAAATGGGTACCGGAACCACTGGCGGAGGAATGGGAGTTCAGAGGGAGTGGCCCGCCCCCCGTCCCAGTATTTCGGTAGGGTGCCATTGCTGCGCACCCCCCGGACACACGCCGCATACACCTGCATGTACCGGGTGCCATGCCCCCCAGAACGTGCGTCACGCCCTTGCAGACAGCATACCATGTCCCCAGGATGCGCACCATGCTCCTGCAGGTGGTGTGCCACACCCCCAGGATGTGCGCCACGTCCCCGGGGTGCACCCTCCTCCGCACGGAGGGTGCCAGCCATGCCATCGCCTGCTCTCCGCCCGCAGTAGCGGAGCATGCAGCTTCGCCACTGACCGGAACTGACCACAAACACGTCCCTTGCTCTCTTATAATGGTGTCTGCCTGAGAGGTGTCAGAACTGAGTTCAAGCGAGTTCCAGATGCAAAAAAGCCCTGCATGTAGCTGACCTTCAACCAATGGCAACTCATAGAGAACGGTACTTGGAAAGAAAGATAGATCTGCACAAACTCTGAGCTGAACTCTGATAAGCTTCATATGCTAGAAATCCCTCATAACTATGTACCCTTGTTTCTCTTGTTGTTTATTATGTTTTTGTATGTTTATATGTCACTACCAATAAAAATATTGTTCAAAAATGTTTTCTGTCATTTAAATCCTGTCCTTCTGTATAAAGATGCAAGAATCATATAATACTGGTCGTAAAGGTTCTCCAGTGGCTCCCAGTACATTTCCGAGCACAATTCAAAGTGTTGGTGCTGACCTTTAATGCCCTAAACGGCCTCAGCCCTGGATACCTGAAGGAGTGTCTCTACCCCATAGTCCAGCCCGGACGCTGAGGTCCAGCTCCGAGGGTCTTCTGGCAGCTCCCTCACTGTAAGTGTAGCATTATCAGGTTTTGCCCTCGGGTGGGAAAAAGTATTGCACCCGGGAGAGGGAGTGGGTGTCAAACAGACATTCAAGGAATAGTTTCAGAGAAAAAGCTTTATTTCTACCATCCATGAACTGGTAGAAGGAGCAAGTGTGATAACTCATAAACAAGCACGGGTTGACAATCATTTGCACAGAGCATATATTCCCCTTCCAGTTCCCTCCCCTTTCTCCTCCTCCTCCTCCTCAAGAGTCCTCCCCCATGAGTTCCCCTGAGCATGAACAGAAAGCTCCTGTCTTGGGACTCTTTTGGACTCTTCCCAGGAAAGGGGGTAGAGAAGCCTTGCGTTCAGCGTGTTCAGATGTGTTACAACCAAATGAGATAAGATTCAGTTCTGTTCTTTTAGCGAGGTCAACTAGCCTGAGAAATGGAAAAGCATTGTTCTATTCAGCTAAGATGCTTAGCTAATGGCTTTTAGCTGCTGAGAAAATGATTTTGAAAAGCTTTGAGCCTGCTTTGGCCGGGGGTGACTTCGGGCCTAGGTGGGGCACCTGTCCTCACCTCCTTCATTCCCCCCCTCTTAATTTGGACAGCTGCCAGGCTCGTCCCAAATGGGCCACTATCCTTTCTTGAGGCGACTGATGCTTGCCCCAATTTTGGGAGCTGCCTCCTGCAATTGTTGCTAGATCAGCCGAATGCCTGTTCTTCGACAGGGTGCAGAGGTTATCGGGTCAGGAAGCAAACCCCATGCCTGCTACATACCCAATATACATCATGTTCTTGAGCAGATACACTACCTCTCCCTTCTGAAGCCCACACCAAGCGTGTCAGGCATGCAGTCAGATTGCAGCCAAAAGATAAGTTCCTGGCGTGGACTCAGGTGTAACGGTTTGGGCTGGGAAGGTACGATTGCAGCGGGATTGCATCCCCCTGGAAAGGGATGGAATGATCGGGACTGTAACTGATGATTCATTCCAAGGCACAGGGAGGAGGTGCACTCCCCCAGAGCATCTACAGGTGCCAGAGTGCAGACGGTGCAATTGGTTCAATTTGCAGAATAAGCCACCATTTCTGCCATTTGCACCCACATTTTATTTGTGGTTCAAAGGGGGCTTTAGGTAAGTTCTGGAGGCTCTGGGTGGAGCTCTGCCAGGTGGCAAGATAATGAAGTGGGCTGGGGTTTAAGTACCCTGAATGAAAGACCCACAAAAGCACCCTCCTCTGCAGGGGTGGCGTACCTTCAATAAAACTGAATATGCAAAGGGAAAGAAAAGAAAATGAGAAAATGTCCTCTTTCAATCCATGCTGGATTCTCCAGCCGTGCAAAACGTCAGCGTCCAGGAGTGACGTCAGCAGGGCGGTAGTTTCGCGGGCGGTGGACGTCTTGGGTCTCTTCCAACAAGGCTGGAGCGGCGTCTGGGTCCAATCTGGGTCCTCATCACCTGGTTCATAGGGATGCAGAGGCTCGTCTAAGGCACAAGGTGTTCAAGCAAAGGCTCACCTGTTAAAAGAAGAGGAAAAAACACGGTAGAGCGACTGCACATTTGATAGATAACATTCGCACATAAGGTATATTAACTCAAAAGGGTATGCTTGGCAGGAAACTTCGCAAGGGGTAAGCTGAGATTTTTAAAAGTCTTTTTTCCTGTGCTCTATTTTTTCAGAGCTTTTGTGGCCTGTAAGCCATGTTGCAAATTTCAGTTCATCTGCTAGTGTCTGTAGGAAGAACAATGTGTTCCTTCACACTGGCAAAGTTTCAAAAATCCTATGTTATGCTGGGGCTCCTTCTTCAGAGTAAAATAGCATCTTAAAAAGAAAAACTTTTGACAAAGTTTACAGAAAGCATTCACTTGATTTTAAGAAAGTCACTTTCCAGGTTAGTACTTGGGGCAGGGGGTGGGTAACCTTTGGCCTTCTGGGTTTATGTTGCTTGACTGTAAATCCTAATTGGCTCCAGGCAGTAGCAGGTCAGAGTAGCTGGTTGGCGAGAATGCAGCAGTGTCCTTCTGATATCAGCCAAGAGGTAAACATGCCTCACATCCCATTTTTCCCCCCTGAAGCTATTGCGAGTGCCTGGCACAAGTAAAAAAAAAGCTGATGTCCTGTTACTTGCATGAATTGAGAAACAGTCTGTTCACTTGCCTTTGCTGCAACAGTCTTTTTGCTTGGGGGTTGTGGAGGGGCAGCGGGCAGGGAGGGAATCTCATTTGGATCCTTAGCCTGGACACGGGGCGGAGAAGCAGCCCTCGGAGCCCTATTTGTTCCCAGATCTGGTAGCCTTGGTGCAGCTGCTGCATAGGGTGGAGGGGGGCTAATTATTCCTCCCTCCTCTGCAGTTTGGCTTGGGTAAACACAGTTCTACTTTTCCGAAGCCATGGGGATGGTCAGGCAACTTCACATAAGTGTTGGAGTCTATTTTTCTTCAGTTTTTAAATCCCCACTCCTCTATTTTTGTGGCGTCTTTCCAATTTTTTCCAGGAAGCACTGTAATGGGGTCGTGGGAGTTGTTTTACTGCTTTTATTCCCCTTGACCATGGGACCCTCCATCCTCCTAGCGTTATTTCTCACTCAGTCACCTTTTTTTGAGTCTTATTAGTGGCCTGTACGGACTTGCCAAAGACCACACACCACTTCGCCGGTGGCGCTGCACCCCCAACGTCTCACACACTCAAAACATTCACTAGAGTGTCCCCACACGCACATTCAGAAACCCATGCACCTTCCCCAATCCCCCTTTTACCAAAAACCAACCGGCCGCACTTCACGGCTTCGACTGGGGCCCAGCAGCACCTTTACTGCTCCTACTGGGTGGAACCAAAACCAGTGGCACCTTTATTGCCCTACTGGTGGGGGCTGATCAAACCCCTCTGCTCCCACAAATGCCCTGTGGAGCTTTACCTTTTTCCTCGAGGTAACTTCCTTTGGCCGTTGCTGTTTCTCCGGTCCTTGCAGTGTCTCCACTCAGGAACGGGTGGCAATTCCTCCCACGAACTTGGCAGGATGTGCACTGGAACCGCAGACACCGAATCTGAGCTGTTCACCACAGGGACGCCTTGGACCCACATCCCTTGTCCTCGGGGAATGCTGTTTTCCTGGCCAAAGCACCAAGAAATGAATTTTAGAAACAGTCTAACACACACACACAGAGGGAGGAGATTGTGAGGGGGTTCTCTCTCACCTGCCACACCCCACAGGTTCTCCCCATGGGACAGCCTTGGCTGCTGCTCCTGCAGAGGCAGCTGGTGGCGCCCCTCTGCACCACAGGCAGCCATCCTCTCAGCCACGAAAATGACTCACCCACCGGAGCGCCCCTTGCAATCATGCATGCCTCCATTGCCGCCTATCGTCTGCCCGATTAGGATAAGCAGCTGCATACTGTATTTTTCGCTGCTGATACTATCCTGCTTGCGGTAACACTTGTCCCAACGAGGCACACCCCATGTATAAGATGACCCCCTCCCCATTTTAGACTTAATATTGAGGTAAAAAAAGGTTGTCTAAATAATACATGGAAAAATACAGTATTTATTATTTCATAACAGGTAGATCGTTAAGAGCTGAGGTGGTTTCAGTAGCGGGCGCCTGGCGCCCCCCATAATTCGGCACCCGGGTGCACCACACCGCTTTCACGCCCGAGTAAAGACGGCCCTGGCTATAACAGGGTCTTGATTTTGGACATTAAAATAGTTAAAGAAAGGGGTCTATATTTCTTGGAAGGTGTCTCTTTGTCTTATGCCTTGAATTGCCCTTCTGTGTTTCATGAGACACTCAGGTATTGCTCTATCCCAGATATTATTTCCCCATACTCCAGGGGTATTTAAGTCTGGTTCTTCCATTGTTTTGCTACCGTGTTGCTGTCAGTAAAAAGCCTACTAGTTCTCTGTGGTACAGAAAGGTTGCCATATTTTGAAGAGCAAAAAGAGAACACATTTGCTGACAAGTTATGAAATTGTTCTAATCCTGGATGTTTGAGGGATGTTTCAAGTCCCATTAAACTCAGTGGAATTTACTTGTGAGTAAACGTGTGTATGAGCAGGTAAGAACTACATTACACTCGTATATGATTTGATGAAAAACTTTTTGTAGATTCACTGATCAATCCGACACATATCTATTCCATGTAAGGCATATTGAATTTAATGAGACTTGCTCCTGAGTCTGCAGTCTAAGGCACTCTGTTATTTAAAAATACCTCAAGGCTGAATCGTGGTTCTGAAAGGAAACGAAACCTGGAACCTACTTAAAAGTACCTGTTCATCCATAAAACTTGCTGGTTCACCTTTCAGCAGTCCCTCAGACTTGCCTTCCTCACTGAGTGCTAGTAAGGTTAACCTGACCCTATTCATTAGAACTGGGCAGGAGAGAAACCCAAATTCACTGAAATAAAACTAGCATGATGGTGGGAGTGTGTTTGTGTGTGCGCACGCATGGAATAAGAGGCACATGCTCCTTGCCACGATGCCTTCAATCCTATGCAGGTTTCTTTATTCCCACCAAATTCATTCTGAGCAAGCACTTGCAGCATTGAACTGAGTGGGGAGGGGGGAGAAAGAATAAATAAATGTATGAAGAGGAGATGGTTTTTCAAAGGAGCAACTGACAGCGTGAAAAAAGCAAAGGTGGGGCAGGCGATGGAGCTTGGAGAGAAGGGAGGGGAATCAGAGAGAGAGAGAGAGAGAGAGAGAGAGAGAGATGGGTGTTGTGAAGGAGCACTTGTGGTGAGAGAAAGCCCAAGTGGGGTGGCCAGTGAGTCGGCAAAGGAGGCAGGATTCTGAGCGCAGTGGGACTGCTCCACCTGCCATCCTCCTGGCCAGCCCTGCCCTGCCCAGCCTGCCAGTGGGGGCATCAGCATGGTTGGTGCTTTCTTCGAAAGCACAGTGGCTGCTGCTGCTCCAGCCCTCCTCCTTTCCCCAGTGTACTGGTTGCCTCCTCTTCCTGGAGCTTCTTTGTGTGTACTTGGGCAGACTGCTGCAACAATGGTATAGCTAGGGTTTTTGCTCAGCAGCACCCTCCACTGGGGGTGAATCAAGTACCCCTTCCCCAAACAAACCACTGCAAGTTAATGTGCGGTGGGTGAGACTCCCATGAAACAGCCTTGGCTATTCTGCCTTCGCTGTTGGGCACTGGTTGAAGCACCCAGTGTGGAAAAAGAGCTCCCTTAACTTCCTCGCTTGCAGCTGCTGAGAAACATAGGAGGGCAGAAACATGAAACAAAAGATTGAGGCCAGCTGTGCTTCTGCCTTCTCTCGGTTCCCATGTCAAGTCCAAGGGAGCCAGTAGAGAGAGAGATGGTTCTGGCAGGGTTGTGGGATGGGGGTGCATTGGACTTGCCTTGCGCATGCACACTCTCTGAGTGGGAAGGAAAGCTCCCAGACACACCGCTTCCTGGGACACAGGTGTTCAATGTCACACTCCTGGAGTGGGAGTTCCCAAGCACAAATATGCTCCTTTGGGGCTTGTCTTGGTACCAAAGGAAGAAAAGAAACACCCCCCCCCGAAATTTTGGCAAATTCTAAAAATCCTCGAGGATGGGGATGTAGACCCTGAAAAAGGAGATGTGTCTGGGAAAACCCAGATGTATGGCAACCCTACTACAGGGTGGAGCCCAAGGCTATGTTCAAAGATAGTAGGGCTAAGGCAGGATTTGGAGAAAGATAGAACATCCTCTATAGAAGTGCCTTTGCCTATTTGGATGGTCTATTCCATGTATACATTAAAAACAATTCTATTAATCCCCCCCCAGTTTTCACATAATGCATGTTAAGAACATCATATGTTACCATTCTTATTTTTATGTGGCTTCCCATATTGCTTTTATAAGACGTTATATCTTCACTCTCTGAATTGCTCATTTGTTTCTAACATTACACAAAGTATAAAATATAAACCTGAAGCTAACACATTCTTGTTCTTCTGTTGCTCAAAATAATTTCATTCTGAACTGAAAGCTCAGTCCTTGAGGGAACTCCCAACACGCTGGGTTTTCTCAAAGCATCTGCTAGGAATTTGTAGTTTTTCCTTTTATTTAGGAGTCTAGTTGGGATTTCCTTCACTTGTAATCCTTTGTAATCCTTTGGATGTCAGTCTGTAGGTTGTTCTGAGTTTGCAAAATCTTGCCCTGTATGGTTCTTGTAGAGAATTGAACTAAGCAATCTCCTGGAACTTTCCTTGCTCTTGCAGATGCTGATTTAGTGCTGTGTGCCCACTCAATTTGTTTCTCCATCTCATCTTCCTTGGTATCCAGAAATTTCTCCAATTCTTTAATCAGCAGTTGTTAAAAACCTTCCTCTCTTTATTCTGGAATCGATCAACATCTCAAATACATTTCCTTCTGCTGCATCTCTTGGAGAGCGACCGGTTCATCCAGTATTTCTGTGTTCTGCTGTATTCCAGTCATCTGTTCTTGGGTTTATGTGATTTCTTCCTGCATCTCTTTCACTTGATTTCATGTCTCTGATTTCATTGACCAATAGTGTGTTGTTGTTTTTTCAGTTTCTTCCAGAGAGCTAGGCCTTTAAAACAGATCACTTATTTCTTTGGAGCAATCCCTTAAATCCCTTGCAACTTCTGCAAGTGTTGCTGGCTTAGTGATACTCTCATTACTGTCAAAATATCACTTAAATCTCTTTCTTGTTGAAGTTGGTTTTTTATATCCTGTTACTGTCATTTGTACATTTACCCCTGTGTGTCAGTGTTGTATTATTTATACTTCAATTTATCTCTCAATTTCCAAGCACTTGTTGCTAGTTTCCCACCATTTGATGCCGCTGTTGTATTATTTATAGCTCACTCACTGGATCATCCCTTTGTTGTGGTGAGTGGGCTTGCAATTCCTATGACCCTTGTGAGTGAAGCTGTCGGGAGTCTCATACTCCCAGCAGGGTCACCAAGGCGGTAAGGTCAAAGGAGAGGAGCTAGACAAAGAATGATCCAAGAAGTTCTCAATGGCAGGACAGGTGGACGATAACAAGTGGTATGTTACAGTGGCTGTGAAGGGTAGATTTGAACAATTTGGGGCAATTAAAATGTTAAATGTTAAATAAACCTTGTGGATGGAGGAGTGTTAATGTATATAAAATTGTACATATAGTTGATTTCAATATGCTATTATTGATTATGTAAACCCAATGTATCAGCCACCTGGGGAGTTTCACTGTGTTTTGGTTGTTGGTAAAAAATAAAAAATTTAAACATTAAAATAATAATAATACAATGGCTGTGAAGGCAGATGAAGGCTGGAGCAGATAAGAAACAACCAGTCATCATAATACTCTTGCCATCAGAATAGAGCCTTACTGCGAAGACTGTGCATTGGTCAGGGTGCACTGATCTACACACACAAAACAAATTCACGCACAGGTGTCTTCCAAAAACCCATCTCAAACCCCAACCCAAAAAATTCCATGGCAATCAACAAATGGTAACAGGGGTGGGACCATGAAATCTGGAAGCCCCAAATCCTTTTTTTAGATCTTTCCCCTCTGCCTGTGCCTTTCCTCTACATGGAATTTTATTTTTTTGGTTTTCTAAGTAATCTATTTGGTTTTCTAAGTAATCTACTAGAAATTTCCTTCGAAATGATTATATTCTGTTCTATTTGTAATCTTTTTTGGTAATTCGTTTGTAATATTGTGTCTTTTATCGCACGTGAATTGGAAACTACCAGGCAATCTCTGTTGGGATTCGCAGGATACTGAGTAAGTCTGCAGGCTTCAACAGGCTGATGCAATACTCTGTGAAGTGCTGGGTCAGAGTGACTCAGCAGGAATATGATTGGCTATCACCTGTTTTAAAAGGAAAGCCTGTTCAACAGTGGTTGTGGTTGTGGTGGTTGTGCTGTGGTGGAGAGTATTCGTTTGCCTTAAGGAGCAGGTACTCTGTATGGACTGTTTTTGTAAATACTTGTATATAGCTCACATTAAAAAGACTGCACTGAAAAGAAACCTGGGACTCTGAGCGTTTCTGCTAAAAGCGCTGTGAGGAATTCGCGACAGGGTTATGGGCCCAGGACGCTTCCGCTGCGCAAGAGTACAGGTGGCAGTTATCTAGCCGTGGGTGCTGGAGGTGA